AGGCTGATGCGAGCCGTGTGCCGTCGGGCGAGAAGGCTACGGATCTGACTGGACTTATATGGCCCTCGAGTATTTGCAGGCATGCGCTCCAATTGCTTTCTGTTATCGGCTTTGTTATAATCCATCCCGGTTCGTCGTCTTTGAAAAGTTCTCTTATCAAGCAGTATGTTGGACTAAATACAAGAGCTGATGCATATATTTGAAGAGGATAATTTTCGATTATCCATCTGTTGAAGAGAATAAATCGATAAGCATCTTGAACTAAATCAAACAGTTGAGACTTATTTGATAAGGTCTCAGTTTATTAGTATGTTTAAAGCGTGCGATCAGAATTGAATACTTACTGTAAGGAAACTCTTAAGTTTGTTCATCGCGAGTATACCAACTGATGTACTTCTCAATAAGCTAAGAGCTTCCATCCAATGGAGAAAGTGCTCCTTTAGAAAGATATAGACAACGCCGTTATTGCCAAGGTCAATTCTATCGTGACCGGTCTTCATATCGCAAAGATGGTCAACCCAGTATACGCACGAATACCTTGCCGCACTTAGTGGATCCGGGTTAGGCGGTTTGACACTGCCAATTGGGAATCCAGGGGCGTGCAATCCGTATATATCGCGTCGAAGCGTACTCGACATGATGTCACGTGATCTCGAGAACATCGTGTAGTTCACCTCTGACTTACCAGAGGGAAACACCTTGTCAAATGCCTTTCCGAGCAAAAAGTCCTTTGCCGATTGATGAACGAAATAGGTGCGGTTTTCCCGTATAGTGAGGAAAGAGCCGCATTTGTTGACAACCCTCATAATGTTGTCGAGATTGGTGGAAATTTGGCCAGGCAGACCAGAGAGGGCCCCTACCTCGAGGAGGTGCAGTGGACGGTATGCGAGAGTCATGGCGGAAAGGACGAGACGGCAGAATTCAGGATCTTTGCGTTGCAGCTGTTGAACTTGCCGCAGCATCCGATCGTAGAGCGGTTCCAACTCGGGCGGCATTTCCTGAAGCACATCGAGTACGTCCCAACTCTCTACAGGCTCAAGCTCTTTTAAAGCAAGTGCCGCCCAGAGAAAAGTCCCACCAGCTTTGGTGTATAATTGACCTCGGACTGTCTTTTGTAGCGCGCTGTCGTCCATAATGAGTGGAAGTTTGGACACTTTGTGATCGATAAACAGCTCGACAGCACGAGAGACATGCTCTGAATTAAGCTCAAGGCTAAGGATCATTTGTGCATTATTAAGTCTCAGCCGCGCTTCGATATCGGGTTTGTTGCGGCTCGACACAATCCATTTGACGCGAGGGAATGTTGAGGTACTTTCAGCAACCAGCTTCAAAAGCTGGGGGAGATCTGTTTCGCATTCGTCGAGGGCATCGATGACCAAGTAAGTGGTCTTCAAGCTTGGGTCTTGTAAAATGTTTTCAAAGACTGTAGACAAAGCTACCCAGCCATTTACGCCCTCGAAAGGCCTTTCGACCCCATGATCGTATTTCTTCTGCACGTGTGATACAAGAGATGGCTGCTGGTTGACGAGTAGGTAGATGAGGCCGCGGAGCACGGCTGTCGCATTGTTGATACGCTTATCGGTGGCCTGGCAGAAGAAGTATGACAGCAGCGTGATTGCCTCCTCGTCCTTCAGCTTCGTCAAAGGGCTTACTTCGTTGACAATGCCGCAGAGCAGCATCGTCTTGCCTTTGCCGGGGTCGCCTTTGATCCAGAGCAGCCGGCTCTGTTTGTCGTCGCGCCATTGTTGGAAGTCGGAATGTTCGAGGATCCAGCGGTACGAGTCTTCCAGCAGGCCACCCTTCGTCTGCTCGATACGCGTTTTGTCCTCGAGGGGGTCGGTCGTCGATAGATCTTTTAGATACTTCCGGGTCTGGGAGTCGGTTTGCTGACTTGAGTTATCTTCTCACGAGAAGAGTTAGTCAGGTAAGATACGTTAATCTTTGTTATGACGAAAGAAACGGATTCAAACATACGAGGCACAATGTAATTATTGATAACTTGTTGGCTTGGGTTGCCTAATTCACAAACGTCAAATCCAGACATAATCTCGTGTTATGCTATTTCTTACTGCCAAAAGTCGCCCCGCCGCTGATTACATTGTGGTATAAATCCCCTGATCCTTTATGGAGGTTCATAGTCCCTGGACCAGTGTGCCCAATATTGTCACCACTGCCGCTGTGTGTTTGGATGAAACTCCCAGCCTCGTCCGGAAGAGAGGGAGGCATTTCGTTCATTTCCTTGATCGCCTCTTCAAGTTCCTTCATTTGGGTATCGGTAGCGGTTCCCGTCAACCTTTCGCATGCGATCACTTGGACATCCTTCAATATCTCCTCCATCAAATGCTCCACTCTACCACCTTTCACTAATGTACCCACGGCTTTCTTGTACCGGTCGTACCACTTGTCGTCATCCTTGCGAACAACCCTCTGGAAAAGGTTCTCGAGGTTCTCAGCCTTTGCTTTGCATGACTCTAGAATGGGCTTCAATGCGTCCCGCGCGGACTCGTCGAGCGTCTCTGTCCTCTCTTTGGCACTGTGGAGGATTTCGTTCACTAGTGGCAGTCGTGCAGCCACCTGGCGAAATGCTTCTGGCTGGCCTTTCGCGTTTTTGGCGGCATCGTATACCGTTTTGGTAGCCTCGATGATTGAGATCACGCCTGAAATGAGGCTAATGACAGTGCCAGCCTCGACGACGCCGGTCATGATAGATAATTGACGACGATTTCGGTGGGCGTATGTTAGGCGGTCAATATGCTAGAACAACTCGTGAGTATTCGACAACACGGCGAAATGCGGCTCTTGAACTTACATAACCGGACGATGCTGCCGGACGAGATTAAGGATGCGCACGATGATGTGGAGTGCCTAGAGCGTTTGCGAAGGAGCGGGGGGTCAACGATGAGGCATGGTGGGGGCTTGCGTGCAAGGGCTTTGGCTGAAACTTTCTGACCACGTGGCTACATGAACAGAGCCGCAACACCATCCTGCGACGTCTTCCTAGGACTTGGCTTCCTCGTCAATTAGTTCTAAAGTAACCACAATGGCGCCCAATCTTGCACTTTCCCAGCATGAACAGATTCGAGATATGATTATTAGCAAATTCGCTAACCCTACAATTGCCAGAACTGTCCGTTGCAGCACCCGCTCCGTCCAGACGATACGATCGAACCTACGATGCTTTGGAACCACCAAAGCGCCCCCGAACGGGGTCGGACGGCGCAGAACAATTATACTTCCTATGCTAAGTGCATTACTTGAGCAACTCATCGAGAAACCCGAACTATACCAAGATGAGATGGCCATCTTTCTCTACGATGAGTTCGATGCTCTAGTTACAACTCCCACTATCAGCAGAGCCTTAGCATCGGCGGGCTGGTCTAAAAAGGCTGCGCGCCGCGTCGCAAAGGAGCGAAACGCAGACTTATGAGACTTTTACCTCCACAATTTATCGGAGTTCCGTTCATACCACTTGGTTTACATTGACGAGTCTGGATGCGACAACCGGATTGGGTTCAGGCGAACTGGATGGTCCCCTTTGGGAGTAACACCTGTACAAATTGCTCGCCTGCACCGTGACCAAAGGCATCAGATCCTACCGGCGTACGCACAAGATGGCATTCTCCTCGCGCGCGTGTTTCAGGGATCAACAGATACCGCCGTCTTTGAGGATTTCATCGAGCAGCTACTGCATCATTGCGGCAGGTGGCCTGAGCCGAAGTCTGTCCTGATAATGGATAATGCTTCGTTCCACCATTCAACCAGAATTGAGGAATTATGTAGGGAGGCTGGAGTAAAGTTACTCTATCTGCCGCCGTACTCGCCAGACTTGAATCCTATTGAAGAGTTCTTTGCAGAATTAAAGATGTTCATCAAACGAAACTGGCAGCGTTACACAGATGATCCCGGACAAGACTTCAAAGCATTCTTAGAGTGGTGTGTGGACACTGTAGGGGCAAGAAAGTCAAGCGCCGAGGGGCATTTTCGACATTCTGGGCTATCTATTGAAGAACCGTGAAGGCAAACTGTATAAATTTAATCTTCAGAAATCCGCTCTTATTCCAACTTGTATTGTTTGGCCCATCTCTTGATATCGCGAACAAATCGCTGTGCAATTCCGCTCTTTATGCCCTTATCAATATAGAACTGAGCATTTTGTTCCTCATAAATCAACTCAAGGTCGAGACCTTCATCCAACGTTATGTGATATACCTTTTGGTATTCCATCTTAAGGGACTTGGTAGTGACACGCGAGCACTGCCATTCACTGTACTTCCTAACAGCAACATCTAGTTGTCCCGGAATCTCAAGAGGGCTGGAAGGCTTAGATGGTACCATTTCTGTTGACGGGGTCGGGGTTTGAGAGGGCAGAACGTTGGTGATATTAATAGGTGGGAGACCAGCCACAGTCGAAGCTGTACGTTTCCGCTGCCGTTCTACATCTTGCTGTTGTTCAGCATAGAGTTGTTCACGAATATCGTCTGGTACGTCATCGTGAGTCTCTAGTGTACCGCCTTCTTCGACGTGCCTAATGAGGCTTTTCAGGTGGTATGTCTTGAGCTTGTAGTGTTTCTTGCCGACATTGTCGCGCCAACAATAAGGTCCTAGATTGCAAGGTGGCCCAGGACATCGCATAAGGTTGTAAACGTCGCGCCAGATTGATGGCTGACCAGCAGCATCCTCTTCAGCGTCAAGCTGCATGGCTCGCTCAGCGAGCATGTATTGAGAGTACCCTCTCTTGGTACTCTGCCGAGTTGATGCCACCACCGTATCGCCCGTCTCTCTGTATTTAAACGATATATCGATCCTGAGTCTCTTTCCAACACGGAGTAAAGGGCTCCAAGTTTCGAGCTGCTTCTCCAGGAGTTTCCAGTCAATATCGAGGTCATCGAACCGCTTATTAACATCACGCTCTGTACGGTCTGTGACGGACACTACGACAATCGTTTCGTCCGCGCTGAAACACTTGTTCTGCGGTAGCTTTCGAGCTGAAAGCTTGTCGAGTCTCGGTCGCAGGACAGTCGTCCAGAACGCACTAGGAGCAAGGACAAGATCCGGTTCTGTTTCCTTTGCAATTAGCTTCTTTTCGACTATTAACTTCCATTCAATAGAGTAATGGATGCAGGTTGGCGGGTGCTCATCATAAGCATTGTCCTCGTTCCAATCAGCGAGCTGCAGCAGCGGCAAGGTGCCTAGACCATGATGTGGTTGGCTTCGACGAGATGAGACGACATCGAGAGTGTCTGCTGCGCCAGATAGCGGCCGATCAGCAGTGTCAAACGACAGCTCCTGCAGATGTTCAGAGTTGCTCATGGTTGCTCTGTAGAGTGACGACATGGACGGTGAAACGCCACTCACAATCTACTTTCGGTTCGTCGTTGACGCCACGTAGCCAGAACCAATATTTAGCCGAATATTAGCCGCCCTGATGATTCGTGCCAGCCGAACGCCAAAGACTGATTTCATCGCGACATCCGCCACAAAAATATGGATCCAATGTCAATGCACGGAATAGTACTTTGTACACGTATCTGAGGGTCATTTGCCGCCTTGCTCTGCTTGATTTCAGCCTCGACGGGAAGCTGCATAGGTCTGAGCAATCTCCGTCCCACGCACTTCGAGCCATCGAGTCTGCAACGAAACCCCTCGGAGGGGAAGATGCATCAGTCGCTGTAATCGTATGAACGAGGCCATAGGTCAGCGAGTCGTATGCCTCGAAGACAGATAGCCAGGACGGATTCCGACTCTGGTAAGAGTCCCTTAGCATCTGTTCCTCAAGCCTTCTTAACACCTCGGAATCGCAAGTCCCCTACCAAAGCAATACTAACCTCGTTCCGCAGCATTAAGAATAGATACTAACTCGATCATGTCGAGTGCATTCTACCACATGAATTGCCGGAGGTCGAAACGATCGATTGCAGGCCTTGGCGGGGCCAACATGGATCACACATAACAATGGTTCTTTGAAAGGCATCGCTGTTGAATGGAGGGAAATGAGGGATTACCGAATACAGGAACTCCTTCGGCCTGAGCTGAGATCACGATGAGTGTTTCAGAACTTTTGTTCGCGATTGGATTGCTGTACGGCCCGTACATCATGAACTAGTTGAGAAGAGAAGGCGAGAGTCTGAGGGTGACGCCTTGTTGGATCCTTCAACCTACTCTTGATAAGGTTGGCCGGCACTCTGGGTATGTGATGAAGAGGCTATTTAGAGCAGAATTTCCGACGAATATTCTGTCCGAGAGCTGCCTGATCGAGTCAATGAGATTCATAGATGGTGCTTACCCCAGTCATGAAGGAGACACCTTGGAGTTCTAAACTCTGCGAACCCCTAATGTTCATGAACAATTGGTAGATAGATCACATAGGCAGCATCAATAGAACGAGCAATACGAGATGCGAGAGGTCAGAGAAGTGTTGCGGTCAGCTCCCCAGATTTTAAGTGCAAAGGACGCAGTGGCTGGATGTCATAAGCAACCTTTAATGGAGGTTGCCCAGGTACTTTGGAGTACATGGGATGACAAGGGAGCTATGCGCTAGCGCCGAAAATGGACGAGGTGGTCTGTGCTCACAAATTTTTTTAGGCGAAAGGGGACGAAGCCGATTTTGCAAGTAACTTGTACGTGTTCTTTATATCAGTGAGGGTTTTATTGACGGGGGTTTGGGGTTGTTCGTTACGAGTTCCTACTCGAGTAAGTAATGAGTGCTGTTCCTAAATGCTGGCTAGTTAGGTAGGTAGGTAGGTAGGTAGGTAAGGAAGGAAGGAAGGAAGGAAGGAAGGAAGGAAGGATGATTTTGAGTTTAAGTTTTACGAAGTGGGAAACTAGATGGGGGTGAAACGGTTCCTGACTGACTAGCTGGCAGAGAGGGGGAAGCCACCGCTTGGACGGAGGGACGGATGGGGACGTGGCGTGGCGTGGCGGTGTGGCGAGTTGAGTTGATCAGCGCGGATCTGAGATATGGGTTTGATTTGATTCAGATGAAGTATGCTCGTCGTGAAGGTATGTCGTTGTCTTGTTTTGCTGTGTGTGTTTGGAGTCGAGTCGAGTGATTTAAGCTGAGGAGTTGATAGGGAATTGAGATGTGTAGCAAGAATTGGGATGTTTAGAAGGAGTTGTATACTTTATGCTGTTTATGGAAATTAGTTCTGTTTTTTTTTTTTTTTTTTTTTCGTGATTGATAGACACTGCGTAGTTCGGTGGCGTTTTAGTTGCTAGTTGTGAATGTTCGTTTTCGTGCTAGTGACTCTGCTTGGTACCAAGATTAAGCTACGTTGGATATCCAAGAGAAGAGCAATAGTATTGCCGACTTTCGATGTTTGGAGTGACGGACACCACGTTGTCAGAAAGGGTGTTGATCGCAGAGGTTGCGTTGGATACCTTGGCCGCGACTCTCGATCATGGTCTTCGGGCTACGCAGATTCGTATCGTTTGTCCTAGGCAGCGGTATTCCTGTTATTCCACATGGTATGTGATTTGTGACAGATTCGTCTGCGGCTTGGTTTCCAGATCACAGAGCGGAAAGAACTTGGTTGCTACATTTATGTTCAATTGTTTGTCTTCTATTCAAGATCGGTGTTCAAGGTGAATGTCCATGTTTAGGATAGAACAACAAGATTTACTTGAAGTTCAGATTCTGAAGCTTTAGTCAAGCTCCAGACTCAAGCTGGACAATTGGACTTTTAATCTAAGTCTTAGCTCCAAATCCTAACTCGGTTTTCTTCTCTCATTCACAGCTTGTTTATCAGAACTTTCACTATTAAAAGAGTTTTTATGAAAAGCCGTACCTAGGCTAAGATATATTCGCAATCGATCATGTCGGGTAGAGCAGCAGTTTCCCACAAGCCTCAGCGGCTTGCTGGAGTAGAGAAAGTTGAGAACCCACGAGGGCAGCCAGCCAGATCTGACTCACTATGCATTACCGAGATTCTGACTTAAGTTGAATCATTGGAAGCAAGACAGAAATTCACGCATCTGTTAGTGTTCAGTCTCAAATCTGAGCCTCGAAACCGAACATTGGGGGTCGTCTAAGAAGCGGCTATACATATCTTACTTGACTTGTGAAAAGAAAGCATCTCTTACTTGAAGCCTAGCAAGACTAACTCTGGTAAGTTTGAGGCCATTCGTCAACACTTGGTTAGCAAAGGACTTTTCTAGTCAACTACAGAATCTGTGTTCGAGATGAATGTCCGGGATCAAGTTCAATATCAAAGACGAAAGGCAATTTTAGGCTGAATGTCTGCACTTGAGTCAATCTTTGAAGTGGTTGGAACAGATTTTTGAGTCATTTGTCCAATGTCTGTATTTGTGTCAGGACTTGGACCTAGAGGTCAATGGCCATGTCAAGACCTGAGATTCGTTCCGGACTAATGTCCGTGCTCAAGACAATGTAGTATTCCTAGTTGAATGCTCAGGAAGAGAACGATGATCTGTTAAGGTTAAGCGTGCCCACTTACTCTAGCTTGAGCTTACTCGATTGAACGGGACGCCAAGAATAACTATATGTCTGAACTTCACCTGAGTTTGTTGATATCAAGCTACTTCTGTTCAAGACTAGTTCTCAAGTCAATGTCCAATTCGCGATAAAGTTATTACATGCCTCATTTTCTGCCCCAAATACTGCTCTCCAGAATCAATTCTACAATAAGTCAACCTGTCAAGATCCATTCCTTCCTTCCTTTGCTCGTAATCACAACTTCAAATCCACAAACCCCGCCCTACCCCCTCTCAGCGCACCAGTCGCACCACCCCCAAAATTCTGCTCAATCCACGCCGTCCCACAGACCATCTCCCCCCGAAACGTCCCCTCCACGATAGCGACCCCCTCCCAAACCGGCGGATTCTCCGTCCCTTGCTGCCGAAACTCCTGATCGGGCATCGACGCCGTAAACAGCAGCACCGTATTATACTTTGGAACCTCAACTTTGTACTGCGTGAAATAGGAGTTTCCTTTTCCCTTCGCAGGGAACGAGGATGCCCAGACAGGTCCTAGTGGTGTCGTCACGCTTTGTTCGAAGGTACTGTTGCCATCGGGCCAGATGATGGAGACGAATGAACTAAAGGCAAGGCCGAGCTTGATGTCGGCATCCGGGGGCGCGAAGCTGGATAGTTGGGTTCCGTTGTCGAGGGTTGCGTCTTGGAGGGCCCATGTGAAGTTGTTGGGGAAGGCGCCGTATTCGTGGTCCATCCAGGTCGTACCGACTACCGACACCTTCTCTGAGCCCATGGAGATAGATCCGACGGCGGAGAGACGTGTGAATGAGTAGTAATAGTTGTTTTTGGTCAGAGGAGTCTTGCCTTGTGGGTTGACATCAGTGTGAACGCCCGTTCCAAATACCAAGAGAGGAGGACCCGTTTGATGGAGCGACAGATTGATCGAACAAGGCGTTTGGGTCTCCGCGTCGAGGAATTCTCCTACAATCGACATCTCATTCTTCTGTCCGAAGTCATTGCCAGTCATACTGACAGATCCATTACTAGGAGCCTTTCCAACGTTCACAAACCATGCCTTGGTGGAGTCGCTTTCTGCCCAATTAGCGTCCCAGGGAAACACGGCGCTGCTCTGGTAATGGATCTGGTTTTGGACATCCGTGATGCTGATTTGAGAGAAGGATGCAATGCCAGTTATACCGGTAGCGTTGATTTCGAAGCCAAAGGTCCGGGATCCGTCGGCCGTGGAGATGGTACCGATGTGCCACCACCACTCTGATGGTGCACCCACGTGAGCGTATTGATCCTTTGGGAGTTGGATGGCGGACATTGTGTATAAACTTCTTCGAGAATGTCCGAGCCTATGGAATGAATTGTAGAGTTCTCAACTAGGTGGATTTGAGCTGTGATGTTTGTCAAGTTACAAAAACATTTTCCTGATACAAAGGGGTAACAAACCAAGGAATGTAGGCGAGAACGTAGGCAAGAATATCCGAGAGTACTCGGATGACAATCTATCTGGCAGAACTGGAGATAAAGAGGTAAAACTGCTGGAAGGGTGGTGCTCTCAAATAGGTTTGTTTTTAAAGCAGAGTGACATTCTAGAGCTGAAATGCTCAGCTCATGCACGTTTGCCTCAGCCGTGTTTAGGTCCTACTTTCAGCACTCCATCTACACTCGGCTACAAATAGAGGCGTTAATGGTTGGCTGGCGAGGCGTGCTTTGTTTTAGCGAGTTCGAACTCTTGTTGAATGTCCCAAGCTCACTCAAAACAGCCGGTAAGCCAGGATTTGGTATTGGATATTCATCTCAATCCATTGATATCATGTCCGTCTGCCCTAAATACATTATTCGTATTCACAGCCTCTTTTCGCCCCTCTATCTTCATCCCTCTCAATCCTAGGTATGCAACAAAACCTATCATAAAACTCTTTCCTTTTCCGCCTGATTCCTTAACGCATCAATCTCCGCTTGCAATTTACTCAAATCAGCCAGGATATCATGTCCAGCGGGTCCTTGAACTTCTTCTGGCATCTGTAGCACAGAACTTGCTGCTGAACCTCTTCTCGCACTATCCATACTTCGTCGAGGGTAGTCACTACTTGTTCTCCTGGAAGTACCAGGAGATTGGCCGTCGAAACTCGTACGGCCGTGTCGAGGAGGTGGAGGGGGCGGTGGCATGACCGAGGCTCGTTTGTTGCTTGGGGTGGAGAGGTCCATACTATGTACAGATGGTGGTTTGCCTCCTGATATGGATCGAGCTGTTCCTCGGGCTGGAGGTGGAGAAGGTAGTGATACACTGGACGGTGAAGATAATGGTAAGTTTTGTGATGAAGAGTTCATTCTTACTGAACCGATTCGGCGAGATGGTGGTGCTGGAGGTGGGGGTGCACGTCCACTGTTTGATCGTGGTCTTGTATTCTCGTTGGGGGGTGGTGTCAAAGAAGCTGAAGATAATTCTTCTTCGGGTTTCGGAGATAGTCTGGCGGTAGCAGGGCGATTGAGCTTGGATTCTGGGACTTTTTGGCTATGCCGTCGACTCAAAGGGGGAGCTGGTGCTGTTTTCTTCTGTTGTAATGACTCCGGTGATGGTGACTCCGGTGTTTTGCCCGCGGCTTCTTTATCGAATATGGATTCCCGGTCTGAATCATGGCTGGCACGATTGGGTGCTGGAGGTAACGGTTTGTTGAGGTCTGTCTGCGAGCGAGGACTCGAACTAAAATAATGTTGTGATGTGATGGATCCTGGTGTTGGGGGTGACTGAAGAGCACTCAATGTGGTGTCATCTCGTAGTTCCACTCTTATCAGCTTACCATGCCTCGAATTTGGTGGTGGGGGCTTCTTCCTTCCCGATGAATACGATATCTCTCCCCTTAGCTGTCGTCGGTCATCTTCTGGTTCTGATATCTCGTGTGATGTCCTAGGTGATTCCGGATGGGGTTCCTGTATAGCTTCAAATATAGACTGCCTTGAGACAGATGATGCATCCGTGCTGCTTCCTCCATCACCCAATGCATGTACAACATGGACTTGAGATGCAGTCGGCGGTGTAGACGTTCCTACTTCAGCACTTCCTGTCATTAACAGTCTCTTGAAAGCTTCCACATCCATTGACGCCCGGCCCGGACTTGAAACACCTGTTGGGGGTATAGTAGGTATATCTCGCTGGGGATGCTCCATTGTTTCCAACGTCCGTGAGAAAGGGTTTGCTGGAGCTTTATTTGGTTTGCTAAGCTCTTCATCTTCGGATATATCGGATGTGGTGGTGTCAAAAGGGTCGTCATCTTGAGGAATCGGTGGCGTGGGAGGTCTGGCAGAGAAGGAGTAGTTCTCTTCCCCAATGGTAGAGTTCGAGTCCGGTAGGGACGGAGTCGATGGAGACAGCGGAGGAGGAGATTGTACACGGACTTTCTTCGTGATTTTCTTCGGCACATCTATACTTTCGAGGCTGAGAGACCCAGGCTGGGGATCTGCTGCTTGATAGGCGGCATGTTGGGTGGTGGAGGGGTTGCTTTGAGGGGTTGGAGTTGCCGTTGCAGAGGCTTTCCGCCGGAAGGGATTCGAGCTTGGGAAATCTGCAGACATGGCGATGGGTATGTGCCACCGGATGTCTCAGTCCTATGGTGATCGCATTCGTTCGATCATTGACGAGATCGTGAGGCTCGTGTTCTGTTGTTGTAACTCGGGATTCTCGGTGCCTATGATTCTCATCGGGCACAGACCATTTCATTGATAAGGAGACAGCCGAAAGCTTATTTTAGCGGCTGCTGCCACCAGTTGATGTGGGGAATCGTCACAAAATTTCCCCGGAGTCTCACAAACACAGACACATCTGAAATGCGACGAATCATCTTGTCTGTGTGACGGGTGGATATTGGTGTATTATGCTCAAAGTCTTGGCAACCAGAGCATCTGATCAACTGGTACCCATATCTGATGAGTGTTCAGAGAATGTCTGACTTGACGAGAGACTAGGAGTTAGAGACGAACTTTCAGCAGGCTTAGGGTATTGAGAAATACTTTTTCCATTGTGCGCAGGGGTTTTATGAATGATACTCCGGCCGTGGTGAAAAAGTGTTTTTGAGGCTAATGTGCTGAGCTGGGACGAATGCACCCATAATAAAATTCAGGAACCATGACTTTAGCGTACCATGGGCCCGGAACTACCAGAGCTTCGTTGAAGACTGTTTCAGATGAACGACAGAGCATAGCGTGAAGATGTGATAGCCATCATCGATCAAGGAATAGTGTTGAGCTAAAAACTCATCCATCAATGAGACTCTGTATTGTCCTATTATTCCACCCAACGCCGTATCCATGCAGGGGTATCATACAAACGACTCCTGAACCAATCTATCAAGACAAAGTCATTAAGTACTCCGCTCCCTCAAATAATCCCTTGCAATAAGACTTCGCAAATCGACCTCCATCTTGCGTCGTGGACGTGAACGCCACATCTTTCTTCCCAAGTGCCAATCCGGAAATGAAATTCGAACGTGCTATGTCCACCAATCTTGTGGCATAACCCTTCCTTCGATGGCTAGATCGCGTCCAGATTCTATCAACTGACATCTTGCAGACATCTTGTGGCTTTCCCTTAGCCTCGTCTACTTCGAGGGTATCCTTGAATGGGAAGAAAATTGCTGACTTGATGCGCTCAACCAGCAGGATACTGACCGGGTGACGGTCAACCAAGTACATATATCCCTTGTACCGCGGTACTTTACGCTCATCCGTAGTATCGTGCGGATTCTTGATCTCGGACCAAAGATTCAACTCATCGATACCTTCTCCTCCCATGTCCTGATACGTAGCAGAAAACGCTTCCACGAATCCCTCCTTCAATGTCGAGGATGAAGTCCGACATATGGCTCGGATTGAGTGGTGTTTATCATCGATATTTTCTTCCCATAGCACAACCTTCGGATCCTCGGTTTTAGGTTGGACATTGTTCGTATGAAAATCATGGTATTTGTCGTGCGCCTTTCTGTCTGTAGGATCGCTGCGGTCGTAGTAGTAATGGCAGACTGAACACTCCTCATATACCTGCTGTCCGAGATCCAGGCGCATCTGTGAGAGCTTGCTGTTGGTTTCCTGGTTCTTCTCGACTTTCACAGATCCATTCTCGATTGGCTGGAGGACCGGTCGTGTTTTGAGTCTTCTTTTCTTCAGAGGCTTCGAATCTGGAGGGGAACTTGGTATCGCCGGTGGGGGAGATGATGGCGGAGTAGACGCAGGTTCGATAGCATCTGAGGACGGGAGGGGAGATTGGAGTGGAGGACTTGAGGATAGGAGCAGAGGCTTGAAGTAATTTTGGATTGACGATTTCTTGAATTGGGGCGCTGGCGGCACAGTCTCTGCAGCAGAACTTTCATCGAGACGCCTTTTCTTGGTAGGAGGACCTTCTGCGATCCCATTGACGCGTCGAGAATATGTCTTCATGTTCGAGGTCCTGACAAAGAAAGTTTTGTCAGCATGATTGAATCCCGAGTTTGTTTGAAGCCTACTTTCGACTACCTGGTACCGAAGCCATTTTGTGAAATCAACGGCCAAGCTTGTTCAATTCTGTGTTGGATATCCATGAACGCGTTTGTGTTGTGTAAAATGGATTGTTGACGCGAGGTTCAAAGTCGTGTCGTGAAGCGAAGACGCGCTATGAGCCTCGGCATGTGATTTACCCCTGAGCTTCAAGCGAGTTCATATGCCCGCGTCTCTGGCCAAGTTATTATTGCAATGTTTGAATACTGCTTTGGCTAAGCATCTGAAATGCAAATGTCTCACAAATTTGAAAGTTAAAGCGAATGAAGTGAGATGATACTGGTGGTAATAAGGTATACTTCGGTCGTCTATTTTACTCTCCATCCTCTGATATACGATGGAGAGCTTGCCATATAATACATTTATCTATGCCGTACCCCAATGCATGTCATTATACAGCTGGCAGGAACGTTGCCATGTAAGAGGAGGTTGTAATATACAGCAGTCACGTAGCACATTATATCACTTCCGTCGCTTTAGTGTCTTGATAGCCATATCTATCAAACCTTCCTTCGCCTCGCAGTCTGGGAATGAACTGATCGAGTTTATAGCTCGGTTTGCGTACTCTTCAGCTAGAGCACGCGTCTGCTCTAGCCCATCGCTCTGCAGCACCAGTTCTCGAGCCTGTGATCATGTCAGCGAACAGTGGGGAAGCTTTGGCTTTACTACTTACTCTAGCCACATCGCCCTCTTGAGAGAACTTTCTGCCCACCAGAGACCCTAGTTCCTGGTTGTGCTTCCAGGCAAACAGCAGAGGTGCCGTAGCCAGACCTAGCTCCAGATCCGCTCCAGCTGGTTTGCCCAATTCCTTTTCGCTGATAGTGTAGTCTAGCATGTCGTCCACCAATTGGAACGCAAGCCCCAAATTCTTCCCATATAGATATGCTGCATCAACAGTTGGAACATCGGCACTACCCAGTAAGGCTGCAGCTCGACATGACTTCGAGATCAAACTCGCAGATTTCAGGTACGTCTTCTGAAGGTAATATGTAATTGCATCTTCTGTCCAAACTGGGTTCTTTTCATCCCGAGCTGTGTTTTTCAATTGCATGAACTCTCCCTCCACGAGATTTGCAATGACAGTGGCAAGCAACTCAGTCACTTCGGCGTCTCGTAACCTAGCTAGAGCTACCGAAGCTCGACTCAACAAAAAGTCTCCTGCCAAAACAGCCATTTTGTTCCCGAACTCGAGATTTGCGGATGGTGCTCCACGTCGAGATACTGAATGGTCAATAACATCGTCGTGAAGCAGCGAGGCAGTATGTATCAGCTCGGTGATCTCGGCGAGTCGTCTTTGCGATGGAAGAATCTCGCTGTCGCCTACGGGATAGGAAGTTTGAGTATGAGCAATCGGATTTGTTGACGGCGTCGAGGGATTGACATCTGAAAGTATTGACAGAGGGGAGATAGCATTGTCAATGTCTGTAGCACTCTGCTGGCCACCGTATCGAGCTGCTTTTGGTGACAGAGATGTAGCTCTGGACATCAAAAGCACAATGAGTGGCCGCACATGTTTTCCTTCAGCTTGAGTATAGTACTTTGCGACTGTATCCAGAGACGGATGCCCGGACCCTAGAAGCTGTCGAATATTTCCCGTCAAGAACTTCAGCTCTTTAGCTACCATCCGCAGAGGGTCCACGCTGATGTTTCCATCGCTTGCGGCGCGAGATGTCGCATTGGAGAAAACATTCGAGGCGACGGAAACAGCTTGCGCCCAAGCTGACTGCCTCCTTCGAGCTGGATGGCGACATAATGTAGTCGCAATAGGTAGCTGTGGTCTTCTAGCGGCCAATTGACATCTAGAACATGTAGAAAATAGCTGTGAGGTCGATGTTGGGGTTCGTTTGAGAAGCATCGAAGCTCTCGTTGATCGGATCCTCATCGCCCTAGCTCCTCCGTTTGTAGGAAAAGACGTGCTTCTAATCCGAGTATTATAGCATTGGAAACCGGTCGTAATCGAATCGAAACCTAGGAAGTGTTCAAGCGACTGTGGAACGGAAGGGCGTACACGAAGATGGTGGTGAAATTGTTGAAGCAGTAGACTTCCGAATATATTTTTCTCGGCTAGACTAGACCATTGTCGGGTCATCTGAAGCACCGCGGCAGGTCCACGCGACAAGCTTCAAGCTGTCACCTAATCTTCAGACTTCGAACACAAACATCACTACAAGATGAGATGAAAATATGACAACATGGTGCTGCTAACCATGACAGCGTCGATAGTGGAGGCTCTGGAAAAGATCCAGAGCCTACGAGTCGCATCATCCTTGGAAGAGAAGCAATATAACGCCGAGGAAGATGAAACCAAGGAGCACGAGATACATGGCCAAGAACAGCCAGCAGAGAATACAACAGACCCACAGAAGATTTCAGCAGAGAATACCAGAGAAGCTACGTCTACAGAGCCAACTCTAAAGAATGCAAAGATTGGCAATCCAATCTCGCATGGACAGGTGGTGGATCTGTCGAATCAAATGAAAGAACAAGGGATAGAGCCATGTAGATTGGAGTTGCTACTCAAAGGATCGAGAATATATATTCCACCACCTCCACCTAAACCTGAGCCTGTAAGTCAATCTTGGAGCAAGATGCGAGATCGTCGAACAGCTCCAATCAGAAGTCCAAAGGCTAATCAAATCTGCTAGTAGACTTCAGAATACAAAGCTCTGATGGCTCGTCTCCGCCGCGAGGAAGAAGCCCGCTCCTACGAACGCATGACGAATCCGCCTCCGCCAGCGGAAACCTTTGCCCAGCGCTTCCCAATGGCCTCTGCTGCACATGCTTTCCCCTCCAGCTATCAATCAATCGAGACATCAGATCCCGATGATGACGGTACGACATACGCAGATGTTGACAGACAAATGACGTTGATATTCAATGTTTTGATCAGTATCGTGGCATGTGCTGCAGGAATATGGATTACAGCAAGATGGTGGAGCACTCCCATGAGACTAGCTTTGAGCATGGGTGGTAGTATGCTGGTGGGCGTGGCAGAAGTTGTGGTGTATGCAGGCTATATCAGACGAGTGGGAGAAGCAAAGACACAAGAGAGGAAGGTGAAAGAGGTCAAGCAGGTTGTAAATACCTGGGTGGTTGGAGCAGATGAGCAGGAATCTGTCCAGGCAGATCATGTTCTATTGACACCGAATGAGGACAATAAAGACGCCAAAGCGAGGAGAAGGAAGAAATACATATCATAGTATGACAGAATTGCTTTCCTCCTACCTGCACATCTTTTACTGTTTTTCATCAGCTTCTCAATTGCTCATGTTCCCTTTGAATCCTGTTCTGGTACCAAATTGTTGATTAGATGCTTTGCAAGTGCATATTAATCTGAACATGTTATTTCACAACGAGCTGTCTCCGCAAGCAGAGTTCCACACTCTGCACATCTACATTTCAATTCTATATGATAGTAATCACACCCCATTGCTCGTCTCCATGATCGATGAGCCTTTCAAAAGCCTCATCTAGCGCTCGATGAGGAGTATCCTCGACAATCTCTTGCAGACGGAGAGGATATTGAATGTTGGCAGGAGAATGGATCTGTTCTTGGAAGTATCCAACTCTCTAATATGTTGTTCTCTTGCTTTCAGTAGCGGTAAGTATAAGCCGATCTGAGCCTTCTTTGTGTGGAAGCCTAGTCAACCTGGGCGGTCCACGCCTGTTTCTCCTCTCTCGTGGTTCTCCTGATTCGGTATGAAAAGACGAACATATCTACCTATCCATAGCCCAACGAATAGCCATATGTACTGCCCGCCAGACACTTTCCGCCAAGATCCTGTACTTCTGGTCGCCGCCATCCTCGCGCTTCCTTAATACTCCCATCAGAAACCATGCAGCGTACGTGAGTACCTCCACACTGATGCCAAGCATGAAAAGTGGGAACCAAATCTTGAACAAAAAGCCGGAGAAGCTCCATCCGGAAAAGAATAGATGGGCATCTGGTATTAGCGATTCCAGGAGCCGGAGAAAGAGATATACCACGGCGAGGGCGAGAGCAACGACATAGCTGCTGAAAAGGTAAAGAACAACAATGCAGATAGGACCCCGGAAGATCGCGATGAATTTTAAGGACCTCTTTGGAGCTGCGGATAGGGGCGGTGATAATGGTGTGGTGTTATAATTTGGAGATTGCATCTTGTCGACGAACGGAGGCAAGAACAGTCCTTGATTCTTTCCGTATTGAGAGGCAGAGATATTATTGTGGAGTGGTATGATGTGGTGTGCGAAGAAGAATATCTAATTATACTAAGACTAAAAAAAAGGTTAGTTGACATCACGATCCCGACCCGAGTCAGTAGCGTGGAGCTGCTTTTTCATTTCTCCTCATCCTCCAGATCTTCGCTTCTACTCTCAGAGTCATGGATTCCTTCGCTGCGAAATATTTGATGGTCGAAAGCTGCAGAACAATCATCGCAGAGGTCAAGGCTGCAGGTCTCTAGTGCATCACTAGTCACAAACACGGCAGGTAGGTAGGTTATCATGTGGTGAAATATAGATTGAGGCTATTGCAATTGACCTCTTGACTTTCCACGGCTACCTACGCTCAGATAATAGTAATTATACCCCATTCCTCGTTTCCAGTATGCATGAAACTTTCAAAAGCCGCCTCTGACGCTCGATAGTGAGCATTCTTGATCACGTACTTGAGAGCAATAATATCTCGAAACTCGACTTCTTCACGCGCGGGCCACGATTCTTCGAAATATCCAACCCTCTCATACGTCGCTTTTTTACTGGCATTAGCAGTAAGAATGAGACCATACGTGTCGTTTCCCCCTTTGCTGCAAACGAAAGGCAAGAGGAAGACATATTCATAGCGTGAAAAAGTATCCCACCAAAGCCTGCAAGCGACGTCAACTGGCGTCTTTCTGGAGCCAGCGTCAACTACTAGTCTGATCCCAGTCACATACGCATTCGCACGAAACTGAATTTTGCCCTGTAAGAGCGACTTGCATGCTAGTGAAAGTGTGCCTCCACGAAGCTCACCAAGAAGATCTTGGCCGACGGGGTTAGTGTTCATCCTAAGTACCCGGACGAACCATTGCTCTTTGGACATGAATCGCCATTCTTGTTGCTGTATTGGGCCTTGCGATGACGCCCATGACCACGTTGGAGCTGTGTACAGATATCGAGCCTTCTGGACGTCACTTGGGGACCTCATCCAAAGAAGTTGCATCTCGGGGTCCTGTCTCCAAATTCCCGCAACACAAATGTCTTGCCTTTGTTCCTGTAACCTTTTGATAATACCAGACATCGCCACAAGTACGTCTCGACGTTGCGTTAAATTGCAACGAGTGTATTTGGTAATGATCCTGTGCCATTGCTCTGACAAATTATTTTTGACGATATGGATATCAGACACAGTAGTACATGCGGGAACTCCGTTTGGAAAGCTTTCACATCCCAGTAGCGTATTACATTCCCAGAATATTTGTGCTTTGGTGAAATGTAGCGTCCTAGGCGAAAGGAGACGTTCTTGGAGTACCCAACCTCGATCTGACAGCACGCTCATTGATATTGAATTCAACACCATGTTCGCCGGGATCACTTCTAGGGTCTGCAACCGTACTTGACGATCTTGCCAAGCTTTGACTTCGACTTGGAATCTGTCTATTTTGGGGTTGCTCCTGTAGAGGCACCCTTCGCTACAGTCTTTGGCCCAGGACGCCGCAATATTGACCCAAGAGTTGCCGTACACTTCGCTCATAGAAATCGACTCCTTTTCCCAGTCAACAGGATCGTCTTGTATGATACACAAGGAATCAATCCAAAGATATGCAAGCCCCAGTCTCCGGGTGATAGAGATAGCATCCTGAAATGTTCTTGGGAGAGACTCCGGCCGAATATTCGCACGAAAGTCTTCCAGCAATTCCTTTGTGAGTTTTGCCTCGACTCCTCTTGGTCCCCAACAGTGGCTGTGGTGAAGATCTCAGAGTCGTTAAACTTCTTTATCATTTATTTTGGTGAAAATAAAACAGAGATTCATGTCTTAAGAGAAAAACGTTTTCAGAGCACGAACGAGAAGTATAATTTCTGATGTAGCAAAGAAAATCTACAGGAAGCTCTGCTCCGAGAATTTGAGACTTACCTGAGTGTAGCGTACTTCATATTTCTACTGACTTCACACGCCTCTCGAAGTCTTATGGCATTCGAATGGAGCTCAAGTAGCCTAGATGGAAGCTTGACGCCATGGTTCCTTGTCCCGCAAGAACTATGGTCAGCTACACACTGTCTGAGCCAGTTAATTGCCAGATTTAAAGCATTTTCATCTGAAGTCTTATTGTGCAAGGCACCTCTATGATCTTTGTTATAAATGTTAGACGACTGGATGACTGATATTGTACAAGAGTACTAAATAGCTCATACGTACCTTGTACAGTCGCTGGGAAGATGGAAACTACAGATCTGAGCCACGCGTGATTGACTTCGCATGAGATCCACAATTTTAGTACTCTGCGTTCTTCAAAGATCAGTTGAATCTGCAAAGGCCATTCGTCCGTCTCTGTAAAGTGGCTACTATTGAGATCTAACAACATCATCTTACACATTCTACAACCGCTGTCTGCTGCAAGCTTAAGCCGCAAGCTAGAGTTCCAATGCTTAACGTAAACATCAGACGGTACAGGGGATATGTAAAGTAGTCAATGATCAAGCGCAGATGATCGAACATCCAGCGACACATGACACACAGCGTACCGACGATATTTGGATCATTGCTGTAATCTTCCGGGGGTCGAACGTTGAGGACTTTAAACGGCCCCGAGTCTGAGTATTCAAATATCGCGGTCCCCTCGTCCATTGCCTGAGTGGACCCCAGCCAAGATTCCCACGAGTACGGTTCCGGAACATCAGAGGTGCGTGGTCCTGAATCTTCGATCCGAGTCGTTGAATTTTCAATATCGTCTACACCTCCTAGGAGTCCATTATTCTCCTCTTCGTCATTGAGCTCTTCTTTGCTACCCTTGAAGTGATCGATCTCGTCGTTGCGACATATTCGATGTTCGGAAGCTGCAGAATGATCATTGTGGAGGTCGAGGCTGTGGTTCTCTAGAGAGCTAGGTCGAAAAGATAGCTGATCATGAGAGGAAGACATTTCCTCCACCACTTTGGTACTTCCGGGATGCTGTGGTACTACTTGTCCTTCAATAGCTCCTTTCTTCGAGTCTCCTTTTTTCGGTTCAACCTTTTGTTCCATTGCAATGCAAGCACGAAAGGATGATATGAGGCTAAAAAGGCGTAAAGTTCGAATGGGACGGATTAGAGGCTACAGCTACGTGTCGTGTAGGTGATTATGGTCCTTAAAACCCAGCCTCACCAACAAGTGTTGCTGTTGAACAAACGGCACACTGCTTCTCTTCAAAGACGGGATATTGTCTTAAGTGAGGTTTCCCTCTCAATCCGCCTCACAAGCCACAATATGCAGGTGCTGGGATGCAGCAAAGCCTCGTGATAGTCGGGCAACCTCAACTTTTCCACAGCTCTACTTTTTCACTTGCCCAGTTTAATATCGCATAATCTCAAAAATTGCCATCCTATATGGAGCTCGTGCATTAATCCCCAAACTTCTGTTGAAGACGAATGAGTTACTTGTTGTGACCGGCGCATCCACAGCCTCGTCTCACCCCACCTGACTTCCACCGCTATGTCTTTCGGTTACTCAATCGGAGACTTCATCATCCTCACTCAAATAGCGTACAATACAGTACAGAATGCTCTCAAGGCCTGTGGAGTCCACGACAAGCTCACACGTGAGGTCAACTCTTTGCGCCTCGTCCTCAACCGCCTCCAAGTCGAAGTCTCAAAGCCTGATTCCATTCTGAATCAGAAGGAAGACAACCGAAGGAAGGAGCTAGCTACGCTAGCGGGGGACTGCAGACGAGTGCTCAACATCTTGACGCAGATTCTCGAGAAGTACAATGCTTTGTCGGATGAGAAGAGGAGTGTAACAAAGCTATGGCAACGATTCAGATTCGGCAGCGGAGAGTCGCAAGACCTGGGAAAGATCAGGGGAGAAGTTTCAAGCTACACTCAAGCCATATCACTGTTCTTGAATATGCTGGCTATTGGTTCTCAGGGAAAGGTCGAAGCGTACATGGATGCGCATGGCGAGGAGTTGAGAGATATCAAACAATCTCTGCATTGGGTAACAGCTAGCTTGCAAGCGCGAGGAACTCATGAGGAGAAGAGTATCTTGACAACATATCCGGATGATGATAAACTTGTCTGGAAGGCCTTTAGAAAAGAGTTGATTATGGAGGGCTTCTCGAGTCGAACTTTGGGAAGGCATAAAAAGGTCATCAAGAAGTATGTCCTGGAGATGGGTGACAGAGGGCTGTTGTATGATACAATGCAGCTTGAAGAACCTGGTGACAAGGTCTTGGCATCGGCAGAACAGAATATCAGGTCTCACTCTGAGAGTAGTGACAACATATCTCGTCGAGTTGCCGAAGGATACACGATCATTGAGAGACAGTCTAGCGATTCAATGCCCGACGCTGCAAGCTATACTGAGCAAGAATTCTTAAACAACGATAATGGCAATGCTGGAGGACATACTGCTACGTCCGACACCAATGACGATGACGCTTCAGAATCAAGCACTGATCAAGATGAATATACAATGTTGCGATCCACGAATATTAATAGCGCTGTACAGAACAAAGAAGAAGATAATGGCATTGCTGAATCTTCTCAGCCGAGCTCTGACGAAGATGGCTGGGGAAAATACCTGGGTGCTGCATATTTTAGTGAAAAGAGGACCCAAGACGACGCTATTCCTGACTACAGGACTGGTAATATACAAAAGATAGACGAGGAAATCGATCAATATTCGAGAGACAACTCCCGTGCCTCCGTAATTGATGTCGAAGACGAAGATTTTTTTCTTGGAGTCCCCCAAAACTGTTCAAACGAAGACGCAGAAGATGGTCCCGACTTGGACCCGGACACCAAGCCCACGTTGCGGCACACAGATACTTCGAATGTTGAAATCAATCGAAGAGCAAAAGCGCTAAGGTCCATGAGTCAAGCAATCGCAGAAGTAATGAAAAAGCAAGAAGTGTATAGGAACGCAGTATGGGATCGCTTACACAAGCGCGATTACAGGTTTGAGAGAATCGGTTTCAGAATTCATGAGGAGAGAGCAGAAAAGCTCGTTTCCGTGGCAGCAATGTTCCAAGAAGATGCTGCCGAGATGCTGCAGTTTTTCGAGAAGAGATGCTCGAGTGTGTCAAATCACGGTGTTCGTGTGCGTTCTAGCAGGAGCGGCCAACAATACTACGTTGAGGACGAAAAAGAAACAATTCACGCACTAGTATGCGCTGCAGCTACAAATGTTGAACTGGCATATTCACTTTATAAAGCTGCGAGGGAACATAAAAACCACGTGTCCCGCTTCGTCAAGGACATGAAAGTAGAGAAAGCACGTACGCCAGAGATCATAACAGCGCTCCTGCATACTCTCCGTTCGATTCGGAGTGGCCAGAAGAAGGGGGAAATGAGGTCCATATTGCCGGTACTGCCTGTGATCCATGTTTCGCACCTCGATAGTGCCTGCTCTTTTTATGAAGAGGTACTTCCTCCACTTGGGATTCCCTGTTGGTGATAGATCCAAATTCTCCTGGCACGCTACAATTTGGCATTGTCACGGAATGGGGCTTGTGGTCGAAGGGGAGCATTACATTAGAGAAAACGGTGAATGTCGTATTCTCGATGAAGGAATCACCTCAGCTCAGATTATCAAATATCACGCTTTCAGCGCCAAGTGCAGCTGCGGTTTATGAATTTTATAAGAAGAGTCAGGTTGCATGGCCGAATCGAGGGCTAAAGAACTTGTTCAAACGGAATGGGGATGCATGGGCTTCCACTCGGGACAGGGATGGCAATGTCATCAAAGTTGTCTACACCCATCACTGATGGTCCCCGTGGGCAGAACCAGCTTTCAATTCAGGTCAAGTTAAGACGTGAACGGATAATTGTCAGGTCAGGGTCCATGTCCACTCAAAATCAGACTTGAACTGCCCGTTGAGACCACTGTGGGCCGCCAACCACCAAGTATGAGATATGTGAAAAGGAAATGGGATGGTAGAACTTTCGACGAAGTTTAGCTGTGGTGAAGGTAGGTAAATCGAGACTGGATGAAGTTCAAACAGCCACTAGGTTAGCATATAGTTCATAACAAGTATACTTAGCTCCACAGAGACAAAACAAATTCGTAGTTACGACATTTCAGAGCATGGAACAGTGAGTGATCTCTGAAGATCAGATTGACAACCGAAGTCGGCATCAGATGTGGCAATGAACGTATATTGAGTTCGATTGAAGAGAGAGGATGCAGCTAGTCCAGCACATTTGCCGAGTCTATTCATATGACCTGACTACAGCCATGTATATACACTCATCCCCTACAACATAAACATTCCAATCGACACAGCAATCAACGTCGAAAGGACCGCTCCACCAGCACTAGCACCCTTCAGGATCATAGCAGCAGACTTAGCAGCAGCCGTAGTGGTAGAAGCAGCAGAGCTGGCAGAAGTAGAAGTTCCATCTTTGCTCGTCTTCAACGCATCACAGGCCGACACAAGAGTCGAGTTGCTCTGCATAGCCGTCAACTTCGTCTGAGCCGTCGCAGCCTTGGCCTTGATATCAGCCTCCTTGGTCGTGTTTCCGTCAGTGAGTTTGTCCAACTTAGTCTGGTTGTTTGCAACGTCCACGAACTTCTGAAGTCCGTCCATGAACTTGCACTCGTCCTTCTGCGCAACAGCTGGGCAAGATGCTTGGAGTGTGGAGTTGCTGGTAAGCTCGGTGAGCTTGGTGGATGCTGTTGAGGCCTTGGCTTGGATCTCGGCAGCTTTGGTGGCGTTGTTCTTGGTGAAGGTAGAGATGGCTGTGGTGTTTGCTGCGAAGGCGACGAATTTCTGGAGCACGAAGGTCTCTTGGCATTGGTCCTCTTCAGCGGCTTCAGCATCGATGACGGCGCAGGCAGACATTAGAGTTGAGTTGCTTTGAAGGGTGTCGAGCTGCGTGGAGGCATCTGAAGCCTTGGCTTGGATCTCGGCAATCTTTGTGGCGTTGTTCTTAGTGACTTTGTCGAGCTTAGTGGTGTTTGATGCGAGTTCGACGAGCTTGTTGAGGCTTTTCATCTCTTTGCATTCACCGGCCGTAGAGAGTGTCTTGTTGCCATCGCCCTTAGCAACGACTGCTGTGGCGAGGAATAGAGAGAAGAGGACTGATTGGAGCTGCATGATGATTATGTTGTAGATTTGTAATTAAGATGGACTTTTGAATGAATGAAGTGAAGCGGACCAGCCGAAGAACGACGAAGAAATGCGAAGACTGAAATAGACGATGAGTGTAAAGAACTGAAGTGCTGCCAAGACTGAAGAGCTTGAAGAACTAACTAACATATATATCTTCAACAGCACGCTAACGTCCATGTCAGGTTGTCACCGACAGTTTCAGATGCCAAGACCGTCGACTCTCTCCTCACTCTCAAGCCACACGGCTGTTGACGAGATGAAAGCACAAACTCAGATGACGCGGCTCTGGATGTCTGTTCTCACTTGAGACCTTGTTTGAAGCCTCTGCGGCCTGTTCATAGGCTCGAAACTCTTGCGAACAGTTTCGGTAACAGTCTGGCCATTCAGCTGGGCTATTCTCAGCGACGGATGTTGTTTAAGCCGCATCGACATGCCCAAAGCATAGATTCAGATGCCAAGACTTGACACAAAATGTGTCGAGAGAATGAATCGCTATGATCTGCCGTTGGTGGGTGATCTGATTGTGGGGTTGAAACAGCATCGCGAAGTTTGTAGATCCTCCGCTTTGACTTGAATCACTGGCTCTTGCAGGGGTGACGTTTCTGGTGAGTCGAGCAACGTTTGAAACGCAGCAGACAGTACGCATGTGTTGTCAGCTGTACTTGTCAGTATTGAATTTCTCCGAAAACGAATTGACATTGAGGAGGATGTTCGCAATTTGAAGTAAGTCATTCTCACCATTTGAAGCAATATCACGTGACCATATCCTTTTAACTCTTTCCATCTTGCTCAGCTTTAGCTTCGTATCATTCTACCAGTATCTTTCAATGAAGTGTAGGGCAATTGCTGTTCAAAGAAGTTTTATTTCGAATTCTCATTGTTTCTTCATCTCGTGATATGTGGCGTATTGCATAAGGCTGCAGTGCGACCCGAGGCGAAGGTCTGATTTGCCTTGAATCAGGCAGGCTGCCTTGTCTGTTTCAGCTTATATCTCCCTATCCAGCAAGCAATCTTCCCTTCTCTCTTCAACAGTCCTGAAATATCTTCTGGTGATTGTGCTCGTTTTTCAAAATCTTGTTCATCAATCACACTGAGCCATATCTTTTAAGGTTTTGAGATCTCCGACGATCACCGCTCCCTGCTCCAAAACGAAACGAAACAGCTTCCGTCACACCACTTTTTCCTCTTCCGACTGATTATCCCCGCCAAAATGGTCACAGTTGAGCATGAAATCCCCTCCGGCATGGAGTATCAATACGCAGATCATACCATCTCGGAACGACCCGGACCTATCCTCAAAGCAGGCATGGGGTCCACCAGCCAGGCTGAGCATCCACCTGCACCTTCGCAAGGACCAAATTCTGGTCAATACGCGGTCAGGAAAACTGCCTTTGTGAGGGAGATTGACTCAATGTCCCAGGAGCGCCGTCGCCAATTTTATATTGAGTTAGACACTATCAAACAAAAGAAGCTGTCCCAAGCAAGTCAAAGAGGAGGCCCCAACCATGCATTGAACGATTACCAGCTACAGCTCGAGATTCTGGAATTGGAAAACAAGAAGAGACATCTGCAGAGAAGAATCGACCAGGATGCAGGGCAAGCTATTGCATCTCCTCTTGTAAGCAAATTTCAGCAGTAGCCAGCTCGTGGCGTCGAGTCCACGTTCTCGGGGCAATCGGAAGCAGTGGCCTTGATAAAAGCCTGAAGCAAATAGATAATAAGGCTGAATCTGTCAAGATCAAGCTTCAAGAACGTCTGCATCCCAAAAATAAAGTGTGCTGGGAGGATAGTTCTGGACAATAGCTAACATTTTCCAAGCAGCTCGACCCAACCGCCGGCAGGAACAAAGATGGTCCTTCTAAGCCTGATTTCCATGTCGAGCCTGGGTCTGAGCTAGGGAATTACTCTCAGAGCAATCATGCTCTGCGAGACTATGAAATGCAAATCAAGCTATTGGAGCACCATTCCAAGGACGATGGTACGGCGCAAAATGCACCTCCCGGCGTAGGAATGCGCTTCAACGCCTCCTCCGCTCAGAATTACCAGCCATACTATCCGAACCAACCTCTGCATCCTACAATGGACTTCTACATGGGCCAGATGCCACATGTACTCCCAATTGTCAATTCCAACCCCGCAACTTCCACATCTCAATATATGTATGGAAGTCCACCTATGTGTGCTCCATACCCTCCGGGAATTGCCTTCCAGTCTCGTTATGCACCAGTACCCTCAAGTGAATGGCCGGCAGACTTGCCAAAGCAGTCAATCGAGTCAGATCACAAGCCTGTATCCCATCCCTTCGTGAGCGGACCCAGCAATTGTCTGCCTGATTACCAAAAACAACTCGATCTCCTCCAGCAGCAAAACAAGACGAGGGTGTTCATGACGACACAAGACACTGATAGTGATGCTGACAGTGTGGCTGGGCAAGACGGGTCTCTGTCATGCAAGTCCGAAGAAGTTACACCAGAACCTTTTCGACTTCTCGGTGGAACATCGCAGGATGCTTTTATGGTCCGGCGACAGGAGGAATCGAGAGCTGCGAGGATGAGCGTCGCCTGGGCAACTTCACCTGATCCAAGATCCTATCTCTATGGCTCGCCAATGACTAGTAGCCCTGCTCCATCATCTGTTGTCTACACTCCTGAGTCCAGTGTTGCTTCTCCACCACTAGGGAATGAATTCAATGACGGACGTCCTCTTGCTTTTCGAATTCCTCCTCAGCCAAGTTCTTTCTCTTCCTAGGATTATGGAGCACTTGATTTTGTTGATTGGATTTGCGTTTCGTGCTTCTGATTTAATGACATGTCTTTTTGTTATTTGGATGCACAGTATGGTCTGCGATAAATGGTAGTAACGACAAGGGCGTGTGGCGTTGTGATTTAACGGGTTCTCATGTCAGTAGTATGATTGCCAGCTTGAGGGTTGTTTGAGTTCAGGGCATAAAATTGGCGTAGCAACAATAGGACGAGATCGAAGTCTCGGGTGGAACCAGTGAGCGTTTATACTCGTATTATGAATCATGAATATTTGTTATGGTTGTGCGAAAATGTAAACCACTACTGCATGTCTCTCTCACGTTTCTTTTTGGTGTCAGAGACTAGTACTCTCCTTTTGTGCATGTGACTTGAAAAGAGGTTGAAACGACACAAACTTTGATTCCATTTCTGACAAGCGTCATCTCAATGCTACAGACTCCTTTTTTCAGACCCGATGAGTTGAGCACCAAAGTCTTCTCTCACAAACCCCCTTCTCCCTCATGTATATCGCACCTAAACCTCCAAAACCCCCTCCATAACCTTCACCGCCGCACCACTCAACACAACCTTCTCAATTCCCTCCCCATTTCCTTTCAACTCAACCTCAACACCAATCTCATTTCTCCTCCCCATCTCCACTCCCTGCTCAAACAAAAACTTTTTACCCTCCCCCTTTAACGCCAAAAAGCACGCCAGCCCACTACTCGCGCTCCCGGTTCCTGGGTCCTCTCTGGACCCCCACATCCTAGTCCTATACTTCTTCCTGCCCTCCTCATCCTCTCCCACGAACACATAATACATCGTGCCCACTAACCCATTCTTCCATCCCTCATCCAACGCCTCAGAGTTATACGTTGATCCGAACTCCACCTCATTCAAATTAGTAGTTGCTTGAGAGAGAGCAGAAAGGGAAGGCAGAGAAACATAGATGAAAGACATCCCGTTTACGATGCTCGCTACTGGATTAGCGACGCCGTTTAGGGCAGAATGATAGGTTTTCGCGTGCAAGTGGTAGGAGTGCGGGATTGAAGCAGAGGCCAGGCCGGAGGAGAGAGAGATGGGCATTGGGCCTGCTTTGGTGTGGACGGTGGTTACATTTTGAGGGGAAGAGGGGAGGGAGAGTAGGTAGTGGGTTGTGCCGATGGTGGGGTGGCCGGCGAAGGGGACTTCTGCCTTGGATGTGAAGACTGGGAGGGGTTGTTAGGTTGTTTGTTTGTTGCGGTGGGGATTAGGAAAGGTGGACTGAGAGCTTGGAAGTGAAGGGTTGAGGCTTACTGTCAATCTTTCGGGAAGAGGGAGAGGTTCCTTCTTCTGGGAGGTGCAGGAAGACGATTTCAGAGAGGTTGAATTCGGAGGCTATGGATTGTTTTTGTTCTTGAGTCAGAGTGGTGGATAGTGAGCCCGGGACTTCGATGATGGCTACTGGGTTGCCGGTGTAGCGAGTGGTGGTGAAGACATCGAGGGTGGTGAAGGAGAGCTTCATTTTCGTCTGATGGAGTTAGTGAGGATTGAATGTATGGTGAGGAGAGGTAGGTACTAATGATCAGGTGTCTGAAGATTGATTGAGTTGAGATGATGATGATAGAGAAAGAGAAGATATTGGATGACTTTATATAGACTTGGTCAATGTTCGAAGATCTCTGAGTCACCGCTTGAGAGTGCAGCTCTCCCCTTTTTCAACGTTCGGACTCTATTCCCGCTTCGTGTTCGTGTTCGGCTATCTGTATGTGACATGGGAATTAATTCCTGTTGTTGTTATAGTTGCTGTAGGATCGCGGAGTCCCGGACTCAGGTTGGGCAATTGACAGCGAGAAATGTATCACGTGATGATTTTTATGATGATGATGATGATGACTTCCTCGATTGGTAGTTACTCATTTGAGAGTGGGGTTTAACCGAAACTGAAGCTTGAAGTGTCAAGAATTATATTAGGCCGAAGTCGCAAGGTATAAGATATTTCCAGGATGTCTTTCTATTCTTGGATCTGAATCAATCCACATTGCCGTCCACAAAGCCGTGAATCAATGTCGTTTCCAATAAGTCGTCTTACACAAGCACGAAGAATTGATGTGAACGAAATCCAACATTCACTATCCATAAGCCGCTAGTAAGTGAAACTCGGAACATAAACGTCAATCGATCTTCTCTGACGATTATATAAACGTCTCACGTCCCACTAAGTAAGGTCCAAGAACTTACTAGATTTCCTTGGGAGCAGACAGAGGAAAAGTGATCTCCTGGCTCACAGTTTCAGTCATCGCACTAATACATTCTAGGAGTATCGAAGAACATTGCACGGTCAAACGGAAATGCCGGAAGAAGTTTGCAATGGCCTTTGTTGCAGAAGTATTAACAATAGTCTTCAGGAACTTTGGCAGCAGTCTAATTTAGATGAGATCAGAGATTAGCAACCAGAGGTCCAGGAGGTTCTCTATTCCAAGGCCAGACAATCTTGAACACACAAGTCGCCAACACAGGTTCCCAATCCACCATGGCCATGGTCCCGGCGACCAGCGAATCCGACGAGTACGATTTGTACGTCGGCCACGTGGTAAGATTAACAAGTAAAAAAAAGGGAAGACTTTCCGCGTTTGAAATCGTTTATATACCTCTCTAGCTAGCGCTGCTCACCTATTCACAAAAGACACCACTTCGAATCCCATGAGTGAATCCGCCTCACGCTCGAAAATTCCATACTCTCTCTTCTTTCGACAAACACATCACTTCGACTTCCAAGAGTGAATCCATGTCAAACTCGAAACTCCATACTTTTTTCCTTTTCGACAAAACACACCACTTCGAGTTCCACAAGTGAATCTGCCTCACTACTGGAAACTGAACCCTACCCCGAGCGATAGATTCACCAGCTACACACGTAAAACGATATAACGCCACATTTCTACGGGTATGCTTCGACTAAACCACTTCCACACCTTTCTGGGAAAGTCATGGAGCCGAGCAGGGTGTTGGCGGAGGCGGTCCCGGTGCTGGACCGGGAGGGGTAGGTGGGCCGGGCTTAAGAGGGTGACGGGAAAAGACTATTAAATGAAGGAAAGTGTAGGGGAAGTTGGTGATATTTATTTATGTTGACAGTAGTTGGGAGGATGTTGACAATAAATATTGCAACTTTGAGATGAAAAGACAAGTTGAGAAGAGAGCTGTAACATTTCTAGAATTTATGATCTCCTAAATTTGTGAGATTGTGTGAGAGATCTCTGATTCAACAAGCAGGAAGACTGTGATAAAACTTTTAGAGTTTAGAAGTTTTGTATTGAATATAAACCAAAAGTGAGTCTTAATGCTTGTGAATTAAATGCCGAGTTAGCACATAGAACTTGAGTAAATCTTGCTAGAGTTCTAAGATAAATTTGAGAGAAAAATTTATATTTATTTCGAAACTTAGATTTTTTCAAAGTCAGGAAATTAATTTACAACTTTTCCAATTTAAAAACTAGCAAAACTTCTATAAAGTACTGTGGTGTGTGTGGATAATGGGTGGGTTGTAAAGTCTGTTTGTCGGGTGAATTATGCTAGAGTTTTGAGATGAACTTGAGAACTACTGCGAGATGATTGATCTCTGTGCACAAAAGCACGTCTGCGTCCACGACCACCAAAACTGCTAGATTAAAACTGAATCACGACTTTTGCATGTCAAAAGCTAGGAAAACCTTTCATACAGGAGTTTAATATCGACAAGTCCTGTGGGAAGTGTGAACAACGGGTGGAGATTTTCACACCCGTGAGTCGGACGCCTAGTTGGCAAATGCAGCTCGAGTAACTAACGCCAGAGTCTTGAGATAAACTTGAGAGCCACCGCAAGATGACTGATCTCCATGCACAAAACTACGTCCACGTCCGCAAGCAGAGCTTTAAATAGTTTAGAACTTTGTGTGTCTAAAGATTGTGAAATTGTGTTGGAACTTTTCCAACCTGAAAGTTAGGTAAACTGTTTTAGAACTTTTTGTGCCCAGAAGTCGTGAAATCGTATCACGACTTTCTTAATTCAAAAACTGGGAAACCTTTTGTAGAATTCTTTGCATCCAAAAGTCGTGAAACTATATCAGAACTTTTCTTGTTGACAGGTGAGGAAGCTTTTGTAGAATTTTCTGCAACCAAAAATCGTGAGCTCATGTTAGAATCTTTCTTATAATTAAGTCAGGGAAGCTTTCATAAACTTTCTAGACTTAAAAAGTCGTGAGAGCATTTTGAAGCTTTTTTCTCAAAAATAAGGGAAACTTTCACAGAATGCTTTGGAGTCTAGAAATTCTGTGCTAAGTACGGACAATGAGTTACAAGAAAAAGAAATGTACAAATGAACAAAGCATGGGAAGTTAGCAGCAGTTGTTTGTGTTGATAGTGTTGATAGTGGGTTTGAACGAGGAAAGAGATATGTTAATAACAACATTCAAAGAATGGAGATTATAATCGTTTCAGGACTTTTCGTGCTCAAAAGTCGTGAAATTAAATTACGACTTCTCTTACCCGGGGTCATGAAGCCGTCACAAAACCTCCCGGCTCGTGGACGTATGACCCGTGTGTCAATGGACCTGAGACGTTGTGAGGAGATTAACTGTGAGGAAGAGTGTTTTTATAGACTTAGAGTCCTACCTCAGGCTATCTAGCTTGATAATTCACTCGAGTTTTGAGTTCGCAAAACAATTTCTTTTTATTAGCCTCTAGTAGGAATACAGCAGCAACTGCGTTGCAGTTCAAGTAGATACCACAATGAATTGCAAGGCAGAAGGACACTGCCTGGCTCCGGCTCTGGGTCATGTACCGGACCTGGTATCATGCCGCTGATGTTATTCCAAGCTTTTCCTGTAGCCATATCATATATTTGTTTGCTGATCTGTGGAAAGGACGCGTGTTGATAACAAGAGAAAACTGATAACAAGGAACCCCTCTATTCATCTGGCGATAGAAAAAACATTGACAACAAAACACAGATGAAGGGAGAACATCACACCAGCAGGAAGACCAGAAACGGCCGTGCGGAAACCAGCCAGACCCCACAGCCAAACTCCTCGCCGCGATGTGTGACGTGTCTGATCCGGCACCAGTCTGATCGTGAGAGTTGTAGACTTAGTCAGAGGATCATGTACCCATTGCTATGTGGAAGGAAAAGTCATATATATAGTTCACTTGCATGGTCCGTGCACAGCCTCGTCGTGAGTTGAGAGTGTAGTTGCGTGAATGTTTTGAAAAGTCACAAGCTTTGCTTGCGACTTATCGTGCTCCGAGATCGGAACCAGGACCGGGATATTGTGAATGATTTGGTAGACGTCGCCATTGGGATATCCCCATTATTCACCCACCAACTCGATATTCGTCACTAGCGTGGCGCTAGTGTCGTTATAAACGCCCTTTTTCTCTGTGTGAACTTTTCAAACAAGAAGCTACATTACACAAATACTGTTAAGCTGGCGACGACTGGCAGCTGGGACCCGGCTCGTGTGGGGGGAAAGGTCTAGGTAGTCTGCTAGAGGGTGGACCGAAGACTGAGGAAGGTATTGAAAGGTCAATGAGTTGACAACAAAGAAGAATGTTGACAGTCCAAAATCTTTTGAGAGGAGAGGAGATGTCGTCTGGATGAGCAGCCTAGGATATTGGCACAAGTATTGTTTCGGGCTTCATCTTAAGTCTCGATAGGTAGTGCTTCGCCGAAGAAGTGGAGATAGCCTTATCTTGGCGCCTGGGAGCGGTTTCATACCATCACAACAAGGCTTGGAAAAGACGTCCTTCTGCGCCGGCAAACGAATTCGTGGCCTGGAGTTGGAGCTGTCCTGAAATGTCTGCGAGGATATAAATTTAGTATGTCTTCTACAAGGTGTAAAGGTGTGGGGAAGTGAACTCTTCTGTGGCGTCGCTGGGCCGCATCCAGGCGACCTCCTGCAATGACGATCTTAGAGCGAAACCGGATGTTCGAAGTCTATGAATATAGTGGATATGCTGGTATCTGTCTCCATTTTCACAGACGGTGATGCTTGTGGATAGATACGCCTCGACGTACAATGAGATTCAGAGGAAACCATGACCCCTCGCACGTTAATACGCCGTCCGAGTTGCTCCCAGAGGCAAACTCTGAACCATTCCGATCAATGATCCTATTCGTATAAGTATGATGATAGTTTCTTGTAGCTCGAGATCTGGCGTTGGGGCGAGAGATTCGGACTCGACGGGAGGTTGGTTTCATGGTCGGAAGCTCGGCACGTGGCGACAAGGCGAGCACCGTCGAGGGTAAAAATATTTGCATTGCGTAATGGAATTGCGGCGATCGGATTGTATATCCTGCAATCAATGTCGACCGGCGGTATCGATGCTGTTGGTGAGCTATAATTAGTATTGTTATGCACAACGTCGTGCATCGCATGTGCCGCGCTCGCGAGCGCTTAGAGAGCGATAGAGAGTGAGGCGAGCGAGAACGAGCGATAACATGTTGGAAGTCGGAAATTCTAGCAGCCATCTATACCATGAATTGATGTAGTTCCGCGAATAAATATTGGGTGGAATGATATCGAAGATGTGGTCTGATGACAGGGGAGTTCTCTTCATCCTTGATCACTTGGGAACCAGGCAATGAGACGGCCATCACCGATTTACGGATATGAAAAGTAAAATCATCATGATATGATTGACGAACAAAATACCGAAGACCAAGACCCTTTTCCGTGTCGATCAGCAACATCTGGAGGAAAGTTGCATCTGATTTCAGGCTCAAAACCAATCTTGAAAGTTTGAATTTTGCCGGTCGCACGGGTTTCAGAGTTGGGGATTCAGACTTTGAGCTGAGCACGACCTTTCTTTCCCATGTTGTACAAAACCGGTGGAGAACACTGGGATACCGTATACGTGTTACAAGTACATACAGCGTGAACTCTTGAAACTAGGAGATGTGTGACAAGGCGGCGTAGTTAATGGGATGGCCATATTCAGTTCTCGAGAAGCAATCGCGACTTAGACGCACAATGGAACTTCCACATGCAAAGATAAAATCTGCATTGCATGAACTAAGCAGGAAACACTCGAAAACTACTTCTTGATGATGACTCGAAGTGATATTCTTGCCAAGTGTTCGACTGACAAAGAGGCATTATGTGGATGGTTCGCATCTCTCGGTCGCAAAAAAACCACGCACACTCTTGGGAAGGACACCTCAACAAAATTTACTTCAACCATAAAATAATGTTTGATGTATATGAATCGATAGATATTCAGTCAAAAAGCATAGAAAAGATGTCAGGAAGGACAATAAATGTTGTGGTCGATGGGGATTGCTGGTTGATGTTGATGATGCGTGAATCGTGATGGCTTCAAAACGCGAGACTGAGAAAAACAACACCACAATGCATTCAAGCTGTAGCCCACCACAACGCAAGAATCTCTAGATGAAAAGACAAGAATTGGATTTCGCACGACTGAAGCTTGCATTTGATAGAAACAAAGCAGATGATATATGCATCTGCTTGAAATAAAAGTCATTATCACAACAGGTCGCGTCAAGAAAGCGAGGCATCTCGAGTTCGGTCGACTCTATTCTCATGCAGTAACTTCGAGTAGACCGAGTCTCAAATGAATCAATTGGAAGTAATGTTTTGATGATGGAAATGATGGACCTTCACGTTATCGATGACAACAAATTGAATGTGTTGGCATCATGGTGTGGCAGAAAGACAGAGATTCCCAAAGGCAGAGGGCAGAGATGTGGGCGACTTGGTGGGAGGTCGCATGATCAAGGGTGCGCTTCTTTCCTCAACTCTAGCCCATAGTTGGTCCAATCAGAACACGGAAAATTGGTAAAAGTTCAGGGCTCGTTTATGATTCAGAAATCTCGATTGTAATCCCTTCTCTTTCGGGATTAGCGTTACTCTGATGCACTCAGATCAACCACTCCTGCCCCAAGTGCCTTCGCTAACATATAAACAAGAGGACCCCCGCCCAAGACACGACTTTCGACCTTTTCTGCTTCCTCCCCAACATTACATCCGACAACCAACCACCACCAAACGCGATTAAGTCTCGTCCGAAAGTTACATTACTTCTTCGAATACTCGCTCATCTTCTGTATTAATTCAATACATCAATTCCCATCTTCGAAATGCCTCCAAAAGCTACTGCATCCAAGGCCAAGGCCGCTTCCTCAGACCATGCCTCCTACCAAGGTAAGCTCCCACTGTTCCACCACAACGTCGCCTTGCAATCGCGCATGGTTTTCCTGGGTCGCAAAGATGTCTTTCAGCTGGACAAAGCTTTGCACTTTTCATTCGATCATTTACTGACGCGTTCTCGCAGACATGATCACTGATGCCATCGTCAATTTGAAGGACGTATGTTGACCTCCTTCCACTTCCATTTGATTCTTGCTGACATTTACCTTCAGCGCAACGGATCAAGGTACGATTATTCTTACGCGACTCGAGCTTCTTTTCGACGCGTCCTTGTCTGCCGCAACAACATACTAACTCCCGAGTAGCCGCATCGCCCTCAAGAAGTATGTCAAGGCCAACAACAAGAGTGTCGCCGAGGGCACCATGTTCGACTCTCTCTTCAACCGCGCTCTGAAGTCTGGTGTCGAGAAGGGCGTCTTCGCTCAACCAAAGGGTACGCGTCTCATCTCCATCTGCCACAACAGCTACTAACTGCTCCCTTACAGGCGCTTCCGGTGGAACTAAGCTCGCTAAGAAGGAGCCAAAGCCAGCTGCTGCCAAGGTCAAGTCCGACAAGCCAAAGGCAGAGAAGAAGACTGAGAAGAAGGTCACGGAGAAGAAGCCTGCCGCCAAGAAGGCAACCACCACAAAGAAGGCTGCTGTTCCCAAGACCAAGGCTGCACCAAAAGCCAAGGCAGTCAAGGCACCAAAGGAGAAGAAGGCTGCTGCACCCAAGGCAAAGGCTGCTGCCAAGCCAAAGGCCGCACCAAAGGCAAAGAAGGCCGCTGCCCCCAAGGCTGTAAGTCACTTACACTTGATGATTCTTGAACACGACTAACACTTCTCAGGCTCCTGCTGTTGTTGACAAGCCAGCCGTTCTCTCCAAGACCAAGTCCGGACGCGTCACCAAGACCACTGCGAAGACACCTGCTCCCAAGAAGGCAAAGGCTACACCCAAGAAGAAGGCAACACCAAAGAAGGCCGCTGCTGCACCAGCTTCCTAAGTTGGTCGCACTGTCATGTCTCTCTTTTGATTGTCAATACAGGCGTTGGGGCTGGGCACGCGTCGTGAAGGGGATCACACGTTGATTATTGTTTGTCTGTTTTTTCGAGGGAAATATCTGAGGTTTTTTGTCTGGATTAGCTCATGTTCAACTTAACTCTTGATGACTGGATGGGGTGGGTGGATGGCTCGGAAATCACTTTCTATCATGTTGTATCAGGAATCCTTGTTTCCCGGTTCTGTACAAGATGTTGGGAAAATGGTTTATTGCTACCTAGACTTGTGTTGTGGATGGAAAGAAGGAAACGGGTGGGTGGGAATTGTACTTATACCACTTGCATCAATGACACCAAAAAATACTGAACATTAAAAACCCACGTCTTCTCATCTGCCAATGCAAACAAATATGCGACGCCTCCGAAACTCTCGGGAGCAAGGTGTTTTCGTTCTTGCACCGTACCTAACTATCCATGACGCGTCATAAGTTTCCTTTGTTATGATTCCATTTCGGGATATGAGGGGCAAAGCTTCCCTTTTTTTTCTAGCAGGGGTGCGTCGCTGAGCCGAGGGTTCCGGTGCTTTGGTGTGCCGAGAATGTGGTGGGTGGGTCGGTGAGACATTTGAGGTATTTGGTGGAGGGACCTGGGAGGGTAATTTCCGTGATTCCATTGGGTCGCGATTTGGATGAGGGGTGATTTGGAAGATTTGAAGATGCGAGGCAGTGGTGAGTTTATTGGGGAGAGCGGAGGGAGGAAAGAGGGAGCAGGGATGGTGCGAATGGAGGTGAGGTTGATTCCAAAACTCGCCGAGAGGGGTGCTTTGAGATGGAATAATGGATCGATGTGTTTAGTCTTGAGCTGGATGTTATTTCTTGATGAGAGGTTGGAAGGGCATTGGGGCGTATTAGGAGAGGGGAGGAGGAGAGAAGATTCGGTGGTGGTGCCTGCTGGAATTGTCGTCATGCTCGTAAGTTTCATTTCGTGATGAGAAGAGGGTTGGTAGATGGTAAGTTTGAGGAGGTAAGAGTTGAGACGGGGATGCATGGGATTTGGAGTGTGGTAGATACAAAGAGATTGGTGGCTATCGAGGCCATGGACTTGATGAATGCGAAGATTGATTTATTGTTGCTACCTAAAGCTTCCTGTGGAAGTGTTCATGAAGACGATAGCATTTGTTTCAAAGGTGCATCGCTACTCAATGGAAAGAAACATGCTCGGGTAAAATCAACGCTCGAGAAGGTTGAGGAGAAATTCGGACTTGGGATGAAGTGAAAGTAGAACCAAAGGAAAAAATAAACAACAATTAATGCCTAGCGTCATGCCCCGAATTCCTGGCAGGTTAACCGATTGCCCAACGCCTGGAAAGTCGATGAGAACAGCCCCATCACTCATCCCATATCGTCCACCGCTGTTCACACCCCTCGCGATACTAGAAATTCAATTCCTACCAACAAATTGTCCCTCAATCTCCTCGCTGCTTCAGTGATCCTCGATTCCTCCCCATTAAACTCTAATGCATTTCGATAGAGCAGATCCACATCCTCCTTCACCTGATCAATGCTGTTATAATCGCCTCTTTGCAACTTCAGCTGCATGGTTTCGAGGTCGATCTCATTGGTAATTTCCTCGGCATATTTGGAAGCGAGGGAGGGCCAGAGGATCGAGACTGGTTGGGCGAAATGAGAGCCATTGGTAGTGACAGAATGTTGTCTGATGAGATTTGCTAGGGATTTGCTCATGGCGAGAGTGAACTGGGCGGGGGATTGAGTGGGTTCTTGCTGTTGTTGGCGAAGGGAGTAGGTGTCTTGAGTGGGTTGAGGTTCGTTGTGAGGTACTTGGGCATTGAGAGCAGACTTCCTTTGAGAACGGCGGCTTCGTCGTGGTTCTTCTTCAGGTACTTCATCAGAAGAGTCTTCGATTTGTATATGAATTGGAGATTGTCTTTGGACTCGACGGCTTCTTCGCCGCCCTTGTACTACCTCTACCTCTTCTTCTTCTTCCGTTGGCTGTTCAGGATCCTGCTCGATTGGTGGAGAGTCTACCAAGATTGTAGTGCTCGCCGTAGATGCAACTCTCCCTTTTCGGCTTTCGAGCTTTCGCTTCTTGGTTGAAGGATGGATTATCTCGTCCTCATCGTCTTCATCGTCCTCCTCAATCGCAATTTGCTCATTCTCATCCGAACTGTCATCATCAAGAAGCTGGGAAGCTATAGCCTCTGCTTTCGATGTATAAGACTCCATACTGGCGAGTTTTCTCTTCTTCTTGTTAAGAGCCAAGACCTTAGTATCGATGGCTGTATTGTCATCTTTGAGTTTTGATACTTCTTTTTCAAGATCCGCCAGAAGATCGTCGTTGGTGCGCCTTTTCTCTTCTAAAGTCAATCTCTTGCGCTCTATTTCGGCGATGGAAGCACCAGCGGAGGCTTTAATGATCGTTAGGTTTGATATGTCGAGGTGTGGTGGCGCCATGTTGTGTCTTTTCTGGGGCTCGGAGGTTGGATCTGGAGGTTGCTGAACTGTGGGAGGAATGTGTATCGAGGCAGAGTTTAATCTCGATTTTGATGAAGTTGATGTAGTTTCGTGGAAAATTGCGAAGGTGGGAAAGATGTAATCGATTCAGTTTTATTGGAATTCTTTTTTGACCTCTTGTCCGAACTCCAGAGCACCGAAATCGAACCTCTAGTCCGATTTCGGACTATCTTTACCTTCGTTGCTTGAAGTCGAAAGAAGGACTTTTAGTACCAGCGTGAGGTGAAGCTAAGCTCTATCCTGTCCCATCTTGGATCTGTCAGCAATAATCAAATTATCATAAACATGAACATGCTTGACTAAGTGGCATTTGGAGCGCACTAAAATTCAACGCTCAAGTGCAATGTCGAGTGAGTTCCAGGACGATGTTCTACTTAGTCCGTTTAAATTTAATCAACACACTTGTAAATCGCAGTCGAAATACACTCGGTCTCTAGCCTTGTCGTCAGAAGAGATCGAAGCGTGGACAAACAATCAATTAAGAAGGTTTCTGGTCTTGTCATCTCAGGGTAGTAGCAATGAAGATGTATACTTGCAAACAGTGCACGGCGATTTCAGATGAAAACGAACTTCACTTGAAGCTTGACAACATCCTTTGCCGACCAAAAGCAATCTTCAACTCGCAAATGAGTTGTCATTCGCCAAGAATTGGCAATGCGAGATTTCGTATATGCTCGGACCGGCAAAACCATATCTCCGAGACTAACCCATTTCCGGCAAAGTTCCCAAGGACTCCTTCAAGTGAACACTCCCTCGGAAACCCTCTATACTCGTCCGTAGAGCATCTTTCTTATATCAAAGTGCAACTATTGTATGTGTGAACTCTTTGAGCCCTGTCCGGCTGAATATCACCGCTCTTTGAAAGCTGCACAGCATTCCGTCTCTGACCTGGCAGGGCACAGCCTCTGAACCTCAGAAAAACGTGCGGTTAACCGACGCTATTTCTGGGATCGCAATTACAGAGACACCACCAGTGACCGAAGTCCCCATTCCCTTTGTGAAGACACGATTGATTCCACCTCAAATGCCTCTCAACACGAAAAGACATGCCGATATACTTGATTGAACAAGAAGCACTCCCTTTCTCGCTATTCAAGGGAGACTTCACTGCCAGGGAATACCGATTGCCAAGAATTCCAGCGTCGTCCGCAGATCCCATCTCCTTTCGACGTCAGTAGCAAGCACCAACGACGATTCCGATAAGGTGGTAACACCTTCGTTCGAATGCCACACGCAGTTGAGATGCCATTGTTCCTGTCGGATGACACAGGACCCATGTACTCGACGAATCGCCAGCAGTACGATGCTCCAAGTCATGTCCGACAATCCCACGAGAAGGTCAACGGGAATGCACGAACGTCATCTCATACATCAATAAAAGGGCATATGGGGGAAGTTTCCGATGGTTATATAGATGGGGAGGTGGGGGGGAAGTCGCAGACGAATGGTGACTTGCTTCATGATGGTGGTCTCAATTCCATTCCCAACGGCCGGTCGAGTGCGAGTAGTTGGGATCACAGGTCCTCGAGGAACGGGAGCACATTATCGTTCAATGGAACAAGTAATGGAATCAGTAACGGTGTTACTGAGAATGGAAGGAGGAGCCCAGGGCCTCAAAATGGCTTCTCCAGAACATCGTACGGGGATCGAAACTCTGTCGCGTCAACAAACGGAAATGTTCCAAACGCTGTCGACACAAAACCATCAACAAACGGCGATAGTGAGCCTCAGAAGAAAGTTTCCATCCCTCCCCCAATATCAACGAATCCTCAGAGCACAGGGCCCTTGACATACACAACTTCATTGCTGCCAGCGACTCCGACTCCCACCGAATCTCCTCAGACTGCAACATCTCCTGGGCCACATCGATTCTCCTCACCGCCGACCTATCCCTCCTATCCCTCACCTCTCGCCCCTTCGCCATCTGCATCATCCTTACCCCATCCCGGGGCCACGCAGCTGAAACATCGACACACTCTGCAGGTTCCGAAAGCTGCACCTGCTCGAAGCTCTCGAGATGGTGAGGACGCTGTGTATAGTACTGGCAGATTCTCACCTACCTCGGTAGTTGCAGGAGTTAGAAGAGGCTCATTGAGCCTCAATCGACGAAACACGCAATCGATACATTCCAATATGCCTCATGAAGAGCTTACTCTGGACGAGGATGCACTGCAGTGGGCAGAAGCTGTACGGCAGAAGCGAGCTAGCAAAAGAAGGCGAAAAGAAGACGAAGACGACGACAGAGTAGTGGTTGGCACAAAGGTTGACCAGAACCATGTGAACTGGGTGACCGCATACAATATGTTGACAGGGATTCGATTTACCGTCTCGAGGACAAATGCGAAGCTAGATAGGCCTCTGACTGAGGCAGATTTCGATGCTCGGCACAAGTTCTCATTCGATATGTAGGTTGAGTAACAAACCTTGGAGGTATATTACTGATTCATTATAGCACTGGGAACGAATTGACGCCGTCTGCCAAGTACGATTTCAAATTCAAGGATTATGCGCCATGGGTATTCCGACATCTCAGAGCTAAGTTCAAGCTCGATCCTGCAGATTACCTGATGTCCTTGACTAGCAAGTACATTCTGTCGGAATTGGGATCGCCAGGCAAGAGTGGAAGCTTCTTCTATTTCTCACGAGACTACAAATACATCATCAAGACGATTCACCATGCCGAGCACAAGTTTCTACGGAAGATACTGAAGGAATACTACGCTCATGTTGAAGCAAACCCGAACACATTGCTGTCACAGTTTTATGGGCTGCACCGAGTCAAGATGCCGTATGGTAGAAAGATTCATTTCGTTGTGATGAACAATCTATTCCCACCGCACAGAGATATCCACCAGACATTCGATTTGAAGGGTTCGACAGTAGGCCGTGATTTCAAAGAGGAAGATTTGGAAAAGAACCCTCGAGCAACGTTGAAGGATCTCAATTGGCTTAGAAGGGATCTACATCTCGAGTTTGGCCCCGAGAAGAAGCGGGTATTCTTCGAACAGATGGAAAAAGATGTGCATCTCCTGCAAAAGCTCAAGATCATGGATTATAGTATGTTAGTTGGAATTCACGATCTTCGACGAGGCAACCAGGACAACCTTCGAGACAAGACTTTACAAGTCTTTCAACCTGGTGGCGAAGACGAGCTGGACAGAGCGCCAGATAATAGAGGGATGTTGATGCGAACTCCGAGCAAATTAGAAAATGCACGGAAAGCCAGGGAATTGAGGCAGATCATTAAACAAGAAAAGCCTATTCCGATGGGCCAAAGCAGTTCACGAATGCCAGATCACCTCGAGGAGAACACCGTGAAGAGGGACTTCATATTCTACAGCGATGATGGCGGCTTCAGAGCAACACACGAAGACAATTGTCCGGGGGACGAGATTTTCTTTCTTTCCATCATTGATTGTCTGACACATTATGGGACTGTCAAGAAGCTCGAACATTTCTTCAGTACGTACCGATATCTGTATGAACGTTGTGCGCAGTACTAACAAACAACAGAGGGAATGAAGCACGACAAAAAGCTAATCTCACCCATCAGGCCCGAACCGTACGGTGACAGATTCATTGAATTCATTGAGGGCATTACGAAAAGCCCCGAAGAAGCAGAACGGGAGAAGGAGAATGGCCCACAACCCACAGTCCCCCATACCAACTCGAACACCTTTTCAAATCGCAACACGACTTCCACTGAGTCGCCGAGGAGACGATCAGGAAGTCAAAACATGAGGTCAAGCACTTCAAACAACACAGTTCAAAGAAACGAGAATGATGCCATGAAGTCGGAGATTAGAGGCGAACATGAGTCGGACCGACCAGATCCAAGGACGATCATGACCGTACGCAGTCCGAGTGCAGAAAGGACAAATGGTCTCCAAGGTCAGATCCTGCCTGTTGTTGAGGAGATGGGCGAAGCAAGCAGTACTGGTGGACGAAGTACAAGAAGCAGAGAGCGGGATGATAATGGAGACAGAAGGCCACTCACACCGGCGAAAGACAATGTTGACGAACGGCCGAGGACTCCTGCTAAGGATTATAGCCCCAATGGCTTTGGAAGTCTACGAAGGCCAATCAGCAGAAGTAGTTTGGATAAAGATCTCCCTCCGTTGCCACGAGTGGCCAGTCCTGCGGAGATGAGCGGGAGCGAGTCGGTGCTACGATAACGGCAAGTTGTGAGGCGCATGTGAAATGTTGCCGGGGAAAGACGGAATAGAAGGGGACTGGAAGTTCAAACGCAAAGGCACTATGATACCATTCTGATCGAGCGATTCATTTTGTACCTCAGCGTTTACTTCGTGTGTTTGTTTTCGCCGCATTGCGATCAGGGCCTGCACCAGCTGGGCATTTTCTTTTTGTCGAATCAACATTATCACTTGACGAATTTCCTTTTGTTCCTTCTTCTCTCGAGTCTGATTTTGGAAGCGACACGAAAAGAGAGTTTGTAGATCAGTTAGATGGCACGAGTAAAGGAGACGGATGTCTTGGATTGGAATGGCTTGATGGATCGAAAGGGACATTGTACGATAGATATTGGAACGCCGTGAGGCCAATAAAGATGGTTCAACAAAAGCCTTTGTCTTCGAGCGAAGGGTTCAGTAATCGCGAAGGAAAATGTGGTGTTAATCGTACAAATTGAAGTCGAGTTCAAGTTTTTCTTCAGCCTCGCTTACCATTGTTTGTCGCCTCTCCTCATCTACACTTCCGCGCAACCACTTTTCCAAACCTTGCCATTGTGCTCCTCATACCAATTCACACCTCACTTTTTCTTCGCAAACGCGGCGCCGATAACTCTTGCCATTGTTCTTGTTGACCATACCAAGTCTACAACTACATAATCTCGAGCTCCCTGTCCTGCAGCTTGCAAACTCTTCTTCCAAATACACAACAGAACAAAGACCATCCTCGCAGACTTCCTGTGCCCTCCATCACACACATACTTCTTCGATCATTGATCATCACATCCTCCTTGTCCTAATTCACATACACTCTCTTTACAAATCACCTGGTCATCTTCGCAATGGCCAAGAACCGTTCCGCTAACATCAGCCGCAAGGGCAAGAAGGCCGCTCAAGCTGCTCGCAAGAGTATGTTAAGCTTTTCACTTGTTTTGTATTGTTTACTGACTTGTTCACAGATGCCAAGGCCACCGTTGTCGAGACTCCTGTCAAGACCGTTGACGCGTCTTCCGAAGCTGAGCTCACTCAATCCGAGGCTAGCTTCTGCGAGGCAGTCATGAACGAAGCTGAGTCTGCTACCACGACTGAGCTTGACAACATCGAGTCCGGCAACGCCTCCAAGTCTTCCACCGAGCAAGTCACCCTCAACAAGGAGTTCAACTTCGACTTCGCTGAGAACAAGGCTGATACCTATCCCATCATCGATCCTACCTTTGCCACTGAAGTCTTCGAAGTCTTGAGCCCTGCCAGCCCTGTTGCTGAACCAGCCTCAGCTCTCCCAACCGCCGAGTTCACTTTCAGTGTTCCTCGCGTCATTGCCGATCTCAAGGCTCGCGTCAAGAAGGCTGCCGGGATGGACAACATTGAGAAGGATTGTGCACCAATCATCGAGGCTCCGAAGGAGTTGGAGATTCGAGAGAAGCTTCCCGAAGCCGATCTCGAACTTGCCAAGAAGGACATTGATCAAGCCAAGAGAGATGTTCAACTGTCCGAGATGCAAACACAGATTGATGAACTCCAAAACAACATGAACGAGTGGCACACTGGTCACGTTCAAACCCGCAACGAGATCGAAGTCATGATCGCATCTATGTCCGCTTGTCTTAAGAAGGTTACTGACCTTAGACAACGCTTGCGTTCCGTTGAGGGTGACACTCTTGGACTCGTCAATATCGTTAAGGATTTGCAAACTCAGATCACTGTCGTCAAGGCTGTTTTGGCTGGTATCCCGCACTTACATCAGGAGCTTCATGAGTTGAAGGAGGAAGTTGCTACGATGAAGGAGGGCTCTGCTGCTATGAAGGAAGATGCTGCTGCTGCATTGAAGAAGGCTCATGCTGAGATTGCTGCATTGCAGAAGACTTACGTTGAGGCTGCTGCCATGAAGCAAGCCAAGGCTCAGGTCGAACAAATGGTCAACACCCTTACCGCTGCCTCCGTCCCCCTCCCCAAGTCCGAGAAGAAGACAATCCGTATCGTTCTTGACAAGGCTCTGAACAAGTTGGAGAAGCTGCCCACCATCGGTCCAGTCGGATCCCGCAAGGGAGAGGCTGATACTCCTCGTGTTCCTGGTATTCACAAGGCTGGTCGTGCGGGCAGTGGTGGTGGATTCTGCTCTGTTATGTAGATAGTTTCTCGGCTGCTGCGGGGCTTGCAACAAGGATAAGCTGAGACTCATTGCGTGCATGGTATCTGTATGTCTGGTTGGTAATGATAGTGGATTCTGCTCTGTGCGTAGATAGTCTTTGAGCTGTTACGATACTTGCGCGAATGAATTTGCCCGTCTGCCATGATTTCGTTCTTCTCGATGTGAAAAGCACTCCCCTTGATATATTATCTCTTGAATCACCTTTTGGAACTCTCACTGCTGCCGTCTATATGCATAACCCATAGTTCCTAACTTACTCAGAATCTTATGTGCCTTGGCCGCAAGCCTCTTCCTCCGCATTGAACGCCTGCTTGACCCAACTCTCCCCTAGGCTTCTTGCACACATTCCAACACTGTCTCTCCATTGCCCAGCCCTCGATTTATGGGCATAAGAATGGAGGTCTGAGTCACAAAGTTGATTCGGCGAAGGCACCTCTGCATCCATAAGCTCAATTCCAGCACCAAATCAATCTCTTCCTCATCCCAACATCAAGTAACACGACAACAGCACAAACGCCATCCGATCCATACAGCTTAGGTCCATGCCAGTTTCATGTTGCCATAATTATCACCTTCCTCCCCTTTGAAGCAACGCGCCAATTGGAGCAGGAGCACGTTCACCTGCTCGATCTCGCCCTTAGCACCAGCTTCCTTCCATCAACATTAACATCTCTTTTCCATGAAGAGCAAGCTCAATACCGCGCGGCATGACACAAATACCAAAACAATCCAGGCTGCTGGGAGTGTTGAAGTGGCTGCACTTTCTTTATGCTCAACAAGGGGACTCCTGGCATGCTGATCAATCCCGACTCGAGCATCGGTATCGAAAGAATGTTTACAAGCAAGCAGGTGCTTTTAGCAAAAATGAAGCGCCTTAGGAAAGTCAGAGAGGATCTACACACCCGTGGTTTATTTCATGCCCTTTGTCCAGATAATGACATGGTAGAACATGTTGCCAGCCCACCGGATTTCCTCTGACGGTGTCTCGAATAAGGCTGATAATGTATGAGCTGGGAGAGCTTTGACTGCTGGAGGTATCAAGCCCAGGATATGATATGAACAGGAGAAAACCATTCTATTAGGCTACCACCATTCAACTCCAAGATGGTCACTGTAGTTCTAGAGCAAACCGCATATTTTCTCAATTACAAAGGTTCATGTACCTGTCCTTATGGTACGAAAAGGGGAGCAGTGCCTTCTATCCAGAGAATCATAGGTAGGCACAAAGCGCACACAATCTAATAAATACCTCTACAATCCCTAATGATTGCTTCATCGACGCCGTACATGCAGCAGAAAGGCTCTGCCTCTGAGCGTTCACCTCAGCCATGAGGCAATTAGTGGAGTGGGGTGGAGTGACGTGAAGAGTGGTTTATTATAGACATGCAACGAAACTGTATCACGTATTTGATAGAGTGACGCTAATAATTTCGTAGACATGTAACAAAATATCTCAGGTACGTTATAAAGTGAGATCTTATTTGAAAAGTAATAGAGTGAGTTGTCTTTGTAGATATGCAACGAAACGCTCAAAGCAGTAAAGTGCGAGCAACCAAATCCTGATTGGTAGAGAAGTCTTCAAGCGAGAAATCGTAAACATGCAACGAAGTAATTGGAACCAATGAAATGTGTTTATTTTACTCTTACTTACTATGGCTAGAAGAAATTTCAAGCGAGAAATCGTAGACGTGCAACGAAAGGATTAAAGGTAATAGTGCAATATGTCACTTTCATAGATATAAGAAAGAAATACCAGAGGCTGAGGCAATTTTACGCACTTCATTTAATCTCACAGATACACAGCGAAGAAATATAATTACAATCCTGGATTTGAACTTGCATTCTTGTCCCTCATGCATGTAATTGATAATGCTTGTTATCTTCCTGGAGACAACGCTCCTAGCATCACAACAGCACAGTCGGCATATGTGGACGCTTCAAGACCAGCTTGCCATCCAAGAAGTCTTCTCGTGGAGTGCAAGTCCCGTACTTCCATTGCCCCTTTTCCCCATGAGCCAGCGCATTTCGGATGCAAATTTGACATTATCAACATCGCCACGAATGTAGATCATACTGCAAGATGCTATGTTGAGGCCGTTTGTGTCAGAGAGTGCCCTCCAGCCTCACTTCTTACCTCCTTGCAAGTGCTGCTTTGAGGCAAGCAGCCACCTTGGCTTGTTTAAATACAAGCAGTTCCCCCGTCAGATAAGACTAAGCTTGTCGTTGGCATGTGAAAGGATAATCTCTCCTTGCAGACTTGTACGTATTGTTTCCTGTGTGTATGGTCAGCTCTTCATTCTTCTCCATGTGGTTTCTGAACCAGGTAAGAGAAGTGATGATTAGACCATCACCAATCCAACTTCATCCCATCGACAGGCAGGCCATTCCTTCTAAAGTTATAATTTCTTGAATTCGCCAGTTCCGACACCAGGTGGACAGCTTTGGTCGTGGCATCTAAGCATACGCAGACTGTGCAGACAAGTGAGAGTACCCCTTCGCCTCGTAGCCTACTTGGTGACCCGCCCAATTCTAGAGCTCTTCTGCTACTTCTCCAACAAATCCCAATCCGCTGAAGAATTTGTCGTCGCCGGTGCCACTATCGTATGGTCATTGGTATGGCAGGGATAATATTTCTAACAATAGAGGAGGAGAAGTTTCAGAGGTGGATGCTAAGAGTGTAGTCGTGTCATTAGCCTTCTATTTTCAGCACAATGAACCCCTCGCTTCGTAGCCGATCTCATGACCTGTACTTCATGCTTTCCATACTGATTTTCCAGCAAATACCAGCCATCTGCAAATCTCGTGGTATCTCATACTTCTGGTATTTTTCGGGGTATAAAGATATCTTCGACAGCAGAGGACCAGGAACTGCAGCGATGGATCTTAACTATTTAATCGTGTCCGTCAGCCTTGTATTCTTCACAAGATAATCATATACCCCCTCGCTTCGCAACCGATCTTGTGACCTATACGTTGTGCTTGTAGAGCTTTTCTTGTTGCTTCTCCAGCAGACCCCCGCCAGCTGCAGATCTTCTCCATCGCGAGTGTCAATGTGGTATGGTTCTTGGTACTACTCCGGGAACAACGACATCTACAAAAGGAGAAGAGGTAGAGTAGCTTGGTATGGAAATGTGTTTGGTTGTGGCCGTTATCATAACATTCTCCACAGAGTAGACAGTGTACCCCTTCGCTTCGTCACGGATCTCGTGACTTATATACTGTTGCTTGAAGGTAGAGCGCCTTTTGCTATTTCTCCAGCAAGCGGTGTAGACAGTGTGATCGCAGTGACAATGCCATATGCTTCTTAGTACTATTTTTGGAACAATAATACATCTGAAAGCAGAGGAAGTTGAGGTTCAGAGTGATGTCCTGATAGTATGGAAACTGGTATGGATGTTTCCTTTAGCTCGAGATCCTTCACAGAGTGAGCCATTCTGCCCCTTCGCTTCGTAGCCGACCCCGTGACCAATTTATCGTGTTTGTAGAAATTCTCTGATACTCCAACAAGATCGAGTCAGGTCCAAACCACGTCCTCGCCGATGCCCACATTATATGCTGCTTAGTATGAGTCGAGCCTAGTTTGTTTTCCAGAGGGAGAGGAAGGGAGGGATCAAGATATATGCTCTGGTGGTAGGTAGTCGTATTCGTCGACCATTCTTCGCAGGAAGGAAGTGTCTACCCCCTCGCTTCGTAGCCGATCTCGTGATCTTACTTATAAAGCTTCCCCTATCACTTCCCCAACAAAGCCTAGCCAGGTGCCAATTGCGATCATGTATTGCAAACGTCCGAGTTGCTTGTATCTTGGTATTGCCTCTGGCACGACGATATCATCGAAAGAAATTCCTGAGATATTTTCTGATGGTTTGGACATCCGTGCTTGTTAGCCACGGTCCTTTGTGGAGTGAACATCACCGCTCTCCTTTCCTTTGCTCGAAGCGAAAATGTCGCTTCGGACTTCATCATGAATACCAGCCCTCTCCTTTCCTTTGCTCGTAGCGAAAATCTCGCTTCGGACTTCTTCGCGCTGCGCCGGTCCCACCCAAATATTGTTCCCGATTATTTTTTGCAATTGAAAGTGAGCTGGAGCGTAAATTGGACTGTCAAAGCCTAAAAGTATCGTCCGCGAGGTCTTCCTAGATATGTTCAAAGCAACGACAGTGTCAGCCCATTCCCTAGCAGCTGACCACAGGTGTGAAAGGTGTATACCCTCGTGAGAGAGTGTGAGGGATAATGTATATTTTGAGCTCTTTGATACCTCCTTTGAGCGCAAATCTCCACCGCTATTATCACAGGGTCCCAGGGACGAGTAGAGTATATGGGTTCCTCGAGAAAGGTGCTATAATGCTGCGTCTGGTTGAAAGTTGAAGGCTGGGTATCATATCTAGGAAGCTGTGGTGGTCTTTTCTATCAAACTTCGTATCGAATTGAGCTGGGGAGAGTGTGGGTTGGCAGAGGGGTGTCTCGAGTGTGTTGTTCTTTCGAAGTATTGTCTTCCGCGCGTCTGTCAATGGAGTATTAGCTTGATGGTTCCAGAAAGGACCTAAAAATATACAAACCGTTCGTGGACACTGCGTGGACCCAAACACCCGCGACAAGGAGGGGGACATAAATCGTCGTTGGTTTGGCAATAAACAGCTGAATAGTGTAGATGGCGATCTGACAACGTCATGGAGAATCAAAAAGGCACAACATAGTACCGCGTTCCCAAGGAGTCGAGCGTACGACCACCCGTTTTCTGATGGATGGTTTGTTCTTCCTGATTCTACGGGATGAATGAATCGTGATCTCTCCCCCTCTCTCTACAGAAGAAGGTCCTTGGTAAATCGTAGGATATCTCGCCATTGGATAGCTTTGGGGATACAAAATTTTCATTTTTATGCGCCACCTGCGATGAGCGCACACAAGTCAACGCAGATTTCTATTCTAGATCTGGCTCCTAAGTACCAGCTGCCCTAGAAGCTGGCCCTGACTATCAGACCAGCTAATTCTTGAACTACTCTCGATTGTCCATCCTAAACGCAGCGTTTACTGAAAGAAACTCATGCCAGTCTTGACCTGTAATGACTCGTATTATTCCCTTCGATAAACTACCCTTCTGTACTCCTTCTTCCAGTTGCCAGGGCTTCAGCACTTGTGTATGGGTGTGTTTCTGTCTCCCCGATCCTTTCTTGCAGCCAATGGCCTCGAATAACGTAGCTGCTAAGGTAAGGGGTTCTTCTGCTGGCCATTGGGAGTATCGTGCAAACAAATTGCTTATGCACATCCCTCAGCCTCGGGTTCCTTGCCTATTTTCTTCTCTGCCAAATGCCCACCCGTGTACCTTCAAAGCTGCATTGTATGTATCCTTCCAGCGTTCTTGAGCGGGGGAAAGACGTGTCTGGGGTCTGGAAAAGTCGTAGGGAGCTTGAAAGGATGAAATCTCCGCTTGATGATCAACTAATTGAGCAATGCAACCACAACTGCAGCCGCTAGAAGACGTCAGCCAGATCAATATCCAATATTCCATCTACTCAAATCTGTTCAAGCAACGTTGGAGGCCAGAGGATAGAACTGTAGCTCTTGCGACATGAGGAGAAAATTAACAGAGTGGCTCTGAATGGGCTGGAGAAGGAATTTGGCCCACAATGGAAGAAACACAGAAGCAGAAACAAAATATCTTTTACTGCCCATGGGTTCTGTTTCATTTAACTGGAGAGTGCCAGAACTCTCCATTGATATTTCTTGCAGATTTAAATTTTATGGAATTAGGCCAAATCGGAGATTGATCAAATCAGATGGTCAGAAATGCAATGTTAGTGAGGAACTCCCAACGCAATCTCTCTCAGAGGTCCTGCCACAAAGACCGCGATATCGGGAACCAGCAAATGTGAAAAGGCACCTCAACATGAGAATTTTCACCGCCCCTAAATCCAAAAGTCGCATGCTCCAAATCTCTGAAAGCAATTTTCCGAGTCAATGTATTTTCAACAATCTTTTGAATTTTCCCGTGTATCTTGCCAAGCATCCTGGTCATTCAGAGCATTCTTCTAGAATCTACTTTCGGAATCGATTCATGTGGGATAACGCCCTCGAGTCGAACAGATATGGTATGGTAAGTCCCGTTCTCACCTATTTACAGCTTCGGTGGAGGCTATTGCCCCCATTACAACTGAAGCCCTCTAATAGAAGATTTAGTATCTCCTTCTCCGCCCCCATCCACCAGACCTTTCCTTCTCTCACGTTCTCTTGCCCTCGACAAACATACTATACGGAAAGGAAGGAATAAATGGAGGACATAGCCACTTCTGGGAGAGTCTACATGGATTCTTGGGACGAAATGGAGATCCAAGCCCGGAAAGATCCAAACGAAAACAGCAGTGTCTGATCAATTGGGATAGCTAGGCGTTCGACTTGACAAGCTTAGGCTCTGTTGTTGCTACATTTAAATCATAGCTACGAGATAATATAAAGTTCCGAGTATGGATGTGAAGCAGTCCCACGGTCTTGAATCCTTCTTGTATGTTTCCTTCACAACAATCAGCTCTGGTGACTGTGACTACGGTCATGATTATGTATCCTGTGAAAAGTAAGGTTCCATTGGCAAGTCAAAATACAACAGAGGCGTTCGGGTGATTTAACTGGCCCCACACAGCATCTACGTGGATTTTCGTGGTTTCTTCCATGACGGTATATTCTAAGAGGAAGGAAAATGTACCTCTGGGTAAGTCTTTGAGAGGAAGAGTTTTTGTTACTCACACGAAGACACCAGCAGCAGTCAACGAAGCACGTTAAAGGCCATCAGAGCAAATATCAAGTAAAATGTCACGCTCTTCAACAGGCTGTTATTGGTAGCTATGGCGTCTGATCCTGGCTTCGAGGTGGGTTCCCTACAATCTGTTCAGGACTGATTGGATCTTGTGTATCTCCCTATCCTGACCAATTCCTAGCCCTACTCTCTATCGTGTGTTATAACATGCTGCCGTTCGATACGTATGATCCTTTTTGTCCATCCGTTCCACCGCCCCTCGTCCGCCGATATTTGACCTTTCCTGGCCACCAAATGATTCAATCCCAATACGACTCTCAGGTTGCGTTTGTGCTCTGTGGCCGCCAAATCAGCATTCCAATTAACTAGTGGGACTGTGATTACTTCTAAGGGGCGATCTGTATAGATAGTAATGAGTCTCTGGCTCGCAATAGAGCTGCTTATAGGACAAGAAGCCGAGTTGTATACTGTATAAGATGCCGGGTGGGTGAGGAGGTTGGATCGGACAGAAGAAGTTGTTGAGTAAAGGTTCGCCGGAGGTAATTATCTTGAAGCAAGTCCTGTGAAGACAGAAGAGAGTCAGTGACGGTCTTACTCGTAGGATGGATTGCCTTTGTCTGGAGCTGCAACTTGCACTTCTCGAATGCGGCTCCTAGTATCACCACCTACTCGTTGAAGCATTTCGGGGGATCTCTTGACAAGTAGGCACAACTGCATGAGTTCACAAAGACAGTATTAGATCTCGGAGGCTTTCGAAAACCTCTGGGGGCCAGTCTTCCGTGGGCTTTCACAATGGGGTACGTCACTCCTGGGTGTTCGCAGACCACACAGGAGCTTCCATGCCAGATAAATTCGCCAAGAGAGGGTCTGATTCTAAGATTGGGAATATAAGGAAGTGGAATACGTATGATGGAAAGATGCATTATGGGAGCATACGGCTTTATAAGTAGTATCAACCTGAAGCAGTGGAGTATTTAGCACACCTGCTGCTCCTCTGTATACGATTTGCAAGGAGTAGAATAACTTATCTCACAATAAGAAGCATACAATATACTTGCAAAGCGATATGTATTGCATCTAACAACAGTCTATTCTAATCCGATATGTCTACAAGTGTTGGCATCAATTAGGAGGTTGACCAGGGCAACACTTCATAGTATTATAAAGCCTTGGGGTACAGTACCCTGCAAATTCACGTGTACTTTATAACAGAGCAGGAAGAGAGCGCTAAGGCTTTGTCCCCGCCTGGTGCGATCTCGCTTCCTTCCCACAGATACAAAATCTCGAGTTCTCCGCGCCACTTCCGGATCAACAACCTCGACAACGAAACAACGCATCACCCACTTGAAGTTTTGGTTCGCCAGAGCCTACAACAAAATGAATACGTATTTCCCGCAGACTGGTAAGTTATATCTTTTCTCCTCTATTGCTACCTCCTTCTTCCACTTTGCTGCGCGGTGTGATCGATCCACCTCAGGTGGATGACCGCTCCTAACCCCGCTCCTCACCTTGCTCTTCACCACATGAAGTTCCTTTCCTTCTACTGCTGCGCAATCTGGGTTCATCCATTCTCAGGTGAAAGCTCTTCAGTTCCTCTACCCACATGAATTTTCCTTTCTTCCACTTGCTGCGCAGTCTAGGACAATCCATCCTCGGGTGGAATTCGCGCTCCTCACCAGACATGACTCTATTTTCACCCAGTCGATCTGTACCAGCTAACAACTACAACAGCGAACGTTGATCAGGTTGGAGCAATCAGTAAGTTGTTTCTCTTTCTATTGTTATCCCTTTCTTCCACGTTGCTGCGTGTGGTCAATCCACCCTCAAGTGGAAGCCAGCTCTCCACCCAGCTCTTCACCTCGCTCTTCACCTCACTCTTCACGCAAATAAACTTTACTGTTTCCACTTGCTGGACAGTCTGTAACATTCCATTCTCGAGTGGGAGCGCGCTCTTCACCAACACGAACTCTCTTTTCACTATTCTCTATCAATCACCTCCATTTTAGCGTCACCGGTTCAAACTGTACCAGAGCCAACTAACACCTACAACAGCCAACGAAGGACGCCTCTCAATCACCGAATCCGATCTTGGCATTCCACAATACCCCACCGAGGAAAGACCTACTATCTACACCTCTGACATGATCTCCCACATGCCGCGAGCTCCACCACGCGCCCTCCTTGCCAGAAGAACCGTCGAAGACAGCCCAAACACCCTTGATATGAGGCAGGCACTTCAAGAAACCGAGCTCCCCCTCCCAAAGGCCGTCCGTACCGTCTCCCCAGTACAAGATGATCGAATCTGGTTCAACAGATGGTTCGACATTCCGGAGCGTGAACGAAAGGAGCCCTCTTTCATCAACCGTCCCGCCAGAGTCCTAGACACACGTGGAAGAGCCGCTAGAACCTTCGACATTCCCACCGACATTCAGCAAGACCCATTCTTCCCGCCCGTATTCACAGAGTGGGTTGGAAGAAAGGTCGCTTATGTTGTTGGTATCTTTCGCGGTCTCATCAGAGGCAACAGAGTGGTTGAAGCGTACGTTGCTCTTTCTCTTATTCTTTCCTTTATGTTCTAAATCCCTCGAGATTTTGAGTCTTATATGAACCATACTAACGTGCCACATAGTGATGTCGAGGCAGGAGAGGGAACATATCGTGCTGAGATTGTTGCACCTGAAGAAGCCGAGAATACCAGCGAACAAGACAATGTTGCCGTTGCGGACATTGAGGATGCGGTCAATGATGTTGCTACGGACGCAGACTCTTGACTTTGGAGGAAGTTCACCGGGTTTCTTCTGTTTCTAGCTAGTCCGAAGCCACTAGGGCGACGGGGCTAGCCCAATTGAGCTCTTGCAACCAGCAATTAATTCCAGAATAGGCAGGGGTGTTTTGTCTGTTGGAGAAGGAATGAATTGAAACTTGGCTCTGCAACTACTGTTTCTTGGGTACTGTGACTTTAAACCGACTTTTGGTGGTGATATGTGCTGTGATAACCATAAAACTCACAAACTGGTCTAATGCAAGATAATATACCCTCATTTTAGCAAGTGACAGTTTAGGAAAGCACTAATTCAGGAAAGAGCCTTGGAGCATTTTGTGGGTAAACGATAAGCAATATGCTCATCATAGTACTTCAACAGCTCAAAAGTACTCAGAAAAGCAGGGTAGCTCTGCACTTTGGCTTTGAATCAAGATTTATATCCTCTTTCCAGAAGAAATATAATCACGTGATGAAAAATCTCACTTGATGGTTTTGGCTTAATGACAATGTCCCTTGACAGCAAAGAGCTTACAAGGTTAGAGAGAACTCTTGAAATCACAATATATCAAGTAGTTTAGTCAAATTATGAAGTCGTTCTTGCTTTGATGGATCAAAATACTTTCAATGTTGCAATCATTCGAGAAACTTTTCCGTTCCATGACAATTTCCCTTAGCTATACAGAACTTAGTAGGCTAGAAAGTATTCTTGAATTGATAATACCTCACGTTATTTGATTCAGAACCCAGAAACAAGCTTGCTTTTGAGGCATTAAAGTACTTTTACAATTATATTAATTAGGAAGCTTTCCCGCATTTGGAATGATCGATTTAGGCTCCATCAAGCTCACTTGAATATTGTGTGATGTAGATGTCTCTTTTTCAATCGAATGATAATTCCTATTCTAGGTTGAGGACTTTTGAGTCAGATAAGTCTGGAGACTTGGTGTCCCTAAGCTCGAAGGGCTGTGCACTTGTTTCACTAAAGTACACCCGGTCTGCTGTCCAGACCATCTTAGTTTCCAAGTAAGAAAGCCAGAAATCAAACACAAGTGCAAGAAAGTGATTTGAAAACCTGAAGTTAAGTGCGAAGAAGTGATGGCAGGAGATTGAGTCAAAGTCCTTCATGCAAAAGAGGGCCGAGCGTCTACCGAGAGTCAAGTCAGGCTTGTTTCATGCATTAAATGACAACTCATGTAAGATGTACACAGCTACTCCCCTAGGTGGCACTGCTGATTTCTTTGATATCGACTGTTGTCGTTAGACGCACGCTTCCGGTCAATCCCGAGGTAACTCCGCGACGCGAGCCCCTGAGCTGGTGTGCTACTATAAAGAGAGAAACACAACAGATGCGTGAATCAGAGATGCGAAAGAAGCCCGCTATACAGTTCCAAAATGTTCATTACTCGAAATGCAGACATACCCCTGAGCTACGTTTCTCATTGTACTCAACATGGTCCGGGGATGGACTCCTATATTTCTTGAGGAGGTCTTCGATCGTCATGCTTCGAGTGATCAGTCTCATTCAATATGCTTCCTCCCTAACAAAAAATGAAACTTGGAGAGGTAGAATAAAGGAATCATGCTCGGTACCGAACATAAAGATGTGTGTTGCCCTGCACCGAGCTCCCTTCATTCCGGTTCAAGAATGATCAACATCTAGGCCGCCTACACTGGAAGAGCAATCATATGGCATGGTAGAGCTTCCAAACAAGAATGAAATACACACTTGTCTGAGAAATAGTTAATATTCAGGACAAGGAGCATTCGTAATTGCAGGTCGATTGACTAGCAGGTAACTACAACAGAGCAACATGATGCCAAGTAGCTTAGCTAAATGTAATGCATGCAGAATTAAATGAGTGCATTGCTAGAGACTTAAGACTATTATACAAAGGAACGATTTTCCCATTACAGCCGGGAATAATCAGAATTGAAGAGGCGCAATTGAGGAAGTTGAGGCAAGACACTCTGTAAGAGGAATTGGAAAGCACTCCTTACAAACAAAACACTCAAGATTTAGAAGCTTTAAAAGAATAGCAATGAATGCATGAGCAGTGCGGACAAGTATAAAACTGTCAAGATACAGGTCAGATGATGAGCACTTGTTATTCGAGAGCGCATTCAGCGCGATCCGCGCGAACAGCGCAAATAGCTCAATCTCCATCAGACTACTGATACCAAAATACAAATCCCACAAGCCCTGCGATATCTTTCTTTACTAATATAGAACTCCGCAAAAGTCGCAGGCGAAGTGAAGTCTTGAACGCTGGGTACAGACAATTGCGTTGCAGAACTTGGAATCATATGTGGGAAAGAGGTTGAATGAGACTCCGTGGAAAACTCGCTATACTTAGGAATGAGACACTAGCCAAGATAGAGTATTCGATGTGCGCTAGTCACCTTTTGGAAGCCAGGTACTGTCCTCTTTCCTCCCATACTAACCGACATGCTTCGATTTCCGCGCTTATGCTTGACATCCTGACTTACTCAAACCACCACCTAACTCCCAAATCAGTACACAAAAGACACCTACCCCTCCCTCCACTTCCAATCTTCGAGCACTTACTTCCTTTATGAAAGTAAAATAGTAAAATAAAGAACAACCTCCTCCAACAAAGCCCAGTAATCTCCACTAATCATCACCGAAACCCTCCCCGTCGCACCTCTCCATCACGTGCCATTCCTCTCCTCTCCTCCGCCAAGACTTCCCCCCTTCCCACCACCCCTCCTCTTCTCTCCTCCCCTATCTCTCCCTCCCCAAAACCAAAAAAGAAACGCATAAACTCAATACGCGTCCCTTCCTTCTCCCACCCCACCGTCCACAATTCATCTGAAAAACCGCCCGTTTGATCGTCCTCTCCCCTCCCCTGTTCTCCTCCCCTGTTGACATCTGCATCGCTTGTCGCTCGCCAACCCCTACCCATCCTCCCCTGCTCTCACCTGGCCCTTGCTCCTGCCAGACCTGCTCGCTTCCGACGATCACACAGTTTCCAACACCCACGACGATTTAGAAAAGTGGGTTGTGGGCTGATATTTCTTTGCAGGGGAGGGGATTAGAATATGGGGTGATGTTGTTTCCTTCAAAGGTTCTAGAACTCTCTGGATGCTGGTGTTGAGTGTTGAAACATTTTTTAGAAGTGTCGAAGTGAGAGTTTGGATGGTTAAGGAATAATGATAAGTCACTGATTGGAGAATGAGGAAAGATAATCACGGTGGAAGAAGAACTAAAAGATATACCACAGCACAGAAAGAAGTCTATAAGAGAGAAAAACGGCTACCTACACAAAATTACGCTAACTACACGAAGAGTAAAGGTACTGGTAAGTATACTTGTATTCTTTACAAACTCTCCCTTCTCCTCTCCCCGTCCATCATCCGTCATCCACCAAGCGTAATCCCGTAAAGAAGTTCCGCGCCCTGCGCTAGCAAATATCGAGTTCCTTTCCTATGTACTACCCCATCCACCAAACAACAACGACTCCAATACATGCTCCGTGCCGCTGAGGCCGAGAAAAAAGGACCGAAATTCGTACCAAGGGAATGAAGATGCTGTATGAGTAATGATTTTGTCTAAAAGTTTTCTTTGCCCCATGTGAATTGGAAACCTGATTTCTATTAGTATATGATGAAGTGAGAAGAACGAATGACATACCAGGCTCAGTATACATATTACACTTGATGTGCAACACACTACCCAACACCTTGGGTCCACAGAAGAACACACCCGCTTCGGCTGGTGTGTGAATCTTCCTCACACTCTTGAAAATCATATCCCAGTTCGGTCGTCCAAAGTTCGTTGGTGCTCGGAGACCAGTAATCGCATCGCGGTCAGCATTGGCATCATTAATCATGATATTGGTGGCATCATCGACCTTGATCTTGGCGGTAAGGTATGTGTGGATCTCGATGTGGTTGTCCATATCTTGGGCTTCGATAGCAAGCAAAAGAGAACGGAACCATTCAAAGGAGCCGAAGTCACGGCAAATCCAGAAGAAGTACACCTTCCGGAGACGGGTCTTCTTTTGGGGGTAGTTCATTCGGTACCAGATAGACTTGAGGATGGATGCGAATGGAGTAACACCGATACCAGCACCGCAAAGCATTGCGATCTCATACTTGAACACATCTTCGGAAGCAGAGCCAAAAGGACCATCGATATAGACACGGGGAAGAACACGTCGAATAGCTGGGTCAACTCCATCGCTTCCCGAGGAGTTCTTGTTGACACTGACGACTTGGGACGCATCCTTCTTGTCTCCTCTTGGTTTATCAAGCTCACATCCCAGAGCCTTTCCAACAGCCTTTGTGAAGTCACCAACCATTCTGATATGTATCGAAATGTAGTCCTCCTCGGGGGCAGAAGTCAGCGTGAATGGATGATATTGCCAGACAGAGACCTCAGGACAGCAGAAGAAAATGTACTGTCCAGCTCTGGTCTTGGTGTTCTCCTTCTTGATCTGAATCTCGCAAACGTTGCTGGGATGCTGAACAACTTTGGAGATGTAGGTCTTGTGCTTTCCTCGGACCTCTCTTGCAATTCTCTCTGCCAGGTAAATGAATCCTCCGTACATCCAGTATTGCCAGAACACACCAATGGCGGTAGATCCAAGACTGACACAGTAAGGAGCGAAGTCGGGTTGAATCATACAGAAAGCTCCGTGGATGGACCAGAAGAAGAAGAATATGACGAACATATGATGCGTGTACCAGAAGCGCTCGAAGTTAGCACGACGCATCTTCTCGACCGAAGTAACCACCATGCACATCAGAGCCACCAACATGATATACCCTGTCCATCCTGGTCCGGTAACGAAGTTCGCCAACAACCATCCTCCAATTCCAAGATTGTTCTTTGCTGAAATCTGCGCAAAGTTGTTCCAATGCGCAATCGTGTGAACCCAAGAGAAGAAAACGATTGACCAAGCCGTGGTCATATGGAACGTAATGTTCTTGTCGAATTGTACGATACCATTGAGGGGTGTTTGTCGAGCCAAAGAGATGAGCGTTCTGCACACCGGGAAAAGAATCATAGCCACATCAAAATGTAGAACCAACGCCGCCGAACGCGCTATCGGATATGTCAACCCAAACGTACTTCTCGCAATCGTCAAGTTGTCCTTGATCTGGTAATTCATGAAACCGAAGGAGAAGACCATCAAATGGATCGCCGCGAAGACAAAGACGAAACTGTGCAAAAGTTAGCAATGCCACTACGCAGAACACTCACGATGGACACCCACAATCGTCGATAACCCTCGTTCACCATCCATCTGTCGAATCGTTCGCGAGCGTTGAGTTCCCTCGGCCGTTCACCACTCATTTCTCCCGACATCAACATCCGCGTCAACGGCGGCCATCTTGATCTCTCCGACACCTTCAACGACCCCGTACTACTCCTGTCATAACCCTTCTCGGACATGCTGTGCGCGGTGCGACTTCAAGTCGACTTTCTAAAGGCCTGCTTTGCCTCTTTTCGTTCTGAAACCCCTCCGTCTTCCAGTGTGTTGTTTTTTTCTTGGCAATTATTCTTCTGCGAAATGTACGATGTGGTATATTAAGTGGACAATATCATTCAGAGCCTGCTGAAGTGACAGAAGGTCCCGAATGAAGGAAAGGGTTCAAAGAAGTGAAGGTGCTGTGGTTGAAGGAGTGTGGAGGATGAGAGCCTGCGACACCGAGTTCTGTCAGCGAGGATATTCGGCGGAAACGTACCCTTTGACCAAGTACAAGTATCGCCTCACAGGATCGACGCCGAACGCGTTCAGGTGAGGCGAGGACAGGAGGACGTAATTAGAATCAGGATAAGGAAGTGAAGGCAACGTACCTGTACACAATGCCTGCACCGGTGGCTGCTTCCCTAATCAGCACAGGAAAGTTATTAGGAAGGTTTAATTTTTAGGTGTGAGGTAGTGACATGCAGATGGAGGAGTAGAAGCAGGAGCAAGCACGCAGAGCGGGAAGAAACGAAGGGCCAAGACTAGGAAGAGGCAAGGGGAAAACGACGCCCATTTGGCAGATGGAAGCAGATCACGTTTATGCGGCGGGAATAGGAGAATGGCCTGACTAGAGCGTAAGTCCAGTATGAAGATGTCTGAGCATAGCACAGATTGGAGCCGGTATCCATCCTGGGTCGAGGGTCGTGGCCCAGCAAGGAGTGGGCGTGCACGCCTCTTGCGTCGCCTCTGTGTGGTCAGACGGACGAAACACCACTCCCGCCACGGATCCCAGGGGAAAGAATTCGTCGTCCTTGAGGAGCCCTAGGACGAAAAGGGCCCAGAGGGAGCAACGAACTGTGTGATTCGAGGGGGCGTCAACGGGTTCTAAACCGTGGTGATGTTTGGAAAGCAGCAGCATGGCCGCCAGATGGAGCGTGCTGTGGGCGTAGTGCAACGCGCAGAGCGTGATAGTGTTCTCGAAAAGGCTTGTTTCTCCGACTGCCCCACACTTCTGAGGGAGACTGAGGGAGATGCTGGCATTTGCTGGCATTTGCTGGCGGTGCCTGACAGCGACCAGCACACCACAGCGTATCACGATGCAGCGTTTGGCCCAGCACCCCTCCGACGCCAGCCACTACCGAGTCTCTGCTGCAGCATCATCGGCGGTCGTGGTCCAGGGAATGGGAATCTTTCGTGGACGTGGACCGCGCCCCCCCAGGAAGAGGCCGGGTGAGTGCTGAGGGATGCGAGTCTCAGACGTGAAAATAAAGACGCCGACCATGCCATTGGTGGTGTAGTGCCTGAGGACACCCTGCCCTGCCGCTCGCTTAGTTTCAACGTCGACGAAGGAGTTTCACACCCGGGATGCTGATACGGCCGGAGATGAGGCGGCGTCACAACAGCAATGCCCTCATGCTCGCTGGTCGATGCGATCATTGGTCGAAGAAGTAAAATATCCATCCTCAAAGACATTTCAGCGTCGAGAAATCCTGCCCCGTTTGCTCTACGCGGTGCCGTCAGACTCGAACAGCGTGGCCAGTGGCACTCCCATCCTAGACGGAGATCTCTAACATAAAAAGTCCTGTGCAGATTTATTCGCCTGCAATTGTCATCCCACGCCCGCCAGACTCTCGATGTGCACAGTGTTGATACCTCGTACTTGCACATTGATACCAAAGATAGACACCCCTCCTCGTGGCAACGGAAATACTATTCTGCATCCAGGAGGATCAGCGTCGTTACCAAACGGCTTTGACGCCACAATCCAGCCCTTTCGCTTCCGTTTATCTGTCAAAAATAGAAATCTCGATCTCGTTCCAAACAATCCCCTCCTGCACATCCTCCTTCTATCTCTCTCTTATCGTGACCCTTCATCTCAGTTGAGAAATGTCTGTTTCGACCAGGCTAGGTTGAAGATGTCTTTAGAAGCATCTGTTTCGTCATCTCCTACCAGTCATCGAATGTCATCTCGCCATTTCCCAGATTGCGTTTCCTTAGCCTTTGGTCCCCTCATCTCACCACTAAATTCCACTTGATAAGAAGAAGGTTTCATGCCACCATGCACGTTTGACATCCATCACCTGTCTTTCCTGATTTCTTATCTCTGTATCTAGAACCATACTCGTCCCCACCCACGTTCTACAAACTGCTTCGGTCCGTGACATGTTTCGTTTGAGCATCAGCTTTGAGCCTCAGCCTCAACCTCTACCCCATTCGGTAAGAATAGCGTGTTCAAGATCAAGGCGACGGCAATCATAGAGTCCGTTATCCGTGATGTGAGACTAAAGCACTTCTTCGGTTGCAGGTCGTAAGTCCGCTACCAGCTTGCTCAAGAAATGGCAACAAGAACCGGGTATCAAACAGTAAACTCGGTATCCATTTCTATTTCTCAGACAAGGACACCCGGGAGATAGGAACCGAGCTCGTATCAGAAAGAATTACGAGTGAAGCAGAAAGTAAACCATCTCTCAGACAAGAGAACCAGGTATCAGAAAGAATTACGAATGAAGCAATCCCCTAGACAAGAGAACCGGGCAACAAGCATCGAATATCAAGACGAAAGACCAACGACGCAGAAAGTAAGACACAATCCATAATCGGCAACAAGAAGCGGGCTTCGATCAACCAAGCAGAAAGTAAATCTCCTACAGTAGACAAGGAAATCGGCAGCAAGAACCGAGACACATGAGCCTCACTATGCCAAGCTTTTCCGCTCTCTGTCCACTCTCAGACAACAGCATGTACTGTACCCACTACCTCGCCTACACACGTTCATGATCTCAGACATTTCCTCATCTACTGTGTAGGAAACACCATGCCATAGCACACTCGCAGTCTTGCTTCCATGCAGTGAGATATCTCCAAACCCTCTTAGAGACTTTCCACCAACACACCCTCTCCTTCTCCTTTCATCAGAACTCCTGATAAACTCCCTAATATATACATATATAACAAGAAACCCAAAGAAACAAGAAAGGAAAACAAGCCTCCCCCAAATCTCGATAAGCCTTTCCCTCCACCATCAACTTAACCGATAACCTTTCCACTCCCCACCCATCCCCATCAGAAACACATCCCTTACCAACTAAGGCCTCAAGATCTTGGCGGCACCCCACTTCGAATCGGCACCGAACTCCTCTCCGAGGATCCGGAAAGGAACAACGCTAGACTGTGCGTTACTTCACACTATACTAGGACAAAGAAGACATGATTCTCGTTTCTGAATTTCAGACTTGTGTTGTGATATAGAACGAGAGACACGTCACTTACGGTGTGATTTCCAGGACAGATCATTCGAGAAGCAGCAAGCACGCAAGCAAGCATTCTGGGTCAATGGATTATGGACCTAGAAGATGGAGAAAGAGAAACAAAGGCAACGTAACGCAATGAAGCAAGCAAGCTGTTCTGACCCGGAATGCAATATCTATTTCCTCCCGATGCTATCAAAATCCTCCATTCGCTTCCCTTCCTTGCCGCAGACTAAACCACCCGCCCGCCATTCTTATTCCTCCCCTTGTTCATTCCAGTGAGTATCGCCCCACCACTACATCCACCATCGTCACCACCAGCCAGTTGTGTAAATAGAGAGACCCAGAGAGAGAAGAACCGCAGACCAAAGTGTGCAAATTATTGACGCCAGCTAATTCCGTAACGCACGCGTGATTTCGATGAGAAAGAGGAAGAAGGTTGATTGAATTTCCCGTCCGTTTCGTCGTCATGCCCACGTCAAACCTTCTTAGATTGCGTATTTACGTGTCCATTCTCTCGCGGTGGCTTCGTATCGGGATCGGTCGGTCTTGTAGACGTGGGCGATTTCAGGTACCAGTGGGTCGTCGGGGTTGGGGTCAGTAAGCATGGAGCAGATGGAGAGGAGGACTGTGGGAAGGAATGTCAGTAGAGATCTTAGGAATGTGGGAACAGGTGATGTGTACCCTTTGAGATGGTCAAGGCTGGAGACCATTGATCACGGAGAATATCTAAACAGATAGAGCCGTTCGAGTTGATGTTAGGGTGATAGATTCGGGTGGTGAAGTTGACCTTAGGTGGCTTGAATGGGTAGTCTGTTGGGAAGTGAATGGCGAGGAAGAAGACACCCCCTGAGTATGGAGAATCTCCCTATGGTATTGTTAGCATACACCATGATGTATTGCCATGTCATGGATGGGTGTGAGGCTCATGTGTCTGACGGCGGGATATGCCGATCCGGGAAGGGTTGAGGAGCAAGATAAGATCAAACTTACAGGACCCATGATGGTTGCTTGCCAGTGGAACTATTCACGGCCAAAATATCAGTATACCACATTCCATAGATAATCCAAGTCTGCCAAGCAGTCTCGTGCGCAAAAGGCATTTCGATGACCTGATGTCGGGGTTGGATCGAGGGAGCACATACCAGATCTTCTCCGATAGGACCGGCAGAGCATGACGACGGTGGGTCACTGTAAAAAGACACAAATATCAGCGAGGCATTCTCACGGATCTTTTAATCATGATCGTGAGGGTATTGATGATTCTTCACAGAACCCCGCTTGCGCAGCCGCCCCACCAAGGTGTCGAGTTTGTTGGTGGCGGTGAGGATGGGAATATACGTACCGGCCCAGGTCTGTAAGTTCCTTGTTGATTCTCTTCAAAGCCATCGCAACGGTTGTGTGTTTGGTTGGTGGGGGAAGGTGAGGGTGTGGATGTCGAGTCTTGGTGATCTCGAGGGCGCAGCAAACAGAATGAGGTCCTGGATGTTCGGGCAAGGTTAGCGACTGAATCAGCGCGGCGCTATGCCGATGACGCAGAAACAGAAATAGAAAGACAGCGACGTACGGGATGCGGTAGTTCTGGTGTGAAGATCTGTAGATGTTTGTTGTCGAGACGCTGTGCGAGATCGAAGTCGACTTTTCTTTTGTTTTGTAGAGGAGTTGGCGAGGGAAACTTTAAGAGATGGTGGTGGTCTTTGGACGAGGAATGAATGGGAAAGACCGGTTTGGGTTTAGCGAGAAAAAATACTGGCTTTGCGCTGGCTATTTATTGCTCAGCTCAGCCTTAGAATATTACACTTTTCGCACCATTCACCTGAGTCACTTATTATTTATTCATCGAAGGCGTTCGACAACGTTCTTTACGACTATAAATTCTCTGTAATGGCTTCCACATTCACCCTGCTCCTGCTCGAAGTCTCTCGACTTCGAAGTAAAAAATAGTCTCAGTCTACCCCACCAACTGTCATGACGTATCTCCGAACACGGATGGCAAGAGATCTGGTACCGGGATGCGAAGATAGCAGCAGTATCATGTTATCAGCCTCATGGCAGTCAGGGGCAATTTCATCTTGGGCGGTATCACCAAAGGTCACGAGGGTTATTATTCTTCAAGAATAAGGAGGCATATCAGCTACCTCGGGCCCTATTCACTCTGTTGTGTGAATGACCTGTCAGGCACACAAAGGCCTTGTTTCGCCCAGTATTGATGTCAAGCAGGTCAAGCAAATGCCAAATACTGTTTGTTCTATTCACGGCCAACTTAGTCAGGTTGGAGGCACAGCTTATTCGATAGCCACTCAAGTTGCATGTTTCAAGAAGCGGTGGAGTGCCGAACTGTTGGAAACATGTCACCGAGTTGCATCCCACATTTGCAATGCTTGCCGCCGAGCTCAAAGAGAATTCTCTAACCGCCAGTATCACGTCCAGTAAGCACCCGAGACACAACCACCTGTTCTAGACTTCAAGTCTAGCTTACCAATAATCTACCAGTCATTGGAAGTGCTTATAAACTTTTTGCTTAATTCAGGTACAGTGCAATTTTCATTTCAACTCTGTTGGGAGATCTAATTCTATACGAAAGCCTGGATTCCTGTGATAGCTCTTCCGAGAATGAGACCTGTCTTTGTCAGCATGGTATAATGATTCTTCAGAAGGTGGATCGTACTGTGAATATCACTCTGGCCCTCATATGTCTGAGTAACGAACAAATTCGCCACATGTCGACCGATTCCGTACTCATCACTGACAGCGTTGCCCCCGAAGACTTCCTGCAAGATACGTGCATTCACAAGTGCACGATCACAGTTCTGTCTTTTGATCATACTGATCATTTCTGGTGCAGCTTTGCCCTCGTCCTTTAGACGTCCTACCTGTATCGCTGCTAAAGTCCCATATGCCGCATCCGTTGTAGCATCTGCCAGCTTCTTTTGCACAAGTTGATACTTGGCAATTGGGTTGCCCTTGAACTGCTTCCTCTCCAAAGCATATGTCCTTGCTCTGTCGATACAGTCCTCTAAAGCACCCATGGTGCCCCAAGCAATACCGAATCTGGCACTATTTAGACATGTGAATGGCCCTTTCAAACCCTCAACATCTGGGAACATATTTGCTTCTGGCACAGGGCACTCATCAAGTTGAATCATGCCAGTGAGTGAAGCCCGCAGACCATTCTTGTCCTTGATGGGTGGCGTCTCCAATGTCCCAGGCGGGCATTCTGATCTCTCGATCAAGAACCCTCGAATCTTGCCAGTCTCAGCGAGCTTTGCCCAAACCAGCAATACATCCGCAATAGGACTGTTTGTGATCCATGTTTTCGCTCCAGAAATTGAGAGATACCCCTTCTTGGTCGGATGTGGCTTCGCAGTTGTCTCCATTGATCCAGGATCACTTCCGTGATTCGGTTCAGTCAGGCCAAAGGCACCCAATAGCTTCCCTTTAGCCATCTTGGGCAGGAACTTCTCCTTCTGCTCTTGTGTGCCAAACTCATCAATGCCACCCATCACCAAGCTCGACTGAACTGACATGCCAGATCTGTATCCGCTGTCTACTCTCTCCACAGCCTTTGTAATGAGACCCGAGGCAACATTGGATACGCCCGCACAGTCATAGCCCTTGATCGTGGCACCAAGCAAGCCCAGCTCGCCCATCTCCTCTAGGATCTTCTTATCATAGTTTTCATCTCTGTACGCCTCTATTCCACGTCAGTACTGCACAATGACCTATCGCCAAAATAGAACTCACGAAGCACCCTAAGCAGCATTCTCTCCTGACAATATGATTCCGCGGTCTCCGAGATCGCAATTTCTTCCTCCGTCAATAAGTTCTGAGCATCCAAAGGGTCTTGCCAATTGAATGGCTGCGGGGTAGCGTGGGCAGCATAGCTTCGAACAGCTACCGGACGAGCAGCAGAGCTCAATTGACGTGCAGATGTGCGGAGGACGGGTTTGTACATATTGGAAATTAGGTACAGAAAGAAATCATAACAGAGATCGTCTTCGCAGACAGATGTCAAAGACCTTTAAGTCGCCTCCATGGCTCCTTAGTCCCTCCACTATTCGGCAATTCCCCAGAAAATGTCCACCGCCGAGGCCTGCCATTTCCGGACCGAAAAGTCAGGAACTCGTGACCTGAGATGAATAAATTTAAATGATCAGTGAACAGACAGAGATAATCATTGCATGGAATATTTTTTTTTGGAGATAATTGACATTTCATTGCTTTCTCTGACCTGATTGTTCCTGATGTTGGTGGACATGCCATGCAGATTTCACTCTACGCGGTCTCGCCTCTTCGACGCGACTTCATCGCGTCACCTCAAGAAGTTTCCGAACCTTGATATGACATCAATCGCGATCATCAACAACCACAGCATAACGATACCGCAGACAAACCTTCAAGATGGGTATTAAGCAGTTGTTTCAGATAATTAGGGAAGAATGCCCAGATGCATTCAAGGAGGGCGAGATCAAGAATCAGTTTGGCAGAAAGGTAGCCATCGTAAGCACTCCGTTCATGCTTTACTGAACAATTGACTGACTATGCGATATAGGATGCGTGCGCAACCCCTCCTGTTGTACCACTAAGTAATATACTGACTTCTCTAGCTCCATGTCTATTTACAGTTTCCTCATCGCGGTCCGTTCTGGCGGCGAAATGCTCACGAACGAGGATGGCGAAACGACCTCTCATCTTATGGGCATGTTCTACCGCACTCTGCGAATCGTCGATAGTGGTATCAAGCCGGTCTACGTATTTGATGGCGCACCACCAAAGCTCAAGTCCGGCGAGCTAGCAAAGCGCTTTCAACGTAAGGCGACTGCCACTGAAGGTCTTGAGGAAGCCAAGGAGACAGGAACAGCAGAGGACGTGGAGAAGTTCTCGAGACGTACGGTCAGGGTCACAAGAGAGCATAATCAAGAATGTCAGCGTCTGCTGAAGTGTATGGGTATTCCGTACATTATTGCGCCTACGGAAGCAGAAGCTCAATGTGCGGTCTTGGCTAGAGCAGGAAAGGTTTATGCTGCTGCAAGTGAGGATATGGATACTCTATGCTTCGACTCTCCTGTTCTTCTGCGACATCTCACATTCAGCGAACAAAGAAAAGAGCCGATTCAAGAAATCTTCCTTGATAAAGTTCTTGCAGGATTGAATATGGAGCGCAAGCAGGTAATTGTTCTAACGCCACTTCCACCTTGCGTCACTAACACAACTTAGTTCGTCGACCTCTGTATCCTCCTAGGCTGCGATTACCTCGATCCTATCCCCAAAGTCGGTTACCACACTGCCCTCAAACTCATCCGCGAATACGGTGATCTCGAATCCTTCGTGGCAGCAGTCGAGAAAGGCAAAGCCAAGTTCACAATTCCTGAAGACTGGCCATATGCCGATGCTCGCGAGCTGTTCTTCAATCCCGATGTCCGACCCGCTGATCACGCCGACTGCGACTTCAAGTGGGATGCTCCTGATATCGATGGCCTCGTCAAGTTCCTCGTCGAAGAGAAGGGTTTCAGCGAAGATCGTGTTAGAGCTGGTGCTGCTAGGCTACAAAAGAACTTGAAGACCAGTCAACAAGCTAGATTGGAGGGTTTCTTCAAGCCAATTCCTAAGACTGAGGCGGAGATTAAGAACTTGAAGCGAAAGAACGAGGAGAAGAACGAGGAGAAAAAGAAGAAGCTGAAGGAAGAGAAGAAGGAGAAGGCCAAAGCTAAGGCTAAGCCAAGAGGTACTGCTTAAATGTACGAACGGCGAGGGATGTTGTTGCATTTTCTTTGGAGCTTGGCTCGGTCGGCGTTTTGGTGTTCAGACGAAAGAATGGGGATATTTGACGGAGATCAGCGAGGACGGGCTAATAGCTTGCTCTTGTAAGCTTTCTTTTCTGCTTGTAAAACTTTTCCACGAGCGATGGCATAGAGCCAAGTGATGAACAATAAAATGGACCACTCTAATCTTATTCTGCTTTTATGCAGGCGACCTTCTCAGACCCTCAAGTTCTAGCCAAGTTGGCACAATGCACTGATTTACCCCCGGCTTTTTGCTTTCCTTGTCCAGCTTTGTCTGCACTTTATATCCTTGTTGCTACCTGACTTTCCTCCCTGTTTATAACAGAGAACTCGACACAAGCCACAAGCAGGCAAGAAGGGATGATTGCAACGATAAATAAAATAGTTGGGCTAGCTCTTTGGATGCTCCCGAACTCTACACAAGCTGCTCCTTGACTTGGAATAGCGTTTCCACTAGATGTATTTGCGTTTGCGCCGCAAAGAGTAAGCAAGTCCTTATATCTACTGTCTTCTTTCTTCTTGCGCTCCACCTTCAATTCATCTTCAACTCATCTTCCTTTCCACCAAAACATCAACAGTCAATGATTCACCCCTCTTGAAGAGCTCATTTATAACGCTCTGATCTTTGCAACAACGAACCACAACATCGTAAAGATCAACTAGTGGAAGCATGTCTTATCTCAGAAACAAACAACACATGCGCCCAAGACCACGATGTACACACCGCAATGTATTCAAAGCGCCGCGCATCTACACTCAAGAAGACCACCACATAACATACATCATCGACTCCTACACCATCCAAATTACCTGGTTCCAGTCATCCCACATCCCATCTCAACCTAGCCAGAAAGCTGCATTCGAAAGGCTCGTAGCAGAAGCTGCTCTATCCTTAAATCAAACTGAGGTTCATATCAGGTTGGTCCATGCAATTAGGGAGTGAATTGGAGAGAAGCTGATGAGAAATATTTAGAAGCAAGCTGCAAAATGATGCGACTGAGGGCGGCCAGGTGGTGCACTATGATCGGCATATTCTAGTGTGGTTTCCGAAGATGAAGAGGGAGGCGCATGTTTATGTTGGACCAACTGAGGTGGTTAAGATTGAAGAGTTGAGAGTTTGGAGGAGGGAGGGAAGAGTTGCTGTTGTTTTGTGTTGAGGCAGGGATGGAGGGGTCTTTCTTTCTCTAGAAATCACGGAGAAAATGGCGGACATAGTGAACTTCACCCTCTAATTTGGATTTCAATTCTCGGCTCGATTTGCCTATATAAACACCTTTCTCTCCTCTCAATTTCTCCATCATTACTTGGACCTGCACTGCTCCCGATCACGAGTGACCTGTGTGTTTCGTTCTGGCTCCACGGTACGTGCTTAAAATGGTTCAATTCGCGGGTGTGTGATATCGTTGCGGAAGGTGGCATTGTTGTGGGTTTGACAATAAACAATAAGTTGGCAATAGAAAGTTAGTTGATGGTGAGTATTGATGGTTGCTGCTGCTGGAAGCAGAGAGTGAGATTTCGTGTCCTTGAATGCTGTTATGAGGAACCTCAACACGCTTCTTAGCAGAGTGGCCGCCAACATGATACTGTTTTACTTGGCCTTCATTTGCTATAAGTTTCTTGTTTTGTCTGTGTTGTCACTTCTTATAGTCAGAATAGCTTCAGGTATTTTGAATAGCTAAGAGAGATCTTTTCAAGTTGTCCCGAATGCGCTTCACGACTTCTTTCCGAATATCTCATAGCAAGAGATATCGTTCATAAGACGGTTTTGAGTCAATGAAACCACGATCCTCGATCATGAGTGTTCAACTCTGATTAGACTGCTTGCTTCTTGATTGGTCTACTCTTATGGTATTATTCAGTCAGTGCCGACAAATATTTCTCTACTTCTTGACTCTTTCCCTGCTTCTGATTCACATCTGAACACTCCATCTCTAGTTGAAAAAGCACATTATGTCTTCAACAGTCTTGCTCTTCATCGCATGTCTCGAATACCATTTCAATCTATCACCAAGTCCATCCCCAAGCTTCTCAAAATGGACCCCGGATACTCACTCCCATTCGACTCTCGAGCAGGCTGGATAGACCTCCCTGGTGGACATCCCGTCAAGTTTACATGGAAGTACTCTGTCCCTAACCATGCCGCCATGAAAGCATTTATTGAGAAAATATGTGCCAAGACTGCTCTCCGACATGGCTACCTGGACGTTACGATCAGGTGAGTATAATCGCTCCCTCCATCTCGAGCCTTCCCTGAGCCTCCCACCAGATCATGCATCCACGGCTCCACCCGTAGAGGGGGTAAACATGGCAGCATAGCAAAAGACTATCCGCATATCACCTGCGATTTTGGACATCCGCACAAAGAAACGGCTCATATCTATGTGGGACCTATTCCTAAGTGGCCAGAGCGTCTGAATTATGACGAACTGGACTTTTATAAACATCCTGATAGGGAGGCTGATGTGGAGTGGTTTACCATTTTGGATCAAACAGTGCCTTGGCCTGATCTGCAGGCAAAGTTGTGAAGGGTGTTGATGGTCTTAATGAAGTGTTCAGAAGGTGAAAGCTATGCTGGCATGTTTTGGTTTGAAGGAAGGGGTTTGGGTAAGAAGCAGTGTGGTGGAAATTAACGCTTCGGCGTAACCTCCTCGGAGAAAATCTTGATATTCAAATATGCAACTGGTCCTGGAGACCCGATGAGCCAGACCCACTAAGCTTTCTTCTTAAAGATTGTAACATCAATATGGAGTAAATTTCTCATCTGTGTGGATCCTCGAACGTGAACCTAAACGATCATATTCATGGAACAGTACAAGAAGGAGCTATGAATATGGCGTGTGACTGCCTGACCATCCATTGAGTAAGGCACATTGAATTCAAGGGAAGTGACACTCTCACGATCAGATGATTCAACCAACTTGATTTACTTGGTCTTCGAGCTTTGCGAATGACCCCAAATTGAGGATTGTCATTGAATCACGGATTCCATGACCGTAGATAAAAAGCCACCTGCACTTGCACGTTAACCTTCAGTCTATTATCACAGAATCATCTCCCAGCATGGATGGGTACGTGGCTGCAGGGCTCGAAAGTTTACAGAGACAACAAGACCAAGCAAAGAGCAAAAGTTTTACCGACCAGCAGAAACCCGATGCAGGATCAACTTCTCCTCCACCTATCAAACCACTTCACGAGCTTGAAATCAGCAAGAACCCATTCCTCAATTCAGGAGATGCAGAAGGCTGGATCACAATCGCTGGACATCTCGTGTATCTAAGTTGGAGCAAATACATCTCCATCCCAGCTGGGAAAACATACAAAGAGAGCATGGAGAAATTGGTGGCCGAAGCAGCCCTGATGCAGAAGCAGACGCAGGTAGAGATTCGGTGGGAATATCTCTTTCTTGCGCAGAAGCAAAGCTGATTAATAACAGTAGTGATGTACATAAACGCTCGAACGTGGGGACCAAGGAGTTTCCACAGTGGATACAGCACGATCGTCACATTACTGTGTACTTCCCGAAATCGCAGCGCAAAGCACATATCTATGTAGGACCTCATGGGGAAAGAAATGTGAAAAACATCAAGATCTGGAGAAGAGAGGAGAAGCCAAAGATTGTGCTTTGTTGAATCAAGTGTGTAGCTCATGTACGCTTCATGTCCATACAGTGCCGAGTATGATGCCAAGTGAATGTCCTGATAATGCTTGGGACAATGAGAAGTTTTGTTGCACATCGCAATAGCCATTTTTCTTCTCTCAACGAACAACTAGGCTAAATAATTGCGTGAAACAACTATATTGTCCTTGCGATCTGATTGGCCAGAATCGGTATCCATAAATACATCCCAAAGTCTGCTATTAGTATCATTTTCTTGTTGAGGTTCGTTGGTTTTTGCGATGTGCTACACAGCTACAGGGTCATGTGATAGCCTCACCAAAGTGCCCTAACACTTGCAATTATCTAGACTCCCTAGAGAAATATAGCTATAAAATTTTTAATTCAACGCAATATTTAACAAATCTTTTGTCTGTGCCTTCGTGGGAAGCCTTGCAAAAGCAGAAGTCGGACAAATCTTAAGTGAAACTTGGCCCATTCGCCAGTTTAGACAGTGTGGATGCAGGATTTCTGGCAGAAAGGTAGTCACTAACTCAAGATTTAAGTACAATCTTAGACTCTTCAATGCTACTTTGCATGTTTATTTATTTATGGAGCACACCTTCAAACATAATATCAGGCAAATCGGATTGCATTGCTATCTTCTACAAATACAGCTACTCGAAGTTCATTGAGAACCAAGGATGTCTCAACATTTGATCTGCATTCAATCGCTTTTCGACATCATAGTTCAAGGACCCAGATAGAAGATCATAGAGAAGTTCAGCTTCCCAAGGTGAGATCTTCGTTGACTGAACCTCTTTCCCTGATTTCTTAGTGGAAAGCATGGGATCTGGACGGACATTCTCTTCTTCTCCCGGATGATCTTGGGCTTGGGGCGGAAGCTCTTGCGAGGTTCTCAAAACGCCCTCTTCGCCAGCTTTCTCTTCTCTTGAGTCTCCTCCACCATTTCTTGTTCTATTGCCGTCGTCTTCGTGTGCGAGTAAATGGTTATCGTCGATAGCATCGATCAGCTCACGTAACAATGGTTTGAATCCTGTCACCGCTTCGTCTGCATCACCGCTGATTCTCTCTGGAGTAGTGACTGTAGGTCCCTTGTTGTAAGGAATCGGGCCAAGTACCTCCTCCATCTGGAAAATCACTTCTGCATCTCCTCCCATGACCTCAGCAAACAAATCCTTCCCAGATCTCAATTTATAGATGAGTACACCCAGAGCCCAGATATCGGACTCCTTACCGACTTTCTGTAAAAGGAGGTATTCGGGAGAGCAGCTGCTATAAGGTATCTGAAGATCTGCAGGCGGCGAATCGAGAGGATAGGATGATCCAAAATCAATCACTTTGACATCTCCAGTCCAAAACGGCAATAGAGGAATTGCCATATCTTCTCCTTCATAGACATAATCTGGTGCCGTTGGCTTATTCGGTTTGCCATCAATCCTGGTGATCTGCTCCATTGAAGAAGAACCTCTCACGAGATTGAGAATTTCTCTTGGTGATCGATTGTTTAACTTGAGATTGTTAATTGCCTGACGCAAGATAAGCTTTATGCCACAAGAATGATCAGATAACGAAGCTTAGGGTGATATACCAAAAGAACATTGGAGCAAGTCAAGTCGCCGTGCGCAATGCCGCGATTATGGATGGATGACACTGCTTGGGTGATTTGAAGGGCCAATCGCTGCGCCACCTTGCCATTCAACGAATACTCAGGAGAAATGGTGCCGAGACGTGTAACTTCAATGAATTTCGCGACACTTGGTCCCATCCAATTTGAAAGGATAGCAAGATGATTTCCATTCGGACCTTGAAACCACCATCGCGCCTCCGAAAATCCAACGAAGCCTTGATCTGCATTGACTGATTTTTCAAACTCATCGAGTCTCTTTTCAGTTTCGAAGGCTTCTTCAGAAGCTTCTGCCATGACGATCTTCATCGCAAGGAATCGTTCACTGCTAGTATCATGCACAAGCCAGACGGTGGAGAATCCACCATGTCCCAGCTTGAGCATGACTTCGTATTGATTTTCAATAACATCGCCAAGTTCAACCGGATGGTATCCACCGGGTCTGTAGTCTTCTATATCTTCGATATTGTCGGAGCGCTGGTAGTGGTATTGTCGAGACATGCTTATTCTTTCCTGGGTTCGGCATACGTGGTTGCTCTCAAACTCAACTGATTCGGATTCTGGGAGTTCCATGTCGGCTGAAGTCTCAGGAGTAGTAGCTGACAATTGTTGTGACTGGAAGATACCCATGTTCTCAAATCGCGATGCTGTCGCCTTTTTGATGTGTGGAAGAGCGGGGTGGATATGTGAAAACGGAAGAAGTTTGCTTTAAAGTCAATAAATACAGTCATTCTCTGTTCAGTATTGAGTCATTACTATCTATTCACCCATTTGACTAGGCATATGGTCCACTTTACAAAAAAGATCTAGAGTGCCGACTCCGGCCATTGAACGATTGCAGAGTCACGTGTCATTGAGCCGCAATACTTACTCACAAAATGGCCTTTAGGTGAGTTTGTTGGTCACGTGAAATCTCTTTTCCGAGATCCAGACTCTTACCACATTCGAATAGCATTGAGTCAAATGGAAGTTACATATCATGCTTTGGATATATGTGAATGATTCGAGACTTTCTTTAACGTGTCATGTCATGGTGTGGGCTAGGAGTTGTTAAGTGATCGCCATGGCTCGCTCGGTCTCGTCTCTGCCCCCTTTTCCCTATCCGTCCCGCTAAGAGTCAGTCTCTTCTAAGAAATGGTATGAATCCGAGATTTAAAATAAGATGAAGAACACCCTCATCACCGTCTCCTACCAGACTTGAAATAATCAATGAACTTTCCTGAGAAAAGCCCCTCTTTCACATCGAGAATATGATCATTTACAGCTGTTTCGTATCTTTTCTGTTGATCTGTAATACTCCCCGGCCCATAAGTACCAACGTATAAGCCAAAGAGAATCTTAGTAAGGTTGTAAAGGGCTGCAATGAAGCTGTAGATCGCCCTGTTCTGAAAAGCCTCCGAGAACAATCCGAAGTCGAAGTTATAAGCACTATTGAAATCTGCGCGCGTGCTTGTGAAACCGTGATAGACAGCAAACCTGAAGCGTTCATCTTGTCCATGTTCATCATTGGTTCGAGCTTTTCGCCACCACATGTCTAAACCTTGGAGCCCTTGCATTGGCCCGGCGTCATTGTAGTCTTTCCCGTTCGGCCTATCACAAGGAAGGTCTCGGAATTCACAATATACATCCCACAACATATCTTCTACGATATCATCATCATCCGGCTCGCCTACTCATGTTTAGCATAATTTTCAGGCTTAGTCAACTGCTCCATATCTGAAAGTCAATGTTTTCAAGAGAAGCTTACCATTTTCGACCTGTCTTACCAAATCTGCTCCATTTCCTACGAATAATGCAAGCCTGTCTACTGATTGGTCCTTGAGACCGAGAAACAGATACATCGGCTCGACGAACGGCGAGAAGAGAAAAGTATTCGGTTCTACTTCTGCAAACGCAGCTGGAGACTCCATGATCTGACATCCATGATTCAGGAACAAAGCTCTCATGTCTGGTGTCATCTGCGGATCTTGGACCACGATGTTGCTGAGTAATATTGGATTTGCATTGGCGAGTTGAGCTACGATTTGAGAGAATACGACAAATTGCAAGAGATCTCTGTCTTGTGTTCCCTGTTGTCCACTGATACCGAGGCAGACGGCATTGGAGATGGGTTGTGCATCTCGATCATCGATGATTCTTCTGACCACTTTCTGTAATTCAACAGGATATTGGGTGGCCAGCCATTCTTGTTTCCATCTTAAAAGTGACTTCTCGAGTTCGGGAACATTTGCATTATTCAGAGGATCGGGAGCCGTATCGTTTGGAATTCCTGTGTTCAGGAAACCCATGTCTCCTACCCTCAGAACCCCTCTTTGTAAATTGCTGGCTTTCTCGGTTATGTGCCTTTGAAACTATTGGATTTAAACAAAGAATAGCAGTATATACAATAGTATGTCGATAACAATGTACAGAACACAGTGTCAAGAACTCAATCCTTTGTAGGCATATAAAAGTCGAATTCTATGAAGAGATGAGCTATAACAATGCCCCGCTCTTGTTAAATTTATATTTATCATACTCCATGTATAAAGGTGTGTCTGAATGCAGCATACTTGATGAAAGGTAAAAATCCAAGAATAAAGGAAAAAAGGGAATTGTTGAAGAAATTTCAAAAACTCCATTGTCCAAGGCCGAATTTAGTAACAAAGACGAGTCTCGACAAAGGTCATTGCGACGAGGAGCCAAGTCGCTGATTAAGAGAGTGCAAAAGAGAAGAGGAAGACAGGCAGAGTGACCAAATTTCTCAAATACCATATATCGAAACACAAGTGATATCGTATATCCCATAAGTAGGTGGCGTCAATATCCTAGACATCATACCGTCATGTCTACGACTCTAATTCCTCAAGTGTATTTCCTTCGTTATTAGAGGCCCGTATTACTTCAATGACTATACTTGTTAGGAAGTCTTCGGTCGGAGGAGGACGTTGTTCTCGGTACCCCTTTTCAACGGCCCCCACACTCACGTGCCATAAGCGAAAACAGGGTTCAAATCCACCGATCGTCTCCCCCTTGTCAGCGACGTCATCTCAGCCGTCCCCCAGATTCATGCCCAAAACAAGAATTCGACGACCACTTTCCTTTTCTGAGCAGATCAACAGGGACTTTCTCTCCATAAAGACTTGATCCTCTGTCCCTCCAAACTCTTGTCTTATTGTTCTCTCCATCTTCCAAGTTCAGAACATATCTCCACTTATACACATACCAAGCTTTCATCTCCACATATCAAGCAAACAATCAACATGCCTCTATTCAACCGCCATCAAAACGTCGAGACCGCTCCTGTAGTCGAGGAGAAGCCTAAGCGCAGCAGCACGCTGTTTGGTCGTCGCAAGGAAACCGAGGTCTCTCCCGTTCGCTCCACCACTACCCATCACACTACAACCACCAGCAGCACATCGCCTCATCGTCGCTCCGGTCTTTTGCACAGGAGAGATGAGGACCCTACTATCATTGCCGCCCGGGAAAGAGTTATGAATGCAGAAGCTGCGGAACGAGATGCCGATAGAGCTCTCGTTGCTGCCAGAGTTGCTGTCAAGGAAGCGAGGGAACATATCAAGAGATTGGAGAAGGAGGCTGCCGAAGAGTGAGTGATCTTCTTTGTCGGTCAGATGAGAGTATGCTAATACTTTATGCAGGGCGAGACTTGCCAGAATCAAGCAGGATCAGGCAAAGAGCATGTCGAAGCGTGGACATGCACTTGGTCGTAAGTACCACCTTCTAGTACTTGACCATGGACACATCACTAATCCTTTGATGCAGGACATGAAAACCACTAGGTCATCAAACCCAGTGATGCGTCGAAGTTGTTCTCACGATGCGACGATACCCTTTCCAACTTCACGCAACATATACCCCTCCTTTCATTTGTCTCGAGCAATGGCACGATCCGAATATGTATGAGTATGCACAGCGAGCGATGAGCATGCGAGCGTGGTTTTGATTTCAGCGATTGTACAATAAATAGCTTGCAGCGTTTGATCATTTCAATTCAAGATTTTATCAAAGATTCTATCAAGAACTAGGCTTCACCGAGAATAATTTGACTGCAACAAAGTGATGGCTTGAATTATTCTATTATATCCTCGATCCTTTTATCAAGTCCACATCCAATAAAGCAATTTCTTCTATAAACAAGTGCGCCTCAAAGAAAACAGGACTACAAGACATGCTGTGCACCACTTAAGGTGCATAGTACTCCAACCACCTGGTCTCTTCCAGTCTATCCAGACTTCATTACCATGTCCTCCTCATGCTGCCACCCTTCCCTCTCATCCTTCGGCACTCTCACAAAAAGCACATCAATGACAAGCGCAGCCACAGCAAGACCAATCGCAAAATATAACGCTCCTCGATACCCCACCAAAGTCTCCATGCCACCTCTATTCGTATTGGCTTCCACCGTTCCAGCAAATCCCAGCCCAATACTAGCACCATAAAGCTGGAGCAACGAGATCAGTGATCCCGCAATTCCCTGCTCATGTCTCCTCACTGAATTGGTTGCCACGATCTGCGCAGCAGTGAACATGAAATCCGGACACAAGGCCATAAGAATAGTTGCCGGAAACACCTGAGCCCAATACGATTGCTGAGCAGGCATCGTAACAAGCAAAACGCTCGAAAGCAATATAAAACTCGCACCAAAGGCCATGATCCATTGCGCAGCAACTCTGGGTATGAGCCATGCTGCGAAAGGGGCAGCAAGACCGCCAAATATGGCGTGGGGTATGAGACCGATCGCGAAGTGGAACACTGACCATTGGCGGACGAGTTGTTGCCATGCGACCATGTACCAGAGCGCGATGCCGTAGGACATGATGCTGAAGAGGACCACGAGTACAAGGGCGAGGAAGGAAGGGGCGGTCCATATGTCGAGAGGCATGATGGGAGATTTGGCGAAACGGTGTTCCCAAATCGCGAAGCATATGAAGCCTATGATCGAGACGGGGAGGAGAGCAATCTCATATGAGGTGTGCCATCCCACTGCTGGTGCTTGACTGGATTTTGTTAGCAACATCTAATTATGAGGAGATTGGAGAAGTGAGCATACTTCCATACGAAGTTAAAGAGAATCAAGGATGTAAGTCCAATGAAAGCTCCCAACCAATCCACGCTCCCCTCTTTATCGACAGCATTCTCAGGTGGTAACACAAACCACAGAGCACCAAAGAGCACACCTCCAAGTATGGCTCTGTATCAAGTTAGTGTTGCAACATTCAGCATTCTAGAGACACTCACATAGTAAAGAAAAACCACCTCCACTGTACCCACTCAATGAAAACCGCAATCAAAAGGACGCCAATCGTCCCCCCAACAGGAGCCCCAAAGCCAAAGAACCCGAGCACAAGATTTCGCCCTCTTCCTGGCGGAAACGTAATGCCTAAGATAGCAACAATATTCGGCATCACGAAGGCAGCACCAATTCCACTCATCGCTCTGGCAATAGAGAACGGAATGATGCTTGTGGTACAGAAGCCGTTGATCATCGACCAGAGAATCCACCATACTCCGCCGAGGAAGAGGATATTCTTGTGTCCGTAAACAGCTCCAATGCGACCGCTGATGAGGACGAATGCACCTTGTGTCAAGGGGTAGGATGCTGCGATCCATGCAGTGGTCGTAGGATCGTGAACACCGAATGAGGCTCCGATGCTGAAGCCTCCGCCCATGCAGGAACCAAAAGATAGGAACTATGGTTTGTTAATTCTTGGTCTTGTGGTTGGGATAAGGACATACGAGAACGCTGTTGCAGAGGATGAGAAACGTTGCGATAGCAATTTTCCTTGAACTCGTCAAGTTGTCTTGTATTTGGCTCGGTGCTGGAAGAGGGACATTTCGGTATTTCTGAGAATCGATGACATTGTCGACGAGAGAGGGTGTTTTCTCAATGTCGGGTAAGAATGTGCTGATAGTGTCTACTGAAGAGGGAGTTTCGGCCATTTGAGCTGATCAGAATTCCTGGATCGAATGTGCTTGAATTCTGGTGATTCCCAGGAAACACTTGAAAGAGCACGCATATTATATATCTCTGGAGCACCAGATAATGCATGCAAATCTATGATGTGTTGATACGATGAGGTAGTATGTACTATCACTCTCGCGGAATGTTTTTCCCTGCGGAGAAATTGACTCGGGATGTTTGTCCATTCTAGAAAATGAGGATAAAACTTTCCGCCAACACGTTTTAACTTGAAGTACTCGCCCCGCACGTACCTCTAAGAGATGGCAAGATGGTAGGAACCAACAGAAACCATTGAGGGTGTTTGCTAGGTAGAATTAATGAACGGTAGGTCACCATCGTGGGTTGTTGCTATGATTATGCAATCATCGACGACAAGTTCATGACATAAGCAGGACATGCAGCCACAGACATTTTCTCCGAAGACGGCAAAGGCAGGTCAACCGAGTGACGGAAAGCACCATTTGACTTGAAATACAGTCGCTTGACTTGCAGTTTCTGAGCTTCACGATGGGGTCATATCTAGTCCCGCACCAGATCACGAAGCACTCATGCAATTCTGACCGCTATTCCGAGTCTAGCTGGCGGAGAATTGTCAACTTTTATCAAATTCAGGTCTGGGACCCGGGCGTCTGCGTGGCCGTTGCAGCTACTCTATGCATTGGAAATCGAAACAATCTGGCCCTGGCCTCCGAGTACTACTCTGCTGACTGGAAATGTAGAATATACGTGGTGAACAATGAGGGCGCTTGCGAATACAGAAACAAGAACTCACCTCTTGACTTGGAAAAGACACGAAAATGCAGAGAGAAACTGCGAACAACCAATTTCTCCAAGGCAAGAATGAAACAACAACTCGGCTCAATTCTCTTTCAACACTTAGACAGGAGAGTAATTCGATCCGATCCTCAACCCACCAACCTCAATCATTCTTCTTCTCCAGCGAAAGCTTCTCTTCCCTCCCACCTTCAGCATCCAAGCAAAAATCTTCATCACCAACCTCAAAACACTTCCCCTCAAAACCCGAACCAGCATACCCTCAAACCAATACACTAGATCATCATCAGCCATTACTCTTCAGCACAATGCACAAGAAGGTTGGATCGTACCTCGTTGTGAAAACACATGTCTGCAAGCTCCGACCAGGTGGGGAGATACAAAGACCGTTGCCAACAAGAAGAATACTGCGACAATGAATTCTAAGACTCCAGTGGTTGACAATGGTCTGGCATTCTTGAGCTCTTTGTCCCTCAATGGAGACGCAGGTTCATAGATAGGAAGAAGGTTTGTGTGTGCCATGATGAAAAAACTCGAGCCTTGTTTCGGAAGTCTGTCGAAAGAAGAGTCTTCAAGTACGAACTTTCTGCTCTCATATTGCTGGGTTCAACACATTTAGTTTCGCTCTGTATGTTTTCTTATCCATCTTATTCTCCCTTCTCGGCGTCTCCGCGATGAAAAAGATTCAAAGTGTTTCATTACCAACCGCGAGTGAGCATGTGCGGGGTCGCGGTCTTAGGTGAGCAGCCACCACTGCACCACGCGTTCATGGTCGGCCGCTGAATGTGTGAAAGGAGGAGCTTTTCTACGATATCGTGAATTGATACAGCTCGGAATATCCGTCGTTCTATTAGAGTCGTTGACATATAAAATATTTCTCGTCTACTGTTTCATGTTTTTGTACCTCTCACTACCCACTGACTTCACTTCACCTCAATTCTACCCCACCACGTATCCGCAACAAAGCACACCTCAACCCAAATTCAGAATGAAACTTCAATTCACACTCACTCTCCTCATCCTCGCTCTCGTCACGGCAGCACCCATACCACAATCAGACTCACCAGACTCACCAGACAGTAAGTCACCATTCCCAACGACAATGTTCCCTTCCAATCTCAGAACTCATGACTAATAACGGTACTTACAAGCCAGCTCCCCATGCATCCACAAGTCCAAACCAAGAAGGTAAATTGTTCGTGCGAGAGTAGCAACAGAAATGCTGACTATATCCCGAGGCATTGATACCACAGGGCCATGTTATCTGAAGAAACTGTAAAAGCGGCGTAGGATTGGGTGTTAAATAAATACTCAATGAATCAAAGTTGTACGAGATAAGGTGCAATTCCCTTTTCGGGAATTATCGGCCGCTTTCAAGAAATATAAAATTCTGCTTCTCTTCATCAGTTTTCCACGTTTTTCATTCCCCTCATCCCCTTCCTCACCACTACCTGAACACAGCCTACGAAATGAAGTTCCACCTCACTCTCCACCTCACTATCCTCCTCTTAACACTCACCTCCGCATCTCCAATCCCACTCCCACAATCAGACCCCGGCCTAGAGTTAGTAACCCTCTTCCCCTTCCCCCAGTGCCAAAGCTGAAAAACTGACCTAGTCACCAAGCCAGCTCCCTCCCTGTAGAAACAAACTCCAGTTCTGAAGGTTCGTTGCATTGCCGCGGGGAAAGCGAGAGGCTGACTGTGTCGAAGATGGGGCTGGGAGTGATACTCTGGGGCCTTGCTTTTTGAGCGGAGTGTGAAAGGGGTAGGGAGACTTGTTTTAATTGCTGCTCTGAGATGTGTCGGCCGCTTGCTTGGTTAGCAGGTGTCACTCTCCGATATGAATTCGTGGTTGTTGATTTTTCACTTTGGCTGCAGATATATAAACAGCTCTTTAATCTCTACGACCTAAATGAAAATCCAACAAATCCTCATTCCTCAGACCTTGACAAAATGAACTTCAAAGTCTCCTTGAATTTCTGCCTCGCCGTTCTGGTGACGTTCGTTGCTGCGTATCCAATGAACGCACCGACTACCGGTAAGCAGCCCCTTCTTTCATTGTCAGTCAGAGCTGATGAGGAAAGATATGGAAGATACATCGCCTGTTTGTTCAGGAAAGCTGTGAAGAAGATTGACTGATTGGTGGGAAGCAGATGTTGGAGGACCTTGTTTGGTGACGGGAGGGAGTGGAGAAGACACCAGCAAGAACAACGAATAATCAGGAATGAAGGATGAGCAGACAAGTGTTCAAGAACTCTACAATGTACATTTAGCTCCAACCGCAAACGATGATGGAAAGCTCAAGAAATCAGCAACAGCGCTACAGAGAATCCGCACCCCGCACTTCAATGCTCTTCAATGCTCATAAATGACAGCCTCTCCATAATCACACCTCTTCACCTATGTATTTCACTTCTCCACCCCCTCACAAAAAACCCTCAAATGCCTCCCCGGATAAAACGGCGTAAAACAATCCCTCCACTCTAAATCCTCCCTCTTCGTCCCGTCCAGCCTCATCTCCACCCTCCTCAATAACGTCGCATACAAAAGATACAACTCGCACCATGCAAGATTCATCCCCAGACAGCTTCTTGGTCCTTTGCTGAATGCTACTAACCATTTCTCCAGCCCGGAGGAATCGGGTGAAATCCAACGGTAGGGATTGAAGGTTCCTGGGTCCGAGAATATGGCAGCAGATTGGTGCACGAAGAAGGACGACATGCCGACTATGGTGGATGCTGGGATGAAAGTGCCGTTGATGGTGGCGCCGGTGGGAGGTACGATGCGGAGGAGTGGTGAGCAGGCGCCTGGTGCTACCCGGAGAGATTCTTTGATTGTTGCTGTTAAGAGGGGAAGGGATTCTAAAGCCTCAAGTGTTGGTGGGTTGTTGATATTCGGCCATGCTTTAAGAACTTCGGAGCGCAGCGCCGAGTAGAGTGTTGGTTGGTCGAGAATGTGGAAGAAGCCCGTCATGGATGTATCGCCGACTGTGACGCCGCCAGCGAAGAGCATAGTGAGAGCTTCGTCGAAGAGCGCTCCATCTTCGAAGAGCAGGTTGCTGTTGCGTACTTTGGGATCGAGGAGGCGGTGGTAGATGGTTGGATGTGGTGATGCTTCGAGGATGGAAGGACTGGTTGTTACATCTTTCACCTGTTTACCGAGAATGACTTGAAGCTGCGTCAAGCCAGCAGTCTCAGGTGATGCTTTGAGGGCAAGCCATGGAGGTAGTGAGAGAATCGTCTTCCGGAACCAGGGAAAGTGATGAAACATGTGGAAAGTCGGAAGCGAGTTGTCCATCGCGACAACGATCGGAGCAGCAAAGTCCGGCTCATCCATAGCATCGACTGATTTGGCGAAGCAGAAATCGAGGATCATATCGACAGTGAAGCAACGAAGTGCAAAGAGCATGTCAGATGACTTGCCAACGGCCTGATTCTTGACCAGAACTTGGACGAGATGATCAACCTAATGCTGTCAATTTCATCACCATTGACAAGAGCTGAACATGACCAACCTTCTCCCCAACCAACTCCTGCATCCCCAAAATGGCCCTCCTCGAAAACAACGGCTGCAAAACCTCCTTCCTCTGCTTCGCATCCCCATACCTCAACAACCCAAAACTCGACCTATCCTCCCCAAAAGACTCATACAGCTTCGCCTCCTTATCCCACCTCAACTCCGAACGGTAAATATCATGATACGCCTCCGGATTCGCAAAATGAAGCTATCCCCATCAGTCCAGCCCTACCTACAAATCACACCCAACTCACCTCATTCGGACCCACGCGCACAATATCGCCTGCACCGCATATATATCAGCCTCACTCCTGCATCTAGATGAAAGCAGCAAAGATCACCACACTTACCATACACCTTGTGTAGCCCGACCAAAACATGGACCATAGACTCCTGCCTCACGACCTCGACGTACGTCTTCCACCAGCTCGTCGCGGCCGCCGCTCTCGGACCTGGGAACCTGGATAGGGGATGCAAGAACACATTATAGACGCCTTGGACGACGCGATATGCGACGAAGGCTAGAATCGATATCACGAGGAGGTAGATCTTTCCTTCTTCCATCTTGTCAAGGTAGGTACAGGTACGACGATAACTCGTAATTCTCCCAATCGCGGTCGTTGGACTTTGTATTCCTCTGTCTAACGAATTTTGTACCCAACAACACAGCAGAAGAAGTGAGTGTATGCGTCCCCTGCCCCCAAAAAAGCAACCACACCTGGCACTCCTTCATAAGCGACCCCCTGCCCCAAGCCCCGGTAAGCCACCGCACCGCTACTGCAAGCCGCCGATAACGTCCCTTGAACAGCCGTCTTTGCTTGACACATGGAAATGCGGGTTGTGTATAGTCCACTTCATCTTTTTCACAATGACAATCCAGGGTCCTCCAGCTTTCACGGTTCAGGACTTGGTATCCCTGTTTTATTTCAAGCGTTCTTTCTTTGCTTTTTGTTTCCTTCTCTTGGGGCTGAAGGATGATGGTGCAACTGCTGGGCTGTCACTGTTGCACATGGATGGCTACATATTGAAACGGATCTTGTGCTACCAGGACTGTGCTTTTTCGAGGGGTTGGGCGTTTTACACATATTCAGCTTGGTAACCAATACTAATGCATGGATTCCATTTTGGCCCATGTATGACAGGATCATGTCACTATCTTGAGTGCAAGCTATCCGAAAGCTAGACTAGGATATGATCAAGAATTGGTTTCGAGCATGATTCTGGGCAGCGAATTACAAATTGTTTTCCATCTTCTGCTTCCCTCCCTTACTCCATTCTCTTTACCAAGTTCACTGGTGGGGTATACGTATGTCTGCCTGCGAAGAAGTAATATACGACAGCAAACAGCATCGTACCACAAAACATGACAACGTTCCAGTTCATCGTTGCAGGTGTGACTGGGGTTGACAGCGGGAAAAAAATGAAGACCCAGACCACAAGGAGAAAAGCAACTGCTCCAATGTTGATGGGAAGGCCGAAACGTCCAAGGGTCCAGCGCCGGGAAGGAAGGTCACCCTTCAAGCGACGTAGGATGAGGCATGTGAATGAGATGATGTAGGTCGCTAATAAAGCCGAGACTGCGAGAGATCCGATTGCATTAAACGCAACAGTTGAACCAATGTTGATGAGTGAGAGCAGACAAGTAATGACAAACGTGATCAAAACAGCATTGAGAGGAATATTCCAACCTGGTTTGACCTTTACCGCTTGTCAGTGATTGTTCTTGACAATACGGGAAGCATTACTTACATTGGAGATGAAATCAGAGAATGGAAGACCCTTGTCGCGAGCAAATGACCAAGTCTGACGTGACACAGTAGCCACTGTGCTGATACATGCGGACGTAATGTTGACAATGAGAATCGATGTCATGATGGACGTCCCCACGTTGCTCTGAGTTGCGTTGAAAAAGACCTGAATGAATGGGTAACCAGTTGGTGAGCCGATGATATCGGTCACGTTTCCCAAGGTGAAGCAAAACGTGATGACCATGATGAAGCCGAGAGTGCCATTGACGGATGCAGCCCAGATAATGGCTCTTGGAAGCACAATTGATGCATCCTTGATCTCTTCAGACATGTGCACTGCAGAGTCGGCTCCAATCAAGGTATAAACTGGCGAAAGTAGTCCGACCATGAAAGCCAACCCAGATGAGCTCCAGCCTCCAAGATTCAAAAAGTCGGTGAAAACGTCTTTTGGCGAGCTACGTGGGGCAAGGACCCAAAGTGGTACAAGGACAGCGAAAAATCCTAGCAGGTGGATGATCAAAACCATACCCTCGACCATAGGAAGCTTCTTGGCGAGAAACGTATTGAAGATAATACAAAATGCTGTGATTGCGATCACAAGTAGGGTTCCATGCCAGTTCTTGAAGACATAGTCGGGATTGTCAAGGACAAGAAGGCCCTGGATCATCGTGCCCGCTAAGAAGGCGAGTGATGCAAGGCCTGTCTGCCATCCTAGAACTGAGGTCCATCCTAACTTTGTCAGAGAAAAGTTGCAATGTTGAAGAGCACATGCTTACCAACGATATAACTCACGAACTTTTGAGAAGAGGGAGGTGCAAATTCCGAAACCCAATGATACTGTCCACCTGACGTGGGCGCCCTGCATATTTATCAGTTCTCATGTGGTGCGAATCTGTCCATCCTCTTGTACCCACATTGAAGCCATTTCCGCCACTGTCGCAAACACAAGCATGTAACCAATCCACACGATAAGATAACCCCAGATCATTCCTGCAGTGCCTCCATTGATGAGAGCAAAAAGACTGGTCCTGTTGATGGATCAGTATTGTCGAAGGTGCAGGACAAGGAGAAGAAACGTACATCAAAGCAATTTCCCAAGTACTCATGAGCGTGCATGCGAAACCCAGAGTTGAGATGAATCTGAAGTTGCGCTGTGAAGAGGGTGTTAGACGAAAACGCTGAAAGTGTGCATGGATCTGCGTACATTGAGCTGTTGTGTTCGTCCCAGCATTTGCATGTCACGCTCGTCGTTTTCTGTGCCTCCCAACTGCGAATAGTTACGCAGCTCAAAGACGCCATTATCGGTGTTTAGACTATCAATAACACGAGTGCTGCCGTTCCCGGGTTTGTCCATGAGAATAGACATCGTTGCCGGTGATTGGGAGGTGATTGGAAGAAAGCAGCTGAATTCAGCTTCAGTCGTAAAGGTGAGAAAATTGAAGTCGAATGCTGAAAAGAGAGAATGGACTTTTTGGATAAGGACAAGGAAGAGCTGCAGCATTGGCGCGGTTTTGTCCTTTGCAGCAGTAAACGGGGTAGTCGCGAATGGAGGGAGGTGCATGGAACTAGTAAGAGCGACATAGCCGAGCTATCACCCCCACGATGTGACGAGGAACGAAGCTGGGGACCTCACAAAAAGCCACTCGGCCAGCCAAATGCTTTGATCAACATGGGTTCAGCAACTCAACTGTTCCCACTTCCCTGCTTTCCAGGAACAGACGCAAGGGTCTCTGTGCAACCTTTCACGCACACGCGCCACTAGACACCCCGAGCTACAAAACAAGCAGTAAAATCCGGAGGGCTGATCCACGCAACAGTATTGCCAGCTGGTTGGTCTGGAGTTGGCTTTGGATTGCCAAAAGCAATACTCCTGCTGGAGCGTTTCATCGGGAGTTTTATTTCCGACAAGGAGGATGCTCGATAGCCCAAGTACTTTGTAACCATTCTCAAGCTAGTGGTTGGGGTCACGCTTATGAGTAGCATGATGGAACCACAATCATTTTTCGATTTAGAAAGATACTTGAAAGGTCGCATTTCATAACCCCTCAATTGTCGCTATGGCGTACAACGGATCACAACTGCTTCCCGGGCAGTCAGCTCCTCTCGAAGTTCTTACTGCTACGGATCAAAGTGGTGTCATCTTGATTGCGGCAGCGCTGGGTTTGATTTTCGCTATCATCTCGCTGCTCATTCGAGTTTACCTCCAACTGGAAGTTCGGCACCATGTTGCTCGCGATGATGCTGCTGTTCTGCTTGCCATGGTCAGTTAAATGTCTTCCGAATTCTGGCCATTGCTGATATCTGAAAGCTGGTTTTTGTTGGCCAGTCAAGTGCTGTATTTGTAGAAGTATCCAAAGGCTTTGGGAAGACTTTGTCAGATATCCCGCTCAGCAACTTGACGTCTTTGCAAAAGGTACATCTTCTTCAAAACCATGTCACAACCACAAATTGATCCGTTCTAGGCTTCATACTCGAGCGATATCCTCTACCTCGTTGCTGTATGGTTGACAAAATGCTCCGTTGCTTTTTTGACAATCCGTCTGTCACCAGACAAGCGCCATAATTTCGCATCCAATGCCGTCCTCTATACTTCGACGTTGTTTGTGGTGATCTCGATCTTTATGTTTGCTTTAGGGTGCAATTTGTCTGAGCCGTGGCTTTTTATCGATACTCCGTACGGCATGAATATGGTAGGAGCAACAGACGTCCTTGCCTAATACATTCTAACAATTAACAGTTCCTTCGTTGGCAAATTGTGGCTGCGTTTGATATTGTGACAGAGCTTGCTCTGCTTGCTCTTTCATTCTACCTTGTTGGAGGTCTGCAACTCTCCAGATACAAGAAATTCGTGGTGATATTTGCCTTTGCCCTCCGCTTACCGTAAGTTGACCCTCTCTCCCCTAGAGTGACTTCTTACTGACTTGGCTAGTATCATCGTTGCAATTGCTTTCCGACTCCATTTCCTCCGAAACGAGCTCTCGAGTTCGGATCCCACGCTCAAAGGCTCCCTTGCCTCGGTCTCGACACAAATCCAAATCAGCTATGCGATCATCGCAGCCACCACTCCATGTCTTCGACCCTTCATGTCTGCACTCAGTACCAATTACGGCGCACCCGCGCAGATCAAGACACCATCAAGCACAAAAAAGTCAGACAACAGCTATGCGTTGTCGTCTTTCTCGAAGAATCGAGGTCAAGAGAAGGGAAAACAGATAAATATAACCAAGACTGTGCCCGATACGAGATGGGATTTGGCAGATCATCATGCATCAGTCGTGGCTGGCGATAATATCAGTTTTGACAGCCATTCAAGTATTCAGATGATCATTCAGAAGAATACTGAATGGGGAGTGGAATTTGAAGGACGAAGTCAGAGATCCGAACTTTCGCCTGAGCCTCCTCAGGAGCCTTCTCCGCAACGCTGATTCTGTATATTTCTTTTGGTCATGACACGGAGTACTGGGTAGATGGGATAGAGTCGCAAGCCATTGGATTTCTTGTAGCAATCCACGTCAACAACAATGGCAATGTTCATCACGATTCCACTTGGCCCCCTAGATTTCCTCACAATGAACTTCCAATGTCTCTCCACACAAGCCTGTGTCGTCACCCCGCAGAACAATTCATTCTCCCCCGTTCCGCTGTCTAAGACACTCATTCGTAATATCACCTCAAGATGATGGCTTCGCTTACAACGCATAATAAACCCTCTTCACCACTTGGCGAACTCTAGCTGAAGAGGCCGCGATAAGCCCCTTCCAATCAACTCACTCACAAAGCTTCGTTCCGGCCCGTACCATCACATTTCCACCCAACCCGAGTCTCGCATGTTATTGTGGCGTCACATCCCCGTCACCTCCTCGCGTCGGACAATTGCCGTATCCGGCTTTTGCGTGCGCCACATCCACTTATGCCCACCTCATGTTTACTTTTTTTTGGTGCTCGCAACCTCTTGTTCATCGCCGTGAGGAAAATGATGGTTATCCCGCCCTTGCATGCATTAGATAATGTACGACCTGTCTGGGAGAATGCCGTCCCGTCTCCGACTGCTCCAGGGTCTTGGTTATGCCGTTGATAGCTGCCGTGTCTAGAACGTGGGATGGTTCGTTCGCTCATTCGTTTACCGTGTCCAATTGGAAGTCTTGTTTCATCTTTGCAAAAGAGAGTAGAGTTATGATGGAAACGGCGCACAGCCGTCGACGTGTCGGCTTTCTGTTTTCTCCCTTCTAGCATGAGGGATAAGACATTAAGGTTAATCATCAGTTCTCGGCTTTTCTTGCCAGATTCCCATCTTCCGGAACGGAGCGCTGTCCAGCTGGGAGCTAATTTCCACGACCTCCCTTCAGATGCAGCGAGGCCATCAAGTGATCACATCGAACGTTCCAACTCCATCTCAAGTCTAGAGTCCCAAGGGTCTCGGGCCCTGATCCCAACCCATAGGATCGGGTCATGCAGGCAGGGAAATCCGAGCACGTTCTTCGTCCACCCCACGATTTAGCACGTCCCAAACAAGCTGTGCTACCCAAGGTCAGGAAAACGGACTCGAGAACGTTGCACTACCGGTAGGAGTATTGTTCCTTGCTGGTGTTTGGGGTTCTTGCACACTCATTTGATCCTTTGAGATCCGGTGGTATCTCCTGAGCTAAGCGAAGGAGAACCTCCTGGAGCTGAAAAAGCTCTTCGGACGTTCTAGATTGCAGCGAAACTTTAATGTATTAGGCGCGGTAGCCTTGATATTTAGTTCATCAACCGGGCACTGATCCACGGATGGAATGTTCATGGTGTTGTGGCCTGAATTTGATATCTTTACCAGAAAAATAGTGCAACTAACATAAATGTAGGATAAGAATCTGAGAAACAACATCCGTGGATTAGTGATAGATTGAGGAAGTAAACTGCAAAAGGGGGCAAGGACTTTGGCCACGATTGGAAGAACTTCTCACGTGATCCTGACATGTACCGTGGAATACCTTTTGTACAGTACGAAGTACATGTCCGATGTTGGAAGGGGCACCATCTTTGTCGAATCAAATCAAAATCCAGATACACTTTCTTGGTTTGTACGATCCTGGTGGCAGCCTTCGTAGATTTCTTGCTGTGAGGTCTAGGAAGGAAGAGAGAAGGATGTCGCTTACGAGATCAAAATATAGCAAATGCTGACATAAGTTTCAAACTGTGCCTTTTTCGACAAGGATCTCCATCCTCCGCAAAATGACGATCGTGAGAAATCCTTTGCCCATTGCTGACACAATATCCAACAAAAGCTTCGCTGCGACTCATTTTGTAATCCGTTTCTGCTTGAAAACTTACCTCATATAATGGAAACTCGGTCAAGAGCTCGTCAGGAGCCTGATGCCATAAGTGACACTCCGATGGCTTTAGACGTCCCCCTAGAGAGGGTGAGTGGGCTCGTTCATACGTCTCAATGCAATGCTGATTCCATACTCAGATCGCACCAACACTTACACAAAACACTCCCCAAAGCGCCATACCACAGCCGAATATGGGCTGGCACATGGATCCCAATGACCTTCCACTCGAGCACCCGATCGAATTCATGCGCCAACTTGAAAGCATTGGCTGGAACGGCGGAGAGCACTTCTTTCCTGGTGTGTATCTCAGGTTAAAGTTTCTTGGCACCTGGCTCGACTAACCATGTAAGGCAAACATGATGAGTTCTGTTTCGTTTGTGGAGGCTCGATGGAGTTATTTGGATGCCAAACATGCGAAACTTGCTACCACGCAGCGTGCATGAGCCCAACCTTAGAGGTTGACGATGTTCCTACTTTCTGGTTTTGTCCTCATTGTGTGGATCGAGAGCTTCACATCCCACCTGATCTGTCTACATCATACCTCACTCCCATGTCGCCACCGCAACCTGGAGGAGTGTACCCTTCTCCCAGCCAGTCGAGTCTGGGCCAAGCTTCAACTCCGAATAGCCAGCCCAACGCCCCCGCTCCACTGTCGAAAAGGAAACCTGAAGGACAGATGATCGATATAAAGGGGTCAAAGCAGAAAATCCACGAGATAGCAAGGAGTCTGAATAACGCAACACTAACAGAAACTCGCAAGGAACCAAAAGCAGACTTGACCAAGGCACCTTCTGGACGGTCACGACGGACAAACTCCCCGCCACGAAAGCGATCGAAATATTCTGCGTATTCGTCTGAGGTAGACAAAGCGCTTGCTGTCATCCACAAAGAGCTTGAGGCTGCTGCTCAGAACGGGAAGTCAGAGGGCAGCCTTCGAGAACGCATTCACACTTTGGAGCAAGAGTTGAGACTTAAAGATGGCCAAATTCTCCTCTCTTCACGAGAGCTGGAGGTGGCTCGACAGCAAGGTGACACAGCTCGCCTTCAAGCTGAGGTGAAGGAATTGAGAGCACAGAATGAGGGTTTGAAAACATTGGTCGAGAAGAAAGATGCCGAACTCAGAGATTGGAGGTCGAAGCTTAAGACCTTGCTTGGGAATGATGCCGAATGAAGAAGAGCCTCTCTTCACTCGCAACGCAAGTTTTGTCATTCGGCGAAAGCGTGGACGCACCTCAAACCTATCTTCCAGGCCAAGTAACCAAGAAAGCAGTCATCTGGTGAAGTCGAACTCACAAAATGGAAATTGTACAGAGACACTGGAGCTGGTCATAAGGTCTCGGACAAAACTGGCTACTCTGGCTCTTGTTTCCCATTCCGAAGGACCTCTCTTAAAAGGGCTCATGGTGGCAGCCTGAGACTTGTCTCGTGATCAGAGCTTGCGGCGCATAATTGCCCTCTGCTTGTCTCGTATCATATGTATCGGGACACTTGTGCCTGGACCACACCAAGGCACATTTAGCTGCAATGATTCTCTGGCCTTGTCTGCTTCACCTCTGGGAGTTTCCCGGGTCATTGTACCCATTCTGCTCCATTCTCTTCCTTCATTTGCCTAGCCCTGGAGACCTCTAAATCGGCCTACTCTTGCCTTGAAAGCTGCTTGGCTAATAAGCCTAGCCTGCCTGAACTTTAGGTTAGGCTGGTTGGAGAAGTGTAAGCTAGGCTGAGACAAAAGGTGCTGTTGATGGAGAAGCCTAGGTACTTGAAGTATCTGATTTTAGCCTTGTTCAGCCTTCTCTGGTTTCATCCGCCTCCCTAGCCTCGCCCAAGCCAGGAAGGGCGAAGGTCCTAGCACTAGTCTAATTTGGGTCAACACCGCGTGGCCTAGTGCTCTTCAGAAGGAATATATGCTCAGGACCTCATCTCCCCGCTTCTTCCAATAACATCATCGCAATTCAACAAGCATCGATCCTAAATTTATCAAAAAGTGAGCGCTACCGAATATATCAAACACATCACTATTGCACTTTCATACCCGAGTTCCCTCGGAAATACTGTGCTCGACGTCTCCAGCATGGGTGCCTCGACTGATGAAGGCTCTGCTGCGGTATCTTACCTGGGACTTCTCACTTGTCACAAGAACGATATTCGTTGCCCCGACGAGTGTTCTAAGAGCGACTGCGGCCGCGAAATGCGACTATATTTCAACGGAAACAATAGCACTCCTGAAACGTAAGGATATGTTCTTCTCAAGCAATCCGCTGTCATTCTTGCTATAGGTAAAGTTCTAACTTTTGACTCTATAGACTCCTTGCGGGTCTAATGCGCCTCCCAGTCCACATCAGGCATGACATTTACGACCTTGTTGTTCACTCCGATGCTCCAATCAAGCATCCAACTATGTGGCTTAACTCCAGCCAAGCTCTCGTCGCCCCAGACATACCCGCCTACAGAGCCGATCCTAGATTGCCATTGGTACCAACGTTGGAAAATAAGGGTGGCGATTGGGATCCAGACAAAATTTGCTGCTGGGCGTTTTGTCGCTCTCAAGGTTTCGCTGAAGCACTTCACAAGCTAGGCAAGACAGGCAACCAGTCGGCAACACGGTGTCTCGAAGACTTTTTGATCCTTGTGGGAGAGCGAACGGTGGTGGAGCTAGATAACTACAACTTCATATGGAAGCAATCAAGCTCTGGTTGGATTGTATGTACTAGATTGTTGGATTACTTTCCTCTACTGACCTAAGTAATGCAGAACTCATTCGAATGGTTTCGGAGCTTGAAGCCCTATCATATCTTTCTACGCCATCTCTCAGTGGAATATGAGAACCAGATCGAATTTGACTATTCGAAAGGAAGGTGGGTTAATAGTACTATTGGATATATCGCGCAATGCCGCTATATTCAAAGCGCGCTGCCCAACCTCAAATCGGTGATTTTCTGGTTCCAACTCACCAGAGAGCAACTGAATGGTGCCATCTATCATGCAAGACAAGAACCATGGTTTGAGGCAAGCAAATTGATTGATGCTGAAAAGGTAGACGTCAAGCTCGTGATCGACCCAGACTTTGGGCAAGGCGAACGACTGACTCGGAGTTCTGAATGGGATCGAGGATTTCTTCGCAGAGGTCTTAGCTCAGTCGTGGATGAGGAAGGTGCTTCGATGTTACAGAAAATCTTATCTGCAAAGCGAATTCGTACCCTGACGGATGATCTCGACGATTTCGATTTGGAGTCTTTATGGAACGACGAAAGTTTGGCATAGACTGATCGGGTGGGCAAATGGGAAAGAAGCCAGAAATAGGCTTCGAAGAGAAGTTCTCCGAGGATCTATGAGGACTGAGGCCGTAAGCGCAATGCGGAATAGACACCTAATGGACTTCCCTTATCAAAATTGGCCTTCAGTGATTTCGTGACACCAACAGACTTCGCCGTGCATTGGGTGTTTCTCTTGCATGCTTCACATCATACGTAGATAGTCTCCAAGATTGTCCGTCGGGAGTGGCACTAATCTTTAGCTGGCTTCGGTGGAAGAGAGGCTGCAAAAGCTTCCTCCCCATATATGCTTACAATCTAATGAGCCAACACCATATGATTGAAAAGCAGCGGTGTCCCCAACCTTCACTGACACGGCAGCTTTGCCGATTGCTGGGATACCCGGGCGGGGCTTCAGCAATCTGGCAGCTCAAGGTGGCATCACCTCAGAAAGCGAGATGACCTCGGCATATGCCCGGCCAATACTCTGCTTGAGGTCCGTCGTAGCTAGCATACAGAGTTTAAATTCCCTCGCCCCGCATCGCATTGACTTATTACCTAAGTGAAATCTCGTGACCTGATGAATTGTCAGGACTGATTTATTTTTCGCTTAAAATTTTATCTTCGCTTCTCCCAAACAGAAAAAGAAGAAAAGGACCACACACACGAAGAAATAGAGAGAGAAATCGAAAAAAAAATTGGTAGCTTCTCTTTGATTGAGCGTGTCCTGTCGCATGATTAGAATTTTGAAGACGACATTTTCGCATAGGAATTACTTACATCCTTAGTGCAGGGGCCATGCTAATCTTCTCTGTATCGTTTCAAACTATTGTTTATTAGAAATTATTTTCATTTTTAGTAAGCAGGGCTCATACTTGACCAAATGCCCGAAGGCGGAAGAAAATGCTTATTTAAAGCTATCACCTTGATTGTGATTGTGCGTACCGGTATGGCCACTTATTCGCTGGCTTAGCGAGGGCTACTCACGTGATTCCTCGTTAAAACATCCACGCCGTGACCGTTCTATTTAGCATTTGCTAACCTCAATCTACGTCTTAGATCATGTCCTACATTCGTCAGAGCAGCTCGCTAGTGGGATTCTTCTGCTACGAACAGCGTAAGGTCTGAGGACCTTCGGCTTAGAAATGACGCTAGTCAAATAGCATATACTTTGATATCATTTTTAAAATCTGTATCAATTTTAGATTAAATCCAAGACGGAAGTGGACTTTGACAAGCTCATTTGGCGTTTGAGACTATATTGGTAATTGTCAAAAGATTACATCAACTTTTACATTAACTTTGGATCGATCATCGCAACTTCAAAAGAAGATTACACATCGACTATGGATACCACCACAAATACCGAAATGATGGATCTTGCGACGCCGAGTTCTCTTTGCGCACTTGATACTGCACCTGAAGCAAGACAGGACATGGACGAACCTGATATTGCAACTGTAGATCAAGACAAAGTATTCATACCCTCACACTCGTATTGTAAAGCCCACAAGCCAGCTTGGTATGAGGATAGAGCCTACTGGCCAGGAGTTTGCGGGCACGATAAACCCTTCAACTTTGGTAAAGACAGTATCTCGTCGGAGAGGTAAGTATCAATCCGGTATTCCCCATCGTCGAAATACCATCGCAAAAATGCCATCTAACAATTCATAACAGGTTCCTTGATGGATTATTGAGCCTCCCAGAAACCGTTCGAGACCAAATCTATGACCTTGTCGTATTCGCAGAACTTCAAGACGCAGAAGTTCCTCCACCACTTCCAGCTGTCTGGCTCGGTCCTGAAGGCTTTCTTGTAGCTCCTAAAATCTCCAGCTACCGTAGACTTGGGCTTTGATGCCTACTCTGGAGGCAAAGAGCGGAGACTGGCCATACAGAGGCACCAACGATGAAATGCCATACTACGAGCTGAGCTTTTGTCAGTCGCGAGGATTTACTCAACAACTTCATAACATGGGCCGAAACAGCAGCACAGCAGCAGGCAGATGTCTAGCTGACTTCTTGGGCTTTCTAGGAGAGCGAATAGTCCTTGAACTGAATGCGTACCTTTTTTACTATTGGCGTCATGAGATAACAAGACTTGTAAGTTCGTATTCCAATTGTGCATATTGTATCAGCTCTCTGGTACTACTTTTAGCTGACTCCAAACGTGAGTAGGCAAGCTTTGAGTTACTCAAAGATCTCAAGCCATATCACAACTACATAAACCATATTTCTCTCGAGTATTGCGTCGGACTAGACCGTATTGGAAATTTGGTAAAGCTCTGCGAGTATACTCAATCTTCCCTCAAAAGTCTCAAGTCCATCATCTTCTGGTTTCAGATAACCAAAAGGCAACTCAATGCAGTTCTGCAAAGTCCAAACGAGCAAGAGTGGTTCCGAGCCTGCAAATTATTGGCAGTGGAGAAAATTGAAGTCAAGCTCCGTATTGTTGGCCGTGTACCTCGTCATTGGACAGGCGATCCTCGAGAGGACGGACTCCCTCCCTCCCATATTTTAGCTCGGTCTAACGTCTGGAATCAAAGATATCCGCGAGAAGGTGGGTATGAGGATAAGGAGATGGCGGCAATGCTCAAGAAGATATTGACACCGGGAAGAGACTGGGGCCTGACTGACGATCTTCAAGAGGATTTTGGCATGGGACGTCTCTTTGGTGATGACGGCACCAGCATGAATGAGGCATAGACATATAAGTAGCAGATCAGTGGCTAAGGGGTTACTTTGGATATCGCGGAGAAGGTCTTAGGCTTTTAGCTTTTGATTTTCGATTTTTAAAGCATCAAGACAGAGAAGCAATGGAATTCAAGTATCAACATTGACCTGAATCTGTTCTCCGCGTTGAACTATTTCCTTGGCGAGTTGTTTACTCGCTTTAAATCATGCAACTTTATAGCTCAGGAGGTCCGGTCATGAATTGCTGAATATTATACTTCTTCAATGACCAGACGTAAGAGTCTCAATTGTTAATGCGAGATCTTAGAACAGTAGTGTGAGTGATACCAACAGGTTCCTACATATAATCATGCAGATCGTGTCCGACATTCAGGGGTTCATATGATAGTATCAGACTCTTAAGTCATGTTAGACATTCTGCCCATCTCAAACATCCAACTCATTTGAAAGTTTCGACTCACCTCCAACACCTGCCTCATCACAAACAATGGTCAATGACGTAGGATATTTGCCATCTGGCAAACCCGAACCAAACAAGTTCCAATCCAGTTTAAAAAGCACAAGCTGAATACGCTCCACCGAAGAAAGAAGTATTAAGATCAACAAGCAAGACTGACAACATTCACTCCCGTATTTTTCTACATCTGTCGAAAGCTGATGCCGTAGCCATCAGCATCCAAAAGCATGCACTGTCCATATTGACACTCCCAGCCAGCTGGGATAATGTCCACAAAGCAACACCTTATCAGAGTTGCAGGCATACACCATTACATTGCATCATTCTACTGGCAAGCGATATCTAAGTTCAAACCCATGGACGGCATCCTACTCCAACTCCAGCAGGCAAGGCTACGCAACTGGCTATCGACACCGTCGTAACTACACCTTGAAAAGAGCGACCTAGATACTGGTATGTTTTTCGTAATATATGACTTGTGATAGAGTGTTGTTGGGTCCTGGGTAAGTACAGCCAGAGACAAGACCCCCCAAAATTGCGGCACGGCGTAGCACGGGATGTTGAAGATGATTCTAAGTTAATTCTATTAATTAGCGGGCTATCCGATAGTACTGGAAAGACAAGTATAACGATTGGTTCGCTAGTCCTAGAATCAAATCCGCATTGTGGGGGGCCGGCGGGGGGTGATAGCTAAGATCCTATGCGATTGGTTTTTCGGTTTGGCCCCCAACTCTATGCTATGTCATACAGATCACTTCTTCCCCTCCAAACACATATTATATGATGAGTTAATACCCGCTGCGCCCGCTTTCATAGCATTCAATTCAGCAATCCAATATCAAAAGATCCACGTTGCTATACGTCAATAGAGCTGTATAAATCTCGGTGCGACGGGCTCCGGTGTTTGTTGCGGATCAGAAAGCACTCGCTCATAATCTGCCCTTGAAGCATCCCAGAAGATTCGCCGGAAACCCGTTCACAGTCCTGATTCCTTCGCTGACACCACAACCGATGTGACGGTGGACGATCTTAACTCAAGGAATCAAAATGATACCGCGATAGCTAAAAGAGGGCTATTGGACAATGCTCATGGCGCAGCCAATGGACCAAGGACGAAAGGTGATACTTCAACGGCCGAACAAGTTTTATTGAACAAATCCGAGAGTAACACTAAGCCGAAATCTCGCAACAATCGGAAGACTTAAGATTGACTTCGTTTTGGTTGGGGATGGGAATTTCTGGCTTGGACCGTAGCTTTGATGTCTATGTGTGCAATCATTGGAATTCTGCTCAAGTTCCGCGGCAGAGCGCTCTCGGATCGGCCATACCGCATCAAGCTGAACACATTAGTCTCTATCTTCGCCCAGATTAGCTCAACAGCACTTGTTGTATCACTATCTGAATGCATCAGTCAACTCAGTAAGCTGTAATGGTTTCTTGAGTTGCCATTCTGCATTTCTGGGCCATCTGATACTCACACATGCTGACTGACTGTTTTATAGAATGGCTTTGGTTTGCCCAACGCAATCAGCCTCTCAGCGACTTTGATACTTTCGACGAGGCAAGCCGCGGGCCGTTATCAAGCGTTGTCCTTATTTGGAAAACTCGGGCTAGGTACGCTTGCCCAATTTTTGGTGTGGATGATTTTCTGACTTGCTATCAGCCATTTGGTGTCTTTGGGGGCGCTTTTAGTCAGCGCTTTTAGTCATTGCTAACTTAGCATTCCAATCGTTCGTCCAACAAGCTGTTTCATTCCCGCAAAGAACGATTGGAAATGGGACTGCTACAGTGCCGACGATCTATAACTTGACCCGAGATGGTTTGCAAGGAGGCACCTCGAGCACAGAATTCAGTGGTAAGAAACCTCAAAGTAATTCCTCTTTTATTTAGTCTAATGATGGAACAGAAGATTATCCGGGTAGCATTCCGCCATTTACTGTTGCGTCAGTATATGCCGGCATGAACGGCGGAGTAGAACTCTCGCAAGTTATTCCCACCTGTCCAACGGGCAATTGTACCTGGAGCCCCTACAACTCTCTAGCACTCTGTGCCAATCCTGTTGCGAATTTAACACATTCTTTAAACGTTACAAACGCCTACGATGGATCGCCTATGAATGGTTCTTGCGCCTTGATGGAATGCAAATACTCTTTACCTAACGGCTTGTCTCTTGCTCCAGACAGTAGTGGCGCCATGACCGTCGTCCAAGTAGCATCCTTGTCTCTAAATGGCACCAATGTCTCGCAAAGATCTTCGCCATCGAATTTGACGTCCATTGCCTTTTCTGATATACCTGTCGTTCTGGACTTTTTCATGATATACTCAGATCAGAGCTACGCTAACGTTGCCGCCCTAGAGGCGTCCCTTAGTTTCTGTGGCCAGACTTACAATAGATCTGTTGCAGAAGGCAAAGTCAATACGACGGAATTAGATAGGTGGGGCTCCCTCGACACAAGAGTTGCGGCCGCTTCATCTGAACCTATCGTCAATTGGCCTATTGTTGGCAACTCTACGACTTTATGGGTAGAAGAAGCCTACGTGGACTCGTTGCAATACACATTATCTTCTATATTCAGTGGAACTTATACAATACAAGTCGGCGGCACTGCAGAAACTCAACTCAGTTCAGTTGCTGTGCAAGCCTTGAACAACACCATAGGCGGTTCTCTGGACGACGTGGCTGCTTTCCAGTCTTTCATGGATGACTTAGCAGTCAGTATCTCAAATAAGTATGAAGCCATTTATACTTACCTCAAACGTCCGCTCGACTGACTGTTGTAGCTTTCGGACTGGTGTTGGAAGTACGACGGTCAATGGAGCGAACAACAGTCTTCAGACTTACATCTCTGTCGACTGGTACTGGCTCATATTCCCTTGCTTCATGCTTCTTTTTGCCATGATATTCTTACTGGTAACTATCGCCAAGAACCATGCACGGCGAGGAGAAGCTTGGAAATCGTCAAGTATAGCAGTCTTGAGCGGGTTGAGTAGTGATGCGAAAGCTAAATTGGGAGATTTAACTTTCATGACTTCAATGCAAGAAAGGGCTAAAGAAATTAGAGTAAGGCTAGTTGAGGAGAATGGCCACTGGCAGCTCGTTGCAGCGTGACAAAATTGGGTGCGATGGAAAAAGCCGAAAACCAATATATTTTATGTTAAAAGTTGGCCATGACCAGACTTCCAAGAGAACCTCGGTGTTGGCATTGTGTTCTCTTCCAACACCAAGGACCACAAGTGGAACCCTTATTTGTCAAGTCTCGCCGGATTGTACCAGTTGAGACTCGTATTCATTGCTTGAACAAACTGAAGCGCTCTTCTGCAGTTAGTATCAGATATTCCCATTGTCTGATTTTGTGGCTAGCTCCGCACGATGGAAACTGATCCAGGTATGTGCAGCATTCATGCTGACGCGCTGGAGGTAACGTTGATCTGAAGAATTAACGAAAACGAATATTTCGAGGCTGCAATCAAGCGCGGTGCAGAAAGAGGAAGGCCGCCATACAAGAACAACGCAGAGATCTGTTCTGATCTGGAAAGGGATATGACATTAATCCTGATTCGATATATAAAATGCTTAGTGTCCCGAAAACGAAATACGAGAGGCCTCAACTTTCCAGACCAGATCTCATTTAGCTATAAAAAAGTTGGTTGATGCCAGCCAGTCCACCACTCTATTCCTCATTAGATAATAGCTATAAGAACTAGCTTACTGGATGTGTGTACGTATATAATAGCTGCAAGACCGGAAACTCGATTTAGAAGAATTAAATTGTATCTTTTTGCAAGAATGGTATTAGTCTCTGCATTGTATGGTATAATGCATTCTACATAAGATGCAGTTCAGGCTCAGACTTTAGTCTTTTTAGTAGGCTAGAAGTGGATGCTAGTAGCTTAGGCTCCCTGAGATGCTTACTACGCAGTCGAGTAGAATTTAGCTCATACCTAAAAACTCTCGCCAAAACTTCATACAATCACCAACACTGTCGAAGCTACCTACGATCGCACCTATTTCGATAAGATCATATCGAAACACCACCGATACTTCGAGATTTGTTGATATGCTTTCTATAGACCATCCTGATAGCACAGAACACTCGCCTCATTTACAACCAAAGACGATGGAGGGCGCAAATCGACCTGCTGCGATGGTTTCTAAATGCGCAGTGGACTGTTATCATTATAGCTCTGGATGTGGACCTAGATCGCCTTTCTACTTCAACGGTGGCGGTATCAAACCAGACGAGTAAATTCAATTCTCCTCCAAGTTTGACGTTTCGTGGCCACAAATCTTGCGCCGAATATTGTACAATGCTGACCAGCTTTACAACAGTCTTCTTCGGCGACTCATGGAACTTCCTCAACATATCCGAGACCAAATCTACGAATTGGTAGTCAGGCACCCGTATAACGCTCCGACCTGGTGGCTTGGCGCGGATGGGAATTTACGTGCACCCTGCCCTGATGCTTATACTTTACCAAAGCCCGACCACCTCAGCATCCCAACACTAGAAAATAAAGACGGACCCTGGTTGAAATGGAGCAGTTCATCGTTTTGCATAGTCCAAACGTTTGTAGAACAGCTACATATGCTGAGCGCTGAAGGGAGTCAAAGTGCCTCGGATTGTGTCGAAGACTTCGGAGAGTTTTTTGGTGAACGGACCATCATAGAGATGAATAGATTTCGTGACTGGATCTGCAAATCCCGACTCCGTCGCACTGTCCGCAAGGTATGCTTGAATATGCGATGCTGACCATTTCGCTCTCGGATTCAGTTTTGACAATATATAGGATCCTTGCTTGCAGCTGAGGAATCTGGAGCCTCTTTTCAAGCACATCAAGCACCTATGTCTCGAAGTCAAGGTCCCGAATCAGAGTGTCAATAAGCCAGATTCCGTATCTTATAAGATCGTAACAGGCGCTGAAGACTTCACCCTCCGTTGTGAAAAGATCCACAACAACATCCCTACGTTGAAGTCCTTGGTTGTCTTCTGCCAGTTAACGACGCAAAATCTGAAAAAAGCACTCATTCTTCCAGAACAACAATCTTGGATTCAGGGATGCAAATTGATTGCAGCAGAGAAGGTCAATGTGCGACTTTATATTCTGGATCGTTCAACTGAGGACGATGAACCCATGTCACGCATTCTAAGTCCTGGCTACACTGATCGCTCCGGAGAAATTGAAAACCTTTGGAAGGACGAGGAAAGATCATTGGAGAACATTCTGAGCCCAACTAGGAATATGCCACGCACAGGCGATTTGTGGATGATTTGAAAATGGACCTCCTCTTCGACGATGTTGGCTCGAATGTTGAAGGACCACAATAGATAGGCGAACATGCAAAGGGGCATGATAGCCTACCCAAGGCACATCTCCGGAAGTGTTGGAGCCTGTATCTAGACCAGAGATAGCATTGGGCTTTATGCTATCTAATTGAGACCTCTAAAAGTACACTTTGATAATATGATATCTTCCCGAATGCGGTGAGACCGTGCATAAGTGATCAAGACAACCACAACAAACCGGCCCTGACACCGGTATTACAATAGCTACAGCTTGACCTTTGTATAATCCAATTTTCAGTTACATGTTCCATTTTTCTAAGGACATACAAGTCAGCCGAAGGTCAATAATCGTCACCTGATGTCATTCCCTATCTTGGACTGTACTGTCAACTCGTGCTCGAAACTATATATGCGGTGCACTCCAGGTTGTCCATGGATCACTTGAGGATTGATGGTCAGCTTCACACTAACAGCTCGGTTGGTGGGTTTCCTATTCGCCTATGATTGATCTTTCTTGATCCTTAGCGAGGATATTGTGCCTCGTATCTACAAACGACGGCTCTTATGGTGCCGACAACTCTTGCCCACTATTATTCTCTTCTTCTTCTCCTTCTTCTCCACATTCGAATTGCCAAACATCCATAATTCAAGATGAACGACAACATAGCTCCTTTTGACAAGACCCAGATTGCGCTTTCGACCATGGCCAACGCAAACTTGCGAGAGCCTGACACCACGGCCAATCGAGTTCAACTAGTAAAGCCAACAGAGTCTGCAGCCATAGACTCCCTTCCTAAGAATGCTTACTGCCAGCACATCTGCTTCTATGGAGGCCTTGCTACTACTCGCTGTGGTAATCATGACGTTGGGACATATCTCGAAGGAACTCCGGTCTCCATAGAATCGTAAGCAAAATTACATCTCGAAAACAAGCCAACACTAAAATCATCACCCAATAGACTTCTTCGGTCCCTCAAGAAGCTTCCCGAGGTCATTCGAGATCAGATATATGACCTTGTGGCATTTCCAGACTTTGAAGAATCTGTTCCCACCATCTGGCTATTCCAAGACAGTAGGATAGTGGCACCAGAGCGACGTAGATACGGTACCTCCAAGCAAGACATTGCAACCCTTCTGAACAAGACAGGTGTCTGGGGCAACTATCCCGAAGCGCGGCCGTGTCACTTGGAAGGATTTGCGCAAGCTCTTCACGACATTCAGAAGTCACAGACAGTTGCTTCTGCGTCTGCGGCCTCTTGTCTTCAAGATTTTCTAGAGTTTCTTGGGGACCGTATGGTTGTTCAGATAGACAATTTGCTCATGACGCCAGACGATATTTGCTGGAGTACTATCAGGAAACTGGTGAGCTCCTTCAATCAACCCGGTCCACGTTGATTTTTCGACAGTTCTGCTTTCTAAATAATCTATTAGCAAGCACTCCAATACCTCAAAAGTATAAAACCTTACATTGGACACATTAAACACGTTTCCCTCGAGTTCGCTATCCAGGAAGAAGGTTTCCACAAAGGACAAGGATCAAAAGCGCAATCTCGAAAGATAGGGCCAGCAGCGCATTCGAAATCATTGAAATTTGCAAATTCCTCAGCGAACGCCTCCAGAACCTAGGATCTTTGACCTTCTGGTTCCACCTCATGCGTAGCCATATTGAATCAACCTTGGCATACCCAGACAATTGCCAATGGCTTCAAGCTTGCAAACAATTGGCAATCTCAGCAGCCAAGGAAGTAGATGTCAAGCTACTGGTCATAGATCGGAACCATTATCATCACGAAACACATTGGTTCAACGAGCTGGGATCCGCAACGCTTCTACCAAGTGCATGGACAAACTCATGGACCCCCAACGGTCCGCGAACTGAGGGAGCTTATATGCTCGAGACCTACGAAGAAGCCCTAAGGAAGTTGCTCACACCTGGACGTGTCTGGGAGCTCACAGATGACTTTGGAGATGATTGGAACCTCAAGAACCTGTTTCTTGAAGAGGAGAACGAGGGATAATGCCTTTGAGGGATCATTTCACGGGTTTGCTGTAGCTTGGGGCGGGGCAGTAGCGAGTATTCATTGTAATAGTGACTCTCTTTAAGATCAGTAGATAGGCAATGTTCTCTCTTCAATATGGACTTCTACCCTTGTGATTGCCTTGTTTATTCGACCCATAAACTTCATAAGTCATGAATTTGATACAATGCTAATGGATATGCCATTATCCAATCTAGTTCCCAGCACGTTAGCTCCGCCACGCGGACCCATTCATGCGCCATTGAAAATGTGTTGCGTTCCCGATTCATTGGCGCCACCCTCCTGGATAGTCTCTCTCGACTCCTGCACACCATCTCCCTGTTGACTCGCATTGTGATCAGGCTTCAATTTCACTCTAAAGCCGCTGAGCTCGACATCTTCTACCCGTCCACTCCCATCATCAGCATGCCACATCACGACCTCAAATAGTGGCTTCCCCCCAAACTGTATCGGATCGTCATCCGTTACACAGAAATCATCCCAGACCAGACTCTCATTTCTTTTCTCAGGAACGAATAAGCCTCTCCAAATCTCTCCCTGCTGCTGCTTTTCGTCCTTGAAGAGCAATGTAGGCACCAGCTGGATCCTTGTACCTTCTAGGGAGTCCTCGAAAAAAGGGTTCCATGCAGCGAAAATGTCCGTTGAGTTCGAGATGAAGGATTCTACATATAAAGACTTCGTAGCCGAATGTGAAATGACGAGAGTGGAGTTTAGATGCTGAGCTTGATAAGTGCCTGTATATCGAGTCGCTAAGTCCGCCTGGGCGATGTGCTCAGCAGCTCTCACAAGTGGTACAGTGACGATTTCTCGGATGCTTTCTTTGAGCAGCGCTGATGTTGCTGTCGTTAGTATCGTGACCCCAAGGTCGTACTCTGGAAGTAAGATGATGTAGCTCAAGTAGCCCGGCACGGAACCGCTCTTGGTGACAAAGGTCACGGGTCTTGATGTAGATGGCAAGATGGAATTCGTGCGAAAAATCTCCCAGGGAGTGCCATAAAAAGATGAAATAGTTGTTGAGTATGAGGCCGGATGAAACCAGTTCAGTGTTGGGGTTAATCCGTTGTAGTGTTTCAGAACGTATCGCAGAAACTTCGACATGTCGGATGAAGAACTGTATAGTCCACCAGTCCTTGATCTTGCATTAGTAGAATAGATTTGAGGTGGTGCGTTGGTGTATCTTACGGTCTATCTACTCCTTCTTCGGTGTCCCAGTAATTGTCCCCGGTCGGCAACTTGGGCAGAACGGCAAAGCTGTCATTAGACTTGGTGAACGAGCTCATGGCCATACCGAGGGGCTGAAGAATTGAGGACTCTATATAGTCTGCATATCCAATTCCCGTCACATTCTCTAATACAAGGCCTAGAAGGTCGAAATTGGTGTTGGAGTATGTGGACTTTTGCTTCGGGGGATATAGTGGCACTTGTTTCGCGAGGTATGCGAAGAGATCTAAAGGAGGGCTTTCTTCAGCTGCTGCAAAGAACCAGAGACAAAGCATATCACGAACATACCCTCCTGTTCGCATGGCCTATCGCCTCCAACAAATTCGAAACAAGGTGGTTTGCTCTCTTGTAGTGGGGGCAAACCCAAATCAGTGGGATTGTCAATCCCATAGGAGATCTCATTGCCCCAAGCTAGCTACACCATCAGCGAATCTTCGGTAAGGAACACAGAATTTCTATCGTACAGTCTCTGGGTATACCACTCAATTGGCTTGCAATTGTCTTGAGCGTAATGTCTTTCCATGGAATACTACCACTGAGATCCGAAAGGTACATGTCAACAGTGTCATCCAGACTAAGGTTCCCTGCGATATGCTGCTGCAGAAGTCCAAGAGTTGTGAAACATTTGGTAACGCTAGCCATTCGATATACGCTATTACCATTGACCTCGACTGCACCAGGCCTTTTGCCATCTTTCACCTTTGAGGTATGGTGATTCTCCCATAATGTTCCTTCAGAACTTGTGATTTCGATCGAATATGAAGAAAGGTCGAACTTTGAGTCTGAAATAAGCTTTTCAAGCTCGTTTTCTACGAGCTGAAAGTCTCTCTTTAATAGCTCGGAACCTTGGTAGGCATTGTGTTTTGGGAGCGGAAATGCTGGTGAGGGGTCGTAACACCGTGCTGCAACTTGGACAACAATTGTCCCAAGTAGTAAACAAATAGCTCCATTGTCTGGAATATACATAATGGAACAAACCCAATTAGAATTCCTAGAATGTGTAGCAACGACGAATCGATCGTAAACGCAAGAGGTTGGGGCTGATGACGTCCTAAAAAATGTCGCTTAGACTCGGCACAATGATAATCCGATATTACCCCTGAAGCAGAAGTGGGGTTTTGTTTCTTCACTTTTTGTCCTCCATGCTCACCACCGTGTTAATTACTTTTAAAGGTATAATTTTGCCTTGTATTTTGCTATTCGCCCATGAAAGTACTCATAAATTTGTAATCTTATAATTTTGAAATTAGAAATAGTCTTTGGAAGGATTTCATACCTCTGTTTGCTCATAAGGATATAACTTAGAAAGCAATTAATACAGTACACATCAGTGGCAGCATGAGTGCAAGGGGCTCATCAAAACTCTCAGCATGTCATTTCCTGTCTTCTGGCTATGTATTCAATTCTTTAGACTTATCTGCTTGATTCTATGGTATCAATAAGTTACTGTACATCTCAACCGAGTGAGACGAGCTGTTACAATAAGTCCTCTAAGATGTTCTTTTGTTCTCTTTACCTGGCTATCTTGTTGCAATGATGGATAATGGGGAATTGCCTTGATTCATTAAGAGGTGATGAACCCCTGCTATATATAATATTTACCCTACGGTACTGACATCATAAATCATATGTACGCATCATAATGACACGTATATTAGGATGGGTGCATGATATTACGACTATTTTAATACTATGTCATGATGTAGCCTTCCACCCTGATATGTTGACTTATGGTACGCTATGCCCTAGCTTACCATGAGCATTTAAAGGTGATTTCCAACATATCTCCTAGTGGTCTTTTGAGGGGTGAAAAAGTTATTTGCACACAGAAAATAACGTTAAAAAACTGCAAAACAGTGTCCTCCAATGCAGGCTGTTGCTGGCACGTACCCCTCTGGACTGCTGGATTATGAGTCCAGCGCGCTATCGATGCGCCATCATGCCCATTTTCCCGCTGTACTGGATATCTGACTGACAAATGCTAATTGAGATCTATATCATTCGTTTTGGGGATGGCAGAAAGTGCGAGTGGTATTGATATCGGCTATTAAGCTGGGTCTACAAGTTCCATTCACTTCTCAGGATGCTACTCCCACCTAGGTAGGTTCACGTGTTTACTAGCGTGATAATTTAGGTACGCTAGCAAACATATTCCTTACTTCTTACGCTCTTTATACACACCCACGAACTATACCTTGCAAGCAGTCCGCACCTTCAAACTGTATTAAACAACCTCAACATCGACTCCGACCAGTTGAAGATGGCTTCGTCGACAATTCCGGAAAAGGCCTCCGAAAAAGTCGTTCACGCATTGACATTTCTCGATTTCAACGAGGCTCCATATCGAAATTACCACGAATATCGCGGATGCAGTGCTGAAAGTGACATGCCCTATCGGAAGAGGTGTGTCCATAAGTTCTATTTCAATGGAAGGCGAGCTTCCCCTCTGGAATCTTTTGCGCGAATCTGTAGCTAACCATCTTTCAAAGCAGCCTCTTCAAAGGTCTTGAAAAATTGCCAGAGTGCCTTCGCCATCAGATCTACCAACTCGTTGTTATTGACCGCGATACGGTCTCCCGAGACCATCCAACCTACTGGCTCAATGCCTATTCAGATTCTCTCCTAAATATCCGAAATATTGAGGGGTGGACTGAGCCCGGTGTCCCCACTCCGTCGCTCGAGTATAAAGCAGGTTTCTTTGAAAAGAAGTTCTATAGCCAGAAATATGAAAGTTTGAGGTCTCCATTCTGCACTATTCGCCATTTCGCAGAAGCTCTCAGATTGTTGGACCAGGAGAAAGAGAATCGAGCAGGTGCTACACTGGAGGATTTCTTGCATTGGGTTGGAGACCACATCGTGGTCGAGCTGGAGACACCAGATTTGAATATTGGGCGAGCCATAGTAAGTCTAAACAACAACACCAACTAGTGACCGCGGACTGACAACACGATTCTTGAAGTCCACTCGACTTGTATTGGACACCTTGGTTCCTTTTGGCAACTACATCACACATTTGTCCCTCGAGCATATTCCCCACGGCCCACGCCCAGATAACCATAGCAGATTGTATGGAGAACCCGACTACAAAACTAAAGACTTCATTACGCTTTGTGACCAGGTAGGAGCTGCGATGCCCCATCTTCAGTCGGTAGTTTTCTGGGTGGCTCTATCTGAAAATGAGCTTGATATTGCTCTGTCCTCGCCCAGTAAACAGCCATGGGTTCGAGCTTGCCAACGGCTAGGTGTGAAAAAAGTCGAGCTGAAGCTACTGATAGTCGTGGTACCTTCTAGCAATCAAACACATCCAATATGGCTTCCCTATATCAGAGCTCGTCGACTAGCGTGGTGGAAGCCTAAGGCTGGATATCAGAAGGTTGATGCAGAAAAGGAGACTAAGTTGCGGGACATTCTGGCTCAAGAATTGATTGATGATGAGCCATAACTGAAGCGGGAAAGAGGAAAGAGAGATGGGTAGGCTGGTAAGGAATGAGAGCGTACATTGCTGCTAGGAAGTGCACGGAGTGGAAGCCCTGAATAAAGTCTTTATACAAATCCCCCTGATCATTCATATAGCACTGTGATTTCCCAGGATTTGACAATCAAGATAAGTGGCAAGGCTACACATAATCAGTAAGTTATCTGCATTGCTGCTGCTGAATTTCTTGAATCCTGTACTCTAAGAATGTCAATCATATACGGAATTGCATCAAGGTTTTATGTTTTCAAAGTGATCCAAGAAATAAAATTGTCAATTTTCAAGGCAAGAATCATGCCACACAACGCTAAAGAGGAGTTCACCTTCCAATTTTGGCTATTCACTTCAAATTATTCACAAAAAACATCCAGACTTTCCACATCCATCAAGTATCTGATAACAAAAACAACAACTCTTGTCAAATTGAGCTACGGCTCCAACAATCATGTCCAATACTCCAAACTTACACCCTCTAGGAACATCTCAACTCTGGCAACGTTCCCCGATCATACTCCCGAAGGAGATGTTTGTGACCACAAGCTCTACAAACCCACCGCCAAATACTTTCACAACTTCTACTGGAGTGGTGACGCAAGTATCCCAATGTCGAGGTCAGCAGAATTCCACACAAACACACCATGCTTCCTTTGGTCCCTTACTAACACCACCCCAGTATCCTCCACCGCTTCACAACACTCCAAGAACTAGTCCGCGACCAAATCTACCAAATCCTCGTCAGAAGCGAAGATGTACTAGCATTTATAGAAGCGACATGCAACAGATTTTCATTCCGAGCTGTTATCGGACAATTAAGGAGAAACAAGCAGTTGTAAAGTAAAGCACTATCTGATTGGTTATCTGTATTCAAAGCTTAACTGGCTATCACTATTTGAAATAGCGCTTCAAAGTTGCGCACAGTTGCAACGTGCAACAAAAGTCAATGCTGAGTTGCTATTGGACACTTGGTGATAAAGAATTAGCTACCCAGCACTTTAGCTACTCGTCTATTCAATAGCCGACTAACTAGCCCTGGCTATTTGAATTGCGCTAATCAAAGTTGCGACATGCAACAAAACATCCAAATGTCCCAAAACACTTTCGTGGGACACAGTGAAGGAAGACTAAAAGAGACTTCACCAAAGCACGTCATATCCAATCCACGGCATCTTTGCTAAGTTTGAATATTTACGTTGGATGCACAGCAAACCCAACAACCCCCCCAATCCCCCTCAACGCGTCTCCCATCTCTTTCCCAACCACCCTGCCACCCCGCAAACACGCACCCATCAACCCGTCCTCCTGCCCCTCCCCCTCTACCCGTCCAAGCTCCTCAGTCCTCCCCAACGCATCGACGATAGCCTCCAAGCCCCTCTCTACAATACAACACACTTTCACCGTTTCCAGTAACGCTCTACTGACATCGCTGTCCGCATCTGCATCTCCTTCGATCTTGAAACTCGGGAGACTGTCTGAGTCCGCTACCATGACTGGATTAGAGGGGAGCGATTGCAGTTGTTGCGTGATGTTGGCTTTGATTCCTGTTTCTAGGGAGGAGATTTGGGATTGTATGGCTGAGAGGGCGAATTTGAGGGTGTTTAGGTCGGCATTTGCTGGGAAGAGTGGTGAGGACGTAGGTGAGGTAGAAATCGTGGGTGAAGAGAAGGAGCGGCGGTGGTGAGGCCGGTGGAAGGGGGTTGGGGGTCTGGGGATGGTGAATGTGGAGTCTTTGGCGTGGGGAGGAGGAGTAGAGACGTCTATCATGAGTTTTTTGGGGCGTTGAGGACTTTTTGTGTATGCTGGAGAGGTGGGCTGGTTGTGGGTAGAGTGCGTGTCTCGCGTTAGGCCCTGGGGAATGTTAGAAGTTATCTATGGTGGAATGGAAAGGATGGAGAGAGGGTGGGTGTACTTCGACGTCTTTACGTAGTGTGTCGCCGAAGGTTAGAAGTTGGTTGAGGTCATGCTCGATTCTCTGCGCAAGTGTCAGGGCGATTTTTATGACGAATGTCGGGGGCTATACCTCGACATCTTCCTCCACGGCCCGATCGCTAGACTGTCCATCCGCAGGTCCTTCATCGAGCGGATTATATCCGCCGATCTCTGATTCAGACATATCAACTCTCTCTGCAGGGTTGTGATTAGGTGAAGAAGCACAAGAGCGCTATTCAATGTTAACATAGCGCTGAACACCAGAAGAAGGAGAACCATACAGCGTCGAAGTATCCTGTACTGGTAGTGGAAGGAGATACATCCTCTGAAGAGGCAGGTACGTGTGAAAAATAGTCATCCATGATGGTTTGTAGGATGGAGTTCAAGTCTAGCATGGGAAGGGTGGAAGTGCGCCGATATGGAAGCGCAAAATCTAGCATTCAATGACTGTGGTGCATTAAGAAAAAGTGAATTGGATATTGAGATTGGATGAAATCGGAGAAAAGACGAAAGGACAAGACAAAAGTGGTAGTACAGAGTTTGATTGCAGGCTACGTAATGCTGTGTCTATGAGATAAAGTCAAACTTAGCTGTCTCTGCTGCTAGTTGCACGTGATAGCAATCACAATGCCCCGTTGTAAAGTAACAACTTGGTGTAGTACATGCAATGACGTCGTATCTCAAAAGAGGATCTCAAGTCCTAAACTTTCTATGATCATACACTCACGAAATTCGTATTCCTATCAAACTTTCACAGCCTAGATCCAACTCCGTTCTGAGAGTCGTCCTCCTTTACCTCTACCAGAAGTTTTCCTGATGGCACAGTTAGATTTATGAGGTGCAAGAACGAAAATTGAGAGCTTACCAGTGTTAATTCCCTTATACAAATCGACAAGAGCCTGCTCTGCAGCTTTCAGTCCACCTTTTATGATAGTTTCCTTGCGCTGGAGTTTTCCTTCTGCAAGCCAATGCTCAATATCTTTTCGTGCAGAGGGGTACTGAGCTGCGAAGTCAAAGACAATGAAGCCTTGCATTTTAATCCGCATGGCGATCACCATAGTGATATTCTGTTAATGGTTAGGAAGTCCATTTTGTGGTATTGAAGGGAATACTGCTCACCTTAGGTCCAACGGGAGTCTTGGAGTTATACTGGCTGATAGCTGTTGATTGTCAGAATCGAATCCAAGGCTCAGTGTTGCAGACATACCTCCGCACATCACAAATCGTGCATGTGGCTTTGCTCTACTCAACGCAAGTTCTAGAATTTCTCCTCCGACGTTGTCAAAGAAGACATCGATCAGATCCTTGGTCTTCTCTTTGAACTGGGCCGCGAAGTCCGCACTCTTGTAGTTCAATGCTTCATCACAACCCAATTCTTTCAGCCACTGCACTTTGTCGTCACTTCCGGCAAGACCCAGAACCTTCGCACCCTTCAGTTTAGCAACTTGGCACGCCACGCTTCCAGTTGCTCCAGCAGCACCAGAAACAACAACAAAGTCTCCAGTTTTGACCTCTCCAATATTCAGCATGCCGAAATATGCCGTAAGTCCGGTGAGGCCAAGGACACCAAGAGCATCCGTAAGTCTTCCGTTCTCTGTGACCTCCAGCGGAGTCACCTCCTTCGCATCCACAATAGCAACTTCTCTCCATCCTGGGGTGCAAGTAACATAGTCTCCCGCCGAGAACTTTGAAGACTTGCTAGCAAGCACTTTACAGATGGCAAAACCACGCATAACCTCGCCGATCTGAACTGGAGGGACATACGAGCGCGTATCTGAAAACAGTCAGTATCACGTGTGAGGGGCAAAGGAGGGGTGAGACATACCATTAAGCCAGCCTCTCATCGCAGGATCGAGCGACAGATAGATGGCCTCAACAAGAACCTGATCATCCTTCACATCCTTCTCCGAGATCATCGGGTTCTCCTTGATCGCCAATGTCTCTCCAGGGATAATGAGCCCCTCTGGCCGTTTAGCCAGGACGACAGACTGGTACGTTGATTGAGCCATGATGTTCTGCTTTCTCGATACCAGTTTGCCCATCTTGGCAAGCGCTCTCCCTTTATATAGGTACCCAGGCAACAGAAATGATGGATTACAAATTCTCTGCGTCTCGAGCCGTTGATAGTCTGGGTTTTGTGAAACCTCTACCTACGGAGACGGTTGCAACAAGTGGAAGAAGATGGACTGACTCGTGCCTCGGCTTCGGTCCATTGCCCGTTTCGGACGGAAAGCCGGGGCTTGGAGGGGAGAAGTGCCGGAGCCGGCTGCGAGTCCTGGGAAGATGCTCCGGCGCTGATATGGCATACGTGAATTCCTGTTGGCGAGACCAAAATGTGATAATGGTGGGATTTGGCATTGAGAATGGGAGCCGGACTTTGACGGCCAAAGCTTCCACGCCCTCCGATTGGATCTGCTTGGATGTCAGAAGTGTCAGAATATAGAGAGGCGGCCTCATCGGCCGCGTACCCGCATATCCGCCTGTTATTATAAGAAGGAGTGGAGTTTCCGTTCCCGATTTGTAAGAATTGAAGATATTTTTGGGTTTACGGGCGTATTAATACACTACGTAGGCCATGCATCGGATTTAAATAAAAAAATCATTCATGGTCTGGAGTAGGTGGTGGGGTCACGATGCGTAAGAGTTGAAAGATAGAATCGGCTCTGAATGTCTATCAATCATCAATGAGAGATTGTGGCATTGGTTGTGTACACGACGACAGGAAACTCAGTGGCTCACGCCTTTCATGCCGCATCACATCTGGATCGCTTCCAAGGGGCCGATGAGCTGTGCAATCAGCAACCGATTTGAGCAGTCTGCAGGTCTACCTGGCATTGCAGCCCAACCGGGCTTCTTAGTGGTCTCGACCTCCTCAATTCAGCGAACTGGCTCATGAACCACTGATGAGCAGTTCCACTTCGCAAATCAGAACCACTTCATATTGACATGATATAAAGGTAAGCAGTTGGTTTCCAACTTCTTGGTTCTTGAAAGTCTGGGTTGAAATTCCTGACATTTGGTGCTCAAAAATCCTGACCTCCAAACGGACAATTGAGCATGAGTGCTATACTGCTCCATCAGCGTATATTCTACGTCGTCAACCCTTCCATTTCACCTTACGCTAATATTTTTACAGTATATACAGAAGAGGAAAATTGGAAGCATGGAATCACACAAGTTCAGTCGAAAAGGAGAGCACCGACCATCTGCAAGGTAGACAAAGGATATGCCCCCGCGAACTCGCTCTCATGTTGGCAATAGCAGCTTACATCTAATAGGTGTCTATGAGATCAAGTGTCGCTCCTTATAAGATAATCCAGAATCCGGGCCTCGCATCGATGCAGGAGCCGAGCCAATCGATCTTGGGATCTAAAATATATGCCAAGATGTGCAAACCTCCTCCAACCACCGCGACAGGTCCTACCATCCCCACAGAAAGGCACGCTTGATTACGAGAATGGAACCATGTATCGTCAGCTTAAGTAGCTCTCAACAATGGCCCAACCAACACTAGGACTGAAGCATGGACCACCAACCAAGTTCATTCAATGTCCAAGCATGGCAGCGCGGCGTTGTATCCTGGGAAAATGTCCACAACCGCACCTGGATTATACCCGCACTGTGAATACTCACCTGGACACGCATACTTATCACCGATGTTTGTTACACGTGCAGTAGCAAGCTTCCAGTAATGATCAGTCTGAACAAGTCTCACAGCTACGATCCTGCTATGTAGTTCAGAGACCGGCTCCAAACGCTTTCCCTGAGACTTCTTGACCTCGTCTCCTCAATAAGAGCAGAGCATTCCTTGAGATTCAACGGACAAAGCAACGATAACTTCCTCACTTGACGCGTGCGATGAGACGGATGCAGGTAGCCAAAAGATTGAAAGACAACGCCAACAAAAAAGCCCAGTGCTAAAGATGAGACTCGATCAGAACGACAACGAAGCGAACGATGAGGTCGAAGACGAGCTTGCGGACAAGGATAGGGAAAAGATATGTTTCAGAGACTGGAGCCCAATCCCCATCCTTTGCCGACCAATAGCAGTTCACCAGATTCATCTTGGCGAAGATCGTACGCAAACAAACACAAGAAAAACAATTATTCCCAGGATGAAATGTCTTTTCCTCGATCGGAGAAGTAGTAGAGGAATAGAGACTGCTTATCCATTAAGACCCTCGGGTGGAACCGCCAAAGAGCGTACAGTACGGAATGAAGATTTTCTTCTCGAAAATCCGGTTTGATGGCAGTCAAAGTACCGTCTTTGACATCAGTGACGAGATGGCGGAATAGCTTGTTGGGCTTTGTCTAAGCCGCTTATTTCCCCGAATGTCTCTTCTTCTTGTAATGCTGATAGACTCGAAAAGATCTCTGCCTCCGAAAAGCCCTCCTCTACTTAGGCCCCCTCATTTCTAGCGCTTTCTCAGGCTTGATCTCTGTAGGGATCATAGAGAATATGGATGGAGTCCACGGCTTGCACGCACGGCGATGGCTCTTTACTATCGAAGGCAGTATAATCATCTGCGTCTTTTTCTTCGCCTTCCTCATCCTGCCAAACTTCCCACGCACGACAAAGTGGTTGACCGAGCAAGAGATCCAGCTCTCTGCCCGGTGCCTAGTCGAAGACATCTGAGAAGATGACTGGATAGATCGCGAGCACCAATCCATGTTTCACGGCATCAAGTTCGCTTTTACCGACATCAAGACTTACGTCCTGATGGTCCTCCTCTTTTGCATCACCGTCTCTGCTTCGGTCAACAACTTCTTGCCAGCTGTTGTCAAAACGCTCAGATTTGACAGTATCACAGCTCTCCTACTGACCGCTCGGCCGTACGTCCTCTGTTAGCAACTTGGCGCTGCGCTACGCTGAACGCATGGCACGCTGACCGTACCGGCGAACGGTACTTGCATGTCACCATCCCGCTCGTGTTGATGGTCAGTCGCAAATTTACTGCCGTCCCAAATCGGCTAGCTCGATCCCGATATCGCGAGACCCTTTATAGTGTTAAATAAGCATTTTTTTGGTTTCAAGAATTAGCGAGTTAAGTATGAGGTTACAAGATTTAAGAGGCATACATCTTCTCAGAAAAAAGACTCAAGGCCGGATTAGGACAACGTAGCCCACGTCCGAAAAGAGGCCGCTAAGGATAAACAATGGTTCGCCCTTGTACTAAGCAATTATCATACTCCCGCCTCGGTATGATAGTTGTTAATGTTTTGTTGTTTTTTGCAATTTTTAAGGTTTTCGCTTAAGGTCCGTTTGTGGCTCACAATGGCGGCATTCATTATCGCTGTTGCAAACACTAACACAGCCGCACGATATTTCAGTATGATGCTGAGGGTGCCGTCCTTTTATTCCAGTCACGTCGTCGTCTTGACGTGGATTTCGAATACCTTGCCCCGTCCCGCCTCCAAGCGTGCGGCTAGTCTACCAGCTGTGGCTTTGTTTTTCGAATACGGTGGATATCTATACGGCGTACATGTATTCATCAAGTGCGGCGCCAAGGTATGTGGTCGCTATGAGTGTGAACACGACTACAGCCTTCGTGGTAATCATCGCCGCAACGCTCCTCAGGTTTATGTTGGTTCGCTTGAACAAGAAGCTCGATGAAGGTGAAGCTGGTTTGGAAAGTGGCTCAGGCCAAGACTTTGGTCCTGACGGCATCCTTGTGGTAGCAAACCGTCGTGGACTCAGATATCGAGTATAAGGCGGCATGTTGTAAAGTATTTATCATTTCAGTGTCCGTACACCTTCATAGCATGTACATGAAGTACGGATTCTCCTTGTCCGTCAGATCTAGGAAAGCCATCTTGTCCCTGTCTACATCATTTTGCTCGAACGCAGCACGCAACTTGTTCTCCCTCGCCAGCACAAAATACAGTGCAAGTGAAGAGACAATGGTGATGCAATAGCAAATGATCAAACCAAGCCAAAGCTCGGGATAATGTCTGGACTTGGTTTGTGACTTGATCAACTGCGGACCAACGATATTTCCCACACAATACGCCACGAAGATCGTCGCAGCCATGAAACACTTCTTTGTCTGCCCTGCGACATTCGACATCCCAATCGAGATGATAAGAGATACCACTGCGCCGAAAAATCCAGTAATCGAGTACCCAACGACCGGGGCCGCAGCTCGGTGCGACCAAGTGCTTTTCCAGATTAAAGTACAGCCAGCAATGACTGGAAGACAGCACAAGACAAGCAAGATGATCCTGATGTTCGATATACGTGAAGATAGATAGCCAGTAAGAAGGATCATGATAAAGCATATCCCCCCAAGTGGAAATTGAAACAAGATCGAATCCAGAGTTGACCAGCCAAACGTACTAACAATCAGGGGACCAAAACCACTGATAGCACCATTGATGGTATAAGCTGAAGCCATCATCAAGGCCACTAGCCAGACTTTGACGTCCAAGAACGATTCTTTGACTTGGCACCACTTGAACTTCGTACATCGCACACCAGTCTGCCCATATCTGAGACGCTCCGTAGCTACAACCCGCTCATCTTTCTTCAAGAACCAAGCCGAGACCGGAGAGTTAGGGACGAAAAAGCAAGCCAGTCCAAAGAAAAACGTGATGGACCCAGCAAGCAAATATATATACTGCCATCTCTTGAGACTCCCTCCCTTAATTTGCCCAAACCCATAATTCAGCGCCCCGCCAATAATGGTAAACAGTCCCGTCGACGAGAACCACCAGCTCTGCCGCAACGCCTGTTCCCGTTGCGTATAGAACGAGCTGACGATGCACATGAAGCCGGTGGGTATGATGCTCTCGACAAAGCCGAGGAAGAATCGTTGGGCGTAGAGGCCCCGCCAACTTGTCACTGCTGCTGTGAGCATGCAGATCAGGGACCAGAGGCAGACGACGACGCCGAGGATGCGGCCCATGTTGAAGCGTTGGAGGGCGAAGGTCATGGGGTAGAGGCCGGCGAGCATGCCGAAGTAGAACATTGAGGTTGCCCAGCTGAGGCGAGATGTGTTTGTCGTGGGAGGGTGGGTGGAGTTATCGACTTGGGAGAGCTGGAGGTCGGTGGTCATTCCGAAGAGGACTGCGGAACCTAGGATTGCCTTTGTACATTAGCATAGATTCTATCATAGAACAGTCTTGAGGTAAAAGCAAGAAAGAGGCCGTCAATGTCCAGCTCGACCAAAAACATTGCCCCTCAATTCAATGTACAACCCCAAACTCCAACATCGAATCCCCAAACTCCCAAAATCTCCCATACACTCACTTTATCATAATACACCAACCCATACCCAACAATCATCGCGGGAATCAAGAACATATCAATCTTCCTCACGACTCTCCTTTCCACCGCGGGGTCGACAGCATGCCCATGCTCCCCCACCACCGCGATCGCAATGTCTTTATCCCTATCGACAACATCCTCCATCTGCGGAGGAGCTGTAGCGACAGATTTCGCGTGCTCTTGCGCGCTCATTCTGGCATGTTGAGAACGGGTGGATGGATCGGTCCGTTCGAAGAAGAGGAAGAAAATTTCGACCGGACCTTCCGCCGCGGATCTGCTAGGAGATTTTTATCGTGGGCCATTATTGGTTGCGGGGCTTTGGCGTCGATTGGGGTAGAAGATGGCATCATGCGTGTCCTTGAGTGAGGATTCGTGTGGATTCGTGATGTTGTGAGGTGCTGATGTACTGCTTTGGATTTTGATGTTTTGCTGAGCTGAAATGTCTGTCAACTTTGTGGCAGACGGCCATTTTCGATTCAGCTCGTCACTGTCTCCTGTTTTGCAATACCATCCATCAACGCTGCATGGATTCTTCGCAATTCTTTGTACCTGGCTATTTGCTAGATGAAGTCAATGTGCAGTATTTAGTCCATCTACTATTGGGAGTCAATTTTGCATTTATCAGGTGTAATTAGGACGATTTTCCTGCACAGCTATATCAGATATCAGCCGTCATTCTTGCATTATGAACCCGCATCAGCTTGAGATATCGCAACTTGCAATTATTAGTTTGGTCCTTTGATTCCAATTCAGCTATTCCTTGTGGTTGTTCTGTTGAAATTACATTCTGTTCGGTTTCGGCTTCACAGAGTATTGTGTCCGAGAGCATTATTAGAAGCAACAATACAGGACGAGTAAACCACTTTCTCAACTCTCATGGCGCAGTAATACGTACATACTTATCAATCATTCATGAGCGGTTGTTTCTCCACGAAATACCTGCAACTCTGAGTGAAGCCTGTCTGTCAAGTTCCATTTCTTGCCTCTACGAGCTATCAAAGCTCGTATCATGGCCAAACGCCACTCATCAGATGGAGTTCACCAATCCCAACTGCCGTCCAGGCGTCAAATCCCGGATTCATGAGGCTCAAGTCATCGTCTAACATCCGAACTTCTCGATGGTCATGCTCCAAGGGTACTGAAACCAAAAGAGCAACAGAACCGTCCATTGATGACCAATCAGTTCCACAACTTCGAAGATCACTCACAACCCGTGTGAAGCTCGGATGATATATCTGGGGGAACTTTTGATAATCAGTGTGGGGACAATCTGTTGTCGAAGAGCTTTTACACGATGCCAAGCCATACAGCTTCTCTTTGGACTTGTGCATTTACCTATTTTAATATGGCGACAAATCTCAATATAGATCAAGACAGAAATTTATCAAGTCATGTTGAGAATCATTTTCTTCTCAGATCCTCTCCATGATGTAGTGCATAACGGTTTGACCAAGCTTTGATGTACGTCTCGGCAAGCATAAGATCAGCCTGTGTATCATGAACGACCACCAAGCACCAATGACAGCGTCAAATTCCTGTCCTCAAAATCAAGCCCAACAAGGCTGTCGATCTCCCGTACGTTCATCGAAATCCTCCGCTGCCTCTGCCAGACATGCTACCATTGCCACTATATCAGTCCTTGGCGCCTCCTTTCTGCATCTCCAAAAGTATTTTCATCTAATAAAATACTCGTTTGACACGATTTCGATTCTTGTATCTATCCACAGCCTAGACGGTTCTTTTAAACAATACTTTATTGTACTGTACTGTACAAACAACATTCAAAATGAAGAGCTCAACTATCCTCGCTATCCTTAGCTGTATGGAGACCTTTCCTTCTTCCCATCTTGGCAAAGCTGACTGACTTCTTTTCCCCAGTCGCCCTCACAGCCTACGCTGCAGCTACAAAAGCAAGCTCCAACGACGCGAACTTCGTGAATCCCGACGCTTCAGATGGATCAGCTGGTGAAGCGGTAAAGACACATCAATCCACCATCTACTCACAGTAACTAATCAGGTTTTCTCAGGCCGCTGCCCTAGCTCAATCTGCCGTCGATGCTTTTAACGCAGGAGACATCATTACTGCTGTAGGTTACTCCTCTCTCTCTTCAGTCTTGCAAAGTCTAACCACACCCCGCGAACAGGCACCCGCAGCTACCGCAGCAGCGAACGCCAAAGCTAACAAGGCCGGGCGACGAGCTGAGAATAAAGCGAATGCGGACGCCACGTTCGTGAATCCAGATGCGTCAGATGGATCGGCTGGTGAAGCGGTAAGTACTCTTTTTGAAAACTTTGAATGGAAGTGTGTATTGACGAATGTTCTAGGCTGCCGCATTAGCTCAATCTGCTGTGGATTCGTTTAATGCTGGGGACATCATTACTGGGGTACGTATCTCGGTCTTGAGTTTAATGGTTGGTATGAGAGCTGATTTTGGATAGACTGCTGAGCCGGCTGCTACAGCGGCTGCTAAGAAGAATGGGAAGGCTGCGAGATACGTGAGAGCATAAGATCGTGTAGCTGGTAATTGGGAAATGATACAAATACCAAGGGGGATGCAACAATTGGGAACGCTTAGTGGTCTGAGAAGATTATTGACATTGCAAACTAGAGTAAAGATCTGGACACTACTCTATGGCTCTTGAGATATGTTCCATGTAGCAGACGAATCATCATCGACTACAACGTCGCCGCATATATTACTTATATACCTATTAAACAGAAAGAAAAGTATCTCAGCGAATGTGAGTGATGTCTAACTTAGACGCCACATTAATCCAACCGCTCCATTACCCGCCAAGACCAAGAAAAGCTTTTACTGCATGAATGAATGGGGTATCGAAATCAAACTCCGCAGATATTCTCTCATTTCTGTCTCGCCCTCCCTCTCATCACAACCGACGCCTTACCACCCCTCCCACCAATCATCACACCCCAAATCCACCTCCACCGTCAAAAAAGGCTCATAGATATGGTGATCCACCTTCATCGTCTCTCTCTTGAAGCTCGAATGCGAAACCTGCCTAAGCAAAAGCAGGCGAAGACACCTGGTGCTGCGCACCATTGACATCGTTGAGCTCGAGCGGTGGTTCCGCGGTAGTAGTAGGGATCTTTTCTGTCGTTGTAGCGGGTTTGGCTTCGACGTCTGTTGGTGCTGCTGCAGGACGACTGATTCCGAATCCCGTTGAGCCGTTTGCGACGCGGTGTTTGTGGAGCAAGAAACCTATCAAGCTTTGGTTAGTTGCTTATGTCTTTGAAAAGTGGAGAGGTGAGGGGCGTACTAAAGACAACAAGAGTAACAATGAACAGAAGCCAAGTCAAGGCACCAATTCCTGCTGCAGCTTTGGTAGCCTTGATAGCTTGATCCCAATGCGGGAAGACAATAGCGTTGGAACCAGCCTCTGAAAGTGCGGTGTTGAGTTCGGCGTCAGCCGTTGAGAAAGCGTTCCAAACAGCTGCTTCTTGAGCGAGGAGGGCGAATGTGACGAGCCAGAAGATTACGGTTGCGATTTCGAAGCCGAGGTGTGCCCAGTAGAGGTACACTTGCGGGAACCAGAGTGGAGTGACGAATATCTGGAGCGCATTGTTAGTCTTTTGATGGGGCAAGTGTTTGATGTTTTGAGCGTACATAGAGTAAGAATAAGACGGTCCACGCGAAGGTGAAAAATGTCATGCCTTGACAGTGCTGTTAGAAACTAGGTCCTCAATTCGATTCGAGGTACATACCATAGCCAGGGAACTAGGTGAGTTAGTGATACCGTCCTTGACAAGAGGGTGGAAGGTAGACTTACATATCCTGCTCCGAAGACGCCGGACGCATATCCAGCGAGAATGAGGGTGATGAGGGCTAGAATCTATATCTTCTCAGTACAGCGAGCAATCAAGATTTACACTCTAGAGTTAGTGGATATCCGTACAAATTGAGCAATGCGGATGAGAGCGACCCAGAAAGGCAATGCTGGAATGTGACTTCTGCCGTCCAATCCTCGTCGGCCATATACATTCTCGTTGTAGTCGACCATGATGAATCAAGGCAGAGGCGACTTATGCCCCGGTATATGAAACTTGGCAATTTAAAGATCTATGACGAAATGTTTGGACTTGAAAAGCCACGGCAGAGAAGTCTCAAGCAAAAAGTCGAAAACAAAAATGCGGGCTGAGCTTCCTACATATGAAATGGAAATGGCACAGAAGTAGTCTGAGATTGATAGCTTTGGGGTCCACGTTGTTGACTTGATACTCCCAAGCCCCCGGATAGAGTCGTGTTGGCCTTCCCCTGTCTGCCATGCAAGCCATCGGGAGGACCATTCCTAAAATATCTCAACATGCCACCACGAAATATTGGAAATGTCACCATATCGCCAAATCTGTCGAGGTTGTGCCACAAACCCGTTGGAAACGGCTTGAGCCAGTGGCTCATTACAAGGGAGTGGAGGATGTGGAGAGAGTTTGCACGATATTCTCATTCTCGGGTAGCTATTACCGATCGAGTCAAAATTCGCTACAGCTGTCAGGGCCACGCAGGTGTTTCGAAGATTGCCACAACTCGACATGAACAACCACTTGACTTTGATGAGTTGTTTCTGATTGGTATAGTGCTGGAAGAGATAGTGATTCGGCCGTGGCTCGAGTGCCGTCGTGAACGAGAAAGCCTAACGACCCGGTGGTGGACCCAGCATTTGCCATTCAGCTCTCAGCCAATGTAACCTCGTGCTGGGATCCGAGCGGCAGCCGTTGAAATAACCTTTCCACTTATTGGCCGTACGTCTCGTCGAACTGAACTCCCGCAGTTCAAACATGTTTGGGACCAGTTGTCTGTTGAGCATGGGGTAGGGTTCTGAGGCTCTCCTCCGCAGACTTGCTTCGACACAAGGATCACGTCCAATGACACGACAGTTGGAACACGAGATAATTTCAATAAAAGTATTGTGTCGGAAATGACAAGGACTTGGAGGTGGTCAGTGATTGTGACACGGACTCTTCGAGTGTCTTGAACAATTTAGGCGCTGCTTAGCTGATCAAAGATAAGATCATGAGCTGTCTTTATTCCAACAGTTAGGAAGTCTAGAATATATATGACTAGGTAAGTGAAGCCGTAAATCTGAAGCTTAACACGAAGGTATGCTGAGATTTTGAGGCAGTTAATGGCATGAGAAACGTGGACAGCAATTTAATGATGTCTGCTGCCCTCACCATTCTCAACAAACAATGCACATCATCGTAGCGTTACTCTTCAACTAATACATGTCACTTGAGAAGGTGTGTCAGAGCTAAGAGTATGGCAAAGATGGACAGACATGCTGCTCCGATTTGCTGCAGTGTCGCAGCCACATCGGCCACTCACTTCTCAGAATATGATGACAATCTCGTCGGCCAAGAAGCAGGAAGAGGTAGCCCATCATTCATCAGAGTCAAATACTCCATCTTTGCAAGACATGCTCTTCTGTACATGGATGGCACTTGCCTTCGTAAGTAACAAGGTGGGGTATGTCCACACCTTCAGCCTTGCAAGTCCTGATCGGGGATTCTGAGGAATGTCCTCAAAGAAGAGAAAGGCTCCAATTAACGTATAGACTCCGAATGGTAAAGGATGTTCATCCAAGCCGCGTGCAATATAAAGAACGGAGGTCGTTTCGGACAATTGACGGACCTCCTCCATCTTCCTCCCAGGTCCTGACGAAGAATAACACCCGTTCACCGGTCGGCGACTTCTTATATACACTTGTATGGCGAGTAGAAATCTCAAACATCACAGAAAACTTCTTCAATACTTCATTCCACCATTCAATCGTTCTTCGTTGAGAAGTAAAAGAATACACAAAATGTGGACAACAGGTATGTACTGACTCGTGAAAATATACCCGTCCACACCCCGCTAACCCGATTGGCATCTTGGCAGCGCTCCCCTCCAATTTCTCCCAACCACCACTCCAAACATCCCACTCTCACTCCACAACAACCTCCACAACCCCATTACAACGAACCCAAACCCGCGTTCTCTTCCTAAGACACCAGCTCTTCGCCTCAATCCACAACTTCATCCTCTCCGGCCTCTCGTCCTCCAACCCTCGCGCCCGCGCCCATTCTGAATACAACACTCTTTCCTAAATAAAAATGGGCATCTTCCGCACCCTCATCTCAACCACCGTCCTGGGCGGCGCTGGCACCGTCGGCGCCTTCGCATTCTGGACTCGAAACGCCCAATTCGTACCCCTCTCTCCATCCGACAAGATATATTCCTCAGCGGCCTACCTATTCCAGAACCCGAACAAGAACCCCGCGACGCAAGACCTGTGCATTCGTCGCGTGCCATTATCGAAAATAAAACCACAATTACTAGAAAAAGAGAAAGAGGGGAAACTGGTTGAGGCATTCTGTGCGGGTGTTTGGAGCGGATGGGGGTATGAGGTTCAGCGGCGGATATTGGAGCGGAAGTGGAGAGGGGATGTGGGGAGGACGGGACATCAGTTGTGGGATAGGAAGGAGTTGCGGGAGTCGAAGTATGATGTAGGGACGGAGATTACGGATCATTTTGAGGTTGTGGAGAAGGATGTGGAGGATGGGAGGATTGTGGTTAGGTGTGGAGATTCGCCGTTGAATAAGGAGGTTAGAGCTACGGATGGATTGTTTGAGATGAGTGTGAAGGTTGATAAGGAGAAGGGAGAGGCTGTCTTTGGGTTGAAGAGTGTGTTGTTTCAAGGACTTGGGAAAGCGGACAAGGCTCCGATGCCACCGCATATTGAGTTCTTGCACAGGGTTTACACGAAACTTTGGATGGAAACTGCAGTCTCGAATTGCGTGTTGTGAGGAATGAGAGACATGAGGGTGATTGGGGTGTATATATGGAAGAGAAAGATTTGGGTCATAACGTCGTAAATTCGTAAAGGGAACATCTATCTAGTTCTATACCCCGGGTAACGCCAATAAATTGCTGTAAAGGAAAGGGTTCTACTCTAGTGTCTGTTGTGTTCTCGTGGATGATTCGAAATGACTTCATTGAGCATATTCCTTAGATCACGCTGCCAGAACGTGCTGTGCCGACCAACACTGATATCGCCAATCGAAGGCAGATAGTGAGACACGCTGCTGTTTCGCGATGGTGGTGCTTCTGTAGGAACCATTGTCGGTCTAATACTGTTAGCATTAATTCAGCAGAGGCAGTGTTACGTACGCAGTGCTCAATGACCTATCCCCATTGTACTTCTCAGGGACAATCTCATCTCTCGGTCCCACCACATCATCGTCACGCAACTGGTCTTCTTCGTTGTCGCTTCGCCTTCCCATCTCCTCATCCCCAACACCTTGTCTTTTCCTTCTAATCCTGCCCACAGTCTCCTTAAATACGTGCCTACCCCCGAACCCAATAGCTGCAAAGACCAGCACCGGCGTCCCTAGAGCCACAGCCCAACTCGGAGTCTCGATATCTCCCAATACAATCCAGAATTGCACCATGACTCCTAGAATAGCGATATTAGAACCAACTTGGAGAACGGACCAAAAGCCCCAGTAGATCTGCATCAGGTCTTCGCCATCACAGAACTCGATATTGAAGAGAGCGAAGCATTCGAAGACTGTTGCCGTGGCGGCGAGAACGAGACATAGAGAGGCGATGGAGAGGTAGTGGAGGCGAAGACGCCGATTTTTGAGCTGGTGGGATGTTGAGGATGTGACCTTTTTGGGGAGGGCTTTGTCACGCTCGGCGATGGCGTTGGATCTGAGGTATGTTAATGAATGTTGGAGACGAGAAAGACCGTATGGTTTAGCGAAGAAGGGTCGGAAGTAAGACCAGTCACTCACTTGTGATGTTGTAGTGAGCTGATGCACATCAAAATAAGGACCTGCAAATTGTTAGAGTTGATGCTCTAGGTGTAGATCATTGCTAACTTTCAGCAGAGACGATAACACTTACTGTGATGAATAGTAGCCAGAATATAGAGTTTGCCTCAGCTAGAGTGAGGTGTGACATGAATCTCGCATAATGAGCACACCGCTGAGGGTCTTTCTCAGTGAATTGGCCTGTCATCTTAAGAGCTAATTCGCTTGACGATGATGTGAGAACGTTTAGTTGAAATACAACAATGACAAAGAGGAAATGAATATATCGAGAAAAATGAAGCATGTAAGTATATGAATTGGTGCCAGCACAAGTCACGCATTGGGAAGTAGATGGACATCAACAACATATGAAAGCCACCGACACTTGGCAAGAGGCTGTGACGGAGGCAGATACAGATAGTAAAGTCCGATACAGAGTGTACGCACGTTGAAAAATAAACCTCAAGAAGTTACTTCCTCACAGAACTGCTTCACTCTCCGCAGCCAAGGGAGGTTGTGCGGATTCATTATCGGGACTTGTGATGTTGGCGCTGGAGTACCGTGGTGATCGCCCCTCTTTGAGCTTAACCTGACGCGAAACTTATGTTTGCGCCGATACCAAGATAAGAGCTGACTCGGCCGTCTCTGCTTGTGATAGTCTTAGACATTATGGATGTGTTGTTGTGAGTTTGAGGCATCCAAGAGGGGATCGCTCCTGGGCCAAGTGCCAATTGTCCGCCAAGGGAGGCTGATGTTAGTGCGCCAAGAGATTGTACCTAGATGGCGAAGAGAATAAGATTGTTGAGCGCGTTTTGAGTGTGGCATTGCTTGATCGAGACGTCATCGCTGAATAAAGATGATAAGGAAACAGCGGTACTGCAGATGAGTGGTGAGCTGAATTTGAAGCTTTGAGACCATGACTTTAGGTTGTTCAGTGTCCGCGATGAATTCATCGCACAGGATTAACATCATAGCCCACATAAATTAAAAGTACTCGGCTTCTACAACATCTATAGAGATAGTGTAGAACTACTACAAGAGATCCACACTTTCATCCACTTGGTGATGGACATCCATTGAGCAAGCCAAATCCCAGTAGCAACTCCCGATGCCAAGGACTTGGGATGCTCTAGACAAAGTTTACAAGGTGGGGGCCATCCGTGGACGTGAGACTGACATCCGCACTAGATGAATTTGCGTTTACTCGCATTCGTCACCGTCCTCATGCGGGTTGTGACGAGAAACTTGTGTAACACGTGACAGCGTCTCTCATCTGAGACCACCTGCAGGAGATCGTGACAAGACCCCGTGGGGGTTGCCCAGAATGGAGCGTCGGTTTTTGGATCCGTACTGGAGTTTGAGATAAGTCGCAGGGTGCTGTGCTATAGTTTCGTGTGGGGGCTCCAGCCGGCCAAGTCCTCGAGTTGTTTTGGTCGAGTCTGCCTTGGCTGTGACATGCAACATTGGTGCGTTAGGGCAACACGCTATTAACATGATCAATTTGACCTGAATCGTACATCCGGGGAGTTTTGAAGGTGTAGATCCACCGACTTGGGCTCGATATACGCGTCCAGGCCGCAAAGGCTCGATGCCAAAGATAGACAGGTCGAATTGCAACACATGCTGTATACTTGAGGTGGCAAGTTTAAGTCTTTGGCAACCAAACCACCTTTTGAATATCTCAGACATAGTCCTTCTTTATGTTCGCAAACTGACTTGTATGTTAGAACTTCGTGCACTTTGCTCAAAGGCAGCCATAATTCTTGGTGGAACAGGGATAATTCCTCAAGCCTGGTAAAGGTTCACATCAATGTAACCCTTCCACATCTTGGGCCGAAAGAGCTTGGGTCGACAGACATGGTGGAATATGCAAATTGCGCAGAATATCCCGAGCTCGGTCGCCGACTTCTGTCTTTAGGCAAAGCCTGATCTCTGATCATAAGTCCGGCCGGCTGCAGAAGTATATGTAGTGCTTCGCCGGGACATGAAACATCCGTAAGCTAAGATGGCCAACGGAGGTTGCAGATGCGGGTGTATCTTGGCGGCTTGATATCCAGAATATGCATCAATGATTCTGGTGTCAGAGAGTATGGTAAGTTGAAAGCAGAACGGCCCTCCAAATAGCAAAAGCATAGCTAGAGAGCGACCCTAGGATTCTCTTCGGGTTTGACATGATGTCCGAGCTCTATACGAGCAGGAAACCATACTGCCAAGGAGATAGCCAGAAAGTCGAGCCTACATTGCATCGGCATCTCGGATGAAGCTCCCACGGCTTAGGCTTTTATGGCCGGGCAGCGCCGAGAAGCTTACACCTTTCACTAGCGCTCTCTAACATGCCTCTGACTTGTAGAGAGAGGATGCGGCAGCTGAAAGGGTTTCCCACAGATCTGACGCCTCCACAGATAATGGCCCGGACTCCCGGGGACGAAAGCAGAAATCCGAGCAACTCAAATTCTCCAAATCAGGAAAGATAATGGAAGTGCCAAATTTGATGACTGGCTTGCTGATATCTTCTTCAACAAGTCAACCTGAATCCTTCAAGCAGTGCTCGATAGATCTCTAGTTCTGAAAAGCTAGACAGGTCTCGCAAATTTCGAACTCGGTCCTCTGTACGGTGATGCTCGGAAGACAGCATGGATACTCGCCGTTCAAATTCTTCTTCAGACCCGATAGGGTATCACTCATTCCCCAGAATCGCTAAGAGATGTCGGTCTTTCTATCAGTGCCCTGAAGCCATACTGTCTTGGGGCCTGTTGTTAATAATGGGAGGGTTCGCGACAGTGTCTAGACTTCTGTCTTGCATGAAGACGCGATAGGGCGGATACCACAGCTGTTTGTTGATTTATAGTGTTGCGATGGCGTGGCATTGTAACGAAAGTTGAAGACGAAAACTTCCATTGTTGTGATGGAGATGGAGAGGGGAAATTTTGGTGTTCGAGATGGAAGGTTCGATTCGGGTCTGAACTAGCGGCCTGATTCCCTGTTCGTACCGGGCGACCTCTCTTCAGGAAATCATTTGGAGATATTCGGGAACTGGACAAAGAGGATGCAAATCTCTCTCTCAATCAAATTCCACATCAGGCTCGCTCTCTCACTACACTAGTTGGAGGATCGAGCGCCAAGTCATTGCAAGTGATTGGCAATTCAAGATGATCCTGCCGCGGGAGGCCTTGGCCTCAAGCACCCCAGTCTGTACTTTACCTCAGCTAGGTAGGCATGCAAAGGCAGACTTATTGCAACCTTTTCCCTCATTTCAATCATGTCGAATTCACGCTCAACAGCTTGCCCCGGCCCTTTGCTTGCTTATAGCCTGAGCATCAACATCTTTAATATTGGCCTCTCATCTTTAACTCGGTTTTCACTCATGTTTGAAGTACCCTCATCGTGATTTCGCCGTCTAGTGTCATTTTTTGCCATCATGAAGGGCTCAAATACCCATGCTTTGATTGGGCATCAAAATATGTCATCTTGAATTCTGCTCAGGAAAGTGGGAGCTATTAAACACATGTCTGTTCTAATGAGACAGTTTTCACGGGATGCAGAATCAGCAGAGTTAGAGGTACCTCAAAATTGTTTAATGAGCAGTGCAGTCCTTGAACCGCATGGGCCACGTTCATCCTTGCGTCGATTACCGTTGGAGGAGGGGGGGTACAAGTGAAGGACCAGAGACTGATTCCTGAGAAGTTTTACCGCACAGGTACATAGGGGACGCATATAGCGATATTGAATATTCCCTCTTTGGCAATAAGTGGATCTAAGACTCTATGAAATGAGCACGTCCCATCGGATATACTTCAGGGGCTGCCAGCAGGATTAGCGAGTAGCGAATGCCTTCAGGGGCTTTTGTCATCACGTGATGCCCATAATTTTCACACTGCACCTTACTAGGTATAGACGGCAGAACCAGAGAAAGTCATGGACCTTCCAAATATCGCGCATCAGCTGTCTTTCTTGTTGTGGCGATTGTAAGTCCACTAGGCCGCATTCGTCGATATTACCAAGCCCAACCTCCGCATTAGTCAAGATTCGCGCATGCAATATTACCCCACCTAAGACCTCAAGCCTCGCATCACTCCATTCACCTCAACCTCTTCAAGCATAGGTCGTAATTCTATATTTAAACCTTCCTTGTTCAGCCTGCTTTTTAATTTAAACTGCAGATTCACGATCCCCAACTTGCCAATTGTCTCCAGCGTCATGAGAAAAAGTTTCGGGTCGACGATTTGCCGTGTCACCTGCGAGGGTACAACAGCTTGAAAAAGTCTCGTACGTGATAACGAAAGCATACGTCAGCTTCTCATTGTGATTGACTCCTTACCTTTGCAGTGTTCCGGTATGTACTGCAGAATTGCGACGAGCATCGCAAGGCTTTTCTTCCTCTTTCGTCCCGAATCTCAGCTCTTACTAAGTTGTCGCAGCGGCTCATATCTCTGAGCACAGAACTTTTGACTTAGAGGCGTCATAAATGTCTAGGGTTGAGTCAGAAGATCTGGTACTTAATATATGCTGCAGATATTCGATGTGCAACAAAGATAATTTCTTCATCCTGGATATCTTCCTTTCAACGACTTGCCTCATCCATGACCGATAATATCACGAAGGACGCAACTTCCTTGATGGTATCTCCAGATAATACCAAGGCATTGGAAGTACGAGTCAGATGAAGTACAGATTGGAAGGTCGAAATCTTGTCAAGTGGTCAGCTCGTGTGCTCAACCCAGCCTTCCCAACCTCGCCCTCGCACACTTCCCCATAACACTCTTGATCTGTCTCGCGACCTTCTGGATATACTCAAAACTTCTGCAAAAGCTTTTCAGCATGATTTAGGCGCCGAAAGAGCGACTGGCAACAAAGCTCTTGTCAAGTCTTTGACTGGTTATCGCCCACATCCCGCCGCTAAGCCCAGCCGCCAATCGCCAGCATCATGCCCGACACCGCTTCTCTTTCTTGCAGCAAGCTTTGCACCTCCGATTGACTATCAGATGGTCAAGGATAACCTGTCAAGGCCTGTCGACCACGAAAGAGCATCTCGTAGCGAAATGTCCTCGGCGACCTCAATCATCCCCATCAGCTTGCCGCCACGAAACGACAGCAGCACACTAAGACTTACTCAATGATCACTGCGCATCATAGATACAGAGAGCCAGTACGCGGATATAACATTGGGATGTATAGTAATAAGACGTGCAGAAAAGCGACTTGCAACAAAGGTCACTTCTTCTCGCACGGCCCCACCACGATACCGACATCCACCACAACACTTGACAGTTCTTTGACTACCATTTCTCGGATGCCCTTGCAACTCGGACGATCAGTTGACAGTTTCTTTATGTATAGCAATATATGCTGCAGAAGTGCGACGTGCAACAAGACATTTATCCTCGTCTTCCGGCGCAAAAGTTTTATATCACTCCACAAAGCTGTTCAAAATCGCTTGGTCCATAGGACAGCCTTCAGGTCGCAAGACACAGACGGAAAGAACTTCAAATAGAGGCTATCGGTGTTTCAAATATCTATTGTACCAATCAAGGAGTCGCAAAGAGTTGATTTCTCGAAGTTCAGACTGTTGAAGTCCCCTTCGTTGACCCGATAAACGCTCGTCCAGCGGCAGACGAAACAACCACCAGCGCGCCAACCACCAAACAAGTTTCAACAATGCCATCAATCATAACATCTCGTCAGTATACATCTATACCTAGCGGGAGAAGCATAGTAATAACTTGTGCAGATATTCGACGTGCAACGAAAGATTCTAGACCTCGCTTCCAGCCTCCGAATTTCTTCATCGCCCAACCTCTCCTCTTCCCGACGATTTTATTATACACAAGCAAGACATATATGAGAGCAAGTACCGGAGCTCTGCGATCCGCAACAAAACATATTTTTTGAGCTGCAGAGCCACACGTTGAAGTCCACGTTGGCGGCTCTGTTCAGGCTGTTTGGTCAGCCACCTCGAGCCTCGATGGAAAACGTCAGACCGCCATCCGCTTTCTGTTCTGTTATTATGTCTTCATGTATATCAATCTATGGTACATTTCGTTGCGTTGTTGCAGTTCCTTTTTTTGTGTTGATATTTGTGCGTCGTGAGTAGAGGAGTATGCGCTTGCCAGTCGCCCACCAGCCGCTCGCCGCTGAAGTCGCATCACCTTGATATCATATTGTTCAAGATGTATATCAATCTATCATGCAGATGTGCGAGTTGCAACAAACATTCTTTCTGGGCCAAGCGTGGCTTTGAAATGTGTCTATGCTCATGGATGTCCAAGAAGCTGAGGGTCGCTGAGGGACGAGCGAGACGAGGAATTTCATCTCAGCCTCTCAACAGCTCAGCACTCTCAATGTGTACTTCGCAGAGTCATATTGATGACAATCAATCATGACACGCAGTAGAATAATTGGCTTCTTCGATGTCCTAGCAGCGTTCTATCTCTATACGAGCATGCTGATGTCAACGGGAGGTCGGTTCTTCGATGACAGCTCTATTTCCGCGGTTAACAACCCGTTTGAGAACTGTATTTCTGAAGTTCCTAGGTCTCCAAGCAGCTCCACGAGGAAGCAGTCAATCAACCGGCAGCTTCTGGATTGTTCTTCTGTAGTCACAAGTCCGAGGAAACTGCTTCTCTAGGATGGCAATGCTTTCCCCCCGAAGCAGCCCCACATCTCAGCCGCTCATGCTTCAAAGCAGTTGGTGGTAGAGCATAGCGATGACCTTATCATATAGATTTTAATGTATAGTAACGATGAACAAATTTTAACACGCGCAGAGACCATTTTGTTCTTTCTTAACTTTCGGATTCCGCAAATCGGGAATGGATTCGTTCCCGCCATGCATATTATCTCGTGTGAGCTCCAAGAAATCCAATAGCATAGTAGAAAACCTGATTGTACTATCATTCCAGAAGTATAGTAATACATCCTGCATATTTGCGAAGTGCACAGAAAAAGTTGAACCCCTTTCTCTCGCATCTCGCTCAGCTTAGAAATACTTGACATCACATAAGATCCCCCATCTATATCACCCGCCTCTTATTTCGTGCCGCGCCACAACATTCCATACAAGCTCATCCTGCGCTGCAATATAGTCTTCTAGAAGCATAATAATATCATATGCATATCTGCGATGTGCAAAAGAGCCTCGTTCGGACAATCTGACATCGGCCTGGGACTGCGCCACGCTGCATCTTAGGTCATTCGGCGGACGTGAATAGGATCTCGTAAATGTATAGTAATATCTTGTGCGTTTGTGCGACTTGCGTCAAAGACGAGAGAGATCGTCAAGTGGTTGGATTTCTCTCGCTTTCGTGTGTGGGCCCAGAAGCTCGGAATAGCACCAGCCACATATTTCCCTTCCACACAACTAACTGCATCATAAACAAACTCTTATACTTTCATAGGATCATTCAGAAGCATAGTAATAATCTCTGCATATATTCGACTTGCAACAAATGTTCAAGACTTCGTCAAGTGGCTGAGATGCTTTTCCTTCTCTCGTGCGAAAGATCCAATACCACCTGCCTCATATTTGGTACTCCATGACCACACAGTCATATTTCCAATCTTATACATCATCAACACTTTTTCACTGCACCTTAATATAGTCCGCATATCTGCGACTTGCAACAACGACTATGATCCTCTTCAAGTGGCTCCATCCATCCAAGTAACGTGACCGTTCCCATTTTCTCTCAAACCAGAAACCTTACAACATCTCTATTCACACACATCGTCGACAGTCTTCCCATGTATACTATCAGACACGGCATATATGCGACTTGCAACAATGCCCGACATCTCGGTCTCTAGCCCAGACCGCAATTTCCTCCCTGACTCGCCGAAACGGATCCTGACTCGTCCAACGCCATCTCCGTTCCTCTCCCAAAACCATTTGATTCATTTCCCAGGTCAAACAATAGGGAAGGATATAGATTAAGTTGCCTCCGAAATGCAACAAAACTTCCATTCAAGTGAAAAAAAAGCAGGGAGACAAGCGGCGGGGAACCCTTGTCCTGGTGGGCAGGGGACGGGAAGCTTATTTGCGAGATGGAAGTTTAATGAGCTTTTGGGGGGAGAGGGAAGGAGAAGGTGTTTGACGGCTAATGTACTTGCATATTGTAGAAGTGCAACAAAAGATTTGAGATGATGGGTATGAGTAGTGTCTGTTTCTTGGCGTCTCAAGACGGAGAGGAGGGGCGAGGCTTACGGATCACGTTTCTCCTGGTATACCATGTCCCCTGCTTTTTCATCTAGGTTTATCGATATCCCTGGACTTCAGGGTGAATAAGATGCCTTTGAAGGTACGTCTTTCAAATCTGGCTCTCGTGATCTTCGAGTCATGGTAAGAAAGGGCTGAAGATGAGCCTTGGCGAATTCATGACCTTGCGCCTCAGTGAGCTTGACTGTAGATCCATGAACGTAAGATACGATCTAAGTATGACACACATGACAGGCTAATGACCTTGCATATTGTAGATGCGCAACAAACTTCTTCTTCTACTCCTTCCTCAGCAGGTGGAGTCCCTGCACCTGCTCGACAGATACCACCATCTTGACTATGCATCGATCAGGAAGCTTAACTTCCAGCCATCAAACAGTAGCAACGAGTAAAACAGCAGGCTAAAAGCCACGCATATCGACGAAGTGCAACAAATCCTCTGATCTCCCCTTCATCAAAGCCATGACCAGGTGCTCCTCCAAGCCACAGCACCACGCTCACAAGCTAGACCACGCACCATGAAGCTTAAACATCAATATAAGAACAAGCCAGTCCGCAGGCTAAAACCCTTGCATATCGTAGACACGCAACAAAGATGCTTCTTGCCTTCTCATCATCGTCAGGGCTGGGAACGAACCTTGACCGCTGTCAGCCACAACTACGCCTCTCTCTCGTAGTCGTAACCTCCCACAAACCATGGGACTATTAAACAGTGTTTAAGAACAAGCTATACACGCAGGCTAAAAGACCTGCATATCATCGAAGTGCAACAAATGTCTCTTCGAGTGCGAGTAGGTCACTAGACGTCGAGGTGGTACGCGGCGTTTTCGGTCAGCCGAGGCATCGTTCATTTCCAGGGACATGGGTCTGTCATCCATCCTCACCACCTCTGTTTCCTTCGTTACCACCGATAGCACAATACACACTATTGACAACGTTTAAAGGAAAAGTTAATATGGATAAAAAACCTGCATATTGTAGATGTGCAAGAAAGGCTTTTATTCTTTGCTTGACTGGATGAGTGACTGGATGAGTGTTAGACGTCAGCTTTAGGGCTAGGGTTCAAGCTCCGTTTTCTGGGACACCACAACTGCTTATGAACAAGAGGTATGGTAAAGGTCAATATGGGTAAAGAAGCTGCAGATTGTCGACTTGCAACAAACGCTCCTTTAAGAATACCTTTTGCTGTTCCAGAGTGGCTGGTGACAGGCAAGAGAGACGTCAAAACGTAACTCAGCTCCCAGCTCTTCACAACCACGACACCCAAACCCCAATGCTCGAACACAAAATCGAAAGTTAATATGGATAAAGAACCCGCATAACTACGACATGCAACAAAAACACTTTCTCTCATCATCACCTCTCTCAAAGTTTGGTATCAAAGGATGCGGTATCTCAAAACAGCAGCTGTCCATCCCCCTTCCAAACCCCAAACCCCATCACTCGAACACAAAACCGGGAGTTAATATGGATAAAAAACCCGCATATCTACGACTTGCAACAAAATCTCCTTTCATCATGGATATATCCCAATCGACGGTGGCAGAGGAGGAGGAGGAGGAAACGTCAGCGAAACAAACCCATGATCAAATCCCATCCCAAGCCCCGGGACACAAAATCCCCGACTAGCATACATGCATCCGTGAAAAGTAGGGAGGGCATAGTAAGCTTATTTCATAGCTGGTCAGCCACTGACGTCTCCAGAGACTCCACGGCGGTCAAAGCACGAGGACGGGAGCAGGAGGTTGAGAACAGACTTATGGACTTGAGATGTATAGTAATTAAGGCTGCAGATCATCGATGTGCAACAGAAGAGTTGTTCTCTACACCTAGATTCCAAGCTAGCAAAGAAGAAGAAAAAGCGGAAATACAGTTGAGTTAGGGTTTGCAATGACAAGCTCACGCGAGCACGATATCAAGAGTACGAACCTGATACGAATCTTACGAGACCACCACTCACTCACCTTATCTCAATCTTCTACCTATTTTCTCACCACCTCTCCCAGTACTTACCCTCACCAGAACTTCCACCTCAAGCCCATACCTCGGCATCCAACCCACCAGTAAATCATACACCAAGCCTCCCATCTCAGAACCTCAAATCTCACCTCTCCTCTCACAAACGTACAAACAAGCCACACCCCAACAAGCGCCCCAAATTAATAAACAGCTGCAGATTTGCGATTTGCAACAAAGCCTCCCTTCCCTTCCCTTCCCTTCCCATCCCATCCCATCCTCTCCTCCGTTCCATTTCACTTTGCTTTTTCAGCCCAGCTTTCTCAGCTCATCGGAGAAATATCCTCAAAGCAAGGCAAGTAGATCTACCCAAAACATCAACCACTAGGTCTAGATTCGCGGCCTCGGGCCATGTGGTATCTATTCCGGTCCTCACCTACTATAAATCCCTCCCGTTCGGGCAACTGGGCTCCCAGATGACGTTTCGTTATATTAACTGAGAGAGGAATTCCTACCAAGGGCAGACAGCGACTCGTTCCGGATCCGCTACCGGCCGAGAAGGGTAATATATTTGAGTTCGGAAGCTCGTGGTGGATGTGTGTGGATGGAGGGGTTATTTTTAGAAGGGTGGCTGCTGCGTGTGGAAAGTGGGATGGGTGCGTGGGGTGCGGGGTTGGGTGATTGGAGGGGAGGTGGGAAATGGATGGATGCGGAAAGTGGATTTTGGATGGCGATAACGAGATGTTGTTATGAAGAGAGAGAAAAGGGAGGGTGTTGGTGCCTATCTGATATGATTGTTACACAGAATTTAATCTTCGAAGGAACAAAAAACGAGGTTCTGGAAACGAGATGCGGCCTACCAAGGAGGCACCGAAAACTTCAAACCCCCAAAGGATGAACAAACCCGATGCTTGTGTACATCCTCGTTCATTCGTTTCAAATTCTTTTCGTCCACGCAATCCAACAACAACACGCGCGCACGGAATCATATACAGTACCGGCATATAGCTAGCTAGCTCTCACGGAATAACGAGCCCCGAACCTCTAGATCTAGACTTTGATGCGAAAGAATGAGATGGGAGGAGTTTTGTTCTTCCGTGTCGATATTGCGCGGGGGAGTACTGTAGACAGACAATAAAATAATCCTTGGAGATTGATTGATGACTTCGGAGTAATCCCAGACAACACAACAACCCATCGGCACATCCCAGATTGCGCACGCTGGGATGAAGAAATTACCGACAGGAACACCTCAGCTCGCAGCGGCGAACACGTCGTTTGGAAGAATGGGCTGCTGGTAACGTTCCTCCCCGCGAAACGAATCGTGTCACATGGATGGGGTACGTAGTTGCTGAGAAATGAAGAGGGAAAAGTGAAGGATCCGAGAAGGTCTGAGGACCCTATCCAGAGTTTGGGGGGTTTTGGTACGGGCGGTGATGTTTTATATGAAGTTGGGGCTGGGATGGGGAGGTCAATGAGAAGAAGTTTGGATCATGGGGTGGGACGGCATGGCATGGAAGGTTACGGGAAGTTGAGATGAATTGAAGGGCAGTGCCGCAATGGAGCTTAGTTTGCAATGTAGCAACACGAGACAAAAGTCTAGAATAATACAGTATGAGACGAAACATCAGCTAGTCTTCAGGGTCAAGCGCCTCATCTCGACCCCAAATCTTGTGAATCCCAAGGCGCAATCATCTTCCAGACTATAGACACTATGGTAAACAACTGAAGAAGTATGTGGCGCAGCGCAAATGACACTCACTCATCTCAATCCTTCTCAAGCCGCAATATCCAAAAGACGAAAACTCCGGTATACAGAAAACGAGCGTGAAATGAAAACGTGGGATGGGAATGCTAATGTTGCAGATTGCGGGGAAGCACGCATCGACCTCGCAGGATGGAGGAACTGTAGTCAAGTAACTGCGAAAGCTGGGATGATCCATGAGTTGAAGTATATTGCGGGGAAGCTCAGATCCCTCCTCAAGAGACTATCGAGCATTCGCAGAAGCAAGGATCTAAAGTCTGGAGAAGCTAGCATCAATGAAGGAGGCCAAATCCGTCTTTATCTCAAAACGAATCAAGCATGATGACCATGGCCGCAAATGAAACCAGCTGTCGAGTGGAGTGGAGTAAGTTTTGGGGACCTAAACCTTAACCCAATCTCAGAGACTGGAACACGAACGAACACCAAATGAAGATCGTGGGGATGTCCTCACTTCGCATCGTGATAGAAACCAACACACCCAAAAACGCGACAACTAGCTAGCTCATCCACATCAAGAAAGCGAGCTCCTCAAAGCCATCCATCCCTCAACCCCAACGAATGAAAATGTAAAATCATCCAGATCAAGACCAAAAAAATATACCCCACGGCAATGACCTTGCACAGAACTTCATAACCCTGAGATAAACAGCTTCGCAGATTAGAAACATTTCAAAGTTGCGGGGAGCATGGAAATTCCTTCTGGCCAAACTGTAGAAATCATGCTGTAAAAGGGAGACATGAAATACCTAGCAGCCGATAAACTGGACCAACCTAAACTCTAATTTAGTCTCAGAGGATGCAAACCGGGACCTCGATCGTGGCAAAGGGCAACAGCTGGGGTGGGGGTAGGGAGTTCATGTATTACAGCTTCTTTGTTTTTTTACGGGATGAATTGATTCATTCCAAGGACTAGGCGGTGGTAAAGAAACTTGACAACACGAAAACATGGGATGGTGGGAAGGTTTAGCATCTACGACTCAAATTATATACATCTATGTACCCTATTGCGGGGAAAGCCAACATTATCTAGAATACCACATGCGAGTGTGGGAGGGGGAGGTGGATGCGAAATCTAGAGATCTGAAATTTTCACACACAAAGCGCAGGATTGCTGTGTGGGGGAAACACTCCGAACCCTCCTCCAAGCCGTAGAAATATTACCCACAACCATTCAAGGACACGGGCACAGGTGGGTGGCGTGGGAATTAATCTACGATAAGCTCGTTGTGATATCCAGACTCTTAAGAGTTGTGGTAAGGAATATCATGAGAATGGTGGAGAGTGTGGATCATGGAATAGATGGACTGTAGACTGCGGGGATTTAATGGGACGAAGATCAAATTGTGGGGAAGCTTTTCATCCTATCTCCATCTCATCTCCAATTCAATCCAATTCACAGCAGGGATAGAAATGGGACGAAAAACTCATCCTTCACATCTCACTTCGACGAGATATAGACCAGACAGATTTGAGCATGTGTGTAGATTGGTTAATCCAATATCCATCCAGCCCCTCTCATCCAACCCAGCTATAACAGCTAAATATAGTTTTCCCCTTCCTTTCCCTTCCCATTCCCTTCCACATTCAAATATCCACAAAAACCCAATAAATACCAGCTAAACTTAACTAAAACAGACGGCAGAGAACAAAAAAGAAAAGAAGCAACCAGCTCGGAAAATACTAAATAACCCGCCCACTGTGCTTCCTTCTCTCTTCTCTTCTCGAGGAGAAAACTATCAATCTTGGTATCGTATCGTAGCTTCAACATCATTACCTCGTAACCTAGAAAACGAAAACATCGCAAGCAAAACTCCTTCCCATATCACTCACACGCACACGTCAGCACCCGACCGATTAATTTCTAAGAACACTCTTCCGTTGTGAAGGTCGCACCGCACCATTCTTCCTCACTCTCGATGACTGCCTGAAGACCGGCAACAGATGTTCCCGCGAAGTGTAGGGCGGTTGCTCGAATTTGTAGGAGAGCAGTTCGTGGCGCTCTGAGCGCTGTTGCCAGATTTGGAGCATGGATGTTTCGCTTTCCTCGTCTTCGGAGTCCTTTGATCTTGGTAGTTTAGGTGATTTGGGCGGTGGTGATGAAGAAATGTGGTGATTCTCAAGCGCTTTGACGAGTTCTGTGTGTGGAGAATATGGTGCGTGGGAGTCGAGCGTGAGTGATGAGCTTGCAGTCGTGGTAGGATTTTGCGAATATTCCTCCTCGTGATGAACATCGGACTCGTAATCAATCATCACACATTCATCCGCATCCCTAAAGAAACCCCTCGTATCCAAAAATCCACTGCCGTCGCCGAAACTACCATCCTCTTCTCCCTCATCTGAGGGGAATAAAACCCAGTCTTTGTATCCCGTGCCGTGACATGGGTCTCCGGTGGGAGAGGAGAAGAATCCGCTGTCGGCGAAAGACGTCGTGGTATTCGTGTTAGGAGTGAGATTAAAATCATCGCGATATGGTGTTGACGGTGTTTTTGGAGTTTGGAGATTGTCGCCTTGGACGGGTTGAGAAGATTGGGTGGTGGCCATGGTGAGAGCGAGGACTAGGCAGCGAGGTCAGTAAAATGAGGAGCTGTCGGGGCGGGAGTCTTGCTTACCTTTCTCGAAAATCGAGTCCTGAAATCGTGAAGTGGAATTGTGTGCGAAAGCGAAGACAATTTGTAGAAAGAGAAGATGATTGAGGAAGAGGGAGAGAAATTGGTTGGTGGCAGTGAGGAAGAAATAGAATTGAGAGTCGGAGGGGTTTGGGCGAGGGAAGATGAGCGACGCAGACTCGGTTGGCGAGAGAGGAAAAAACGTGAGTTGAGAGAGTCGACACGCGAAAGAGGAGGGACGAGAGACGAGACGAGAGAGTGCGTGCGTGCAGTAAGATGGGAGAAGAGAGAGTGCGGGAACACCTACCGCAGCTGCGCACCACTGCCCTCTGACAGGACAGGACAGGACAGCACAGGACAGCACAGGACCCCACGTTGTGAAGGACTTACCACTCACTCCTCCTTCCACACCGAAGAGCTTAATCGGTACCCCAAGTAAAAAGGTATATCAGACCAGACCAGACCAGACCAACCCATTATGACAATGATGGCACTACACACATCATCATAATCGAGTTCCGCCATCACATCGACTTCGAGATCCCTCCTCCCTTGGTGGTGCTGGCCGTCCTAGAGGGGATGGGCATTTCGCTTGGCACGCCTTTCTGCCCTCCTCACGGGCAGAGTGAAGTGTGGGAGCAGGGATGAGCCAATGAGGGGTCGTGGATTGCATCATTTGTGGGCCCCATCCTTCGAAAGCGTGCAGCGACGGTCATTGGCTGACCCGAGGTGCATCAAAAGATGTCCAGAGGTCGAAGCCGAAGCCGGAATCAGGCAGAGAAGACGGGGAACAAAAGGGAGTTGTGTCGAGGGACGCGAGAGAGCAGAAGGAGAGCTCTTCGTCCAGCATCGGGAGCACGAAGCAGCGTCCGGCAAGAGACTGAGAAGGAGAGTGCGAAAAAGGCTCGCCCTTATATGAACCTGCCCATCCTTCCGTCGCCCCAGACAGTTTTCCGTGTGAGAGTGGAGATTATGCAACAAGGAGAGAAAGTTACAGGGGTACAAGGCCACACCAGAGACACTAACAACAGCCCGAGCAAGGGCGCTATTAGTGTCTCAATCCCTGTAGCCTCCCTTGGAACATGTTCCCTACTGTACCGCCCGCCACCGGTGATGTGAGATGTGAAAGAGGGTGCACTGATTCGACTGGGTGATGATGAGTGGCCGGCGATGGAGGCCTTGACCGCGGATCGCCTGACAGCATAAGAAATCATGGCGCAGTTGCAGTTGCCGTGGCGGACTTGCAGTTCTTCAAGGTGGATGCGGTGGATGTGATGGTGGGATGGTCGGGTCGAGCGAGGATGTGCGTTGCTGGTGTGAGACGGCTTCTTCTTCAGGCAGAAGCAGAGGATCGCGAGTTCGGAGGGAGGGAAAGGAAAAAAAAAGGGAAGGCGAAAGGAGAGCCAGCAAAAAGGAGAGGCGTCAGCAATAATAATGGCCAGCAAGACCAACACACATGGATTGGGACTGGGACTGGGACTGGGACTGGGACTTGAGTTGCATTAAATGCATCAGATGCATCAAAACGACTCTCTCATCCGTCAAACCGCCCCCGTGCGACGCTCACTCTTCCCCCAAAAAGCAGCCCGAGATTCAGCAGCAACGGCGACTGGTCCACCTTGCGCGAGATTCAGCCCCCATCCCAAACTCTCTCATGCAGCCGAGTACGTTGTATGCCGTATGCCGTTCAAATCCTTTCGATGCTGATGTGCAGACCAAGACGAGGGAAGGATTCCTGGTGTTTATGACTCCCAGCAAATCAATATCAGAAGGAGACGCACCTTTCATTGCATTCCATTCCATTCCTGTATTCTGCCGGGAAATATGCACCGAACGGCATGGTGACACGTCGGGAAAGAGAAAAGAGAGGAGAGGAGAGCGAGCCTGTTTGCTCGAGACATCACACATATCATGATTTGATTCCTCGCCGCATGCAGTACTGTAGCAACATTCCGTATCCGCTTGGGATGCCATGTCGGTCTGTCATGCATTGAGCCGCTCAAGGCTCCCTGCTCTGTTCCGTTGGTTGGTGTGCAGTCCAGGAAAAGAAACACGAGAATGGGTGATTTGATGACGCTAGTCTAGTACCGCACGTGATGCACACTTACTCGCAACATTTCTCGCTTCGTCATTTTCTCATCCTTCGACTCTCAAACTTCGGTCTTCTCATCTATCATCTTGACACTCTTTCATTATCTGTGCTTGAGATTCTCCTCAAATACATACATGTTGAACGATCTGGATAGGTGTAGTAATAACCATCTTCGTTTCCTCTTCTTTCAAATTCCGTTTTCGTCCACAGCCCAGCATTCACGTCTGACCCATGGAGAATCAATCTTCATACGAGATGTCCCCTCACTTTTCTAAATGCGGAGATCACAAGAGTCTTAGTTTTTATCTGTTCTTCTTTTCAGATTTCATCACACACTGTCTTCTTTGCATAATTATACAAGAAGCTACGAAGATACGAACGAATGTCTTCGGCTGGGGATCATCGGCCCAAGGAAAAAATGAACCCCGCACTCTATATTTGCTGTGCAATGTCACCCGCGAGTTTTCCCGAAACACTTTGTTTGGGAAAGATGAGATGAAAATTAAAAGTACTGGTATTTTCATATTTTGAGTTAAACAACAATGTATAAATCTCAGCCGTTTCTTCTTATCTATTTTGTGCAAGCTATTGTGCGTTTCAACCTTTTGTCTTTCGTGTATTATATTAGCCAACTCAAAATGCATTCCATCCTTTCACTTCCCTTCATATTCTCAATCCTCATCACTCTCGCTCCAGCAGACCCAACACCATGTCTCTGCACCACCTACTCTCAAATCGCTCCCGCCGTCGCATCCTGTACATCCATCATCCTCCGCAATATCACCGCCCCCAGCGCCTCCAGCATCAACCTCTCAAAACTCAAAGAAAACACCACCATAACATTCTCCGGCATCACAACCTTCGAATTCACAAACTCCTCTTCCTTCACCCCCATCTCCATCGGCGGCAAAAATATAACCATCACTGCTGAACCAGATGCTGTCATCGACGGCGCAGGACAATTATACTGGGACGGTCTCGGTTCCAATGGTGGCGTACCAAAGTACCCCTCTCTCCCCTCTCCCCCCCCCCCCCCCCCCCCCCCCCCCCCCCCCCCCCCCATTTCCTCTTCCTAACAAAAAAAAACGTAAAGACCAAACCATTTCCTCACCCTCAAACTCCACAACTCCACCCTCGCCTCCCTCACAATCCACAACTGGCCCGCACACCTAATATCCATCACCTCCTCCACAAACCTCACGCTCTCCAACCTAACCCTCGACAACTCCGCCGGCGACGCGTCGAATAACCGCTCGAATGGTCTGCCCGCTGCCCATAATTCGGACGGTATCGATATCAGCTCCAGTTCCGATCTCCTAATCAAGGATATCAGAGTCTGGAACCAGGATGATTGCGTGGCTATCACCAGCGGTGATCGGATTGTGGTCGAGAATGTGCACTGTGTCGGGAGTCACGGCCTCAGTATCGGGTCTGTGGGTGGGAAGGCTGATAATAACGTGACCGATATCCTGGTACACTCCTCTCTTCCTTCTTGATTGAGATTTTTAATTGACAAATAGCTAGTTTAAGGATAGTACATTAATCAATGGAACCAACGGAGCGAGGATTAAAACGAATTTCAACGCAACGGGATGGGTGGCTAATGTCACGTATGAGAATTTGTGGTTGGAGGGGATAAGGACGTATGGGATTGATGTGCAGCAGGATTATTTGAATGGGGGCCCGACGGGGAGGCCGAGTAGTGGGGTGGTGGTCGAGGGGGTGGTGTTTAGGAATGTGAGCGGAAGTATGAGCGGTAGTGGTGGGATGGGGGTTTATGTGCTTTGTGGTGAGTTTTTGGATTTTCTTTTGCTTGGAGGGAGCGAGAGATGATAGTGGGGATTTGGATCTCTGTGGATATAAAGCTGCTTGGTTGAGTTTAGTGGCTAATTTTGATATTTAGGTGATGGAAGTTGTAATAATGTGACGTTTGAGGATGTACGTATTACGGGAGCGGCGAAGGAGAGTAGTTGTAATTATCCTGTTGGTGGGTGTCCAACATAAATTGGCTCTCTTCTTCTCTGTATATATCTTCCAATTCTTGTACATATAACACCACAAGGACTCCATCAAAATGCAAAGCAAACCCATACACCAATCTAAGAAAGTAACGCTAAACGCAGCAAATCGTCCTCTTTCCCCCAAAATCTCGTCTCTTTCCATAACCTCACAACTCCCCACCACACTCCCCAACCCCATAAACATCACAAAGACACTTCTCTTCCTCCGGACAACTGCATCTCATTAGCCACCCTTCACACACACTAAGAACTCCAAGTCCCCCCTCCCGGTAATCACAAAAAGAGAAGAAGGTACCCACAAAACAGCCTCCTTCCCAAACCACAAATGCCAAGTCCACTCCAGCAACCTCCCACTCTGCCGACTCCCCAACTCCGTCTGCACCAACCAATCCCTCAACGCCTCCCACTATCAACCACACCAAACATCAGCCCACCCCTCCCTCTCCTCTCCTCTCTCCTCTAGGGGGGAACAACAACTAACTCACCTCAGCTAAACTCCTCCTCCTCACAGCCTCCCGAGAGACGGCGAACTGCGCACAGCACGGCGCTGCGATTTTCTCTGGGATTTTTTGTCTGTTTCCGTTTTTGTCGAGCCAGAAATTATGTAACTATTCCCCCTTCACATCAGCCCCTCCCTCTCCTTCTCACCACAACCAAAAAAAAAAGAGAGAGGAAAGAAAGGGAAAGATACGAACCAAAGTACTAATCTGCACCTCCCTCGTCGCAGTCCCCATCTCCTCCAGCGGCACCACATCCCCACTGAGTTCAATCACGTTCTCGCACCCCGGCAAGCAGCGCGGAGACACATACCCATCTCTGAGGACGGTGAGCGGGTTCAGGTGGCGCAGTTCGAAGGACGAGGAGAAGGGTTGGTGCCAGGCTTGGGAGTGGTCGTGGTGGAAGAACATGAGGGAGGGGAGGGTGTGGTAGTGGGTCGTGAGGAAGGTTAGGTAGGGCATTGCTTCGTTGCCTTTGTTGAGGGGGACGGTGAGTTGGGATGGGGAGGAGCGGGAATTTTGGGGAAGAAGGGAGGGGGTTAGAGAGGTGTTGTAGATGTAGGTGTCCCAGTGGGTGGACTCTATGAGGGAGGGCGTGAGCCAGGTTAGGTTTGAGGAGGCGGTTGTGGCGAGGATGAGGGCTTTTGAGAGGTGTGGGTGGGGATTGATGGGTTTTTTGCTGGATGAGGAGGGATAGAATATTAATCGTAAGAGAGCTGTTACGAAGAGGGCGGAGAGGAGGGGTTTAGAGATGAAAAGCAAGAGACGCCGTGTTCGGTGGGATGTTAGAGCCATTTTGATCCTCCCTATTCTTTCCCTTGAGTATTGAGAAGACAGAAGTGCAGGTGTTGGGATGAATGATCAGATGAAAAAAAAGATAGGAGGAAAGGATATATATCTTCAGAAATGGTCTCCAGTGGATGATGGCGAATAAGCTGAAACGGAAAGGGGAAGGGGCAAGATATGGTGAAACATGCCTCAGGTCGCGTCTGTGCGGCCGCTGCCGCGGGAGCTGGGAATGCCCTCATTTCGCGAGATTGGGATTTGAGGTTTCCGGTATGGATGTGTGATCGCAATAGACGCATGAGGATCTGGTTTTCTAATAGTTACATTAATTCGAGGCTTGATAGGCGACGAGGAGATAGATCTGTTCATCACGTGACTTAATGAATTCACATTGAAATCCGAGCCTTTTGAGCAAGCACAGAATATTTGTCTCTCGCTTGAGTATGGGGGTCCATTGAAGCTCTGGAAATCGATTCATTAGAAGTAAAACTGTAGAGATAAAGGGCCTACGGCTTCGAGTTCTTGTCTTGCTTAGATCAATCACACCCAGCGGGAGGCGAGGACTTTGTAAGTTGTCCAGAAGGAATTTTCTCACTGACCCAACACAGACCTCTCTTGACTTGGGGCACATCCTGTCTTATTTTGGTGTCCTTCTTTCACACACCGCCAAATCCTCGTAAGTCAACGTCTATTCGAATAGGTCTCGATAGGGTGTGAAGTCACCCCAATATGCTCGCTAAGTGGTTTCACTTGTTCGTCCCCTTCTGAAAGCCATTTCCGACTTAGCCCTGCACAATCCACAAAAGATTCTGTTCCATCACAATGAGATCTATCTCGATCACGGTTCATCGTCCTGACTGTATGTGGTTAGGATCTGGAATGCTGGTTGATAAGCAGAAGCATCACTCACCTTGTTCCCAAAAATGGAAAAGTTGGAAAGCTCCAATAGTCATTCTCGCCTTCACCTAACACTCGGGCTTCTAGAGGACCCAGATCTTTTGGGTCCAATTGCTGTGGATATCGAAGCTCGGCTTCCGCTTCCTCTCTCGTTACAACGCCGCCGAGTGACAGTCTTGGTCTGGGGTTGAGAGGTTTACCCCAGTGTCCGATCCATGCGTTTTGATTGAATGGAACTATGGGATGCGGAAACGGCTTTTTCCTGCCTCCAAAGCTTTGGTAAGTCAAAGTGTCTCCGAGCAGGTCTCCAAGGTCGGCACGGAGTGTCTTGAGGAAGGGTGAGAGAAGATCAAACTTCATAACATATTTTGATGATGTTTGACGGCTGTGCGCAATTCTTTCGATGAATGGATAATTGAAGTGTATGTCGAATTTGGCCTGCTGGGCAGCAAACTTTTCAAGCCGCTCTGAAATAAGTGCTATGTTACTTTCAGAGGGATAGAAGCTCTTCAGGATACCAAGTGAAATGCGACCATCGTGAGCCATATGCCCTTTCTGTGGGTGCCTATCACGCACGATCCTGATAGGTGCACTCGATTGAGGGCTGCATCTCAACGAGAGTGAGCATCGTCGCATTCGGAAGCTCATGATCGAATTCAAGTTATTCACTGATGTGTGTGTCGGACAACAGTCATGGTGTGGTGCTGATCAAGAAAATATTGAATGTAAGGTGATGTTGTTCGAATGTCTTATGTAGCTGGTGACATGCGACTAATATTGTGGCTTGCATGCAGCCCTTGCTTCAATTATTTCCAACATCTACGCGTCAATTCACATGCGTTTACATGTGATCTGAATACTTACCTACAATATGGCACAGTTTTCATGAAGTAACGACCTCTTGCGTTCAACGAGATTATACGATCTTCAACCTGCCAGATTCATCCAGTACCTCCCAAGCTTCTTCAGTATTCATTCCAACATCTTCCAAAGCCTCTCCTTCCATCCACCCTTGCACAAAAGCACTTCCCTTGAACGTATAACTCCCATCTTCATTCTCCCCCAACAAAACTGGTACACTACACTTACTCAAAATACCCAGCCTCTGTCCTGGCTTCGCATTTTCAGGCGCAAGGCCCATCAATCCATTCTCGGTAATGATCAAAGCTCTTCCTCTCGTGACGATTCGGAAGACATCAGCAGAGGTATTCCGCATCCTATGTTTGCATTCATCTTCTTTCACACACACTGGCCGAAAACTAACGTTCTCATTTTCTTCCTCTCTGAGAGATCCAGAAGTTGGTTTTATTTCGACAGACCACACCCCAGTCACGTCGCCTGCTAGCATGGACCAGAATTTCTCCATGAACGGCATATTCAATCCCGGTGCCTGGTTTTCTTCTTCAGTGAGCAAAGCATTAGCTGCTATGCTCATCCATTTGCCTATAGACTTGCCGGTGTCGGAATCCTCTTGCAAATGGACAGATTTGACGGAATCGAGGATCAAGCCTGCTACTTCGAGGATAGAATTGTTGAAGGAGAATCTGGGCGTGAGGTTGGTGGGTCCACAAGTGTGGTATATGGAGCCAGAGATATCTTGTACGGCCCACATGTAGACGTTGGGGATGTGTTCTCGACGGACGAGACTGCTTGCTTTTGACGGGGTACTCCAATCTGCAGACCAAGTTGGCATGTCTAGACCAGAATTGCTGTTCTCTGCTGCGCAAATGATATCGAGACTTCTAGTCTTTTCTGCCACTGCAGTTGCAAACTCTTGATAAGTTTGAGACAAAGATGTCAAATAGTCCAATTTGAAGTCAAGCCCCTCTATATCCTGCGCTAGATTCAAGAGAGCAAAAACTTTATCGTGCGGCGCAGTGCTTTCGAAGTCTCGACCAAGAATCAAAGCATCGAGAATCCCAGGCGAGTTCTCTTTGAGTTTTGAGAAATTAGTCTGTCCCAACCAATGGTCTGCATTCCTGGAGCGTAGATGACGAAAGTAAAAGAGCTTCCGAACAAACCAGATGTCTTGGTCTGAGACCGACTTCAACAACGGATCCGCAGCCATCATTCGAGCTGGCATTGTGCGATCGCGGTGCAGAATGTCTAAGAGATGATATGCCGCCATGTCTAATTGACTCCAAGCTGCTTTCTTCTTACCACAGTATACGGAAGGAAGATTCGCGACTGCGAGTTCTTGAATGACCCAGATTCGTCGAAAGTATGGTCTGAGGAACAAACGATACAGAGCTGCAAGTCGTTGGGGTAGATCAGGAATCGGTGTGATTTTCCACTCATCGTCTTCTTTGACTGTGTATGGACCCCAATTGCCATTATCATCCGGCTGCAGCTTTGGACTTTTCAACTCATCGAGAAAGTCTATTGCCGTGTCGCTCGCTTCATCACCTTCTCCAATCCAAGAGAGGACAACATCTGCTGCCTCGTAAATCTCTAGCATCCTTGGTATCTGACGGTTGCGCTCAGGGATGTTGTTCTGATCGATACATATTGCATCAATCCATATATTGCTTTTGTTCACCTTGTCACGAAGTTCCCGGAGACATCGATCGAGGTTCTTTCTGATCATGAAGGTCTGCCCATTGAGGAGTATAGGACATGTTGGTTCTTCCTCACTTGAGCCCCAAGTATATGACAAGCAGTGATACGCGACATCGTCGTGCATGACTGAGTATGCTAGTGCAGCTCGTAAAGGGTCGTCATAGTTCTCTGCTTTCCAGAGTACGACGAGGCGAAACTCGTCTGCCACATAGTCTAGTGGCAGATATTGGTGAGGCGGCGGAGGATCAACCCATCCCTTCTGCATCTGCAGGGGGCAAGGATGATGTTTCGTCTCCTTTGGCTGCCTCGTATGGCTCCAATCTTTGGCCGTTCGAGGAAACGGTCGCGGTAATTCTCCTTTGTCCCATAACTCGGCCATGACTTCGCTGAGATCAACAACTTTCTCTGCGTGCTTGATCATTGTGTCCATCCATTCTTGGTTCCAGTATCGAGATTTCTCTTCTGAATCTTGATGGTTTATGCATACATCTCGAAACCATAATCGCTGGGGAACGTCTCTTGATCTGATATGAGCGAGGAATTCGCAGATGTTCCTGGTCACGTGCTTGGATTTGCCATCGATGGAGATTCCAAGCCACGAAATGGGATTACCTCTTGTGTTGATAATATATGTATAAGGCTTGCACTTTTCGAGTGGCTCTATAGACATGGAGCATTTGAGAAGAGTGTCAGGTGCAGCAGGCTCGAGCGTCAAGAATCGCATCTCCTGTGTCGTGATGTCGAGCTGCGTATATTCGAGAGGCTGCATTTCCTCTTCTTCCTCGCTTTCAGACCGCTCTGCTGGGATATCCTCTTCGAGCGAGCCATTTTCGGGTGTATTTTGTGGATCAATTTGCTGTTCAGGCATGGCTTTAACGATTGAATCCAGCAAGCTGTAAAGATCGTCTGAAATCAAAATGCAGTACAAAGCTGCACAAGTAGTATCATTTGCCACGCAAACAACATAAACACGACATATTTGGAGGATTGGCTCTCAAAATAATAGAGAAAGGTGTCAGACAATGGGGTAGGTTTGGTGGTGATGCGATTTAGGCATCGAAATACAGATTGCCATGGAAGTGGATGCTGCGCCGCAAGGATGCACACTAACGCAGACCATTTTGGGAGCCGCGCTTAAGCATGCAGGCAGGCAATTTAAATGACTCCCAGTAGATCAAAACATGATCGAGTTTCTCATGAGAAAAGGCCCTTGCAAAGGAGTTGATTGAAGTGGACGTGAGATGAGTAATGCTCGCTACTCGCTCTGGGGATGCTGGATGGTTGCTTGGATATCTGGTGTTGGAATTATCCTTGAGGGTCTGCATTCATTGCTCGAACTGCTTCCGTCTCAACATTCATTGGAAAAGGAGTATTCATTCTCGAAGACCTTTGAAGATCAAGTATTTGAAGGAAACTCCGAACTCTTTGAAGCGCGAAAAGAAAATCTCGTTTCATGGGTGTCCATTTGCTCGCTTCGGGCTTCCCACCACACGTCTCATGCTTCTGTCATCGCTACACACAAAAAGATTAGAGGAAATGCGAAGCAAAAGAGTTGACAATAACAGCAGTAATGTGCTTCCATCTGTATCTATAGGGAAGAATAGTTATGTGAATCATTATTTGGCCTATAATTTGTGGCACTGCTGAATTCAACTGTCTTGTGGTAATGAGCCCAGATGTTATTAGAGAGTGGCCATAGATGACAGGCTCAAGTTGGCCGTAAAGTCTCATGTTTAACCAAAAGTGTCTATTTAAATTTATACCAAGAAGAGAAGATAGTCCACTTGGGAATGTGAGCAAGAATGTGACCGTTGTTGAGTCTCGCTTATTTTCCGTATGAAGGCAATTTACCTCGGGGTGTTTTCCTTAAATTGCTTCAAATTCTAATCTATGGATTCTTTGACATTATAAATCAAACCAACATAACAAAAAAGCATGTAATCTCTTGTATCCGAAATACCATTACAAAGGAAAAGAACATTTGACGCCGATGTATCAACCCAGCAACTTAACCTAGACACTGCGTCCACCGTGGGGTACTTGTGCCCTGGGGATCATAACTGAACAAATAAAACAGCAAAGCAGTGCTAAAATGAAGAAGAAAGAAATACCATGCAGTCACCTGCTCCACTTTCTTCCTCTGCCTTTCCTTGCCCCGCGCCCTCACAGTTCTTGTGGCCTGAGAAGCATATAAGAGTGCAATCGAGACCCACACCGCTGCCAATGCCGCAGCAACGACTTGAATCCATATTATCGGTATCGTGGCTGGGATGATCTGACCAGTGAAGTAGAAGCCAACTGGGGACCCAAGAACGAATAATAGCAACGCAGCAGAGCCCCTGACTTGTCTCCAGGTCTTACAGTGGCGGAAGCTGTAGCCCAGAGCTGGGATCGCCAATCCTGCTCCAAGGGTGCCAATCACCCCAGCAGCCCATTGAGGAAGGGTGTGGTGTGGATGCCCGAAGATATCTCTTGCCGCAACTGATGCAAACCAAAGCATGAATGCGACAGCTACAGCAATGGAGCCATAAGGTATGATCGTAGGATATTCTTCCTTGAGGTCCGCGATGTCCGTCATCCATACTGCATGCCAGACAACGAGCAGCTCTGTAACGAGAAACGACCCAAGATACAGCGCAGCGATGACTTTCGACCATATGACGCCTTCGTAGGCGAATATCTTGATGAACTGTGAAATGGCGAGGACAAATAAGAGGAATCGGAGGATTTGCTCGTTCTTTTGCGCTGTTCGACCACCCTTTCTCTTTGCTTCTTTGAATTCAGTCCAATGCTCGCCATTGAACCTGAATCTGACAAGTCTGTTGCGGGCCTCGCAAAATGATCCGCTGCTGAAGTAGTATGATGTAAAGCGGATCAAGATCAGCATCGTGTCAAGGAAGCAGATGATAGGGGAGCTTCGAAGGAGGAATCCAACATCTGCATCAGCGCCGCAGACTAGACCTGAGGGTTGGGTCATGGAGTTGATGGCGAAGGGGAGAAGCCCCCAGAAAAGGGACGCCCATGAAACAGGGTTTGATGATGTTGGTGTTGTCATTCTGCTGCGAATTGAATGTGTGGAAGTTTGAGAGGCAGTAAGCAATGTTATGAATGAACATCGTGTCGTCTTCTATACTTATATGAATCATCACTGCACTTACAGTCTGTAGGTTTCAGGCTTCGCTGATGCTGTAAATAACTTATGACGAATATAAAATTGATGAAAAGTAATACTCAACGTACGAAGGTGTACAGATTTCGATAGTTTGTCGGGGAACCAGGTGGCTGGTGCGAACACCTCTCGCTCGAGGAGGCGCAATTGAGCCACGTCGATAGTCATTCTTTTTTGCATGCGCAATTGAGAGGAAATATCTAGTAGAAGATTTTAGAAGCCTTGCAATAACAACTTCATGTTTTTATGAGCATCTATGCAGAATTGTGGTTGAAGTTTCAGCTGAGGCGGAGCCAGATTTAGGGCTGGTGATGACGATCTTGTGGCGTTTAGGGCCTTGGATTGCGCGCTTCCTTTCCGCAACATCCACCTCCGTCACGGTCTTCGTGACTCTAAAGTCTATTCAGCTACAGCCACAGATCGTCTGTCGCGAATCTACGATCCAGGAACCGATTCTAACATATGCGGAAAGCTTCCGACCCAGAGCTTTCATCTTCACTGCCCCCTGAATCAGGTGCGCATGTTAACATTTCCACAGAGCGCATGTCAAAACCACCTCGCCGCAGCCATATTTCCAAGCTCTAGAACACTATTGTACGTTCCGATCCGCTAGAGGAGTCAACAACACTAGAGATCGTAGAAACTCGGAGAGTGTTGTTTTCGTTCTGTAGACAGCGTGGTAGGTCCCTAAAAGCCTTGTGGCTTGTGGCTTGTGGCTTCCACTCAGCCCCTAGAATCAAACTATCAATTGCCATTCTCGGATTTTCCTTCTATGTCTTCTCTCGATGAAGATGCTGAGGTGAAAGGAATTTGGACCTAAGAAAAGAACATATATAGCAGCTCTGCTGTGCTGGAATCGAACCCAAAACAAGTCCATATTTCTCAAGCCAAAGCTTCTTTTCATACCTACACCAACATACCCACAAACACTATCAATCGTCCATAATTCCGACATCTCGAATATATCGAGAAGAAGTCCATCTGCAGAGCCTCAATTTTCACGTCGGTCTCTTCGAGCATAACATCCATACCATTCCAACATGCCGAGCGCTCTAGGTTGGAAAGGCGACGCTGCTCTTGTAGCCTACACCAATCTCGCAAACGCTGTCCAAACACCAGCCTTCAAAGCGGCCGCTGCCACCACCGCCTCTTTCGTCTCATTCGCTTCAGTTGTTCTTCCCATTTGCGCAGTGACCTCGACGATAACTGGCATCTATGCCCAAGCCAAGCTGCTTGAGCTTGGCCAAGAAATAACCGACAACCTCAAGAAGTTGACAGAATCCGCCCAAGTCGCAAATTCTCTTCAATATCAAGCACATTTCGGACAGCACGTTCATGATTTCGTCGCCTCCAGGATCCGCGCTTGCAAAAAGAGCGATGCGGATGGAAAGGACTCCTCCACTACGGACTACTTCTTCGTCTACCACCCAAGAACAGACTGGCATGCATCCTTCGAAAGACACATCGAAGAAAAGCCACTGCCGAATCTCCTAGGCTGGACTCACAACCTCGAATTGATCGCGCACTTCGTGTCTCAAATACGAGCAACGATCGGTCCAGAAGCTACAGTACATATCCTCATGCCTTCGGCCCACATGTACATCGTCCCCGAGGAATTTACACTCGATCAATCACTATTCCCACTGGTTTTCGAAGGGGAACTTGCTGATTCGTCAGAACCATACGTCTACCTCAATATGCCAGAGCTCGATGCATCAAGCTTCCATCAAATCGGGCGTCTTCCCCAATGCAAGAAGACAGAGAGCAAAGCGCCTACAAATGAGACAGTAAGGACGCTGTTATCAACAAGCGCAGCAGTCCCTGCTGGAATAGTTGGGGGCCTGGGTGGCACTGCCTTGGGGTTGGTGGGGTTATCTGTCTTTTGTCCTTTTGCCGGCGTTCCTTTGATCGTGGGTGGGCTGCTTGCTCCGGGTGCAGTTCTTGGTACGGCTTCGGCTATGGGTGCTGGCGTTGGAGTGGAAAAGGTCTATGACCATTTCCATGAGAAGAAGACAAAGAATTAGATTATTGTTGGGACTTTTGAGGTTGGGTAAAGCAGTTATAACATTTCAGCTCCATTTTGTACAGCATAGACAGGCGCTTTTGTATATTTTTTGGTAGATTTGTTTGCTATTATTATTATTGTATCTGCGAGAGCTAGAATTTCTCTGTGAACACACACAAAGTCTTTTCTGAGCTTTTCTTTTGTGATTTCTGTGTTGAGTGGATTCCAAAGACAACTTCTCCGAGAACTTGTGAATCTTGGCATGGCGCTGAAGCTCATAGGATCTCTGAAGTTCTATCGAGCAACCTGGAGTTCGAGACACCAGTTAAGATGCAGCAAGAAAAGCCATAAGTACATCATCTAGCGCAGCAGATATGAGTGACGAAATGGTTGCACGAGCGTCTTTGGAAGTCGAGTCTAAGGGTACAGGTACGATATAGACGTTGTCTTCATGGGCAGATGCTTTCTAAAGACGATCAGACATGTTTAAATGCAAATGTTGTAGCTGCGTAACGTATTTGGAAGTGATTTCAGACTCTCGAACTGAGACGTAGGCTCTGGTCAAGGATTCTGCTCTTGAAGGTCCAAAGGTCTATTGAACCCAAGAGAGTAAAATTTGCAGCATCATTGCTCCGACACATTACATATCCACTTTCGAACCCAGTGGTCTATTGAGAGTGAAATCTCGGGGATTATTGGATTGACTACTTCATGGTCTTCGCTAGCAATCGCTTAGCGAAAAGGGGCAAGTATCAGTTGAAAGTGTTTGGCGGCGTACTCTCATTGAGCAATAAAGGCCAATCATTGGATATCCTTACTCATCGAGCAATAAGAAGGGTCATGCTTATACTGTATTGAAACCCCAAAGAAAGCTTAGTCAAGTCCAAACGAGGATGCGACCCAACTTGCGTCTGCAGCTTAGCGTAAAGCTCATTTTCAAACCGTTGACGTTTTGTTTTGGAGATGGTCCGGAGCTTTACTCCAGCATGAGAGTACTCGACATCTTCAACCTTTACAGGAAGGGCATCGAAGAAAGTGAGTATAGTATTCGTCATGTGAGCGTTTCGCACATTCTGCGCAGTTTGCGCAAGTTGCGGGGCTCATTATCTCATATTTTTGATCAATTTCCGTGCAAAATATACTGCCAAGAACTTTCACGACACATTATAAGCTACAAGAAACCTACCAATCCTACCTGAATACTCGGCCCGTTATCATTAGCACGTAGTCACGTGACCTAACAGATTCACCTTCGATTATTCAAACAATCTACCTTTATTATACCTTCCCGAGACTCTTTGATTGAGAAAGATTTGAGAGTACTATCTAAACACATTATCTGAGCAGTTTCTTGACTCAAGAAAGCTATCACGTGAAGTGCGGGGTCGTCTCCTCCGCCTGCATCTGTTTCTCGTCGCAGCTTTCCATCTTCCACAACCACCAAGAAAATATTGCATCTCGCAACAAGTCACAATAACTCCATAGATGGATACTCGTGAAGCTTATGGATAGTCTGTCCACGCCCTGTGTGTACGGATTTATCTCTAAAGACGCGAATCCGTACTGTCGTTTCTCTCGACGCGTCGCGACAACCTCACCTTCAAGCCCATGAAGCAGCGTTGTGCGCAGATTATGCGGAGACTGCGACTACCGTCTGATAACCATTGGATAGCTCGAATCGCTTCTCGTTCATTCGAAGTTGGATCTTCCATTGCTCGAAGCATGTTTTATTAATCACGATAGAATTGAGCATAAGTTAAACAGCTAAGTGGAAACTCTTGTCTCTGAAGACTATCATATTGACCGCTTCTGGCTTATAAGAGGATGAATGACATCTGCCATCATCTCCGCGCCATATTCGGCATCTGCGATCCCATTTCCATTTTCTAAACAGTGCACGAAGAGCTCTGACGATCCGCTCTCAACCAAATGAGTGTGCAGGCCATGCGCCACGATCCAGACAATAACCACCAGCGCCACGAAAGAACCATAGCATACAAGTAGAACGAAATTACACCAAGAGCCTGTGTACGCAATATCGACGCGTTTATCCAGCGCCTCACCCAATAACATAATATTTGAACTGGGGAACAGGAAGCGAAGAGCGAATGTTGGTACAAAAACCGCAGAGCCAAAGGGGTATGTGCGGCCTGTAACCAGTTGCAAATGCTTACTCTCACACGGCCTCGTCACTGTCGAGAACGTCTTCGTTATGTCGAGACTCCATATCCGGACTGCCTTCGACATCCGAGTGGGGCTGTGGACTGGCTAGTTTACTGTTGCTATGGCGTTGGTCTGTGGCCTCAATCGTATTAGTATGCATCATAACATATTCCGAACTGTCTTGTTCAGACTCTGTGTCTTCTTCGCTCTGGCAACTCCGGTATAAATGATCCTGAAGGTCCAGTGGTAACTGAAACGGAAGAGTCCTCGGCATCTTCCAGGATGAAGGGTGGTCAGCAGAACGTGGTATATTTCCAAGCAGGCTAGCCCCGGTGCAAAGTGCTTGCGGATCGGGCGAAGTTGTTAGACTATAATTGTCGGACGAGCGATGAACATCTTTTCTTAATTTTGAAGTATTCTCTTCACGCCTGAGTCCTGCTTCTGGGTTGCAAGTGCAGCTACAACGGCAGATGACCTGCTTCGTGGTAGATTGTGACGATATGGACGCCTTGCTAGAAAGAGTCAGAAGTTCACAAGCTCCAGACTGGAACACAGCTTACGAAGCGTTGTCATTTGTATGTTCATGGTCTCTGGATGAGATGTTATCAGATGAGCGTCGATCGCTGGGCGATTTGTCGGAGAGGCTATCAGACGACGTTGATCGACTATCAGCCCCAGAAGAATTCTTGCATCCCTCTAATGTGTATTCACTCATTTTGACCCAAGCGTTTGTTTCTGTGTTTTGTTGCCTCATTGCTATTCAGGGTATAGATTCGAAGTGGGTGGTAGCCACTCGTAAGACGTGGGTGCAGACGCCCTATGCCCCGAGCCCTCTCCCGGTGATGAATGGCTAGAGTGGGACCTAACGTGGTGCCAGATTGCGTTGTTGCAGATCTAGAGATGTTATGTTCGTTGGGAGGACTTCAATTCTATATCATCTATCGCTGCCACCGAAACCGCCCAGTGAGTCCTTAGCGTCAAATGTTCGACGATATTTACGTGGTACCAGTCACAGACAACATTTGGTCTCATATCTAATATTTTGGAGCATATGAAACTTATTTTCTTCACAAAGGCAGCGGTAAGGCGTGCTTCGACAGGGTACCTCGAAGTCGAATTGCACCAATCCAATATCAATGCCTTCCTACGCCGTGAGCTCACATCCAGTCGAGTATTGCAGTATTCTTAGGTCCATCCCACATTCCAAGACACAGACACATGATATCGTTGTACCTGAATGAGGGGTGTACCGGGCAGTCGAGTGACTCGTCGCCTTCGACTTCCCCCTTCCTGACTCCCCTGAAGCCGGAAGTCTGGCCTGGGATTGCACACCCTCTCCGGAACCTTTTCCTTGTCGCCGGGAAAAGAAATACTCGAAGCATGATCGGTAAAGCCCGCAGAATCCCGTAGCAGCATTTCTCCCGTCGTCAATGCACATGCTTGAGATGGGTGGACGTCCATATATACATATTCTGCCTCCTTTGAATCGCCAATGAATTGCTTTCGGTCATATGGAGGCGTTTCGCTAGTAGCTGATAAGGTGGGGCAGCCAGTCGCGAACCTTCACTCTACTCGGTGAGCTCGTCCGCCTTGTCGCTGCTTACAAGAGAAACTTGTCATCCTTGGTGGTTCGCATTCTGCCTTGAATGAGGCAACGGCAGGCAGCAGCCTTCCAATCCCTATGGGTCTCTGATGTCCGCCTTACGGTATCTCGCCCTATCTACAGGCTCAATCTTATCCTTCCATTGTCCAACTTCGGGCGAGAGAAGGAAATATTACTTCATACATAAGGTTGCCTGAGATGCCGCTTGTCTACCGAATGAGTCTCATCGAGTCGCCTTGATAGTGAGGCTTGTAATCTGCCAACTCTTATTGTTAAATCGAGACCTGCATAGGCCGCTCTGAAAATCGCAAGCTTGAGCTACCATCGACGGGGTTTATCACAACCTGGAAGCAATCTGGAACACTAGAGCCTCGATATTAGGATTCTTGAATCCCACTGTGTAAGCTTGACCTGGAAGCTGCCATAAATGCGTATCACGTGACTTCAATTTTTTTCATGGCGGGGGTATGTGAGCACAGCAGGCATCGTGTGATTATCGTTAAGCACGATAAATAGTATATCTGCATTGTGTAATGGTCATTGCACATGCATATACACCAAGCATTTCGCAAACGTTGCCAGGAACTTGTCCAGAATCCTATCTCTGGCTTATTCATTCCTTCCAAAACTCACCGAAAGTACTAATGCAACTGTATAGGTATCAGATGACGCTCTAGTAGAATGGACTCTTGTGGGAAAACACCTCTTAGATTTAGGCAAAAGGATTCGACAGCATGACTAAAGTCACATGACCCGTACTCAGCTTGAGACTGGGGCAGAAAAGGAACAGGCGAGAAACAGGTGTATTGCTGACTGCATCGAGGTTGCTGGGAGAATATCAAGAGTAAATCACTTTCCAAGTTGATATCGTGCCAAAACTAAGATGACTTTGTGTGGCTCGTCGAGATCTCATCGCTCATACCAGAGCGCTTACAGAGCCTTGTCAATGAATGTTACAGCGAAGATAAAAGCCTCACAATACCGCCCAGCCCTCTTCATTCACTTCTAGACCATTTATCAAAACCCAACACAGCGCCAACACGGTTTCAATGGACCATCTTACATGGTACCCGCAATCCAGCATCCCACCAGTACAAGTGCCATACGTCTGTGGCAACGAGCCTACTTGCAAAAAAGATCAGTTTCTGGACTTCGCCACACTACAAGGCTGGGAACTGAAACAATCCGACTCTCTCGCTCAACTCGCAACAAGATCGCAAGCTTGGCTCTTTTTCGGTTTGCTAGCTGTGATTGGCATTCCTGCCCAAAATTGTAGAGCTTCTAGAGCTTCCGCGACTTTTGAGAATGTTGTCAACGCTTCTATCCTACCTTCCGTTTTGCGAAGCATTGTTGAAGGGGATGACGAAAACAACGTGGCCCTAATTGTGGATGTGATGACAGCATTAGCCAGAGCCGAGGAGCTCATGCGAGCTGAGGTGATACCTCTTATCAAAGAATTCGAAGAAGGAGAGACACTCAACTTGTGGAGTTCTCAGCCTTACGCAATCCTCTTCAGCATTGAGATTCTCATAGATACCATCGTCTTTGTTCTTGGAGACGAGGCTGATTCACGAAGGGTGTCACTATTTGCACAGGGCATGGAGGGAATCGAACAAAGTCTACTGCATGTCGGGAAATGCCGCAGCCTTGCACATCGCCTCGATAATTTGCGTTCTTCTGAGTTCTATGTTCTCCTCTCATTTCCCAGCGGTGACATCCGTTCGGACCACTCCAAATGCAATCACACCAGTTGCTGCTGTTTTGACGTAGACCAGACTTCGTACAGGACTCGGCACGTAGAAGACTGTGTCATGGCGAAGAGGTTTCGGTTGATGAAGAGGAGCTTATAGCACTTATTCGGGTGGATGAGGTACCCTTAATCCGAAGCGTCATGGATTCTACGGGCAACGTTAAAATCGAAATCATCAAAATGAGGGAGCAGATTGACTACACGGCCATCTCGCATGTCTGTGCGGGCGGGTTAGGCAACTTCCAGGACAACTGTCTCCCCCATTGTCAACTACAAGCCATTCATGAAGATGGCTGTAACACCATGGCGCTCGCGTACGACAATTATTACAAGAATCAGCGGTTGATCCATCCGCCAAAGAGGTACTATGACATTCTCATGAGACCCAGAGAACCTCATGACAAGGGTTGGTTCTCTTTCCAATCTATCACAACTACCTGTTATTACTGGCTAGATACGCTGTGCATACCGATACACCATATCCAAGAGAAGCATCGTGCCATTAACTCCATGGGTAGAGTTTATGGCGGCGCAGCAAACACTTTGGTCTTGGATCCAGCATTGAGCAGAATTAGGTATAATGAATTAGGGAACGAGTGGGAATCTACATTTTGAGCAAACCTTCTGGTTTCTGCATCGCCGTGGAGGGCCCGTAGCTGGCCACTCCAAGAAGCTGCTCTCGCACCTGCAATCTACGTCAAGTTTGCGGGGCACAAATTTCTTTTCCACCATGAACGCCTGGGAATTGATGCGACCCTGGCTTCGATACCCAACCAGGATAAGGATTACAAGAGACTCACGTGGCATGGAAGCCTGAAGAGTGGATAGAAGCTGGCGAACCTTCTCCGTATATACCTGATAATGATTTTATCAGAGTCTGTAATCTTCTAGCAAAAAGGACTACTTCTTTCGCGGACGACGTTCCAGCCATCTTCGCAACCCTTCTTCACAGAAGTGCTGGAGAGATCCTTCGAATTCGAGATTCTCATCGTCGTGCCCAGGCACTTCGGCGCTCTGTGGACACCTTACCTCTGGACATTTTATGTGTCGAGCAAGCACTGTCAGAAAACAATAACGCCGATCTGGCAACAGAGTGGATACCAAGATTTCCGGGGTCCAAAAAGTCGATGTGTCTTTTAAATACCAAATGGGGTGTTCTCAGGCGTGTGGCAAGCGGTTTTATTCTGGTCTTGAACCAGGATGACCTTGTCGGAACACAAGCTTTAATTTGTCCATCGGTAATAATGTCAAATGGTCGATCGGTCCTCCGAGATGCTAAGTCGAAGAAAACTTACATAATTCAAGTTGGATTGGCACCATCAATATCGAAAGCAAAAGTGCATGAGGTTTCTGGAAAGTCACGACTGCTGTTATTCTTGTCAAAGAAACACCCCGATGCTGCCTCGTTAATCAAGGGCTGTTATACACTGTACTTTCAGACGAGCAAGATACTTTGAAAGTGCGTCTTGAATCTCCATTCGCTTGGTCATCTGGAGAAGTGGATAGTTCAGGTGCAATTGCTTTAGACTGTCTTGCACTTGACAGATCTAGGTCTATCCTCATTGAAATGAGTATGCACTTCTTACATTTTCTTCCTTCCCATTTTGATTAAATACTAATGATCAGATAGATCACGAAGACTGGCCTGTCATCACCTTGTCGCGATTCAAAGCATATCCATACCAGCATCAACAAGCACAGAGTTTCGACCTCTGTATCGCGTACGTTATGATTGCCGCAGTCATATGGGTTGCAGATCTAGGCATTATGATTCTGGTTGATTTTTGTTTCTTGGAGCTAAACTGGGCTCCAACGAAGTCTGCCTCCTATTTGTTCTAGTGATAATGTTAGCGAAAATCCCTCTTGCCTTTGTAGAAGGAATGCGTTTTAGAACCATAGCCGACAAACGATCGCGTTACGTCTGGGCTATCAGCTTTTGGGATGTGGACGCGGCGACGAAGAGCTTAACCCGACTTCGGGGGAGCATCCCGTTCATTGCTTCCATTATCGATATTGCACTATTTCTTGCCTCAATATCTCTACTGGTTTATCTGTTGCTGAAGGTTCAAAAGTGGGAAGGGCAGGGCATATGGCTCATTGCCATCACACCTCTGGTAGTAGAATACGGGATTCGAGTCCTAATACACGTCTTCCTGCGAGCTCAATGGTTCATCAGCACCTTGGAATTCCGTCAACATCCTCGATGGCTTTCTCCGTTTCTCAAATTTTTCTCATCATCAGTGATGGCTCATGCATTTATAAGCCTTTATCTTGTACCAGTATCGGTTCTCATGGTAGTCACGACCCCAGGCCTTGTTGTTTGGTTAGTATGGACTGGGATCTTGGCTGAGCTGTGGCGAGATGGAGACTTGTTTGTGCTCCTGTTTTCCTCATTTTTACTTCTTGTTTGTTTATTATTGTCGGTCCGTCCATGGCAACTTTTATTCTTTTACGCTTTTGTCGTGATCAAAGATATCGCAGGGCGCGGGAAAAGGGCATATGTGGGTAGCAGATTGCGAAACCCGGACCGAGAGATTCAGATTGTTTAAAAAACATGTTCGACATATGCTATGGATTTATCAACAATTCCATCGAAACCTAGAGTCTAGTTAGTTTCAAATACTACCTTTAGCCCAAGTCTTTGTCAATGTTGCCATGCGCATATGAGAAATAAGAGAAATCTCCTAAAAATCAATGAAATTTGGGGTTTTCAATGATTGCGTCACCGCTATTGAGTGTTATGTAGCTATATGAACGTCTTTCAAATTACAGCATCACTCTTCAGACTAGAGAATCTTCCAACTCTCCTTTCTCATGCGCTTCTTTCTGTAGCTGTCGTCTTCTGGCCGTGTACTATACAACGTCAGTAGACCTGTATCACACAAATATAGGAGTCTGTTTTGTACCTCGTGAAGGTTCCTTGGTCCATATCTGGCAGGATTGCTTTCTGATACGCAGGTTGGCAATACCTTGAAACTTTTCGTCAGCAACCTCGTTGAGTCAGAGGAGAAAATCTGTCATACCGAGACCTCGGCGTCCACATTGAAAGAAAGGAAGAATGGAATAGAGTATCGCTCCAAGCCTGAGGTATTCCTAACACGGTGAACAGTCGACACGAATATATCGTTTGAGATTCGTTGTAAGAAGTCACCAATGTTCACTACAAATGTTCCACGGATGGGCTTGGCTGGAATATAAAAGCCGTTTTTGTTGAGGATTTCAAGGCCTCCAACCATATCCTGATTCAAGATTGTAAAAGCTATTTGAACATTAGCACAGAGAAAGACAGCAACCGATGTGGGATGTGCATACTTTCGAAATCGCTATGTGCGCCTAGACCGTCCAAGTCAGCAGCACCAAGGGCTCGTGGCGGATAATGCTGCAAGATGATAGAGACATAAGGAGCGGTCACTATGGAGTCGAAGTAAGTCTCTTCAGCGCCAAGACCTAGCGCAAAGGTGCGCATAAGGCGTCGAGAGAGCTTTAGCAGCTCGGCGAAATATTCTACGAGCCTGGGCTCAAACCCTGGAATATGGTCTGGCCACATGTTGTGCAGTCCAATGCATTGCTCGCGCTGTTCGGGGGTCAGGTTCGGGAGTTGAGGGTCGTTGTCTGGATTATAGGAGTACATGAATGACTCTTTTTTCACTATTTTATATTTATCAATGGTTCTGTTGAATCGTGGTCAAGATCAAATCCTACCTGCAGGGCCGCTCGGGGTCTTTGTGTAATGAATGTCATACCCTCGTAAAGTCTCGCTTTTGTAGACGTACTCCTCTTTCTTCTTCTCAAGAGGCTGGTCGTGATAAGTCCTTGAAAGTTTAAAGACATCGTCGATCAATTCTTGAGAGATGCCATGGTTCTTGATGTACATGAAGCCAACCGTCTTGCAAACGTCTGCCACTTCTGTCGCTAGCTGAAGGCGCTCTTCATATTTCTCACTAAAGATCCTTTCCACGTCAATTAGAGGTATCTCATCAAAAGTTTCCACGGCTTTCTCGCCCCGAAGGATTTCGCGTTTGTTGTTCCAACTGTGATCGCAGTAGTAGTACTCGTACTGCGGCTCCTCCCGAACCGTTTCGGTCACGGTTGTAGACATTGCGATTGTCGCCAAGACCTTTCAGTGATATATGCTATTCATACAAATTGCTTTTAGTTGCAATGTTGAGAGATATAATGTCTTAGCCAGGAATGTGTCTCGGTGCCAACCGATCATCCGAGAGTGGGGAACTTGTATCGATATTGCGAAGCGCGTTAGAACCATGGAATGGAGTTGTCCTTCTTATCTATAGTATGAGCCTAAAACATCGGCTTTGCCCTACGGAGGAAATCAACGCGACTAGAAAGACGGGCTTCCTCGATAAGGAGAGGTAGGAGTCAGGTTCTCACCTTTTAAGCGGGGAGAGGCCCTCCATAAGTGGGATCTTCTCCAAGTGATCCAAAACGATCGACGGAGATAAGCGTCGACAACATCTATTGAAAGCTTGATTGTGCGGAAGCAGGGATACTTTGAGTTCCCTCAGGAACATGAAGCTAAATTCCTGTTACTGGCTCCGAATTTTCTCTTTCCTAAAGAACTCTTGTTCAAAGATTCCACAATTCAAAATGGCATCAGACAAGAAGCTAGAAGTTCAAGAACAAGGGCTCTCTTCCGAGCGCGAATCTGATCTCGCCATCTCGCATGGCGAGGTATTCGATCGAGAAGACATAAAATCAACAGGTCTTCTAGGACGCTTGGTGTACTACGAAGAATGGCTTGATCGGAAACTTGGCGTCGAGCACATGGAGCTCGGCGGGTTACACCCGACAAGAAGAAGCCTCCGAAGACCTGGATGATGTTCTTCATGTGGTCTTCATCTGAAATAAATATTATATAAATATTATATAAATATTAAATAAATATTAAATAAATATTAAATAAATATTAAATAAATATTAAATAAAACGACGGGAATGATACCATGGGAGTATGGACTTTCTCTTACCCAAGCCATCCTCATCATCATATTTGGCACATTTCTCGGTTGCGCGGTTGCAGTAAGTTACAGACCTTTACATTCTCTTGCGGATGAGACTGATACTCCTGCAAGGGATGGTGTGCGACTCTTGGGCCCGGAACTGGACTCCGTCAAGTTGCTATCTCAAGGTACAGCTTTGGATGGTGGCCATCAAAAATCATCGCGATTCTCAACGTTGTTGAGCAAATTGGGTGGGCCGCAGTCGGATGCATCACTGGCGGTCAAGCTCTTTCAGCGGTTTCGAATTACACTGTCTCCGTGGTCTTGGGAATTGTTATCATTAACATCATCAGTATTGTATTGAGCTTCGGCGGGTATACTGCAATCGTCAAAATCGAAAACTACTTTTGGATTGTTTTTTTCGTGATCTTCTTGATCATATATGGAGAAGTTGGCGGGAAAGCAGATCTCCAGTCACCAGCACAGGTCACGGGAATGACACTTTCGGGCAATGTTCTTTCGTGTATCGCTATTTTCTATGGAGATGGTGCCAGCTATGCCTCAATTATTAGTGATTACTACGTCAATTATCCAGCAAATATATCGAAAATGAAGGTCTGGCTTCTCACGACCTTTGGAATCTTCATACCTGTCACTTTTGGAATTCTTCTTGGTAGCTTGGTTGGCTCAACGACTGGAGTTGATACCAATTGGGGACAGGCCTACGACAATCATGGAGTTGGAGGTCTTATATTGGCAATGCTCTACCCCGCAGGTTTTGCAAAATTCCTCTTGGTTCTGTTGTCACTTGGTGGAGGCAAGTTTCATATCATCCATGTTCTGCAGAATTCTGACTAACCTTTGTCAAGTCGGCTTGAATGTTATTGCAATTTACTCGAGTTCTCTAGCAATTCAGCAAGCTGCGAAGCTTTTGCAGCGGGTCCCACGTTTCGTCTGGAGTCTAGTCACCTTTGCATGCATTCTTGTGCTTTCTGTTGGAGGGCGAGACAAAATCATTGACTTTCTTGAGAACTTTCTCTCCCTCCTCGGATACTACAACACGGCTTTCGTTGCCATCTTGGCTATCGAGCATTACTATTTCAGAAACGGCAACTTGGCGAACTATGACCTCGATGGCTGGAATACACCCTCAAGACTACCCATTGGATTCGCAGGGTTGACTTCATTCTTGCTTGGTATTGTTGGGGCTATCTTAGGCATGGTTGAGACATACTACGTTGGAATCATCGCCAAGATGATCGGGGAAGATGGTGGTGATATTGGAAATGAGCTGGCGCTTGTCTTTACCGTCATCTCGTACCCAACCCTGAGAAAACTCGAATTGAAATATGTTGGACGTTAGAGAGAACATTGGGACGACCATATTCGTAGCAAATGTTGGCAGCGAGACGCTGCAGCAAGAAGAACATTGTAGCTGGGATTCTCTCCGTTAAGCAAATGGGCTAAGTTTGCTAAAGCAAGTGCTCCAATCCATTTTATTGGAGAAATCTTGTTAACGAATGGAGAATATTGTACCAATGTGGTCAGAATTATTTTCTACAACACAAGTCGTACTGGTGACCCTGAGTGATCCGTCCGCGTTCCTGCAGTCTGCATGACATTTTGCATTATGATCTTGGAAGTCAATTGGCAACCAATGAAGGCAAAGAAAACAATTGCCGACATTGCCTGGATTCAGCAGACAGACCTCAAGGTACGAACGAGCTGAGGTGAGCTGAGCGGAGCTCTGCTGCGCCGCCTGCAACCCATGTTTTTAAGCGAAGAAATGGCTTGCGGGAGAGCGGGCGCTAGCCTTTTTGGGACTGGAGCCATTTACCCCCCTATTTAACCGGATGCCCAAACAAAAAGATCGATCTGTAGCTATTTTGAGGGAAACCGACGAGATTGTTGTTTATCTACCGATGTCCATTCTATATTAGGCATTCACTGCTAGATTTATGCCAGCTCTAGGAGAACACGATATGGGGGCTCTTTGATTTACGCGCCAGCTGCTGAACCAAGCGGCTCCAAGTTCCGAGTGCGACTCCCGAATTCGAAAGCATCCAAGCACACTGACTGCCAGATATGGCCCGATACTCATCAGAAAAGAAATAAATGGAGATTTATTGCATACGTATGTCTTGACTGTCCACAACTTCAGCCTCGCACTCGCGCAAAATATTGACATCTCACACCACGAGACTTGATAAGCGAGAGTGGTGGCTGGTGAGTATTGAGGAATTCAGTAGTGGCTGGTGAGCACCAAAAGATTCAAACTGTGGTACTATATAAGACCTTATGCCATAACACACTCTCAACGAGTCAAATGGATCGCATCTTGCAAGGTCCACGAACGCATAAGGTTATTTTTTTAGCGAGGCGGGGGTAGCGGCTAGGACGGATCAGAAAGCACACAAGACGATTGCTCTGGAAATCTGCGCTCGGTTCATGATTTTCGCTCACAAACATGGTATGCTTGATTGACGATGCTGTCTTTTGAGATGTCTTCATGCTTGGCACCTTTTAATTGTCAAGTGACTGCATTTACAAGGCCGTTGATGCGGGGTCGCTTACTTCCGCTGCTAGAACGAGCATTCCATCGCTTCTTTGGGAGGCTGACCCCTATATGTCGTCTGACTAAATACAAGGAGGGCCAACCACCTACGGCAACGTACTGTTATGACCAAGGATAAGCGGTGCCGAGAAGGATCCGCGACCAGTCGGAGAGAACTGTTTTCTGCCTCAGCCATCTCTTCTCGAGAATAACTTCCTCCTTCGTGAAGGACGCTGTCATGCGAAAAGAATGGCTGTCTCGACCCAAGAAGACATGCGTAACTTTGGGAAGGCTGAACAATGCGAACATGAAAATGTAGGCTGGATTCAGCAGGATTTAAAGAGAAAGGAAGTCCGAATTATTGGACTCAAATTCTCTCTCCAGATCCAACACTACACCTACACTTTACAAAATGCTTAAACCTTATCTACACCTGCTCCTTCTTACGCCTGCCTCACTTGCAATAACATTATCTTATACTTGGGACGTTGCCTATGTAACTGCCTCTCCTGATGGAGTCTCCAGGCAAGTGATCGGAATCAACGGTCAATGGCCGCTTCCCACGATAGAGGGTACTGTAGGAGATACAGTAACAATAAACCTGACCAACAGTCTGGGTACACAATCTACGGGACTCCATTTTCATGGAATCAATCAAAAGGGTTCTCCGATTATGGACGGCCCTTCAGGAGTTTCTCAGTGTCCAATACCACCAGGCTCATCCTTTACTTACACCTTTGAAGTAAGCAATTGCATCTGCACTCAAGATCAAGACTAACATGTTTTCAAGTTGAATGAGCCCGGAACATATTGGTATCATTCCCACAATAATGGCCAATATCCAGATGGTTTACGAGGTATGATTATCCCCTACCCCAACAATAATCCTGTTAACAAGAGTAGGACCTCTCATCGTACATGATCCAAATGATCCGTACGCGGGGCAGTACGACGAAGAGATTGTACTTACAACTTCAGACTGGTACCACGATGAAATTCCCACTTTGATAACACAACTCTTGAACACGTCAAACACCGGGTTCAATCCGCCCATACCCGATGCATTGCTTCTGAACGATACCACTCAGGCCAAATTCCATTTCACACCCGGAAAGACCTACATGGTCCGAATTATCAGCATGGCTGCGTTCGCCTCCACTTTGATCGAGTTCGGTAGCCATCAAATGCAAGTCATCGCTGTTGACGGCAGCTATGTTACCAAGACGCCAGCCGACCAAATCAGAGTCGCTCCAGCTCAGCGATACACCGTTCTTATCACTGCTTTAAACACTCCTTCGACCAATTATGCGTTTCTGGCTTCTCTGGATATCAACAGAGACTTCACAAACACCTCAGCTGCAGTCTATCCACACAACATCACAGGATATATCGTTTATGAAGAGTCGCAAGCCTACCCGCAATCTTTAATCGTTGATGCTTGGACTCCAGCGAACGATGTTACCTTTCAAGCGCTTTCTGGCCAAAGTTTGCTGGCAAATCCAACCAAACTTATCACGTTGGATTTCACATTCGGAATCGACTCTGCTGGTGTCCCAAGGTAAGACCAATATCCCACAGTGTATTGCTAGGAGAAGCTAACACCACACAGATCGTACTTCAACAACATCACCTACGTGACTCAAAAGGTTCCCTCGCTATTCACGGCTCTTACAACGGGTAATGAGAGTTCGAACCCTGTTGTGTATGGAACCGTGAACCCATTTGTGGTAGCCAAAGGCGACATAGTGCAAATCGTGGTCAACAACTTCGATCAAGCTATTCATCCCTTTCACCTTCACGGGCATCAATTTCAGGTCCTAGAAAGACCAGGATCTCAGACTGGAGCTTTCAGTGGCAACGACGTTACCTTTCTCGGTAATCCTATGCAGCGCGACACCATCACTGTCAACGCCAACAGCTATGTGGTCTTGAGGTTCGAAGCCGATAATCCAGGCGTCTGGCTATTTCATTGCCACATTGAGTGGCATGTGGTCATGGGCCTGATCGCAACTATTGTCGAAGCACCAGAAGATCTTGTTGGTGGGAGCATCCCGGACGATCATCAAGCAGCTTGCAAGGCGCAAAATATCCCCGTTGCTGGCAATGCTGCTGGAAACACGCAGAACCCTCTGGACTTGACCGGTGCCAATACTCAGCCTCCAAATCCAGACAATGGGTAAGTTTTCTTCCGACAGGAAAATCCGAATTATACTAACTTTTGGACAGACCCGAATACGAGCCAAGTTGTGTTTCGTCACCTGCTGGCAGCTGTGATGTGAAGCGAAAGCTCATAAGACGTCGTCGTGCAAGATCTCTTGCAGCTTTGAAGAGTGGTGTGATGTGATCAGATAGAATTCTTGCAGCATGAGAATACAGCATTGGGGCTGCATTTTAGGCGGTATGGGCTGGACGGCGCTTTAATACCCTGTTTTTGATTTATGCATTTTTGATGTCTTGGTGGCACAGCTTAGAGCATAGCGGTTAGAGTTTTATGATTCATAGACGACAATGAATTCATGACTTATGATCTATAATCTAGTATACTTTCCCCATGAACATGAGATTTGATTCCGACAGCATTATACACCAACAGTGTTTGAATTATCCGCACAGCTGAAAACTGAGCCAAGACCACCCGTCTTGTACGAATCAATGATGGAAACGATAGTTCCATAGCTGTGATGGTCAGTGAGTGGATGTATCAAGTTAGACGTGGGAAGACTTACGTTCCGCCAACCAGCAGAAAGACAGCAATAGCAGCAAGCAATACGTGCGCAGCGTAGGCAAGTTTCTGCTTGAATGTGCCAATTCTGTAGTGCTTATACTCATACATCCAGAAGCAGGCCGGAAATAACAAGCTCATCGGTACGAAGAACAGAGAAGCTTCGAGGGACAAGATATAGTTGAAGACGGGAATGGCTTCGGCAAGGATGAAAGCCAAAATGCCGACACCGGCATTGCAACCAATCCAAGTAGACCAGTGAATCAAGCTGTCGGCTTGGAGATGCTTGGTATTCCGGAGTAGACGGACGAACAAGTATTTGGAAGAGGTGTGATTGAAGATTCCAGCACTGACCACGAGACTAGGAAGTGCAACACCATAAGCGACTTTCTTGAGAAGAGGGCCCGCACTACCCAGTGACGGACTAGCAATCCATTGGCCACACCATCGGTACATGACCATTGAAAAAGACAGATAGATAGACCCCACAAGGGCAGCGACAATAATAGCAGACTTCTTGAAATCTTGGGGCCTGCGCATTTCGGCAATAACGGGAAGGTATCCTGGGCATCCGCAACTAGAAACAAATATCGAACAAGCGGCTGTGATTCCGGCTGCGAAACTTGGGTAAGCAATGGTATAAAATCCCAGCTCGTATGGTCCAGTTTGAGGCGCAGCAGCGGGACGAGATTTGAAGGTAACTCCAATGACAACGACTAGGACACCAGCCATGACAGAAATGAATCCGATAGTGAGTGGCCAAGTCATTTTGCCCCAAGTTCGAATGCAGGAGAATATAACGGTCAAGACTGTGCCCACGAAGGTGAAAGCTACGGAGCATGCACCGTGATTGGAAAGTGCGTTGGAAGCGATCGAGATTGCCAGAAGACTGCTGGCGGTACAGAAAATGAATGCGATCATGAACATGACGCCAACGAACTCTCGTCCGATTGGCCCCCAGAGGACACCTGCCATGTCAACAATAGCTACAAGCTGTTAGCGATGATCATGGCGTGACCTAACATCTCGGACTTACTGTGACATTCTGGATGTTTGTTTCGAAAGTTTCCCGCTACGATGGTGGTATCTTCACATAATCTTGTAAGTAAGGTATCCAGAGCAAGTAAACCGGGGAAGACGAACAGCAGTTCAAAGCTTGAAATCCGACAATACATAGACCTCCACCAACTGCACCCAACGTGTGGAGAGCACTAGGAATGCCTAAGACTCCCGTAGCAATTTGAGTCTTGATGAAGATAATGATGGCTCTCTGCCATGTGACAGTTCGAAAGTCGACTCCATCAACATTAGCCTTAAACACTTCTCGGTCCTCATCCGAGATACTTCCAAGCTTGAAACTGGGATCTCGCAGGATAGGTTCCTGCTTCATTTCGAAGTTTATCTTCTCTGATGGCGTCGTCATCGTGAGTTGCGAAATGTCATGAACGTGACTAAAAACAAAAGTTAAGACGTGGTCCGGGAATCAGCAGGACTTTATTTGTATCATAATCCCAATTGAAGGAAGAGGTATCGGATCATAGTCGGAGTCTTCGAATACCTGGATACCATATTTTTTGGGTCACATCTTATCTCCATCCCGACAGACTGTGCCCTGGTTACCAAGCCGTGCGTAGTGGATAGATAAGCTACGAGCTACAACTTGTTTAGAATGCCTCTAAGATAAGAGTCAGCTCTAAATTATATGCAGCTGACAGGGACCTAGATTTTGTGGTCACGGCTTTGGTAATTGCCGTCGGTAGAGACATCCGAGCACAATTCGGAAAGATGAGTAGCTTCCGAACCGCGCTAGCTAAGCGAGGTGGCAAGGGGGGAGCGTCTTATCTTGACGGCGAAAGTGGGTAACTAGCGAAGGAGCGGAGCACCGAGAGTTGATCAACGTACTTTGGATAGTATTTAGGAGTTGTTGCGTCGTTCAGTTTGCTAGGTTCCGCTTTCTGACATACCACGATTGTCGGATGCTAAGCTTCTATACCACAAGTTCACGATACCAAGTTGGCTTGAATTGTGCAGAGTTCTGGGCTTGACTCTATTCATTGCGTGACCTTGTCTCTGTAACTCTGCCGTGTTCTACACTCATCGAGCCTTCTTCAATATGCCTGCAGCGTCAGAACAAAAGACTCCGAGAAAAAAAATCCACCTTAACTTCTTCGAAACAGCATGTACTGGAAATCATGAATGTGCGGGACAATGGAGGTATGAAAAACCAAATATTGTAGTAGATCAAAATACTGACTTCCTTAAAAGCGCACCAGGAGACAATTCCCGGACAAAAGATCGTCTCAAATATTACATAGATCTTGCTAAGCTGGCCGAAAAGCACAAGATAACGTGCATTTTCTTCGCTGACACCTACGCCGGCCATGATGTCTATGGTGGCAGTATGGACGCTGTTTTGAGGGCCGGAACTCAAGTTGCTCAATTAGATCCGTTGGTCATCATTTCAGCCATGGCTGTAAGTATCTTGAACTATGGACCAGACGACATACTAACAGATTATAACAGGCTGTAACTGATACTCTTTCTTTTGGTGTGACTGGAAGTACAAGCTATATTCCTCCTTTTCCGCCTGCTCGTACTTTCAGCACACTGGATCACCTGACCAATGGAAGAATCGCATGGAATGTAGTTACGAGTTGGTCAAAAGCCGCAGCAAATGCTTTCGGAAGAGAACTTGTACCTCACGATAAGAGATATGAAATTGCAGAGGAATACATGGATGTTGTGTACAAGTATGTTTTCGTGACCTTTGTGTTCAGTTGAGCTTACTTGCCAGGCTGTGGAACGGTTCCTGGGCAGATGATTCGGTCCGATGGGATGAAGTAAACAGAGTTGCCTATGAACCTTCTCGTATCAAGAAAATTGAGCATAATGGTAAGTATTGGTTCCCAATGATTCTAGGGAGACAGGCTGACAGAGTGGGGCAGGCGAACACTTGAAGCTTTCAGCACGCCATCAACTCCACCCTTCGCCACAGAGAACGCCAGTTCTTTTCCAAGCTGGTACATCAAAGTCGGGTATGGTATTTGCAGCTAGACACGCAGAAGCAATCTACATTGGGGGCATGATACCATCACAGGCTACAGCTCAGATCAAAGTAAGTTGCCGTCTCACAAGTCCCAGATCTGTTTCCAAACTAAATGTACAACAGAACACTCGAGCACTAGCCGCAGCAGACGGGCGTGATCCTAGTACCATAAAGTTCTTCGCAGCCATATCACCTTTCATTGGTCGGACAATGGAAGAAGCGCAAGCCAAATTTGACCTTGCAGCGAAGCATGCCGACATCATTGGAGGACTTGCCCAGTTTTCTGGCTACACCAGCATAGACATGTCCAAGTATCCTCTGGACGAAGAGCTCAAGCTCGATACTTCGAAGCCAGCGGAGAGTATCGTGCAAGGCTTTTTGGGCAATTTTGTGGATAGTATTGAAACTGAGAAAGAACCGTGGACGCCAAGACGCTTGGGAATGAATATAGCACTTGGTGGTTTGCATCCCAGTCCCGTGGGAACACCGGAAATGATTGCCGATATCATCGAACAGGTATTTGCAGTGACTGTGGAGTTTATATGATCAGGCGCTAATGTACATGATAGTGGATCGATGAGGCAGACATTGATGGTTTCAATATTGCCTATGTCAGTAATCCAGGAAGTTTCGAAGACGTAGTGAGTCTACTACGACCCGTTCTGATTGAGCGAGGATTGATTTTTGAAGACTATGCTGTTCTGGGTGGAACATTTCGAGAGAATCTGCTGAGACAGCTAGGTCAGCATGCTTTAAGAACCGACCACTATGGCAGTAAGTTCAAGTTTGAAGAAGATGAGGCTGTGCTGGGAAAGGATACGAATGGACTGAAGACGAAGAGTAATGGTGCTGTCTGAATTTGAATCTTGACGATTGATAACAGTTCCTCAAGAGTGTCAGGTGGCCTCAAGACTATATTGTGACAACCCGAAGACATTGTCGTGTGGGTAAAATCTTACTGTATCTCCATACCCCACGTTTATCTCATTGAAGACCCATTACCACCAGCCATATTGAGAGGATACGTATCAAGGTCAAATGGCTCAAACCCAACAGAAAAGTCTTGCCCGTTTGGTGGCCACTGATTGAGAAGATCGATGACTTCCATATCATTGTCCATGTCCGTATCAAGACCTTGGTACTGCTCGAAGTTGGGTTCTGCTGGTAGCGATCCAAGTAGATCACCCGACTGATACTGCACCTGTTCCATGCCGATGGCAAATGCTCCTCCAGGCTGTTGAAACATCTCGTTCACTATATTTTGACCAGACATATCAGTCACAATGCGTGAGAATTCCTGTCCATCTTCTCCCATGGCAACGGATGGTAGACTTGAGGGAATGATTGATTTCAACGAAGCAACCACTTGCCGAGGTCCATGATTCTTCCCCTCAGCTAACGGGCCAATCACGTTGTGTTTGACGGCTTCGAACGTGTCGCGGTATTTCCTGGCTGCAGGCCAGCGCTCGGTGATGACAAACAGAACAATACTATAAGCATTGATATCATTGCTTGTAACGCTGCTAAAGATCTGTTCTGGGGAGATCCACGTGCAATAGATGAGGGTGAGACCTGAGATTGTAAGCTCGAATTGCCATAAAATAAGCAATCTGGAGAGAATTACCGGCCATGAATACGGTCTGCAATGCCATTAAAGAATAACCTACAGCAAGTGTGTGATGCAGACGCTTGTAAGTCTGGGCTACGCCACCGCATACTTCCGCGAATCTCTTCAAGAACTGAGGATTGACATGAGGTCTTGATATTAGTGGATAAAAGAGCAGCCTGTGGCATTTGTAGTAAAAGATCATCTGGAATGCAGGTGTTAGCGCGAACATTGAGGAGTAGTGATGAGCCAAGAGTGGCTCGTAACAGATTCTAGACACTCACTACCATTTCGTATTAGCAATGCTACAGTCTACTGAAGATGGGGTTATACGGACCATAACAATCGTATCCATCAAAAGGGACAACCTCTCGATCAACCTGCCTCTTCGCATCCAAGGGTATCAAGCTCTTCCACTTCTCTAGCTGGTCAAGATAGAACTCAATTTCTGAGTCTGTAACATTCGTGGCTTGGTCCACGCGATAGATAGTCTGTTGGATACTCGACTCGATTCTTCGCAACCGAAGAACGTGCAAGAAGGCGGTCAGAGATGTTGACTGGGTTCTCACCTCATTCGGATCTATTTTTGATGCTTCCTCCAACGCCTCAATATCCTGACAGCCTTCTTCTACATCGAGCGGGAGCTGAACATCGATATCTTGATCGGCTATGGCAAATGGTCTGCCAAGAGGAATTGACACTTGCCTGTCCATTGTGTAACATGACCAGAAAAGCCGTTTCCTCATTTCAACGTCTAGACCCAATTTGTTCATGGCTGCAATTTGTCTATGAAGTCCTAGGTCTATGGCAATTCGCTAGATGATGGATGAGCTGTTGGGAGATATAAGGAGGTTAAGATACAGGACATACCATTGCCAAGCCAACGTACGCCCATGCTCCGGGACCACTGTTGGCCCGCAAGCTGAAGACAGCAAGAAGCAATAAAGTAACAACCGACCTCGTGTCGTGGTATCTCAGCATCTCATCAAGATCTTTCAGCACTTCAGCTTGATGACGTTCTGGAAAATATGAACGACCAGTCTCTCCTGTTGTCTCTAAGAAACGGCCAGCTGTTGCATAGATCAAATGCAGCGTACTCCGTTCGTAGGCATTGGTGATAAAGTTTCGTCTTGAATGTAGGTCCCGTATCCATGCGGAGTGCAAGACTGGATAACGGGTGGCAATATGTTTCATGTATCCGTCAAGAAGACGATCTGCAATATACGGTGGGACGTCCGACAAGGGAAACTCTGTTGAACCGTCCTTCTCTGGAGTATAGGTAATTTGACTCGGGCTGAGGTCTTCTCTAATACTGTACTTCTTTCCCTTGACGATGGAGCCGACGAGTCTGCCCATCGTGATTTGCGAAGTGGCACCGATATACCCTCCATTAGTCTCAAGCGAGAGATCTCGCAAGATACGCACCATTGAATCTCCGTCCTCACTGTCACTTGACCTTGATTCCATTTCACTGAACGAAAATGCTGAGTTTTTCCTTCTCGAGGGACTAGTCGCGGAAGGATCAGACCCGAAGTTGGATACACTTCCACTTTCAGGGATATTTCGTACATCTCTCAGATCGTAGGGATTGAACGACGAGACTTGGTCTATGAGGTCTTTCTTCGCCAAGAACTCTTCCAACTCAGCGACTCTCTTCTCCAAGGTAGCTACATAATGGTTTCTGCCAAACGGCATCGGCTTCGGAGGAAGGACATATTCGCACGTCAATCCCAGACGCTTACACTTGGAGCACGTAGGGTGAGAGCCATCGCACTGGCAGAGAGGATATCAGTAAGGATTACCAAGCATCAGAAAGCTTCATACCTTCTGCTTCCTCTTCTTGCAACGTTGGCATGCAAGTGCAACCCGTGATCGCTTGGCAGGTCTCATGTCTCCTGACTCTTGCATATCTGAGTGGGACGCCGGTACTGAGCTCCCCATTGTCTGCTATTCTGAGGACAAACTTGGGTCTGGGTTATCGTACTCTGCATTTTGACAAAGAAAATAAGATAAAAGACTGAAACTACATCCTTTGCTTGCGATCACAATCTGGGCTGCTCTTATCAGCCCCATTTTTGCCTTGATAAGCACCTGGTGGGCAACGAGCAAAAATAGAGTCACGTGACAGCGAGGTAGGCTTCAAGGAGAAGCGCTCAAATCGATCCAAAGTCTATGTTGTGATGTCAGTATGCAAGAGCTGTCTGCAGCACTGCTGCTATCCGGAGGCCTCTACTGACAGTTTCACTACAATCCACTCTTGAGTATTCACGTGACTGCATCTCCACCGCAGGACCTTGACTCATCAATTTTTCGGATTGAAACCAAGAGAAACAATTTGGAATGAGGCTCATCCAAAAAACAACCTCGAAGCAAAGTTCGACTTACCTTACACACGATACCTCGTCCAACGCTTATCTTTCCCCCTTTCTCGCTTCGCTAACGCCATACTCCATTTTTGCCTCGTGGGGACTGTAAACTGTCAGAGGCTCGACCGCGGCACGGATTCCGATAAATAAACTACATTGATACTTAATGTGGAGTTCGATCCCGGTCCGCAGACCTGAAAGAGGCGTCGGGAAGTTGACTAGCTTCCGTTGTGCATACTTCATCCCACTCTCCGATTCCTGGTAACCTGGCACCGGAACCGATTCGAGATACCTAAGGGTTCTGCGATAAGGGGTACGCTCAGGTACTGTCTTGAACACCTGATGTCGATGACGGTTGTGAATGGAGTACATCCGTCTGCATCGTTAGTCGTGTGGATCTTCCATCCTTAGCTGTGAGCTAATGTCGTAATAAATTGTGCGTGAGCTTCTATGAAGCATCGTCAGTTCTGTCGAGTTTCGCGTGTCTCCCAATAATTTTGTTGCTTGATGGACTTATACATCTGCTTGTTCACGAACCCGTAGATATGGCTCCGAAGAAAAGGATACAGTTATGCTTCCTAGAAACCGCATGCACAGGCTCGTACATGGCCTCTGGTCAGTGGAGGTAGGATTCAGGTTGCGAAAGGCCTACCAGGTCACTGACATTCTACAGATCGCCTACAGATAATGGCAAAACCAAAGACCGCCTCAAGTACTACATGGACTTGGCGAAACTCGCTGAGAGAGGCAAAATCACCTGCGTTTTCCTGGCGGATTGGTACGTCGGTTTCGATGTATATAACGACTCGCTCGATGCCATGCTCAAAGCTGGACATCAAGTAGGACACCTTGATCCGGTACCTATCATTTCTGCAATGGCAGCAGTCACCGAGACTGTTTCGTTTGCCGCGACTGCTAGCACATCTTATGTCAATCCCTATATTCTGGCGAGGCAGTTCTCGACACTGGATCATCTCACCGAGGGCAGAGTTGGCTGGAACATTGTGACGAGTTACACGAAAGGTGCTGCAAAAGCGATGGGCCATGAACAAGTCGTGCCGCACGATGAGCGATATCTGGTCGCGGACGAGTATATGGAGGTGGTATACAAACTGTGGGAAAGTTCTTGGGCACCGGATTCGGTCGTCTGGAGTGATGAAGTTGCCTTTGACCCCACCAAGATCAAGAAGATTGAGCACAAAGGTAATAATGTGTGCCCCACGAATCAATGGAGTCGGTGTCGCTGATGTTCGTGTCCAGGAAAATATTTCAGCGTGTCCGGTCGCTCACAGCTGCATCCATCGCCACAACGAACACCAGTATTGTTTCAGGCCGGAACTAGTAAGAGCGGTGTCCAATTTGCTTCTCGCCATGCTGAAGCCATGTTCCTCAATCCTTGCACAGTAAAACAAGCAAAGAAAGTGATCGCAGAAGCGCGGGCAGCAGCGGCTGCCGAGGGGCGGGATCCGCAGTCTTTGAAATTCTTCCCTTGTATTGTTCCGATCATTGGTCGCACAGAAGAGGAGGCGTGGGACAAGTATGAGAAGGCGAAATCTCATGCAGACATCATTGGTGGTCTTGCACAGGTAAGAAGCATGCTTCGGCGTTTGAGATAGACGATATTTTGACACTTCTAGTTTTCTGGATATACCGGGATTGATATGACACAGTTTCCTATGGACGAACCTTTTTCGTCGGCGACCCTTAAAGGAGGCCCTGGAATCCAGTCGGTTCTGAACGCCTTTGAAGCTAGTACCGAGTCAGCAGAGCCCTGGACACCACGCCGCTTAGGTCTTCGTATGGCCCTTGGTGGTCTTCACCCGTGTCCCGTTGGAAGTGTTGCGCAAGTAGCAGATGTATTCGAAGAATGGGTAAACGACGCAAATTGTGACGGCTTCAATGTCGCCTATGTCAGCAATCCCGGAAGCTTTGAAGACGTCGTTGATCTTCTACGACCCGAATTAGTAAGAAGAGGGATGATGTGGGAGGATTATGACTTCCCTGGTGGAACGTTTCGAGAGAACCTGTTGGGCCAGAAGCTGCTCAGAGAAGATCATTGGGGTTCGAGATATAAATATGGTAGGGCGGACGTAGCTTCACCCGCCGTGCAAAAGGGCGATATTGGGGAAATACCAACGATACAAGAGCAGAAATTTCCTACACATAATCCTCAACCAATAGCTACCTGAAAGCAAGCTCTTGTTTACCAATCTCAAGGTCAATGGCACGTGACAGTGGTCGTCTTGCTTGGCCACTTAATCCAGCAGGCTCCAAATTGAGTCTTCATTGCACTTCATTGCACTACCTTTGATGATGCAGATCTGAACAGCACAATCCATCTAACTGCTAATAGAAGCATTTTCAGCATCGTCAGCTCGAACGTATCTCAAGGTTGCACAAGATAGGAAGGAGTAATGGAAGAAGACACAAAAGCATGGACGGCACTTGCCAAATTGTACCCATGACATTGCGCCTTCCTGGGGCAAGCTCCAAGAGCAGAAAACGTTTCTCGTCCTGCGTTGCATGTTGTGATTATAGACCATCATTCAACCAACATTCGCTACAACCGAATTGTCGATACAGTCTATTGCACTATCTCAGTCATTATCGCTATATCCAATCCCACCACCTCCAGCTCGAATCTCAGAAGCACAAACGCTACCACAATGGGCAATCCGATCAAAGCCACGAAAGCGAAATGGGCCGAAAGGAAAGAGAAAAGACGCCAAGAAAAAGAGAAGCTCGAGGCAGAGAGGGAACACAACGCCGTGGTCAAGAAAATCAAGCAACAGCCATCTGAGTCCTGTCCGTGTGAAGAGTCTCCTTGTGCAAGATGTCGCCTCTTGTACTTTCTGCGCTCGAATCTGAAGGATCGATTTCAGCCACCAGAACCAGATGTCAAGCATCCAGCAAGAGCCGTAAGGCAACAGATAACACATTGGGTCAAGGATCCGAAATCTGCCATCCCGAAGATGAAGATCCTCTGCTTACACGATTACAACGAGGATTCTCTGAATTTAGAACGCCATATCAGCGGCTTGATCAGCTGTCTTGACGATGGACATGAATTCAAGTTTGTGGATGGACCTATAGAGCTCAATGATGATCGTGGTGAGAACATACCAGTGCTCGCGCAAGGAACAACAACCTGACATGCTCCAGGTACTCACTATTCATGGTTTGAAACAAGCTCTCCTGCCGATATATTGAATGCACACGAAGTCCTCGAGAGAATAATTGCAGAGGATGGCCTATTTGACGGAGTTCTCGGGTTCGGTCAAGGTGCTGCTCTCGCAACGTCTTTCATCTTGCAACGCCAAATTGAGAGAAAGCCCCCTCTCTTCGACTTTGCAATTATGTGTTCGAGTATTATTGCCCCAAGCTGTGACGATAATTTTGCACCGGAATTTTACCCGGCAATGTGGCTCAAGTACGGGGTAGACATCCAAAAACAAGTCAAAGAACATCGAAGAATAATGGCTTATCTTGCAGAACCATCACCAGATTTGCCAGCTGTGGCAGATGTGAAACAGACACAAGACTCAGAAGCATTACATTTGGGCGGAGCTTCGACCCAGAACGCACAGCAGGACCCAACGGCCCAGATTGTGAAGGAGCTCACAGCAGCTTTGATAGCTGGGGATAGCGAAATCAGTCAGCAAATATACGATATGCAACCAGACGATTTTGTGATGAACGCTGAGACGATGCCGCGAATGTTTCATCCCAGCCTCACTCGAGAAAGAATCCACACTCCGACCGTACAGACTTGGGGAAGCAACGATACTTTCCGCACACATGCTAAACTCGTCAAGCAGCTTTTCGACTCCTCGGGTGTGACTCTGGTAGTGAATCACGATGCCGAGCATAATTTCATGATGCAGGATCATTACTTCTACGATCTGATCGAAGATGTTCAGAAGGTGATGAAGCTGGCATTGCTACAAAAGTTCTGCATCCATAAGCCACTAAAGTACTTCGAGGGAACTGAGCACCAACACATCCCTGGTGAACGGCTGATATGGCAGCGGGATACACAAGGGACAAGGGTCTGAAGTATTCAAAGCTGTACCAATTTGTTCTGACAAAGTTGGACGTAGTTTAGAGCATTGTTTGAAGCATAGAATGCACAGCGTAATCAGAGATCAGCTCACTTGAGCTCGAATTTCCATGTCCCATTGCAGATGTTGATGAGTCCTGTCCGTAGCTGCGCGCTTCCAAAATCGTGGACACTCTTGACTGTGCCCAAAAGCGATCCGCGTATGCAGCTGAAGATATACTATCAAACTTAGGGCAGAATTTGACCGGGATAGAAACAACTACAAAATATCAAGACAAGGACTCTATATCTCGTCAGAGCAAGTGACTAGTAAGATTGTTCGCTTGAAGGACTACTAAACCAAGGGTCTACTTACGCCAGAGTCACTATCTCTCAGGATGAGACATATGAATAGCGATGCCTCTAGTTGTCCCCTAGTTTCCAAGATACGAGAAAGAACGAACAGGTACAGACAATAATTCTCGGCATCAAAGTAGACGAGACACGAATTGATCATCGCATCTCAACCACAACTGCCTTCTCACCTCTCAAGACATCACATCGCAAGCATCAAGGAGATTCAAGAATTAGCTATATTCATTACAGTACCGCTACATCTCGTAGACGGTCGTCCCAACGCCAAGGCTCACTTTTGTTCATCCCATCCCCTTAAAAATAACGCCAGCAATGGTTGACCGACGCCGAGTAATGCACCTCCTTCGTAAAAGAGCAAAGAAATTTTCTGAGACCAAGCTGCCTGTAGGCGCTGCCGCTCTGGAAACAAGCCTCCCCTCGCTTGCAAATATGTCTTGCGCTCATTAATATTCTACATCCGCTGTCCATCTCTCATATCAGACTGTAGGAGGTCATAGCTCAAGGCTTTCTTGGCGTGCTGATGATCTGCTCTTGCGGCGATGTTGTTGTACTTCCTGGTAGTCCTCATCGATGTCATCCTCCGCATAGTGTTCTACTATCGGTTCCTCATCTTCTTCCTCCACCTCGCTGTCAGATTGAGCCGAATCAGTCTCTTGTTCGCTTTGCTCGTTCGAGGCATTTCTAGCCGCCGAAGAGATGACGAATCGTGGAATAGTCGAAGCCGGAGACGAAATTGAGTAAGTTGCTGCAGCAACGTTACGACCAGGAACAGACGCGACTTGACTGTCTCGAGACAGGTCACGATTGTACTGAAGAGCGTCACCATATCCATCCCAGCTGGATCTTAGTCCTTGAGTACCTGGTTCAAAACCTCGCTGCTCTGGCACATCAGGAGGGGGCTGTGGATCTGAGGTCTCTCTGTCGTGGTGATCGCTGTGGATGCCGTTGACCCTGGGTTCATTCTCAGGCTGCAGGCTTCCGTCAAGATTTTCGGGCTCATCCTCATCAATGGGGTCTTGAGTGTTATCCAGATCCACCGACGCTTTGTCATGAGTCAGTGTTGTAAGGTCTCTCTCATCCTCCGAGTCCTCCGAGTCCCCCGAGTCAGAACTTTCAGAAGGAGATGACTGTGTGCTCGGTCGAGGAAGAGCCGGCAAGGTATATTGATCTTCCGTATCATCATATCCGACAGGAGGACCATCTTCTTCCTCGTCACTTTCTGACTCGTCGGCTCCATCTTCCACAAGGGGTGCGTCGTCTTCAACGCTCGATGCAACGATGTCCAGTTCACCATTCTCGTCGAGCGCTTCGCCAAGATCAGGGTAATTGTCTTCAGGTTGTAATTCTGGAGATTGGTCATTGTCTTCTTCTGCATCAACATCAATGTCCATGGCTACGAGCGCTGGTTTGGCATGATCTGAATCGTCACCTTGATTCTGTTCAAGGTTTTCGGCGTCCGATTCTGGCTCAGGGCGAGATTTTTGCTCCAAATTCTCTTCTGGCTGAGTTGTATGATCAACACTGGCGGCATCATCGCTCTCCGTCACTCGCTCTGTGCTAAGTGGGTTGGTTATTACCTTGGCTTGAGTTGTTCTTGCCGGTGTCAGCGGCTTCTTCGCAACACGCTTGGCCTTAGGCTTGCCGGTTTTCATTGATTGCATAGTCGAAAGAATGTCGTCACTGCTTTCGCGTTGATGCAGACGGCTAGGGCCGCTCTCTTGACTCTCGCTCTGACCAGTTTGTCGCATGCGTTCATGGAGCTTAGTCTTCTTGCGGGGAAGGGAATCCTGCATTAATCCAGGTTTCTTGGCCTTCGCGATACTGAGTCTGCCCGTGCTTGTACCCTCCCCGTTGTCTGCCACATCCTCTGGTTCATCTTCGAGGAAGATCCCGTTTCGGTCGTTAAACTTTCGTGGTGTAGACTTTCGTTTCTTAGTGATCGACGGTTCACCGGATTCGTCTCTGTCACGCTTTTCTCCTTTCTTCACACTCTTCGGCTCAGCCCCATTTTTGATGTCAAATCCGTTAGGCTCGTTAGGAGCAGCAGTCTCGAAAGCCTCAATGAGAAACTCAACGACTGCCTGGAGTTGCATGTTTTCTTGGTTGGGCACCTGCTGTCTGAGTCGTCGAAAGCATACCTTTAGGGCCATTCTCTCGCCTTTGGTATAAAAGTCATCACGCTGTATCAATACCCAAGGTATCTTACCCTCTTGTCCAGCACCACTGTCACGGATCGCGTACAGGAGTCGGAGCTTCTTGTCTGCGCTCATAGCACGTGCGTCCTTGCTTGCTTCTCCGACGCGCCATTCCGTTTCTGAGATTGGAGCAGTCGCTACTGGATCAGCGATGACAGTGCTCTGACGGTCTTTGAGTGCACTCCATTTTTGCTGGCATTGGAGGCGGCTTCTTGTATAGCCCATCTTCTCCGAGATCACCAACCAATCGATCGATGGCTGATTGGCGTTTGCTCGTTTACGAGGGTTGAGAGAGGCTTGCTTACGCTCGCGGGTGTCTTCCAAGACCTCTTGAACGAGGGTCTTCAGCCTCTCTTCCTCGTCCTTCCCCCACGCACCTTCTTTCATTTTGTCGCCACAAACAACATAGTCGCGCCAACGATCACGGACGTCCTCATTATATTTGTTCATCATGGCTCCAATCTTTCTCCATTTCGCAGGGTCCGACTTGTGAACCTCATATAATCTCTTCAGTTCTTCGTCCTGCTCTTTGGTCCATTTGCCGCGAGACTCCCAGTTGTGATAATTTCTCCGTAAGGTAGTGATGATTTTTACTCTGGGAATGCTGGGCATCTGGTCGCAGATGTAGTCCACAAGATGCTTTGCATCATCCTTGATTCCCGCCTGGATCTTGTCGTTTAGGGTGTGCTGTGTCATCTCGTTCTCTTCTCGCCAGGATCCAACATGTTGTGCGAGTTCTGCCATCTCCTCATCGTTGAAGCGTCTATTTGCGGTTGCAAAGGCAGCTGGTCGACCAGTAGATTCGCTTTTTGGTGTCTTAGACATCGCGCTTCGCTTGGGTACCTGCCTTGGGGCCCTGCCGCTCTTGGGGGTTCTAGGTGGTAACTTCGAGGATGTAGGCTCATCTGTAGGAAGGCGGCGCTTCCTCTTCTCGCTGGATATATGAACTTCGGGTACATCCGGTTCAAACTCACTTCCCGAGTCTGACGCAGAATCATGGTTTGGATGGCTCGCTGGAGTAACCTTGGGGGACTTGCGAGCGGGAATTACGACTTGTACCCGACTTGGTGTCATGACTGGTGTTTTGGAGGGTGGCAAGGTTTTTGTCCGGTTTATGGGTGTAAATGCAGGTGTAGGCCGACGTCCGCTAGGTGTTGTTTGACTAGCTTGAGATTCTGGTTCTCCTGTAGTGTCATCCTTCAACGGTTCTTGCACTAATCTCCCCGCAACTGCGCCTGAACCTTCCTCGTCCTCATCGGTACCATGTGGAGCTGCCTCGTTGCTTTCTTCGGCTTCGACTACGTCTAATTTATTTGTAAATCCGAAGTTCGTGAGTGGCGGCGTTCCTGCGTTTTCGTTCTTACCCTTTCTTTGTCTCTTTCGTGGGTTGGGAACAGCATCCGAAGCTTTTCGCTTACCCAAGGCCTTCTTTGACGGTCGCTTGGGAGTGTTGGCATTCTCTTCCTCCTCATCCGGAGCAAGCGAAGCCATCGCCGCATGCGGTACCGAGGACCATGCATCGCTTTGTATCTGTGCGTCGATGTCTAAGTTCTCTTTACCTGCATGTGATATATTTCCGCGGGCTAGGGCAGAAGTAAGTGGCTGATGCAAAGCGGCTGCTGGGTCGTCATCATCTCCAGCAAGCTCGTCTAGAAATCGTCGGGTAGCTGTGGATGTCTTGGGTTCTGGCTTCGCGTTTTCGATTTTTTCGGGCAAATTTTCTAGCTCTCCAGAGATAACATCTTCTTGTGTGTCCTCAACAGTGAGGGGAGACTTGATGACTTTCTTTCCTCTGGGCTTAGACTGCTTTTTTGCAGCAGTAGCAGTAGCACTTTTGGACAGTCTGCTTTGCTTGATCAAGTCCTCCATGCTAACATCATTGTCTTCAACAAGATCTTCCACAATCTCTGGCAGTGGTGCGCCCTTCTTCTTGCGATTTGTGGGCTTCGTTCCATTAATCTTTCTGGGTTGTTTAGTCTTGGGCGGAATAACTTTGGATATCTGCTCTTCTGCGGCAGATTCGCTAGTATTCAAGGCGCTTCCAGAACGTGTTTGACGGCTAAGTGGAGCTCCAGAATTACTTTCCCTACCAACCTCCGAGAGTGCTGTCTCAGCCGCAGGTGTCGTATTTCGGGAAGATCTCCGCTTGGCTGGGGCAAAGTCGCTTTCGCTGTCTTCGGGTGCTGGAGTTTGCTTGCGCGTTGATCTTCGAATACCGGTCGCATGCTCCGTGCTTTTCCCTTTACTCTTTCGCTCTTCCTTTCGGATGCCATTGACTGTAGCGGGGCCATCTAGCTTTCCGAGTCCCTCTACTCCAAGATCCTCGGGCTCCTCACCAAGCTCCTGAAGTAGCTCCTCTTGAACTTGTGATTTTTGTGCAGGTGCGTTCTTAGCCTTAGACTTGCCACCTGCCTTACCCCGCTTTACCTTCCCCTTCGCCTCGACTTTATCTTTCTTCTCCCGAATACTGTTAATTGTAGAACCCTTAACTTCTGGGAGTATGTCTTGGTCGTCTTGATTGTGCGGCTCGCCATTAAGCTCTTCTCTCCTGCTGTATGTGCTGTCGAGTTGGCTCGCCGACTCGTCTTTATCTTGATCGAGTTCTGCCAATAAGAAGCTAATTAGCATATCTTTGACCCTTTCGGTGGGTTGACTTGTGCACTTACGATCGCTTTCGGTTTCATCCTTCACAGGCTGCGCCTGAGAGGAAGAAAACATCTTCCCAATAATGCGCATCATTGTGATTCAGCACCAACATCCTCTGTTTGTGCTGTTTCACACTTAGGTTACCCGGGCGAGGTTCCCTAGGAGTTACCTTAGGAGATCGATCTCGACCGCAATTGAACGAAATCGAAAGGTTTGAAAGACGCGTCTAGTTCGCGGAGCGTGAATCTCGAAATTGTTTTTCTTTACTCCATAAGGCTGCGCACGTCCCCTCCAAAAACGTGACTAGACCTGGTATTCTGGCAGTTGTACTTCTCACCGCCTCCGATAACGGATAGCGCGATAAGGGGCTCACCGCCTCCCGAAGTGGGTAGGGCAATAAGGGGCTCACCGCTTCCCGGAATGGCAGGGCAATAAGGGGCAGTTCTCATTTTCACTGCTTCCGGAAATAGATAACGCAACAAGGAGCAATTCTCATTCTCACCGTTTCCCGAAGTAAGTAGCACAATAAAAGGCAGTTCCAATTATCACCGCCTCCGAAAATAAGGGCCAGCCGCCGGACTTCTAAAGCACTTAGTGAGCGGTCATATTCACGAACAATCAGGCTTCAAATATCTTAATACGTGATAAGTGTACGGCGGACTGTAGTACACTAAATCCAATTACAATCCTGTAAGTCTTTTGGTTAATCGTCCAGTGTTTGTTCTTTCATTTGCTAAAAATTCTTCTATAATAAGGAAACACTGGACGAGTGGTCGTGCTTGTTCTAATTTTCACCGCATCCGAAAATAAGTGCCTTGCGCAATATAGCACCGCTTCCAGCTGTCCAAAATAACCGACACACGATCAAGGAACCCGAATTGAGGCGGATTTTCACCGCATTCGAAAATGAGTAATGCGATAAAATGTAGTTTTGATTTCATTGCTTCCGATAATAGGTAGTGCAATGAGGGACAGTTCTAATTCTCATTGCTTTCGATAACGAGTGGCGTGATAAAATTGCAGTTTTAATTTTCACCAAGGGCGCAGCCGATAAGGGGCAGTGCGATAAGCGGAAGCGGGGTCGGGTCCGCCCCTCCTCCCCTTCAGAAAATAACAAGGCTAAATAAGATTAAGAATAGTCTAGTATATTGTTGAGACATATGATATTTTTGAGATAAGTACTTATTTTTTCTATTTCCTGTACTGTTGCTGTTTACAATTCTAGTTTGTTTTGATTAGAAGTATCCCCACGGGAGCAGATTATCCAGGATTTGTCTAAGACTCCTGATTAACTACTGGATAATCTTGGACAAAAGCCGGATAACGACTTCATCCTATGTAGGATTATTCATTCAAAAATCTAAGAAGTTCTAAATCCTGGAGAAAGACTGGAAATACTGCCTTATTATTGATCCGGCATTCAAAGCCTTTAGAGAAATTCAACTAAATGTATGCATTAGATACCTACTAAGTACTTGAGGAACATAAACACGCTAGCTAAAGTAAACAAACTCCCACTTTCTCGGCCTTGGCTCACTCACTCGCTATCTTAACTTCCACTATCTTAGATTTCACAGTAAGTCTGCATTATGCATCTCTCTTGTCTTGTTTCTTGAAAGTGTGTATGCATCTCCTCCTTCAACTCCCTTCCAACCCAGGTACGTGATACCGTTTACAGCATCAACTCACAGTACTAACTCTCCTCTAGAACGCGTTTATCACACAAGCAGGAATGGAGGGCAGGAATGCAGCGCATATATACACAGAGTTCAGGGGAAAAGTCAAGAAGCTAGGGATCGCATCCACAATCAGGCATTCGGGCACTCAAAGTAACGGATTTTGCGGCCAAAATCTGGATAAATTCTGAAAAAAATCCTGGTTTCGCACAAGATATTTTCTGTCCAAAATCCAGCTGGATAATTCCTAGTCAACGACTAGATAAGTTATCCAGTAAATGTCTGGTTGTTGCTACCGTAATGTACTACTTTGTCCTTTCCACCCTCACCTATGATTGTCAATGCTGATTATTTATTGATCAAGCACATTTTTCCTGGAAATAATATTCGAAATCCTGTATGTTGTCCAAGAGTCGAACCCTCGCCAGCCTCCCCTCCTTCGAATTCAAATAGTGGCTCTATCCTACAGGTACAGATTTCACATTTTTGGTTTCCCTACCTTGGGCTTCTACATGCTCGCTTTGAGAAACAGTACCTCTCTCTTCCACGGTCACTTATGATTTCCAATGCTAATTGTCTCTGAATCAGGCTAATATGATGCTGTTGATAACGTCCGAAAACATCCATACTTTCTCTAAGAATTAGCTCCCCGAATCGCTAGCCTTCCCTCCTTCGAATTCAGATAATGGTTCCTACCCAACGATTAGCTCTAGCTACCATACAAATCCAAACAAGTCGAAGAACGCACCGCTTCTCTGCCCAATCCATAATCAAGTACGCAGCTACAAGCGGTGGCCCAACATAAAATACTTGCGCCCAAGTCCGCCGAGCGGTATTGAAGAAGGCGTTTCGAAGTGCTCCCGCTAAAGGTCGCTGTTGATTTGCACAAAGCTCATAGGTGATGATGTTCTTCTGCTTGGGAAGCTCTGAGAGCCTGGTCAATTGGGTACGCTTCGAGTGGTACAGCTGGGCTAGAAGCAAGAAAAGCTATTGACTTACTTGGATGTCCCCAAGAGATCACTGGGAGGCTAGATTTACAAATCTTCAGCAAAGACTATAATCATGGTAGACACAATATACTTACATTCCACGAGGTCTATTTGGATTGGGGCTGTAATCCATCCTGTGGCAAAAGGTACCAGTACCTGGGGAACACTTCGGGCAGCTGCTGTCCTTATAAAGACCGCATTTGTGCCCCGGCCCTTCCCCTTGTCTCCCATGTTACTACGTGGCTTCATTTCGGATCCTAGGGTAAAACGAAATGGCATTTGAACAATTTTTAGAAACTCGCGCTTCGATAAACAGCGTCGCGCTTCGATAAGCCTCACCCACTTTCTGCGGTACATGTGCCTTTGCTCCGCCGAACAAGCATGGTTGGCCCACGATGGGCTCCTTCGATATGCTTACCTATTCAACATATTTCAGCCTCTATACACGAACCCTCTTCATTCGCTCAGACATTAATCATCAGGAGATTTCTATTCTGCATGTCGAGTATTCTGGCAAGCACATTACTCAGCGAGCAATCCAGCTCTCAGACAGCCCCGCCCCCTTCAACCTCCGCCCCCGCTGCAGCATACAAGCCTCGGATTCGACGCAAATTCCCCCGGACGAAGCTAGGATGTCTCACATGCCGCTCGAGGCGAAAGAAGTGTGATGAGCGGAGGCCAATCTGTAAGACCAACTTCCGTCCTCGGGGATAACCAAAGCTGATCCGAGTATAGGTCAGAATTGCGAAAAGAGGAAAGTGGCTTGTTCATGGCCCGCTTTGACTGAACAGAAGGATGAAGAGGCCAATGATAATGTTTCTGAAAAGGTCAGTCCACGGTCAAGGAGCAAATGCGGAATCTGACTTCGGAGAATAGGAAACTCTGAGCAACAATCAGGACAGAAGGACTGATGAACGACCAACAAACCACAATTTGCAAAGTTTCACACCAACTACAACATCAATTGTCCCTGTCTCGTCAAGATCCAGCCCCTCGTCTACTGGATCGTCAAGTAGACCCTGGTATATGCAGTGGTCCCTACCCTACAATCCCCATATCCTCCAATCATCCGGGTCTCGCCTCCTATTCGATCGATATCTCTCCCAAACATGCAATGCTTTTAGCATTACCCCATCCTCGAAGAATCCCTTCGCATCTTACGTCCTCCCACTCGCTTTGTCAGATGAGCTGTTCATGAGCTGTGTGCTGGCTGCTTCGGGCGCAGATATCTGCTACGATGAAACAACCGATTCTCATACTAAATCAGTTACTTGGTCCCATTATTCCCTTGTGGTACGTGGCCTACGAAACAGGCTGTTCAACAATACTACTGAAGATGTTGAAGATGTCTTACACATACTACTGCTCACAATGATGCTCCTCATGATCGAAGTAAGTCCAATTCAGTCCCTTCGTCTCCTCACGAACTAATTTAACCACCCAGATCATGGCCGCCACCCCGGTGAACCTAATATTCCACCACCTCCTTGCAAGCCGACACCTAATCCACACCATCCTCACCTCACCCACCCTCCTAACCGCTCCCTCGCACCTCTCTCTCTTCGGGCACCTCTTCGAACTCTACTCCTTCCGCTGCCTCGGGTCCTCAATCCACCCAGTCACCCAGCTCCAAACCCCCATCTCTCACTCCATCCTCGACCTACACTTCTTCATCGGCAACTTCTCCTCCACACCCCAATACACTTTCTACTCCTCTATATTCGCCGAACAAGGACATCTACTCTCCGCTTTCCTCCCCGAAATATCAACCATCACCAGCCAACCCGTCACCACAAAAGAAACCCACGAACACCTCTCCCACCGTCTCAGAGCCTGGCTTCCAACCCCTCTTTCTCCCGAAAAAACAACCAGTTCAATACTCTACCAGAACGCCCTCCTCCTGTATCTCATTACGCTTACCTCGTCCCATCCTCTTCCTACCCCGGAAATCCAAATCCGTATCTCAATCTGCCTCCCGCTCCTTTCTTCTCTGTATCCGTCAAGATTAGAAGGGATAGTTCTTTGGCCGTCTATGATTATTGGGTCTTGTTTGACAACTGAAGGGGAGAGGGAGGTGCTGAGGAAGGCGTGGGGAAACGCGAGGTATAAGATGAGGACGGTGGTTTGGGCGCAAGAGATGTTAGAGGCGCTTTGGCGAAGGGGGAAGGAAGAGGGAGGGGAAGATTTTTGGGGGCCGAGGGGGTTGGCGAAGGTCGTTGAGGAGGAGGGTCGGTGAGATGTCATTGTGGGTTGGACTTGCTATGTATATATACCGAATCATTCTACTCAAAACTTTAGCTAGAAATAATGTAAGCATCCGCCCGTTCCAGGACATTCAAACCTTTTTCTTCACAACTCCTTTCGACTCGGAAAAGCAAAACCGCAGCGTCTCGTACGAACGTGTAAATGTCTCGATTCTACGGCAACCAGCTAGCTATCTTGTGCTACATGCCTAGAATTGTGTGCCAATACCCCGTATGTGGATCCCTCAAAGACCACACTTTTCACATAAGTGAAGGAAAGTAAAAGTCTAGCACAAATTTAAGCTCTGTGTCCCAACTGTCGAAGTCTGTAATCACTAGTAAGATCTTATTTGAACAGGATAATAATCTGTCGATTACAAATAGTTTCTCCGGAACATCCAGCCAACCCAGAAAACATCAAAATCACACTATCACACTCTCACCCACTCACAATTCCAAAGCTAAATTAAAGGGTATCAACACAATTTCGTTCCTTTTGCCTGCCTGTCTATACCGGCCAACACCCCCATCCCCACAAAACGCCCACAAAATGCAGAACAAACAAGCCCCCCTCCCCTCCCTTTCACAAACTCTTCTTCTTCCTCAACTTATTCTTCCCCGCACCAGCATCCCCCACCTCACTCCCCCTCCTCAACAACAGTCCCCCAACAAACCCCCTCCTCCCCCTCGGACTCGGCTCATCCTCCAGAAAATAACTCTTCTCCTCATCCCTATCCCCTCCCAGAATCATCTCCTCCTCCTCCTCCTCATCCTCCACCTCCACCTCCACCTCCCTTCCCCTACCATTCCGCCCCACCAACGCCCTCAAACTCCTCTTATGCTTCAACACCGCCACACCGGTCTCCTTATCCCACTCTTGCACCTTGAACTCCGCCGCCAGTGGACTGGCAACCTTCTCCTTCTCCTCCCTCTTGGTTGCTTTCCAGCCCACCAGATCACGCAGGCTCCTCTTAGGCTTTAATTCCGCGACGTCCTCTGGCTCTGGCTTGAATTCGTTTGCCAGAGGACTTCCCGGCTTGCGTTTCAAGTCCTGGCTTGGCTCGACCGGGTCAGCTATCTTCTCCTTGTCCTTTCCCGCGCCAGTCATCTTCTGGATAAACGATCTCTTCTTCCTTAATTTCGGGCCCTCGGACTCTTCCTCTCCCTCCGTCTTGGGTAGGAATTTAGAATCCCTCAACGTGAGGTTACTCAGCGAGGAGTGGCGTCGGACAACGAGCGGTGGAGGCGGTGGTGGAGGTGGAGCGAAGGGATCAGACTTTAGGAAGGCCATATTGTCCGATGCGAGCGGTTTGGCGTTCGGGAAGAAGAGGGGCCGCGGGATCAGGGCGGAGATATCCTCCTCTGGATTTTCCGGGAGGATGGGGGGTTTGAAGCCAAGGGGTTTGAGGCTCGGTTGGACATTGGAGAAAAACGGACGTTCCCAGGGTGGGATGATCGTAGAGTAGTCTACGTTGGTATCGGATTCAGCGTCGTCATTAAGTTTGGAGGTTGGTTGGGACTTTGGCCTTTCTGGGCTGGCAGGTTTAACATTAGATTGGGATACGGGGCTCGATCCTTCCGGATTGGTAGGGCTGGACGATTCGGGCATAGTGGACGTCAATATATCTCGGGACCCGTTGTACCTGAAGAAGAATTTTACTATTTTTCTAGACCTCCATCCTTCATCAAACACGGATTGGACCGGTTGTTGATCTGATTTCTTAGACTTCTCATAAACCTTTTCCCATCTTGCTTTCATGATCGAATCCTCCGGGTTCTTACCATTCTCGTCCAGAACATCAAGTCGAGGTATGTGAGGAAGATTGGCAGGAAGAATACGATGAAAATTCGGCTCGCCTGGGAGAGTATCGCATTCATGGCCTAAGGTCAGCGCGAAATCGATTTGGTTCTTGGCGTGCTTCAGATAATTCTCAAGGCTGAGAGTAATCTTTCGCCATGAGTGCTTTCCTTTGAGAAGTGAGTCTTCGATACCGAGAATCGCCTCTGGTCCATCCTTTTCAACCGCCAAGATCCATCCAAATATGACTTTTCGGTGCCAGTGTAGTTGCTTAATCGAGATCTGATCACTCGGGACTGAGAGGATGACGGGAGGGTAGAGCGTATTGAGCATTGCCAAGATTTCTTGCCTCGATAGCCAGGGTTGTTTGAGTTCGTTGATCATAATCTTAAACAAGTTAGCAGCAGACTTGAATTCGCCCTGGAAGAGAAACATACCCATATACGTAGCCCGACATACATTTGCGCGAACCATTTTTGAAGCTCCATCTCAACATGCTGCATTCTCAAATACCATGCCAGTGTTATTGGGTTTTGCTTCAATCCATCCTGCCATGTGTATTCTGTAATTCCCCATCTTCTTCCTGCTGCTCGTAATTGTGCTCTTCTCGTGAACTCCAGATCGCGTAGATAATCTAAAGCTTTGAGCGGGTTGCTGAAGTCGGCCTGTTCATACTCGGCAGGAAAAGCCTTCAAACAGAAGTCTTTGATATACTCATATGGTAATCCTGCTGGCTCCGCATGCGGCTTCTTCAGATATCTATCTTCTACAGGTGGCGGTGGTGGATCTACAAATCGTACTTTTCGTAGTCGGGGCTCATGCTCGGGATTCATGTGATGATCGAGGGCGTGGCCGATGGGCTGTGTTACATTCAGGGGGACAGGTTCGAGCTCGGTTTGTGCTGATTGTTGTTTCTCCTCTGTCCAAGGTCCACTATCTGTGAAAGAAGACATAACCTGCGTGAGCAAGCGCCCTTCTGGATCCAATTGCCACCATGCTTGAGCGTCCCTCAAGGAGGATGGCTTTTGCCCTGTAAATATGTTGTTAATATCGATCTATCAGAGTCAGGGACGCAAGTTGCCAACATACCTGAGTTGAAGCTAAACATGGTTGTCAAGGGTAGCTCGGCAGCACATTCTGGGTGTAAGACGTGATGTAGAATCCAAGGTGGTGCCTCATGAGGATGTTGATCTTCCGAAGAGATCGTTGTGGTTGGCGAGGTTGGAGTTGTTGAAGCCGAGATATCGGACCCCACGATAGAAGCCGAACTTGTAGACATCTTTTCGATTTTAGTCGCAGCCGCGACTAAGACAATCCAAACTTCGAAGCCAAGTTCCCAAATGTCACACCCTCAGCAGTCAAAGATGCTTCAGCTGCAACCACTTCCACTCCAGTGGGTGCTATTTTGTCGTATTGCCCTTTTCCACAGCCAATTGCTCTACATAGAGTAATATTGTTCTTCTCCAATTGTGTTGCAAAGCTCGATTCAGTATCTTCACCCAAAACCTTCTATCACGAATCAGGATGACACCAAATCATCAAGTGGTAGACGATAAGGGATAAGACCAGGCTCAGGTTGGGCGTGAGGAGTAATTTTATCTCATATCCAAAAGCAGTGTTGATGTCCAGTACTTGCAAACAGATAAAAGAAGCAAGGAGATCGTGTTGTAGAAAGGGGTGGAGTTCTGATAGAGGGTCTCAAGACACTGGTACATGGCATCTCTATATTGTATCAGAAGACAGTGAGGTTCCCTGCCAGAGTAGATAAGAAATATCCCGTCGATGTTCACTATACTTCGGGCAGTTCTCCTTCCCCTTGCCGGTTATTCGACATCTGATAGGTCAACAGTAGTCCATTTGGTCGGGGTGCATTAATATCATGCATTATCATAATGATGCAGACGAACCCTAGTCAGTCTTTCGTTGGTACCGACTCGATCCGTCAACGGGATCTGGAGTGATGAGGGGTCCTTCCCGGGAGAAGATCATGCAAGCATTCTGAAATTGTCAGGGGTCGTGCACTTCCAGTCCGAACTAATGCTCTGAGAACTTCTCATCAACATTTTGAAATTGCAGAAAAATCTACAAAGAAAAATGAAAGTTCACAACGCAAACATTTCCATAATCATGGCATAGAGAGCATTCTTCTCTGAGAAGATGTTTGTCCCCAATGCTGGTCGATCAAGCACGGAGTCTGTTAGAAACATGTTTCTCATCCCTGTCACAGCCGACTTCAGCCTTGTTGCACAGTCTGTGCGAGAATCTGAGCAAAGTGCACCAAGGCTGATTGGAGAAGAAAGTCGTTGTCGAGTTCCAAGCCGGCTAGGCTGAAGACGAGCCAAAGGATGTTTCGACTTGGTGTGCCTCAACACATAGGTGTGTGTCGGACCTGAAGATCATGAGCGTCGGTGTATGCTCTCATAGTTCTCGGCGCCTTTTCAAGACAACTGAAGGACTCACGATTCGAGAGGCAAGCTAAAGTAACTGTGATATCATACTTGACAGATAATATTGATGGCAATCGCTCGCCTCCCAGATTTGGTGTTTGCGGCTCCAGAAGATCTCCCGTCTGTGTGCAGTGATCAGCTCCGTTCGCAATCTAACTTGCGACTGTCGCAGTCTGGCGGCTCTTTTCCCCACAACTCAATTCGGAAGATCGATGTCAAATGACTCTACCAGGAGATCCTTCCTGGAAGATTAGGCCTACCGGTATTGAAGTGGTAGAATCGGAAACAGTGTGTCCGGTGGCAACTTCTGGAAGTTGTCTCCAGGAAGTCGGTCGAGAACGAAAAGGTTAATTTGTGCGACGTTACAAGATGCCTCTGTCGCATCATGTTATCGATTGTCAGTAATGACTTCAACGGTGCATTTGCCCGCGGAGCGGATCCCGTTTGCTGCATGATGAATGGGTTTGAATGCAGGTAGCCGATAGATCTGACAAAGAGCTTGGAAGCTGTTCCGGGACATGATCAAGTTCATGAATATGAGGTGAGGTCAATTAACGTCGGAGATGGAGTTGTGTGAAGGAGAAGAGGGCGAAGACGAAGGAAGAAAAGGAAAAGTGGCTGGTGGACCTCCCCTCCTTCAGGTTAGTGTTTGGGTGAGTGGTTCTTTCCAAGAATGCAGAACATTTGCATGCGCGCAATTCGACCATCAAAACTATCTCCAATTAACATACAATCTACTGACAGCTTCTCGAAGGTTGAAAACTCTGATTTGAGTTCGTCTGAAATGTATCCCCAGCTTAAGATGTTCATTTTATCATAAGGGGTCATAGTTATGATTTTCAGAAGTATGCCACCGGGTAAGTAGCCCTGTCCATACTGGAATCCAGCCCTGAACCATCTCCTTTAGGTCGCCAAGCAGCGATCGGACACCCGCAGTGGTCAACAGATCACAACAACCACAAAGAATAGGCCTACTACATTTCATTGCAGAGTAGCTGCATGCAAGAGACAACCCCTCAGTGCGCATGCATAGAGCCGTGAACCTCGATTGCAGCTCTCTTTCGCCCCCTCCATGTCACATATCATGAGGTCGGCACTACGATCTCGGCGAATATATCATCTTTCCTCTCTGAGGCGCGTTCGTCCGACGTGTCCAGGGAGATCAGCTCATCGCCAGCATGGAAGAGGGATTGCCACGAGCCAACCTGGAGAATCTGGAGATGTCGGGGAATTGCGTGAGTAGATCAGTCCTATTATTCATGCGCTATTCCTCCTTCTGCCGTTGCTGCAGCATTATTTGATATTGGTTTTTCTTGCCTCGTGGCAATATGCCGGTCGCGTGTCAGGTTCATGCACCCCAGGTTGTGATGCATGTTGGAGATAAAGTTCTAGAAGTCGAGTAATGACGAGCTTGTATACTCCTGTCGGCTACCGGGTGTCTCACAGTGGTGGCTGCTGCTGTCGCACTTCACGACGAGCCGTGAGACATGGTGAAAGTATGCCATCATCTCACTGGAGGTCTCATCACGTGATTATGTATCTACGTGTCTCAATTTACGTTTTGATTCATTGACAGGAGCATCAGATGTTTACTCTGATAAACATGAAGTATAACACTAACAACTTATAGGTAACCAAATTTCACCGGAGAACTTGAAAGGGAATACAAAGCAGAGGAAGAACGACTTTCAAGATGAACCCTCACTGGGCAAAAAGATGCTTGAAAGTGCAGCAACAGCATTTGCCAGCATTGTTGTCCTCGGAACGGGATTTGGACTTGGAGGTTATATGTACCACAAGTTCTACAAATGGCTTGTTCTCCACAAGATGGAGGGCGCCTTTGAACCAGGCGACCCTGTCCTCGAGCTCGCCGCCATTGGCAAACAGATGCCAAACGCCATCCCGACGGAACAAGGAGACGATCATTGGATTCTCCGAGACGAACAAGCCAAGATCGATGCTATTGTCAATGGAGATGAACGAGGAAGGTATCACCTCTTGATTGGCGAGAAAGGTACTGGGAAATCGAGCATGTTGCTCGATGCTATGCAGAAGATCAATGGTGAGGGATGCAGTATGTTTGAGGCTCATGCAGATTCGGAAATTTTCCGTGTACGGCTGGGGAAGGCTCTGGATTTTGAGTTCCATGAAGACTATATCGGATCGTACTTTTCAGAACGAGGCCCTCGAGACTCTACAGCACTTTTGGATATTGAACGAGCTTTCAACAAGCTAGAGAAAGTGGCTTTGAAGCGACGAAAATTGGTGGGGAAACCTCTTATCATAATCATTAACGCAGTTCATCTTTTAAGAGACGACGAAGATGGGCGGGATCTCCTCGAATTACTTCAGCAACGAGCAGAACAATGGGCAGCAGCGAACCTCGTCACCATGGTCTTCAACAGTGATGAGTACTGGGTGTACGAACGATTAAAGAAGCTTGCTACTCGCATGGAGGTCACAGCCATATCCGATCTCCCAAAGAGCCAAGCGATGTCTGCGCTTTCAAAGTATCGCCAGAAATATTTCCAAGAGGCTCCCGACTCAGAAGTCCTCTCGGAGGTTTATAGTCGAGTTGGAGGCCGTCTCACACACTTGAATCGAGTCGCCAAATCAAAAGACATGCTCAGCACCTGCGATAAGATCATTGACACGGAACGAAAATGGTTCCTCAACCAATGCTGGATCCTCGGTATGGAAATGGACGACGATGTCATGGATCAGCAGAAATATGCCGTAAGTCACCCCTCATCCCCGTTATGACTTATTCCAACTAACATATTCCAGTCCGCAGCAATGGTCCTAGCCCAAGCCCTCGTGCGCCTCGAAAACTCCCTCCCCTCAACCACCTCCCTGGACGACGGTTCGCACATCATCCCTCAAATCCCACTGCACATCGCCCGGCAAATCATGACGCGCGCCGACTTCATCAAAGACTACGACCACGTGAACCTCTTCACAATCACCTCGGAAGCCTACGTGCGCGCCGACTCGGTGCCGATGCAGCGCGCGTTCCGACAAATTTGCGGGGAAGAAGGCTTCGATGAGCATTTGGAGAAGACGCTGCAGAGGATTAACGATATTGAGAGTTTGGGGCGCACGAGGGAGGTGGTGGCGAAAGATTTGGTGTTGGGCGGTAGGTATAAGTTTTTGATGAGGGAGGGGGAGAGGAGGGGGGAGAGGGTTGCGGAGGTTGTGTTGGAGGAAAAAGAAGAGGAGGAGGAAGGGGGTGGTGGGTGAGGGATGTATGGGAGAGTGATGATTGTAAGACATTTGTATTTGTATAGTGAGATGTGATTGGCATAGACTTCTTTGCTTTGTTCAGTCTCCAAATGCTGTCTATCTATAAACATTTACTCCCACGAATCACGTGTCAACCAACCCCTTTTCGCTGCCGGACCTTGATGTGGGGAAATCGATGATACCTAGCAGGACTTTGAGAGACGAAAAACTTGGTGATAGGTGGTGACATTGCACTGTCCTCTCTGTCTGTGGAGCTAGTAACTATTGCTACTAAAAAGCAAAGGATAAGAGAAGTAGTGTACAAACAAGCAAGCCATTCCGAAAGCATTCAAACAATTCACCATCAAAAGTCGAGTGCTTAAACCATTTTCGTTGATATGATCTCCGCGATCGGATCAAGGAACATATTGTTAGTTTTCGATTCACGCACAACTCACATGTCCCCCCCTTCCTTGATTAAGTGGAGCCAAAAAGGTATAAAGTCTTCGCATGATCCGCTAGTTTTGATCCGCTATTCAAACAAAAGGTCAACGAGAGCTATGATGCCGGTTTTGTCCCGGAGACATGTATGCAATGCTAGCTTTGCCCCCGGGACATGGGGATGTTTGGAGGGTTGCGGTGCATGTAGCGTTTTCAGCTGCTCAGTGTTTGGGTGTTGCAGATGTAGAGAGTTTGGGTTATTGCTGTTGTTAAAAGTTGTTTCTTGTTGTCAAGAGTTGTTTATTATTGTCAATATTCTCATCTCCGCCGGAACATGAGACTTTTCCTTGCATTCACAAAGACTCCTACCCCAGCCCCCGGGCTCTAGTAACTAAGACGCTTTAGATCTGCAAGCCATCGAGTAAGTACTGGTAGTCCTCCACTGCTGTCTTGTTTTCTTTGTATGCATGTGAGTGTCTGTGTTGGAGTGTTTATATATACCTCGATTGCAGTCAATGAATATTGTGAACGAGCTTTTGAGTCATGGAGTAACGAAAGCATGATTTTCTTACAATTCACCTTAAAATTACGGGCTTGCTTCACTTATGCGGAGCGAAATTGGAGAGAGAAAGGTACAAAGTCCTCCCACGGTCCGCGACTTTCACAGTTACTATTCATACTGAGAACACCAACCAAGAGGACAAAAGATTGATCCTGGCTCAACGAGGTCAATATGGCCTGTCTATGACAGAGACCTGTAGAGTTATAATGTGTCGAAGTCCAGTTTTCTAGTGAGAGAGTTGGAGTACAATCAGAAGCAGCAATTGATGAGCATCGAGACAGCTTTCTCGAAATTTGCAATAATGCTGCGCTGATTGCCGGAGAGTTATTACGCAAACTTAATGATTTGAAACTGAAAGATGGAAAGAATCGTGTATGGCAAACCTTCAGAGCTGCAATGAGGACTGCATGGTCGAAAAACGAAATTTCGGCGTTGAGGGAGAGGTTATCAAGTCTTAGTGAGTCTTTGATGCCACGATTACTGCTTGAGATGGGGTAAGTAGGAGCTTTGGGAGACATGTATCACCATCTTTCGGCTAACCTTTGCTAGGGGGATCATCGATGCAACCGGCCTTTAGTTGTTGACTCGATTCGACACTTTAGACACGCAGACGAAACGAATCCTCGAGGCCATCCTGAGCACAAATGAAAGCTTGACACAGGAGGTTGTCAAGTCTCTAGCATTGCTAATATGCCGATCGGAATCCATCAATGAGAATGCACACCACAGAACCCGTCAAATGATTGCAGATTTGAGGAAAGATATCTGTTCTCATTTCTCTACCATGGACCTTATTACAGCTAGAGTCAAAATGCTGAATGTCAGGCCTGAAAAGGAATCTCAGCTGCGGGACTTCGTGAACACAACAATTCTCGAGCAATTATCCTATCCTCACATGACGAATCGATACGAGGAAATACAGGAAGCGCACTCTAAAACATTTGACTGGATATTTTGTGGTGCAGAACAATCGGACTTGCCGTGGAATAACTTTGTAGAATGGCTAAGGCAAGATGCCAATATATACTGGATTAACGGCAAAGCAGGTTCTGGAAAGTCCACTTTGATGAAACACATTTATGACAGCAGCCACACGGCCAAGTACCTCCGGGAGTGGAGTCAGAAGAGACTGTCTAGTCAGTGTTGCATCGCAACCTTTTTCTTTTGGAACAGCGGAACAGACATACAGAAGAGCCAGCAAGGACTTCTTCGATCGCTATTGTTCCAAGTCCTTGGTCACAATCCCAATCTTATCCCTCTTGTTCTCCCTGCGCAATGGGGAGAGCATTATGACAAACTACCGACTCCTGAGCACCAAATCAAAACCAAAATTTGGTCACTTCGAGAGCTTCATGAAGCATTTGAGAGGCTTATCGAGCAACAGCAACATCAAATGAGCTTGTGCTTCTTTGTGGATGGCCTTGACGAATTCAGCGGAGACGCCGAACAGCTTTGCATGTCTTTCAAGCGACTAGAGAAGAGATCGGGGATGGCAAAATTCTGCCTATCAAGCCGACCTTGGGTAGCATTCCAGGAAAATTTCCGGGATGGCCCTAAACTTCGACTGCAAGATCTCACATTCAAAGGCATTGAGATTTATGTTAGAGACAAACTCCAAGGTAGTCAAGCTTTTATGAAGCTAGCAGATCGAGATCCACAGCTTCTTGAATTTCTGAAAGTCGAGATCTTGGAAAAGGCACAAGGGGTATTTCTCTGGGTCAAGGTGGTTATCGAACAGCTTTTGCGAGGTGCCAACAATCGGGATTCCATTGCCCAACTTTGGACACGCTTAAGGTCATTTCCAGGGGAACTATACCCCTTATACAATACCATATTGACGCAGATAGAGCCTGTTTATCTTGAATGGGCATCAAAAACATTCCAGATAATGAGAAGGACGAGACAACTGGGACTTGATCCCTTCCAAAAGACACCCGTAACAACGACCGTGAAATTCCCAGACTTTCTCGAAGCTCAACAGGCTCCTCCAAGCGTTAGTGCTCCTCCTCTAACTGTGGTATCCCTCTTGGCTGCTCTCTGCGACGACGAAGAATTAGAACAATTTCAAGAGATGTCAAAAGAAGAATTGGACATGATGTGTGAGGATACACGGATCCACCTCACTGCACGGTGTGCCGGGCTTCTAGAAGTTTCCGTGCCGAAGGCTTCGACCACGATCTCTCAAGGCTCCACGATAGTCTATATGCACCGCACCGCTCGCGATTTTCTGGAGCAAGAGTCACAATGGTCCAGGATTATCTCTTATACCAGACAATCAAGATTTTCATCAGATCTCGCAATGTTGAGAGCTTCGGTCACTATGCTCATGTCGAAAGGCTTCTCGCAAATCAACACGTACACAGGGGAGCCTTCCTGCAGTATTGCGCTCCTTGGCATGCCCCAGCACCAGAAAGTCTTTAAAGTAGGCTTCAATTTGGATCATCTTCGAACTGCAGAGGATGTTGTCATCTATGCGCACTACGCTGATGACCATGTTGGATCCATCAATGAGCAAATAAAATACCTTGAGGTTTACAACACATGGAGAACAAGCTGGATCCTACAGCTGCCGCATATCACGGCGAACTTCAAGGACAATAATTGGTTGCTAGGATCCACAATTCTCGGCCTGTCGGGTACGTGAAGAGTATCTTGAGGAATCAGAACAAAAGAGAGCAGCCTGAGGTTTCGAGGGCTCTTTTGCACGCCCTCTGTAGCTCGGAGTATTTTGAGCCATCTGTCCCATTTCCAAGAGGCAAGATGGTGCGTGTGCTGCTCGAGCTCAGCTCAGATCATGTGTACAGTCTACCGCACGCTCTGCCTAGACTCAAAGCGGGTCCTCTATGGCCCGCCGCTCTTGACAGTCTGGGAAAGGTTCAAAATTCTGATTTTACAACAATAATCACACCACGCTGAGTGGAGAACTACGTTGCGGTGCTTGAAGCATTCTTGGCAGCAGGTATTGATCCCACGGACATTTGCAGCGAGGTCCCGCTAGACTACCCAATATGCCACAAAAGCTTCGAACACGATCTCTTCCATGAACTTTCGTCATGGAAAGGTAGAATGAAGGCTAGTAATTTATTCTCTATTGGAAAACTTGTGTTTGATCGCTCTGTCCTTGCTCACAGGATGAGCAGGATAACTTCAAGGAAAAGGAAACTCAGAGATGAATCAGAGGCAGGGGAGTCTTCCGGTCAATCAAAACAAGAAGGTGACAACGGTCAATGCCTTGAATCCGCTACAAAAGATAAGAGGCTCAAACCTCTAGCACGGGGTGCGGTATTCGATCTATCGGACGACAATGACGTGATATTTTTGGGCGAGAGACCTGTGCATCAGCACCAAAGGGTCGAAGTCAAGGAAGAGAACTGAGATCAAGCTCTAGATGTCTGCTAGAAGAGATATTGCAGGTACCAGACAATGATTGAATAATCGTAGTCATTCAAGTTGTTGGGTAATCGCTGAAGATGGTCTAACATCGATCCCAGACTTGCCTATGGGAGGGCCTATGTCTTAGACTGCCTCTGTTTTCTCGTCGGCGCAGTGCTCATCTCTGCGGTACACATAATGTATAGAATCTTGTTCGTGCCGATGTAAATATCTAGAGTGTAAACAAGAAAGAAAGGTCTGTGCTGGACAGGTAAGAGAGGGCTCCGAGAAAATGAGAGAAAGGATGGGAGATGAGAGGCCATTCTTAGATTAGACAGCAGGTAGGTGAACTGCATAAGGGCGGGGAAGCCAAACTTCCTGAATTATTCACTCCGTGTCCGTCTGTGTAATTGTGAAATGAATAGTGGTAACATATTTGGGATCCCTAGCGGACGGAGGGGAGCCTTTTCGGGGGCCTCTCGTCAAAAGTTGGTGATTTTTAGTGGGCCCGGTCTTAGCTGCGCCATGTCGCGATGAAACACACCTGAGCATAGCTGCCCTGAGCTGAACCTGAGCTGAGCCTGAGCAAAGGCGGCGCTGCTCACGTGAGACATAGCATTAGGTAGGAGGAGCAAACATTCTGGTGGGGAACAGTCGACCTCTTCCCCAAAACGATATGGCGCGATTGTTGTACTGTGCTGAGAATTTACTTTAGTGTGTTGTATTAGTGTGTTTATGTACCCACGAATACCTAACTCGAAAAGAAGAAGACAGATCTGTGGTGGGACCTAAGAGCCCGCGGATCCATGAAATTGTGGCCAGCGACGCCCTTTTCTCTACACATGCATCCTCAATAGCACCGGCGGTTTAGAGCGAGAGGATTTATGAGTAGATATAAGCCGTTGTCAAGAAGTTGTGTTCCGCAATACAAGTAGACATCAGCGAAAAGCCACGGAAACATGAGCGGAAAGTGAGGAAGACATCAGTGAAAGGTGAGTTGCGTCTCATCTGTACGAGTATTATTTCTCGCCCCGACTGCAGGTATAATCCAAGAGTAATGAAGACATCAGCGAAGGCTATCGGAGGCATCAGCGAAAAGTGAGGAGAGACTTGCCTGTGGCGCATAGAGGTCGATGTCTAGGTCAACAAGAGGGCAGGAGAAGGGGAGATGAGATGAGAGGGGAAAGGTGAACCAGATCACCAAAAGTCTTGGTGTGTGCTACGATGAGTTACACAAATGTCAAAAACACAATGAGACTGTGAGGCACCAAGGTGGAATTCTTCCAGTTTTGCCATTGTTTCTTCTTAACAGATTACGGAGCGTGAAAGTATCAACACAGCAACACTGGGTGTACAGTAAGATATCCAAACCTTCTGCCTCTCTCGCTCTGGACCTTTATATCACGGACAACTTGTCTTGAACTTGCGGATGGGAACCCAAGAGTTCGTGCTGTCTTGAAAATCTACAGGATATTCCATATCCTCAAGTAATTCGTCTGACTTTATATACTCGTGGATGAGGCAATCACTGATATATAAGCGCAAGTGAATGAGTTTCTGGATTAAGGAGTAAGAGATGAAGACCAGGCGGGTGCGGCGGGATGGGGCGGAGTGAGACGGGGTGAGACAGGTCAGGGGGGAGTGAAGTGGGTGGTACAAATTCTCCTCCCCTGCTTTGAAATCTTTTACAACCAATGACACCATGAAGGAATTTGCCTCGGCTCGCCAGAATTGTTCCGTGATATGCTGTGAAACTTAATACATAATACAACCCTATACGTGTCTCTGTGGTAATCACGGGGGCTTCCCTTTGTCATTACTAGTTCTTATCATCATTCATCCGTAGCTTCCACCTGAAATATATACAGTATTTTGAAGTCCGCATTTGGGCCACATTTTGAAACACATCTAACTTTTTTCTTTTTCCGTTGGCAACAACCTTCGAAATAACACTATTGCAATATTGTGCAGTTGCCTGAAACTTGCTTCCCCTGAAGGTACGGAGGGGGATCCAAGAGCCCGTTCTACCCTCCACACTGACCAGTGTTGTCGGGGTCCTTCCGACTGACAAGATTGACAATGGCAATGGATCTCGTTCCGATTACCAAGAGCAATTATTGTTTGTTGCAATAGATTGTACAGCACATTTAAGAGTGGAACCGCCTTTGGTCCAAGAAGACCACAGGAGATTGACAGAAATAAATCTTTGAAATGAGTGATATTGAGGAAGCAAAGTAGCCTCTCTCCAGAAAATTTGGGGTTTGAATTACGAAAGATATCGTGATGTTCGAGACACGCTTCCAAAGCACAGGCAGAGATCATGGCCGAGCTGAAAGGTCATACCGACGACTTTAGATAGTTTTGGGGTTAGTCGAATATCCATTGACTATGCTCACATGAGCAAAAGTTGGCGAGGAGTCTTGAATGGAATGATCTGCTTTGTCAGGGCTCCATTCTGAGCCGCACTCGTATCTGCAAGTGAGATGACAATGGAGGAGGACTGACGACGAAATCTCGAATGATAGAGCGCGCATCACACAAGAGATCTTCCGTCGGAAGCGGGCCAAGCTAATCTAATACGCGGTTGTTAGGAGACCCGCGCAATACAGGATGGCACATTTGCCTGCTTTACACAGTTAAGTATGGTCACCTGGCTAAGTGTGCCTCGAGGCCATTAAAATGACCATCTAAGCAGGAATTATAAAGCTCTAAACCTACCATGCACCTGCAAAGCCAAAATGACATACGAGAATGGATTGAAACAGTGATCAACCATCGGCTTAAAGAACTCGATCACCTTCATTGGAGTCCGACCTGCTTTTTTTCCACAAGGCAGCCGTGCTCGGTGTGTCAAACACGAAGACATCGTCTTGATTTGACAGCTGAAAATCAAGTCGGCCGACATAAGAGCAAAGTGGTGAAACCTCCCGCCCTTTCCTTCTCAGTAATTATACCAAAACCAATGATTTACTCTTTCGTTGGTCTCGATGTCTGTTGAGGAAGAAGCTTACGTTTCACAGCTGAAAACGAGAAAGATCTGCAAGTACGATCATACTGTATAGACGGAATAGAATCGCGGAAGGAGGGGAATCCTAGTTCCCCTCCCACTGAGCCGCTTTCCTACCTGCAAGTAAGCTCAGGAGACAAGAATAAAAGTTCGTCTTTAGCATCATCAATCTCAGATTATTCATCAGGTGAAGCGAAAATGCTACCCTACATTTACGTCAGGCTATGAAGGAGTGTTACACAACATACCCGCCTCACCCGTAAATCCGAACTTTTAGGTAATGTGCCTGATAATTAAGGGCAACCCGACACAGACCCGACACTAAGTAAGTAATCTTACAATGTCTGGAAAAACTCATCTTGTGTCCTGTGACAAGAAGCCTTCTCAACATTCCCCAAGGACGGTGACACGAGCGAGGATATCACCTATTGCTTACCTTCCTACTTTGTATTGTTAGCCCGACAAGAATCAAGCCCAACCACGATAGAAGAAAGTAAACATGCGATCTAGTAAGAGGATCTCAAATATAAAAGGTGAGATAGAACCCACAGCTTTTAATCTCAACTCTGCACAGCATCATTCAATAGAAGCTCAACAGTCCCTCATCTAGAATAGATACCAACATGCAGCTTCAAACGGTAAATCAACCTCGCAACTTGACTGAAACCATAGAATCTAACAAGAGACCTGCAGATTTTCAGCCTCCTTCCACTGATCTCCTCAGCATACGCTGGAGTATTCATTCAAGGATTCTCTGATGGGTAAGTTGTATCTTCAACCCACACGGAAAGCCAGATCTAATCGTGGAACTTCTTTAGCAACACTGCTACCGCGGGCTGTCAGACAGGCCTCGGAAGTGTTACTATTCCTCAGAATGGAGAATGCGTAGGATTTCCGGCAGAATGGCAAGGCATTCAAGTTGCTGGTGGCGGAAGCAATGAATGTTTCCTTCGCATATTCCAAGATGACGCTTGCCAGGTCGATTCAGAGACTCAAATTGGGCCGATCAATGATCCAAACCTTGGGGGCTGCATCGGTCCTTTTCCTTTCGATGAAGGTGGAAACACTGTGTTCACTGGCATTGGGTCTGGCTCACTTGTCAACTGCCCCACCTAGGGGTAGAAGAATTGGCTAGGGCAATTTTGAAGTGGTATTGTGATGAGTACGGCTCGAAGGTGTGCAACATAAAGTTCGTCCAACACGACTTTGAAGGAATATATAGGAATTATACATTGGAATAATTCCCACCCGTGAGTTCCAAGGTGAAATTAGCGAATAGGCTCCTAGATAATAGTGGCCAGTAACTCTCGGTATTCCAAGCCCCCGACAGCAAAACCTGAAATTATGTCAATCTCTCATTGGACTTGCAATATTAGTTCCAGCTGTTCCATCTCAAAAACTATCTGCTTAGTGTTCTTTTCAAAGGAGTGAAAAACTTCTGTACTTGCGGCATAGAACAAAGAGTCCGAATTTTGCTAGCAAAAGCTTAATGTCTCAACTATTGTAAACACAAATACTGCCCATATTCCGGTAAAACCAGGCTGTACAATCAATTCTAGCTAGTGTACTCATCTAATACTCTGCAACTATTGACAACCTGCACCACATACTGTCGACATCCCTACCATTGTCAGCCATTCCACCGCTGCCAAAATCTCCGATACCGTTGTCAACTTTCTGTTTCATTGCCACTTTGGCTTTCTCCAATATCAGTACACATGCCTATTGCCAGTCCTAAATCCTACCATAACTCCATGAAATCCATGAGACCACAACACAGTCTCTCATCACCACCCACATGCAGCTCACAGAATTGCAAGAGGCGTCTCACCCATTTGTCGCATTCGTTCAACACCACACTGTTCCCAAAAGCGTTAGATCTGGCAGATTATATACCTCCCTAGAACCCAGCTGGCTGAAAAGTCGAGGACTCAGGCAATCTGAAGTGATGTACAAGGTGAATGATTGTCGGTGGTGAGTCGTTGATGAAGGAGAAGAACACGTGCGGCGTCACTGCCGCATTTTGGAACGACATTAAGAGTGAATGTTCGTCCAGAATGATTCGTTGAGCGAAAAGTAGAGGTGGAAATTCTATACAAAGGACTGAGTTCTGGCTTTGTAAAATGCAAGACCGAGGATGGGCCGGACCCTCAACAGCACAACTTTCTGGGCCCAGGGTGTCAATGGGTAGGTAGGAATTTTTCAGCACTTAAGGAGCGGAACTCGGGAACTTGTTGATCGTTTGATTCTTTGCTGGGGTATGATTTTGTGTTGAAAATGCAGGAATTCTTGGTAGCAGAAGTGCTGTTGACAGTGAAAATATTGCGGCATCATATCAAACAGACCATGTCCGCAAAGATTCTACTGCTACTAACGTCATTTCACATCTATCAACCTGACACGTGCTGCGTCCGGAACTGAGAGTCAACTTCCTGAGAGACACAATGATATGGTTTAGGATAGGAGAGGTTGGACGTTTATACTCGCGGGAAAGATTCGAAAACGCGCAATATCAGCGTATAGTCATACAGCCTTGAACTCTTAAGTTTTGTTACAGTGAATTAGATGTTCGTTTTCTCAGCTGCCTGTACACTGCGCAATTTTCCAGTGAATCTGACGGAGAAAGCTGTTTTCACTGAACCTCAGAATTCGGAAAACGGAATGGATCCTTCATCTATAAATACGAGTCAAGGACACCACAAAGCCGTCTTCCCCATTCACGCAAGTTGACCTAGAGCTCCTAGGTCGGGGCCCGTTGCAGGGAGGTCGGAAGAGAGCGTCTACTGTGTTCATTATTAACAAAGCCGACATCTAATGCTGAATTCTGTGTGCAATCTTGATAATGCAAACCTTTGCTGAGTGGAACCTCAAACAGCGAGCGTATTGCTACTTGACAGTGGATTAGTTGTTGACAGTAATACTATTCGCACTCTCTGTGCCAGCGAACGTACTAGTGGAGCACTCGCCACAAGCCGGGTCGCCACAAGAATCTTCGAATCGTTGTCGCCGGGCCAAAGGTCAACACCAACCCACTGCGGGAAGATTAAAGTACGGTTAGATAATATGGTTTCGAGATAGTGGAAGGGCTTCAATATATATAAAAGACACAGCAGGAGTGAATCTAGTGTTGAGGGAAAGGGCATTCGAAGCTCGCCTTGCCAAAGCAGTATCTGGCAAGTGAATGAGAAGTTTCGAAACGCGTTAAATGCACAACTGAACGAGTGAAGGACATAGAAGGAGACGCTTATAAACATACGCCTAACAACTATTCACTTACTAGCGTGAGCAACGTTCTTTGTCCGAGTGTGGGGCAAGTGCGGGGGGAAGAGTCCTTGAAAGCAAGCGGACGCTAGCTGAGCATCACCCGCTTCAGGGCCTTCAGCGTCAGGGGCAGCCTAAGGTTTAGCGACAAGCCCTAAATTTCGGGCTTGAGAACCCTGTAGCCTGCAGCGACTTACATTAGAATTGAACTTGCTGAAAATCACTCTAAAATCTGAAGGACACCAGGGATTGTTCCATTGGTTTCTCGCCAAGCTCAACTCCGTAACAGTTACTCGAACATAAGAGAAATCTTTTAGGACCCCATGTGCTGTACTTTTGCAGTACTTTTCTCCTTCCACATAACTCCGACCGACGCCGATTTTGGGGTCGTAAACCACTTTGAAAGATCATTTTCAATTTCCCTGCTCTTTAACGAAGTCTTCCAGGATATTGCCAGCCTTCTCAAGGATTTTGCTACCTGTTCCATCGAGCTTGAGTTCCTCAGCGGCTTTGGAGCTTAGGAAAGCGGCAATAATCACGTATAGTCCAACGGACGGAAGCTGGGATCTATATTCTATCAGTATGGGAGATACATGTATGGGTGTTTAAGATAAACATACTCGTTCTTGAAGTACATTGGTCCAAAATGCTTCTTCAGATCAGCATCCAACTCGACTCTCAAACGACGCAGCAGCTCAACACTTTGTTGATGCATGCGAAAGTAGTTGAAGTCAATCTTTGGCAGCTCAACAGGCATGAATTGCGTGAGAGCTTCCAACAGCTGCAACGGGGTCAAGTGCTTCGTAGTAGCCCATTCTCTTCTCAGGGCTTTGTTCTTCGGATCTGATGCCAGCTCGGTTGTCTTAGCTTCTTCGTTCAGAAGCTTCTCCACGTTTTGAAGACTGAACACCCTGCCGCCACGTCCTTCGAGATCGTCTCGAAAAAAGCTCCCAAGTACAGTATCGTCTTTCAGGCCACGTGCACCGTTCTTGGAAATCGGAAGTGGTCTATTGGGTCGACGATTTTGCGCAAACGCAGATGCAGAGTATCCCACAACTAGACAGATCTGTCTAAGAGATTCTTGGACGGTCTTGGGGGCGCTGCCTACGAATACTCTCGCTTCCGTGTGAATGGCGATAGCTTCTTCCATCATTGGCCAAGGTTGTACAGGATTCTCCTTCTGTCGAAGAGCATTGTAGAACTGTGCAGGATACGTAACTGTGCGGTATGCATTGCACAGGTTGACTCCCCCATGATGAAGTTCCAGAGTAGCTCTGAAGGCAAACATCCCGCAAAGAATTGGTTGTCCTTTAAGAAGGTAAAAGCGTGCGGTCTCCCCTGGTGCGATGCCGTCGACCTTTTTGTAATACTTGGACTTCAAGGGGAATACAACATCTTTTAGAATAGTTTCTGCGACACCTAGAGGAATCAGCATATACTCAGACTAGCACATCGTGATACTGACCTTCTCGAAACTCGCGAAGCATTTCTTCGTAGGATTTTGGCCAAGTTCTTGGAGCTGGGATCGATTTTGAGAATTCGAAATACCCGTCCAACGTATTCTTCACATGGTTTGCCACCACTTGAAGCTCATCAAAAGCAATGCTCACCCGGCCTCTCAGAGTCTGATTGATGTCTAGAAAGACAGTCGTGGCAAATGTCAGCCAGATGGGGATCTGCTTTGTCTCGATCATTTTGACCAAGCCCCGAGTGAGCTCGTCAGACGCAAAGAGGGGGATGTGGAATCTTTAAATGAATGCGAACTCGGGGAGTATTTCGAGAAGCAGTCTATTGACAAATCAGCATACGCTTCTGAGAAATATCTAGGAGCCAACAGCTCATTCAAAGGGGTTGAAATTCATATTCTTTGAAGAGTGGCCCCAGGAGCGAGTGCGAGGGTGCTAACTCCTAGGACGGGTGCAACCAAGGACAAAATTTGACGTACACCATGTCTTCCCGCTGTCGCTGTATATTTGCTCTAGGATCATAGACTCCAGAATTGCCTCTCTTGATCAGAGGAACTTCCTTTGGTTGCAAGATGGCGCAGAAACTGTCAAGAATATTGTGGGCTGGGGCAAACATCCAGTGAATTACAGAATCGTCTATCTCGAGCTCGAGGTCTTGATGGGAGTTTACGGCGTATGCATTCATCACCGCTGCGAGGATGCCTTGAATCTGTGAGCACGGGATCTGGGAACATGATATGAGAAGATAGAAATTTGACTTACTTTTTGATAATCTCCACATTCAGGATATGCCACAAGAATCTCGTCCTGCGTGCGAATTGCCAGCTGGAAAGCTGCATTGGTTGTGACAGAGGCAGTGATGAGATTGATCTTGCCGGCATTGAAGCCCACAGCTTCTGTATGAAAGAGCGCAGACGCTGGAGATCGTCGAAAAGACAGAACAAAGCAAATAGATTTTCTTCCTCGATTTGTTTCTCGGTCTTAGGTGGCTCAATATCATAGACTGGTCCAACAGACACATTGGAATCATTAGATTCTTCTGCTCCAGTATTCTCAAGAGGCTCTTCAATTTCTAGACTTGCAAAGCGATTTTCCAGATCCTCGATACTTCTCGACGGCACGACATCCTGTTCGACTGCAGCTGCAGCGGTACGAACTGCGAAACATGGTTGAAGGGCCATGATGACCTCTTCCATCAACGAGATGAAGTAGTTGTGGCCTTTATTTGCTTGCTTTGTCTTGACATCCAGATTAGCCTTACTACTGAAATATGCTGCGCTTCTCTTCCTGGCGGACACAGCTCGAAGTCCAGCGCGGATGACATCGGACGGAATGGTGACCAAGGGGTCTTTTGAAATCTACAATGGCTTTGACGAGAGGAAGAAGTTCCTTCAAATCCACCAGCTTCTGCTCTGGGTGAGTATCCTTTGACTTAGTTGAAGGTGCAGCTGGCGGACATCAGATATTAGCCAGGCTCAAAGGAAGGATCAAAATAGGAGACTTGGGACCATCAAATTGAATGGTGCATACCACTAGGTGTCTTCTTTGCTTGCATTCGTGCTTTCCCTTTCAAACGAGGTACCTTGGCCGGTACATTCTCGTCTTGGGTCTCAAGCCCAGCAGCTGGCGTCTTTGAGGCGTATCCGCATGCTTGTCCACTCTTGAATAGCCACTTGATGAAGGTGGATGTATCATACTTGTACCTCTTGTAGGTGCTTTCGAGAATGTTGGGAAGCATCGTCAATGTTTTTGCTGTATGACGTCGGCTCTCAGGCCAGCAACCTGGAGATACACAACCTGTGTCGCACAGAGAGCACGTGATCTCAGGCTCTGGGCACAGCGCGTGCCAGCTGTGTTCTACCGTATATAAAGAGCTTCCAAACCTCACCTCCATAGATCTTCAGACAGAGCTAAATTCAAGATCTTTGCACATATTATTTCTATGCTCGTACAGCACACCAAGCCTACTTCAGGATCCAGTGTGATAACCTGCAGCTGGAAGTATTTCGTTATCCTGAGGTCTTTCTCCAGATCAGACGAGAAGCTCTAGATGGGAATTCAGAACTATATGTTGTAGAACTACCTTTCAAGAGGTTGAGCACAGATTGGACAAGAATTGAGGCCCACCTCTGTCGGATAACCCCAGATGCCTGCATCTGCGCTAAGACTAGAAAGAGTTAGCGCTTCTTGTCTTCAAGATCACCATGATGAATAACCAAATAAGCAAATACTGATAAACACATGCATCCTATCCCCCTTGTGCAGTAGTGTTTTGTTGCGAAACACTTTTTTCTTTTCTTTCATCAACAAAAATATGAACTCGGCCGCTATATCACGAGCGTCTTTGTCATGAGCAATACCTGGGTATTATCACCGCTTCATGGGAGAGTGAGATAAACAAATCGTGGCTCCGGAGCAAGTAAGCATCTCCTGATAGGTTTCTACCTGCAAGTTTCAACTCCAACTTGAAGATTCCGCAGAATTTCACGTGATGTTACTCCTCAACGAGGGAGGCTGAGCCTGCAACCTGTCTTCCTCTGGTCAAAGGAATCATCCATTAGAGGTGAAAGGTATCTGGAGAGTGCCTGCCGTCAATGGGTTTCAGAGACAAGCTTCAGCATCCGCAGGAATTGACAGGTCGTGATCGCAATCAGCTCCGGCGTCTCGCACTACTCCAGACTGAGTTAGTGCCTCTCTACTTCCATGTACTTCCTCTCTCATGTGTTTGTCAAAGTACTTTTTTGACGAAGTCCTCTGTGGTGAAACGCTTCCTTGGAGAAGCAAGTTTCAGCGTCTCTGACTTGATATATTGGATTGGGTTTTGGATTTAGTCTCATGCCGGATGCTTGGATGCTTTTCGTTTGTGAGATGGATGATTCAAAAGATCTAACATAGGTTTTATTACGTTCCAGCGGGAATACAACCAGTTGCAGTACAGTACTCGTACAAGGTCAAGGGCAATGGCTCCTCGCTTGTAAAGGGGGCCCATACGAGTCATCATATTGATCGTCCGGGTGTCGCTGCCACTCCTCCGGAACACGAGGTCTGCCGAAATTAGTCTGTTGGACTCTGGATCGTTGTTCTTGTTGAAGGCAAGGTTTAGAGTGAGTTATGAGAAGGTAAGCTTACCTCATCATCAATTACCGGCTCCGTGGCCACTTACGTAGCGTAGTCTACAATTTCTCGATCACTGAGATCGATTGGCCCAATAGTGCGACTTCGATTGGCCCACAGTACGAACTACGATATTATATCCCGACAGTTTGCCCCTTTGGCAATTTATGAATACCCTACCGAGCAAACGCGAGATAGTCGATAAGGCTGATACCCATGTCAGCACTATGTGCATGGTGGCGGTGTTAAAGGCTTTAAAGGCCGTCGTTGATTCGCTCCAAGCCCGCTTTCGCTCTGCGCCCTACAAGCCCGAGGAATTCTCTTCCACTTAATTGCCCACGGGTACGAAGTTGACAGCAAACGCCGTTGTTCAAGAACGCCGAAATGCAGGACGAAGGAATCGAAAAAGAAAATTTCCAGACGCTGCTTCGACAGCCGCCCCTGCCATTCTTCACCGCTGCCAACAACAACCAAAATGGACGCAAGCCAGTGTGTCTCCCTGTTTCAGATGCTAATGCTCGAGGTGACTAAGAGCTTGGAGGGCGCGACATTAACTGTTTGTGGTTACCCGAATAACCCGAGCCCACACATGTTGGGGTCCTCGACCATTGAGGCTGAACAACACGTAAAAGTCTCAACCAAGCAAGAAATGCTCAACGTTGCATTAAACTCTCTTCCCAGTAGTTGCTGCATGAGCCGACATGTAAGCACCATTGTCTGTACGCGCAGGCATAGCTAGAGCTATCTGGGTATGCATGAAGATCCGTATACACGAGCGGCGTGAAGGATGCGTTAATAAAATGAAGCTTCCCCCTTCTCACTGAAGCTCTCTTTTGCTCACTGCAATCTCAACTTCTCTCTTCATACCATCTCAATATAGATCTATCTTCTTCGCAATGGCTGCAAACGGAACAAACGGATATGCGCACACAGGAGCCCCTCCTATCAACTATGCTGATGTCGAGACCAAGGGAATGATAGCATACCGGGCTCCATCCCTTCTTCAACCTCATCGATTCAGAGAAGCAATCAAAGATGCTCACGATGGAAAGATTCGTCCTTTAGTCGCCTACTTCTGTGGACTTTCATGTCCACCTATTGCCAAGGTCATTGCTCAAATGGGATATGACATGGTGGCCGTTGATTGGGAACACAGTTCTTGCAACGTTGAGACCATGACACAGGTAAGATACAGTCAGCAAGCTCTTATCATTTAGTTCTAACTGGACATTAGATGGTCCACGACATCCAATTCATGAGTGAAGGCAGAAGCCATGCTCTCGTCCGGTACCAAACCTCTACCCTCATATTTTCAGGCAGTCTCTGACATCAATCCAGTGTCCCAGGCCATGACCACGCCGCCATCGGGTATGCTCTCGACGCCGGTGCCTCTATCATGGTCCCCCAAGTCAACACCGTCGAAGACGCCAAGCACATCTGCTCCGCCGCCAAATTCGGCGCCATTCGCAACGGCACACGATCTGCGCCTCCCGCCCGCTTCCTTCCCGGCATCTCGGACATCGGCTCTGACCCATCACTCGGCTGGCACGAAAATGCCAACAACAATGCCGCCGTCATGATCCAAATCGAAACCTTGGAAGCTATCCACAACCTCGACGATATTTTGACCGAATGCGGAGACCAGATCGACGCTGTCTGGTTGGGGACCCTCGATGCACGAGTCTCGATGGGGTTGCCTGCCAACGGCGGAATGGGTGGTACGGAGCAAGAGTGGCTTGATGCTGTGGCGGTGTATGAGAGTACGATGGCCAAGCACAACAAGCCTGCCACGGGGTTCAGCATGGGTACACCTGAGCAGATGGAGAGGACTGCGAGGGGTAAGTGTCTCGTTGTTGTTGGAGCTGAGTTTTATGCTGTTATGTTCAATTGTATGGAACAGCTTGGCAAGTACAGAGCGTTTTTGCCCCAGCAGAACTATAAGGGGGTGTACAAACAGCTGTAAAATACGAAGAGGTTGTATTAGATAAATAAGGCGTTTCAGGTATCGATGATATAGAAATAGAGAATACTATGATTCACTTGAATCCTTGATGAGGCCCTGTCTTTTGTTTCTTTTCAGAAAACTCCCTGCCTTCTCCCTTGGTTTTTACATAAAGCCCTCTCTCTGCTCAAAATCCTTTAAGCACAACTTGGATTTTGCCGTGAATTGATTCGACATTAAAGAAGTTATAAAGTTTAAAACAAATCTTTACCTCTGAGTTACTCCGCCGTGTCTTTTATAGTCCTCCGTTGCGCTGCGGAATTCAGGCCCCGGGGGCGTTCAGTTTTGGTGTTCTACCACGCGACACTTTTTTTTTTTTTTTGAGGGGCAAATCGCTTATCGTTAAGGTTTAACTTAACATTATTTCCTAGTCACAAAAGTGGCGGGCGTTCGAGTTCCCCTCTGTTCAAATCTTTTGCTATTTTGAAATTATTTTTAGAATACATACATACATGTTTCATAATGTTAATAAACATACCAAGCTAGTCAGCTTCTTGAAAATCTAGAAGCCGCAATCTTAGAAACTCTATTATCCTTAATTTTCATTCTCCAAACTCTAGTCCACTCTAATTTTTTCCCACTATTCCCATGGAACACATTCGCAGTATTCGCGTGCTTTGTTGGTCTTTGCCTCGTTGTCAGTCGGAGAAAGACTAGCCTATTTCGGTACGCGAGAACATTAAAAAGTCCGTCACTCAATGCCCCTCCCACAGTTCAAAACTAATACCGCTTTCAGGTTTACTTCTCAAGAAGTTATTCATTTGTTAATTGACAGATTTTATGCAGATGATTATTCTGGTTAAAAAACTAGTTGTCATGCCATATTTTCAAGAAACATTCCTTTTTGCAACACAAGGAAAACTTATTGTCAACCTCACACCCATTGTCAACAACTCCCCACATGCTCGTTCTCTTTCTCCCTCCTCTCCATATTTTGTCTCTCTTCACGCAAAAATCAGCATTCTGTCCCTGTCCACCGCCATTTTCAACGTCACTCGGTCAACATCATGATTGAAGGCCCGGACGACTTCGATTACCTCGTGTGGGACAAGAATGACGAAGAATGGGAGATAGTGCAGCCGAAGCTTCGCCAACGATCTACACTACACGCTGTTGAGGACCTCGGGACGGCGAAGTTTGGAAGTACCGCGAAATGGGTTAGCCCCATGAGTATCGGAGGCTATAATATCATATACAGACTCAAAGTTGAGGGGTTTGACTCTGAGGTCTTGGTTCGACGACCTATTCCATGTTACGCCCAATTTCCTGTTGAGAAAACCTCTATTGAGGCTGTGACAATGATGAACCTCAAGAAGCACACCAAGATCCCGGTCGCTCGGACTTTCTTTCATGGTGAGGACCCGAAATTGGGATCATTCATCATTATGGAATATATCGAGCACTCCCGGTGCATGTCTACAGCTTACAATGCTACAAACGAGGATGTTTCCAAACCGTTCACATTGAACCCCGATATTCCCGAGGAAGTCCTTCAAAACCACTATCAGCATGTAGCAGCATGCTTGCTCGAACTTTCGCAACACACATTCCCTCGAATCGGATCACTGGTTGAGGTCAACCCGGGTACCTTCTCGATCGCAGCAAGGCCTGTTACGAAGAACATGAACGATATGCTTCAGCTTGCAAATATTCCAGGCGTAATTCTCCCACCGCAATTGAAGACCTATCAAACCGCTGATGAATATTATGTATGACTTGCAGAGATGCATATTGCTCAGCTCGTCTTCCGGCAAAATGATCTCGTCAGAACGGAACAGGAATGCAGAAACAAATACGTCGCTCGACAACTCTTCCGCAGACTCGCCAGGGACGGGAAGCTCTCCAAATTTGGTTTCAAAGAGGACAACTGGTCGGCTCAATCAAAAACCAAGAGCATGAAGCTGTCCTCAATGCCTTCGAATTCCGATTCATTCCGTCTTTACTGCGATGACCTTCGCCCATCAAACATTCTCCTTACTGCGTCGGACGCAATAACTGCAATCATTGACTGGGAATTCACATATGCTGCCCCAAGTCAATTCTCACTGGACCCTCCGTGGTGGCTGCTTCTCGACACACCCGACCAATGGGACGCCGGTCTTGACAACTGGATCACACTGTATGAGCCGCGCCTGGAAACCTGGATTTCAGCCATGCAGAAAGCCGAAGAAGACACAAAGTTGAACGGCGGAATCGCTGGTGTCCCATTATCTACGTATATGCGAGAGAGTTAGGAGACGGGCAGATTCTGGCTGACATATGTTGCGCGGAAGAGCTGGGCATTCGAGACTATATTCTGGAAGTATCTGGATGAGAGGTTCTTTGGCCCACGTGAGCAGGGACTCCCGAGGAATCACTACTGGAAGGCGAGGATTGATCTGTTGAGCGAGGATGAGAGAAACGCGATGGAACCTTTTGTTGAACAAAAGATGGAGACCAGGAAAGAGCGGAGATAGTGGACTGGGGCCCAGAAGCCGCCAAGGGTCGCTTTGCGGAGATGCTCTTTGATTGAGGACAAAGAACAAAGCACTTCAAACTAGACTCCAAAGTCACTCAACCTGACACTATTGAATCCACAAGCTTCTAGAATAGTTAATAGGTACGACCTCTTTCTCTCTCACTCTTGGATCTTGTGATCCAAGTCCTAGCCCAACCACCCCCAACAGTTTGTCACGGAAAGCCGCCGGATCCTGAATCAGCGTGAGCTGGAGAGCATGAGCTGGGAGTTTAAATGAGAGTCTGAATTGGGAGCATGAGCTGGGAGCATAAGCTGGGAGTTTGAATTGGAAGCATGAGCTGGGAGTTTAAGTGGGAGTTTAAATTGGGAGTATGAGAGCTGGGAATGGGAGCTATACCTAGGTATTAAATAAAGGAGAATATCACTTGACTTACATATGAGCTTGAGTGAAGCTTAAAGATGAGGAAGCAGGAGGAGGGGACTCAGGGCTTATAGGAGAAAATGCTCGAGCTGACACAGGGTCTCAAACAAGGGCTGGGAGCTTGGACTTCCTCCCCGACCCTCTCCGGCAAGGTGTCCTCCTCAAAAATGAAGCTTTTAATAAATCCTGAGTATTGGTTGAGAACTGAGAGCTAAAATACTAATATGAGAGCTCAATTCAACGGCTAAGCGTGCAAATGTACTAAAAAATCGAGTCTTTATTGTTTATAAAAATAGTATTTTCAAACTCTCAGACTTGGAAATAAAAAGTCAGGAAGCAAAAGCATTAATAAGTCTATCATTCCCTATTATAATATAAAATAGAAGTGAAGTGAAGCTATTCACATGATTATTATATTATATTAATAATATAATAGAAACCTAGGTCGTCATCTCGAACGTAAAATTACTACTTTAGGATAAATTTCCTAATCTGGAACACCAAACTACTCCAAAACACCCCTGCATTGCTTGTCCCCGATAGCTTTCTATCTTTCCAGTCTTTATTGCGGTTCATCTCGCTTTTCAAGAACTAAGAGTCGACAATTGTCACACACCGGGGCACAACCTCTCCAATTGCTGGTCGTCGGTGGTTCCACATATGGTCGTCGGATGATTCAGCTTTACGCTGATAGTCCCTGGCTGATTATATTTCGTTGTCATTCGCCCTATATTTGTCACGTAATAACACTAGGATGTGGTTCGAAAGATGGGATAATGTTTAGAAAGAACGTGGAGAATACAATAAAGGCAGGACCACAAACCGAGTACCCAAGTCTCGACGCAGAAGCTTTGAAGTTCGTTGTAGTGGCTCCGTCCTCTATACCTGTAGGGTGCAATGTTCCGCGGAGAAAAATCCTCATCTATCTCGGTGAAATGAAAGCGAACTCTCGAAGTCGCTGCTTTCACTTGGACATGTGGAGCGTTTGTGATATCCTGGCATATTCGTTTGAGTAGAACATAGGTAGATATAACCCGAACAAAAGGCGCATTTGCTCGAACAGAAAATAAAGTGGGGTGGGCTCCGTTGAAAAATCTTTCATGAGATGCAAAGCCTCAGCCACAACTTGGGTGGTCTCAGTCGCAGCTTCTTAAATACTTCTATATATCACCCATTACTTGATTTCGTAGGCATTCCCCAGTCAGAATATTGTCCTTACAAAATACCAGTCCAATCAACTGGCGCAGATGGCCTCTCGAGACTTGGGCTCGGATTGAAGCGAGAAAGTTGTCCCAGATTATAGACAAAACAGTAGGTAAAAGAATATACAAGACTCCCGAAGCATTTTCACTTTGTTCAAGGAAGCCTCACCCGCAAGCAAACGAGGTTGATAATCGACGGTTTAGAAATAGCAAGCCTCTGAACAACATCTCACTGGCCACTCGCTTAACTTGGTAGCTGGACACGAGTCATCATCGACACCTTCACAGGTTCTAAAAGCCCAAAGGGCACATAGTCAATGTCTTCATAAAAAGCAGCGTTTGTTTGCGTAAGCGGTACATATGCTGTGGTAGAAGTGTTCATTCTTGCTTTCACAGCATTGAATAAAGTAGACGAGACTTCCACACGAATCGTATTCAACCCGTGCACCAGATACTGTGTCATGTCTGCTCTTGAATCGGCAAGATCAATCGGTGGAAGCAGTTGGTCATTGACCCAAGCACGTATCGTGTTTGAAACAGATCCAAAGCTGATGACTGCGGCGACTTCTGAAGGAGAGTAAGAAAAGTTGAATGATGAGGTGTAAATTCCGACGCCGCTGATGTGCTGCAACCCTGGGATCTCGGTCCAAGGCTTCAAGATGTCTAAGGTTCCGACTTCTATAGTGCTAACGTCATTGGCAGTGGAAGACGTATTGACCGAGGGATGGTACGATAGCAAGACAAGCGACCAGTTGCCGATGTTGATTGATGGTATTGGCTGAACATCGATGGCGACTGTTTGTCCATTCGAGAGACTCACTATTCCAGGCCCTGATGCCAGTGCGATGATTCCGGTCCCCTCATTTACTGAAAATCTAGAAATGTCTCCAGTGGTTGCAATAACATGAGTTGGCTGATCTGAAGAATTGTGGAACGCAATGATGGCTGTCTGGTTTGCCTTCAAGTCTAGCGTTGCCGAGATGCAAGTATTGGTGACGTTATACGTTATCAGAGAAGTGATATTCCCGGTCCAGGCGTCCAAAACATACGGCGTTGAGCCGCCGAATCCTTCGAAATCGAATGTCACTAGCTGATCTGGTCCTCGATTCAAAATGAACACCATGTTCAGATCTGCACTGGTAACCAATCTCCACTGCGTGTATACCCCTGGAACTGCCTTCCGACTCGAAATTCGAGGATTCAGCATCAAAGTTTGTAGGTAAGCTGGTAACAAGCTACTGTCGTTGAGTATCTGCACTTGAAAGTATGTCGATAGGAGAGATGTCAGACTCTTAAAGATGAAGGAAGAATTTCCGTCAGTACCAATTCCATTCGTCGGAAGACTTCCGATAAATAGAATTGGTAAGCCTTTGGAGGCAAAAGAATGTAGCTTCTCAGCAGCGTGGCTCGAGATTTGAGTCTGGTTGGAGAAGATGAGGGCCTTGTAAGCTGGGCCATCTGGGGCCAGAATTCCAGACTCAACATAGGCTACAGGTGATAAGAGATTATCGGATGTCAAGTACTCGTATGTATAACCTTCAAATTCAGCAAATGCCATCAGGAATCTCAGCAAAGAGCCTTACCAAGAGCGTTGAGATTATCAGATAAGTAAGCATCCTTCGCCAACCACGGATCCTGGAAAAGATAAAGGGCCAAATCTACGCGTGGAATACCAGTCTGCAAGATCATCTGACACCGCGCCGTATAATCTAGCGAATCTTTCAAATGTCTCCAAGCAGGCTGTTTCTCGTTCCACTGCTCGGTGTATATGTAGTAAAAGGCAGTATATCCCGGCCACGTTGTTCCTGGATACTCCCCCTTGTATGAAAATCCGTGAATGACCATCATATTTACCCCAGCGGCGAAAGAATTTTTGAAAAGGTTCAGAAGCGCTGGTACAGTCTGGAAGTACGATCCCGATTTGACTGCGCCGACATCGCTTGAGATTATATTCCGTTGTTCAAGATGGGCAGGGCCGACGAATTGGCGGTAGAGGTCGATGTCGTCGTTGAAGCCAAGCGATTCAAGTTCTGGGACGTCGGTTATTGGAACGTCAGCGAGCTAGAAAGACATGAAATCAGACGGATACATTTGCGAGTCACTGTGAGATTCCACTTACCATGTTGAGGGGAAGGTTATAGCCAGGTTGGCATGAGTGTTTTATACCGATTGATGATGCCCACTCATTAAAGTGTTGTAGATACTCCTGATAGCCCTCATTCAACGTGGTCTGGTAGTCTCCAAGATGAACACTCTTTCCATCTTGATCATACTGTCCGTACACCCATGTCTCGTTGTACGCGGGTAATTCCTGACCCCACTGGTTGCTGACGTTGAAGAACAAAGGCAAGTAAGGGATGGCACTATATCCCCGAGCGGCTTCAAACTTTTGCAAGAATCCGGAAGTCCAGAACAGCGCAGCTTGTTGCTCCATACTGTCTTCCCAAGCTGCAGACGGTTAGATAGGACTTCGTGTTCAAGACTGGGAGACAACAATACTCTCCAACATCCCCAAGCAAATCTTTTACCTCATCGTAGATGAGATGTTGATCCAGGAAATCAGTTATTCTCCTTGATCCAGCAGCACTGAAATGGTCTACTGTCCAAGATCCATTTCCCACAAAATCTGTCGGATTCACACCGCCGATACAGGACCTCTGATTAGTATATCGTTCGTAAAATGCGATGAGAGCGTAAGAAGAACCGTTTTCAGGAGGAGTCCAGCGAAGGAAGCCATTCACGACTTCGGATGTGAGGTCAATGACAGTTGACTCCTGGAGCACCGTTTCAAGGATGGGGAATTCTGAGTAAGCACCCGCCGCAATCGTGATATTGACGAGGTCACCTGTTTCAATCTTAGTGAAATACAGAGGAAAGACATCAAGAGATGAGAACTCACGCGACCTGATCTCACCAGCAAGGACAGCAACAAGTTTGTCTTCCCCAAATGGTTCGAGGTCCCCCATAAATCCAGAAAGATACCAAAAATCAGCAGCTTTTGGAATTTCTCCATTGAAAGCTTCCCCTCCAACGATTGTATCATGTCCATATCTAAGTTCCATAGCCAAGCCCAGAGTTGCGGGAGTGGATGGTACACCTTGGCCCTGGCTGGCACCAACTGCGAAATCGAAAAGTATTCCATTGTCTTTTGCAGCTTCTAACGCAACCTGGAACAAGTCCCGGAATGCTGGGGTTCCAAATCCGTAAGTACTCCAGTCGTTGGGTGGAGTTGCCGCGCCCACTACATCACCATACAGGTAAAATGGTAGGAACTCGAAGCCACCGGCTCCAACGGAGGAGACGCTGGCTATGTCTCGGCGTAGGAGATCTGAAGGGATACTAGCATCAGGAAGCCTACAATTTATCAGAGAACTAGATGGGACCCATGGAGAATGGATACTACTTACCAGTACCTGAATTTAGGTCGGTATTGAGAACCGGGGGCTGCGAATGCCTGAAGGATTGACCCAGTAAAGTTTGCACTGAGCACTGGAGAAAACAGTAGGAAAGAGATGGAATATAAAAGAGAAGCTGACATAGCCAAAGACGAAAGTATATAAAAGTTGGCAAATGACTGGAAGCATTCCTTCGATGTCCCCAGAAGAGATAAAACCACTCCGGCCATCATGTGTGATACTTATACTCCGGTCGAGATGTAAGGCCGAGCCAATTTTCGGTTTCTCCGGCGCAATCAGACGTGAGGGATCCATTCCATCCACTGAAGGAAAACTATCTTCACGAGTGCCGACGTCTAACTTGAGCAGATGAGATAGACATTGCAAATTGTGCCAAGGATGGGGGGCCAAGGGCGGGCGTGGGGCTGATGTCAGTCGTGCCTCCCAATCCAGCGGCTGATCAGGTCCAAGACAAGATCTACATCAGAATAATGACATCTCGCGTACAAGATAATTAATCAAGAGCATTTCATGGACATATTCATGCCTTAAGCCTGTGGAAGCCGGAAGGGTGGGTTTGAAGAAGTAAGTATCCCGCCCGCACTGGCATGATGCTCCCCCTAAAAAAAGTGGAATTTAGCGAGTACGACGAACACGATGAGAACGAGGGGAACGATAGAAACGATGTGTACGACAAGAGACGGACGCGATGAGAAAGGTTGCTATCCAAGGAGGCTGCGCATTGCCACCTCTTTTCCCGGACTGCCTCTTCGAGCTTATAATGCTCGCTGCTGCCGGGCAGGTGAACACTCACTCCCTCCCTTATTCCTTTGAGCAATCAACATCAAGTCGCATTCTCTCAGAAACGACAGGATGGCCCAATCTAATCCGGTAACACTCTTGCCTCTTCACGGAGCTCTCTTAGATTCTACAAATATGCTGGCCATTCGGGATGACTTCAACGCAGATATAGAGGAATCGGGAGAGTATTTTCTATCGGTCGTTGCACGACTCGTGCGGGGATGTTTCTGGATGGATTAAAATTCACGTTGGCTTAGTTTCGGCTTGCACCGGTACGTGAGGCCCGATTCCCTTCCCGGAGTATTTAAGCGAAAAGTCTAGCCCTTTCAAGAAGCGAATTTTACTTCTGTAGTAGTCTAACTATGTATTTAGATACCTCTTTTCCATACTATATGATTTACACTGGTAACGGGGCAAGGGTGACTACGGAAAGTCGATAGCTATTTGTTTATCAAGCGGCTAACGATATTTAGCGATAAATATAGCCTATCTCAATTTTCAAGAACTTCTCGGTACCTAAGGATCTGCTGATTATCAAAAGCAAGGAGACACGGTATATCTACTATCATAGCCGTTCATTCATTAATCCAAGTGGAACATTCAAGAGTCAATTTAATATGGTTGACGATGTTTAGCAGTGAATATGGCACATCTCAATTTTGGAGAACTTCTTAGTACTAGAAGATTTGTATGTAATTAAAAGCAGAGAAACACGGTATGTTTAGCATGACTTCAAGAGACTCCCCTTACTTCTCTTTTCTTGTTGCATTGCTTATCATATAGAGGATTTGTGACCTTACCCCGGGTCTCTAAGTTTTAACATGTAGATGAAGATATTAAATTGTCAAACAATGCAGCATCATGAGTGTCAGCGGTATTCGCGCGGATTGCGCTGTTGCACCCCGTTCATCGGAATCTAATTCCATGGAATTTTACCCAGTCCATGGAATCCTTAGATTTTCATCGGGCTTTTTCTATGGAATTTAAGTATAATTTTTTTACTTTAAATACTCGTAGCTAAGTAAAGTTTACTTATAAAAAAATATATATTTGGGTCTTGTAATGCCAAAACATTATTTTAGATGCAATAGGTCATGTTCTAGACTTATGGTCGTTGAGAAAAAAAAGTTTCAAAAAGGGGGTGGTAATGTCGAATCTAATGCCGAATCGGGAAAAGTGAGGGGACTCGGCACTTTTTAGCTTGTAAAAATTCTATGGAAAAAGCCCGATGAATCTCTTAGAGTTCCATGGAAATGGAAGGATTCCATGGAATTGGAAAGATTTCCGATGAAAATCGGTATCCGATGAACGGGGTGCAACAGCGCGGATTCCGCAAACACCCCTTTTTCGTCACCTGTAGTCTTTAAGGTAGAACATGATTACTCACCACGTCTCTTTTTCTCTGTCATTTAGAAAATGTGAGACAGGCAAAATGCTTTCAGATCTTTGGTGTCACGGTTATTGGGACGGCCGTGAGAGATAAGACGAAAGAGACTAGGTTGTCGTTGTCAAGATCTGTGTTGTTTGTCGACTTTCGTGCAAAATTGTTGAGTAAGTCAACATTAAATCGGAAGCTGGTGCCGGTGACACAGGCATAGCAGGGCTTCAAATTGGTTCCTGGGTGAGGGACTTCACGAGGATGTCTTGTTGTGGGAGAACCATTTTATACTAGAAGAACGAGGACAGTATTGTCTCGATGGAGAGGGTGAATTCTATGATCGACTCTCTGGTATTGAAAGAATCGTCTTAGCGCGTGAAGGAAACCAAGAAGAGCAGTGAATAGCATGAAAAGACACATATCAACACTAAAGCCTGAATTAGTCTGGAAGATTCACAACACAAAAGTGTTCGAGTCAACGAAAACGCTTTCACTGAGCAGAGAGCTTCATACAATGTGAACGCCTTAATTTGCCTAAGCGCTTGATCTGAGCTAGACGATTTTGGCAACGAGTGCGTTTCACTACTTAACACTTTTTCAAGTATGAGACTTTGATAGCTATATAAACTCAACGTCCAGATATTAACTTCATATGATAACGTCCTGGACAAATACACGAACAGGATTCTGCCAGAGCCCGGAAGCTGTTTATATCCGATAAGCTTTTCTATCACCGTTTCACAAAGTGGATTTCGGACATATAATATCAAGGATTATACCGCACAGCGGCAACTTACACCAAAGCTTTGCAACGGTTGTCCATATACTGAGAATCGTCAACTTTCTCATGAATTTCAGTGAAAAGAAGTGTACCTACCGACGGCAAGAAGTATCTCAGACGAATGAAATACCACTTACACTTCTCACACATGGATTCCTTTCAATAACAGTGAGATCTGAATCTTGTGTCTCATGCTTTGAAGAAGGATATACTGTATAGAGAACTCTTGTTACAGCATAAGATCTACTGAATGTCAGCACGCAAACTATTAAAGTCGATCAAGTATCAGAGGAAATGCGCTTTGAAATGCACAAGACAGTGGCCAGCCCTAGATCCACCAGTCTCAAAACTATCCCAACAACAGCTCATCGAAAAGTTAAGACGGGCCCGTTGTCACCATCTCGAAAATCCGAATTTCCAGCTTTCGGACTTGGACTACCTAGGTAGAGTTCAACAAGTAAACATGCAAAACTCGAACAAGACAGGAATGATCCCGGGACACCAATGGATTAGTTATGTCTCGTAATATGATCAGGTAAAGATTTAGGAAACGGCGGCGTGTGAGGGTCGTTTATGTAGACTTTTCTTGGCAAGTGATGGCTCTGACTCGGACTGTTGAATTTGCTGGCAGATACTCGAGCAGTGAAGCACATTTGAAAGGAAATGCTGTGTTGAATCAAATCCGGATGTTGTATAGTTGCAATTGAAACATGGTACTCGGGATTGAATTTGCAGGGGGATTTTCTATTCTGGGAAGACGGGCATCAAGAAGCTTTGAAGGTTTGAATTAATGAAAGAGCCTTGAAGCGTTTGAAGTTAGACTCCAGCTATAGTGATTTGATTCGAAATACAAGTAAGACATTGGTGTTTGAAGACGTGGATATTCGAGGGATTAATTTATGTCCTTTCCAAAAAAGTATTGAACTAAGCAGAGTTATATTTGCTACACCTCCTTACAGTTACCATTTGAATGCTATCCTCCAAGTCGCTGTACATCTACATGCTCGTTAAGCGGTCGGGAGGAGGAGTGTGCTGTTGGTAGTATTTCAATAAGAGCTTTTTTTTTGGGCTTTTATTCCATGAAACAATGCTGATTCGGAAACAGGTCGTGACGCTTTATTTGAAAGCACGTCTTAAACGTCTTCACCCAGCTTGTTCTCACAGCCTTAGCCTCTTGCAGATACGTACCATGTTAGAAGAATCCACCGACAGTAGATAGAGAAGCTATGAACAGCGCAAACAGAAGAAAGAAGAGCAGAGAGCTTTTGCCGATCCTACAAGCGCCCTGCACGCGAAGCAGGTCGAAAGTCACAATAAGTGCCGTGAACGAAACAACACTTCTAGGTGAGCAAGTTTAGAATAGGGCAACTGGGTGTGGAACAACATTCGGTTTGGAAGTGACTAGAAAGTGCGTCTCGAGTTAAAGCCAATTAAAAATTCAGGTCAACACAAATTTTCAAGTTCTGAGCCAAGTGTCTCTGAGAGCTCCCATGAATGTAGATTTCAGGCTGGCGATGAAGCGAAAAACAGCTCTACTTCCTAATCACTCTTGGCATATGCATACTCCTTTATTTTGTTTGAGTTCAATTTTTCTTCATATTGCAAGTTTTATGTAGCGCCATTTCCTATCTGAACCCAGCATATGCATCCCTATGAATTGCAAACCACCATTTTTGGAAGTCCAACGCCAGCGATGACTCCCATTACCCATATGTAAATAGCCTTATTTTATGTCTCCAACCACCATCCCGGATTAACGTCGCAACTCAAGGCAATCTACCAAGTCGTCTGCAACTTATGATACTCCTTGGAGCTCAATCCCAAGTCCGCAAAGACAGGATCATCCTCCTTCAACCCCTCAACGCGGTCATGATCTTCCTCCTCCAATTTCTCCAGCTCCTCGGATGGCGTCTCCTTCTCGTCATCCTTTTTATCCTTACTCATCTCTTCGGTAGCACGTCCCGTATCTCCCATGCCTTCACCGATAACGAGGAATTGAGTATTCTCGTAGTTGAGGAGTTCAGGCTCAAGTGGCATCCAGCGAAGATTGCGGAACTTCTTTTGGATGCTCTCAGGGTACTGGGCTGGGTTGCTGAGCGTAGCATTGGCAGGACCTGGAGCGTTGGGGTTCTTTGCCGAGACGACTATGTATGTGGTCAGCACCAAGTAGCAAGCGAGCTTTGTTATGCGGACACTCACCATAGCTACCCTTTAGATTGATACCAAGTTCCTTCTGAACCTCACCAATTTTCTCTGGGACAGTAATATGATACGCCAAATGCGACTCTCGGCCAGTGCTGGTGATAGCATAGATACCCTCAGCGAACGGCGTAGCAGCAGGTGTATTGCTGGTGCCGCTGGTCTTCGTAGCGTACTCATTGCCAGCGAACTGCTCTCTCAAATCCTTGATGAATTGATTCGTCTTCTCAACAAACATCAAGAACCGATCCTGCTTGTTCTTCGGCAACATCTTCTTTGGCAGTGCCAACAATCTGGCATTTCCAGAATCCTCTAAGGGACCTTCGCCGATCTTGGCACCGAGCGGTAGAGGACGTAGAACGAGATAGCTGCGAGCGACGTCTTCAATACCTTGAGGATCCTCGACGCCGACTCGGCCGCGGAAGAAGAAGTATACGACGCCTTTCTCTAAGATAGAGGAGGGAATCGCAGCTTCACGCTTCTCATCTGTGATGACAGACTCATTATGTTGAGCGATGTCCTCGGTCTTCTTGTCTTGCTCTTCCTTGGCAGCCTCCTTGACCTCATTGGCATCACCTTTAATCTCGTCAAAAGCGTTCTTCTCTCCATCGTTGAGCCCATTCGCGGTCTTTGACTCGTTCTTCGTAGCATCGTCATTTCCGTTGTGTTCTTGATGGTGACCATTCATGATCTCCTTACTTTCAGACTTCCTCTCGGTTGTGGCATCATCATTGATCTGCTCTGCAACGTCCTTGTCGTCTTCGATTTGGTCGTCGGCGATGTCCATAGTCTCCTCAATGGTCTTCTGCTCCTTCTTAGAGGGACGACCTCGCTTTCGAGGTGGAGATGCTGAAGGTCCCGCGGAGCGCTTGCTTCCAGCCTTGGTTGCAGATTGAGGGGTAGACTTTGCCGAGTCTCGAGAGGATCGAGTTCGTGCCATGATGAAGAGTTTGAGACTTTGTGTTATCAGTAAGAAGACTGTACTAATTTATGAAGTGTGAAGACAGAGGGGTGGTAACTGAATATGCTAGGATGTTTGGGACTTTCGTATACATCAACATGTATCACAATTGAGGAAAGATTTCAAAGTGAATATAGGGGTGCTGAGAAATCAATTGACATGGAAGAGAAGGGAAGCACTTACAATCTGCTCTTGATTCCAGGACTCCTCGAGATGAAGTGGTGACTGAGAAGAAGTGGAGTAAGTAACTGAAGATAGTAAGAAGCTGTAAGTCGTTCACTTGAAATCAATTGATATTATTGAAGTGGAAAGTCGAATGAAGGATGGAAGTGAAGTTCGAAGTTAAGATTGAGTTTGGACGCGTCCATCTTTAGACGACGTCATCGACTCGAGAAGCGCGTCGAGGACTAACACCAAGGCACGTGACCGTCCTGCTTTCCAATTCCCGAGATCCAATTGAAGCCTACTAAAATCCTCTTCCCAAGTCCAGTGTCCGTCTCACAGCTCCTATCCAATTGATCATTCTCTTCGTCATATAACCCGAAACATGTTCTCTTTAACTCCTCTCTTCAAACCGACAGCTTTACCATTCTCAAGCTCCAATCCAGCTACGCCACCATCACCCGAGATACCTTCCAATTTCAACCTCAACTCTTCATCCTTTGCTTCCATTGCACTTTTGCCTGTCTTAGCTTTTTTCGCTTCTGGCTTAGGTTGCTGTGTTATCTGGGTTGAATTCCGTTGACTTGAAGCTTGTGCCTCAGATGCTGGCTGCCAACTTGTGAAAGGAAGCTTCGTATACAAATATCAGATCCATTCATCCAAGATATCCCAAAGGGAAGTACTGACCTTCGTATCTCCCGTGTAACCATGCAAGCCCTCCCAATCTTGCGTACTAAACCTCTTCCTCGCGACTTTCGACACCCCGTTCACTAAAGGTCTTGCTCGTATCGTACTTCGAATCATATCTGCATTTGCTGTTGAGACAAACTGTATGCTTTTGAGATCATATTCATTGTGGCTTGATTAAATTATATATATCAATCGTTAGTGGCGTGATATCATGTTACCGAGCAGGAGGAATGCCGAGCTCCAGCGGATTGGCTCCGAAGACGGTCACATCACGACGTCTGGGAAGACCACTCTTGAGTACGATTTTGCACATAGTCGGATCATAGATGAGGTGCTCAGGAGTCAATAAACGTGTGCTGGCGAGTAAGAATTAAGAAGGATCACGTGGAGTGGGATACTTCTGGACCACGGGCGACCTGGAATCAGGCCGTGAGCTGTTGGATTTCAGTGATTATCTCATGAGAAAAGGAACGCGAATTCATTGGGTATCTTAGACAAACGCATAACTCCATATAGCCATGGAAGCGGCCCAGATCTTCACATCCTGAAATCAGTGTGCTATCCCAGCCCACAATAACTCCCGTGATGCACTATCCTCAATGATCCCCCTATCAATTCGGCTCTCGCTCTTCACTGGTCTTCTTCTCTGCATATCCAGGCAAGAATCCATCCTCATCAACCACTTGAGCAATAGAGACCTTGTTTTTCGCAAGCCACTCCTCGACTCCATTTATATCCATTTCGCAGGCTGGACCCTTCCCAATCAACTTGACGAAATTCATCTCCCTCAACATGTACTGCACGTCGTCCGCATGAATCCACGTCTCTTTCGAGATGATAGATACATTGATGGTCGGCATGCCCTTCTTCTTGCTGTAATTCTTGTTCTCTTCCTCGAAGTTGTTCAACAACCATCTTCCGATCACAGCACCCCAGTAACGCTTGTAGCTTTTTCTGCCCAAGTCACTGATTGGCTTCTCTGGTCCGCCCATGATGCGTTCTCGTCGAGCAATAGAGTAGGAGATACCGATGAGGTTTGAACCGAGACCCTTCTTTTGCCATGGAGGGAAGATGAGGATACAGGCCAGGTTGTTGTTGTCCCAGGACATCTTTTCCTTGGAGAAGAAGCCAATGATTTGCTTGTCGCCGCTTTCGAGATTGGTGTGGACGTATAGGAAGTACTTAAAGGCTTCAACATCGAAGAAGACAGACTTATTGTCAAGGAAGAGCTTCGCGAAGAGAGAGAGGTTCTGGCAGAAGAGCTGGACGCGTCACATTAGCATTGACTCGTAGAGAATAGATCAGAAACTTTACCTTGTCAACTGCACCATCAACTTCCCATACAGTCCATCGTCCCTCGCCAGCTTCCTCTCCCTTGCCTCTGTTCTTCACGTAGATCTCTTGTCCCGGCGGATCATTGTTCTTCTCGCAGAGGTCTTGGTGTGTCTTCCACTCAACTCCATCCATCGAGTACTTGAAGCACTTTCTGCAGATGTAGAGGGTCTTCACCACAATACCTGTGCCCTTTCCTTCCTCTGCCAATGCCAATGCCTTCTCTCCGAGGATCTCTTTGGGATACCATGAGGGATACCATGTCTTGAAGGAGTGGTCAGCGAAGACTACCTCGTCAATGTTGCGAGACAGTGTTCGATCTTCTTTCTCGGCCTTCTTCTCAACTTCTGGGGTAGGGGATGGGTTGCTGGGGCCGCCCAACGACTTGTAAGTACTGTTAAGGCGACCCTTCTTCTTGCGCTGAGATTGTACGGACGCCATATCGTCAAGGATTGCTGCCGCGATAGAGTCCGTAATCTGGTCGACGATTGCTCGCAGTCGTTGCGAGACGCGTTCTGGTATGCGAGGTGGTTCCTTGTTCTCTGGTCTGACGTACTCTGGGTTGCGTTTCTTCTCCCTCTTCGTCTTGAACCTTCCAGCCTGTGAAGCCATGGCAAAAAAAGCAATAGCGGTGTGACGGACGGACCTCGGGCTCAAAGCCGCCGATATTTCACTAAACTTAGGATGTGCCATACTAGACCTAACTAAGCTTAGCGGTGCCAGTCTTCTTTCTGACAACGAATGTCCCAACTCGTGACAGAACTTTTTATGTTCAACATTGAAAGTCACAGAAGGAATTTAGGATCCTACTTATGTCATGAGCATATATGAATAGACCTGGGAAGCTATGTCTGAGATGGATGAGAGAGAATATCTAGACGTGGAAAGTTCCATGCGAACAATGGACAATGGCCTGGTGGCCATGCTATCTCACAGGAAGTGTCCGGCCAAGCATTGCAATTCTACTCTTATACAGAACTTCTGAGATTGTAAAACTGGAATAATCTCAGATGTGTAAGCTTTCCGTAGAACTTCAAAGACTCAAAGGTCGTGAACAGATAAAAATTTCTGGGGTGCGAAGCTCTTGTTGTCTTTATGTCACTCTATCAAAGGACATGATAAAATCCTGATGACCAGGTATCAGCAACAGTGCTTTCCGTGCAGGATCAAATCACTAAAGTACAGTAAGTGATCTCGCTACGTTGTTCAAATATCAACACAAAATCTGTTAGTGTAATGAAGCAATCAAGGTCTACAACAGCACTGTAGACGACATCTACACTAGGAAAGTCTTCACCAGCGAACAGATGTTTGCCACGCCGTCTCTTTCTCTTTCAGAAAGGATCTTGGTACCTAACACAATATCTACATGCATACCTCTCGGCAAAGCCAACGTGGGAAATGAGACATCTAGAAGCACACCAAGACATCAAGCCCTCGAACGCCCATCGAAATTTCACAAACTTTGAGATAAGACAAATAGCGAAACTAATGAGTTTAGCACGGAAACGAAACATTTAGAGAGATTTGGGTTCAAAAAGTCTTTCACAAAGTTTGCTCTCTTCTCAAGACAAGCCACATTCCACGAGCTATGCTTAGCCATCCGTTCTTTGAAGGAAAAAGAATTTCGGAATGGAAATTTGCCCTGTGTACAGTCATGCTCACATAGCCTAGAAGAATCCCATCTTAAACTGGCCTACATCTTTTGTGCCACGTAGGACAATCAGACTGCCATGCACAAGGTGTGGGCGTATCATATATGTCATGAACTGCTCCCAAGTCTAGTGAAGGTCAGAAACAATAAAGCACTCTTCACTTCATTCCGTAGATACGCAACGAGAACATCAGAGGCAGTGAGGACTTCTTCAGAAGCTATGGAGAACTTTTTATGCCTCACCTGATCGTAGATACGCAACGAGAAAATAATCAAAAGCAGTGAAAGATGGAAAAAGTACAAAGCCTTTTTCCACCATTCACCTAATCTGTAAATATACATTGGAAAGAAAAAACCCCTCCCTAACCAAATACAGTCAAGTGCTTTACCCCTCATCTCGTAGATACGCAACGAAAAGACTACAAATAATAGCGGCTTTTTTTGGATCTTGTAAAACTTTTTTTTCACAATTCACTTAACGTAGACACGCAACGAAAGAAATGTAAAGCAGTGAGGACATTTTCGGACACTATAAAGCACATTTTCACCCGTCACTCGTTTGTAGATACACGACAAGAAATATCAAAATTAATCAAGTGCTTTACCCCTCATCTCGTAGATACGCAGCGAAAAGATCAAAACCTACAAAGTGCATTTACCCCTTATTTCGTAGATACGCAACGAAAGATCAGAGATAATAAATACCTTTTCAAAAGAAAAAATATACATAGAGATTCTTTTCACATTTCACTCCTTGTAGACACGCAACGAAAATTTTCAGAAACAAGTGAATAACTTGTTCTTCAAAACTTCAGAAGCGGTAAACCCCTTTTTTTTTCACTCTCCACTTCATTTTCGTAGACACGCAACGAAAAAATCAGGTAGACTTACTGTCACATGCCGAGAACATCAAAACAATCAATGCACAGCAGAAGCAAAAAATCAAAGAAACATCTATCAATTACTACGCGCATGCAATTTCATGCATCATCAGTTCTGCTTCTCATCCACCGCATCGCCGGTAGACGCAGAACGTACGCACGCACGCGCAAGAAACTAATATAGCACATCTCTATCCCGAGTTCAAGACTGCTGCCTCCTCCTTCACCAATGCATGTCTATCACCCAGCACCCATAGAGATCAACCTTTCTGGTAGATAAGTAGCAACACAATGTTGATGAAGTGCCACCAAACCCATCCCCCAGAATATGCCTTCCCTCCCTTGTGTACAGGTTTCCCCTCCTACGCGTCGAAGTCGATCCATCTTACATGCCCTCGAACTCGCCTCCGAGGTCATCCTCATCCAAGTCGCCGTCTTGAATCTCCTTGGCCATTTCTCGCTCGCGCTCTCGTGCTTCTTGTGCGTTCTTTAGCTCTAATCGGTGTTGATTCATGGGGAATCGCATAGCCTGAAACAAATTAGCACATGCAAATTTTTTGACTGTCGTACAGAACATACCTTGACGCTCTCATCGTGCAGAGAAAGGCAAGCACGAATACGGTCATGGAAGGCCTCTCCCGGCTCTCTAGTCGCATAAACATCTCCCACCTCCTTGCTCTTCATGAAGCCTCGTTCTCGGTCCAACGAAGCCTCTATGACACCATCTCGAATAGCCTTCGCAACGATGTATTCCGCGGACTCCTCGCTCTCCAGCTTCAAGCGTATGCAGATGTCCCGGAGAGAGATTCTCGAGTAGGACAAGGACATCATTCGAATGCCGGTCTTGATGACGTTTTGTCGCAGACGCAGGATTAGGGTGTAAGTTCCATCCCGTCGGAAGGTCTCGCCGTGCTGCTTGATTGCATTCTCGAACTCTCCCAACATACCTACTCTGACTGCCTGTACAAGAAGTAGATAGGGTTGAAGGGCACGCTCCAGGCTAGCAAGGCGGAAAGTAGCTCTTTCAGGAATATCTCCCATCAAAAGCTCAACCACAAGCAAAAGCTTGGTAGCTGTTTGTGTAAAGCCCGCCGCGCTTGGACTTGAAGGTGCCTTTCTTGTCGCAGCTGTGAGATGTTCGTGAGCCTCGGTGTACCGCAACTGAATGGCGCGAATGCGACCAAGGTAGTACAAGTATCGTGCAACCTGGTTGTTTGACGCATTTTCCGGGAATTTTGTATGTGATACCAGAAGATCGGCTTGTGCAATATGCGATGTTGAGAGGTAGTTGCGGAGCAGAAGAACGATTACGGTAGATTGCGTGTCGATATCCTTGCGTAAGACAGCAGTTCGTAAGGCAGCCAGAAGATCAGGTCGGATAGCTACAACAGGTGAGGAAGGAGATGGTGGTAGAGGAGCGATTTGTTCGCAGAATAATGACCAGTAGAAGTACACGCGAGCAGAAAGAGAATCCAGAGTTCGACGGTTCAACGAGTGTATTTCCTCAGTGAGCTGTGCAGAGAAATAAGCGCCCATTTTGTTGATCTTGTTGTCAAGGAAGTAAATTTGAATCAGGATGCCAAGAAAGATGTCGACTTCGGGAATGATCTCCTTCTGTTCCTTCTTTGCTAGTTTGCCTTTAGATTCTCCATCGATCTCCATCTCGGTTGCCGCCGGCTTGGTGAATGAGACATAATCTCTATCGATCGCGAGAAGTAATGATTTAGCAGCAGGACTTGTTGATGGGTAAGTTTCGGCAATGACTTGCGCTAGGATATCGGGTGTAAGGCGTTTGCGGATGGAGGAGATAGATCGAAGAGCTCGAAGAGAAAATCTTGCATCGAACAGTGTAACCGCTCTCTCTAGTAGCGGGAAGTTGCTCTTGATATCTGCAATGAAAATTACGGTCAGTTTCTGCTAACACTTAAGGAATGAGCTGTCTACGGACCTGCTACAGCTTTGGCCACCGGGTCGATCTGAACAGCTCCTGCATCGTCTCCGTTGATCTCCTCTGGTCCATCCATCACTACATCACCATCGGTATCTTTAGGGGGTGGAGCTGATAGCTTTGACCCTTTTGAAGGTGGAACAACAACAGTCATCTCTTCATCTCCTTCTTTGACCTTCTTGCCTTTCCCACCCTTCAACGGAGCTGGCGCATCATCTTTCATCTCGACGTCCTTTGTACCATTGACACCATTCTCGACAGGTTTGTCACCATTTGTATGGGGTGTCTTGCTGGGCATATCGTCTTGTCAGCGTCCTGAAGGCGCCCTTCCGTGACGTACTCTGGGAATGGAAAGAAGCGCGTCGAAGGTGATCGTGACTCGTGTCAAGGAGATGGCTGAGATAACGGAGATATGCAGAGGTGCTGAAGACGTCAATCTCGACGTTCGCAGGTTTCGTTGGGGTTGAAAGTGGTGATGTGGTTGTTGTAGTCTGAGCTGTGCTTCTCTGATTACAACAACTTGAAGCTTGAGGCTACTTCGGCTAGCGACAGAAACCGCAAGCGCAAAAGCAGCGTACGCACGAGCGGCGGCCTGGTGAGTGGGTCATCAGCAGCCTTAAAATTCTACACATCAACATTTCATGCTTAAAGAAAGTGTAATTCTATGTCGAGCCACTTTATGTGAATTTTTATGAAGTTTGTAATCTTGAAAAACAGGAGAAGTAAACTCAATATCCTTATCAATCACGAAAATACAAGTCGAATCAAGGAAATGTCATCCTGAAAAAATCATCCTGAGAAGTGATCCCGAGAAGTCATCCTGAGAAGTGACCCTGAGAAGTCTTCCTGATCAATGTTTCAACAAACGCCGAGCAAGCTTGAGTCAAGAAGGTTGCAGCTGGCAACGATACGACTGCGGCGGTATCTTGGATAACCAGTACAAAGAAGGTCGATCGACCAGCGAGATTTATCAGACCAACAACTGCTGGAGAAGATGCATTCAGACATCATACTATCAAATGTCAAAGTTGGGCGGACATCTCCGGAGCAAACGATCCCATCCAACCACATCTCGTATTCTGCTATGGACCGAGTTCTATCCAGACGTCAAGCAGATTCCGGATGTTTTTGGTCTCACACGCAGCTCTGGTAACTATTGCGAGCTTGAGGGTGGAGTGCTTCCATCAATCATTCGAGCCTGGCCGAGACATTCAAATGGTCGCTTAGGAGCGTCTCTTGAGTGAAGAAGTCTGCATTTGCAATTCTTGGTGTGCAGGTAGCTTCATCTTCAGAATTGTTTCCAAGAACTGCTCTGTCCTTCCGGATGGCAATTGCGCGTCTAACAGCTTCTGCTGTCATTCCCGCGCATCGCCATTCTACTGACAAGTTGTCATTCTGCTTGCCGAAAGTGCGTTTCCAAGCTTTGGTATTAAATCACAGCCGTACACCCGTCTCTAGTGCTGCATCTTCTGCGCTATGATATCCGATTCTTTCATGTTTTGCAGTTTGCTTTGCTGCACTAGCACCATTGTCCCTGCCTCCGAGACTTGAAATATTCATCCCAAGATCTACAGGCTCTTTCGTGGTACGACTTTCTTCTGGGATCCATTGGTAGCCGTACCGTAAGCACCGTTCAAGCGGAACCCCTCTCTTCCTGGACCAAGCCTTGATTACGATCCGAGAGCAAGACCTCTTACGTATCCCGAGTTCATGACAAGTTATCCCAGAACCGTTGGTGGAAATCATACAAGAGTGGCATGGTCTACCCAGGAGAACTTAGCAGTTTGACTGAAATGTAGCACCCCAATAACATTCGTTAGTGTATCTGTATTCTAGTCATGTACATTACGCAAACATCATCCTTTTCTTCCTTCTTGTGATTAACGACATCACTAGAGTTTGCTAGGTACACTAAATCATATTGCATGCTCACTTACATCGACTTTGTCAATGTAATACTTCATTTGTTCAACTCTCTCAAATTAACCCTTCCCACTCCAACCTTCACTTATCCTCCACTCTATCCAACCAAATCTTCTCCTCCCCCATCGTCTCCTCCCACCTGATCCCCACCTGCCTTACCCTTCCATCAGCACGAATCCGAAACTCTGCCGGATACACCTGCGGAAACAGTGCATGATAATCCCCCACCGCCTTGGTCACGATGATGAAGAACTCGCCACTGACATGCTCGAAGGTGAAGTATTCAGGCCACGTGCTCTTGCTGCGGTCGGCGTGCAGAGTCTTCGTTGAGTCGTCGAAATAGATGGTTAGATTTTGGTAGCCTGGATGGTAGTACGTGCCTGTGTATGAGGGAAGGGGGAGTGTTGGTGGAAGGGTGGGGGAGGGGAGTTCTGGGTACAAGATAGATTTCGCGTGGGAGGAGTTGTGTTGGCCGCGGGTGATGATTGCTTGGTTTCTAGAAAAAGTCAACTAGAGCAAGTCGAGAGCTAGGTCAAGCCAAGCCACTCTCTCAAGGCCCATTGACCTTGAATATGTTGCAGAAATTTGACAGAAAATGATGAGGAAGAACTCAAAAAAGAATCGAAACTCACTTTTTGTTCCAACCAAACCTTTCTGTCATAGGGATACCCAATTTCTCATCCACAAGGTGAAAAGCCAGTACCTGCTCCACGAAATTCGACGTCCCAGCGGTATTCGCAAACGCAACAATCGCGAACTCGATATCCGGGAACAAGATCAACTCCGCTCCAAAAGCGTTCATGCCACCCGTATGCTCGAAGAATTGCTGTCCGTGATACACACCCGTTCGCCAGCCCAGAGCATACATATTTGATCCCGTATACGGTTCTTCAGACCCCATGATTGAGCGTGCACGTAGTAACTGCTCCAAGCTAGCGGAGGAGAATGGCGTGGTTTTGGAGATGGTTGCTCTCGCCCACTTGGTGTAGTCGAGGACGTTGCTGATTATATTTCCTGCACCCGCGCATTGGTCTAGTTCCATCCATTCTACCTCGTGATACGAGGCGTCGGAGTCGGAATAAAAGTACCCTTTTGCCAGATCGTCTTTCCCATTCATAGCGTCTTGAAGGTCGGAAAACGTAGATGTCATGTCAAGGGGCGTCCAAATACGGTCTTTCATCAGATCACCAATTTTGGAACCGGTAAGCGTTTCGATGATGTGCGCTGCGACGAGGAACATCAGGTTGCAGTATTGGTATTTGGTTCTTGGCTCGGCGGTCAGTGGTAGGTGACGCATGCTGTGGATCATTTCTTTCACGGTGGCCCTTTTTCCTGAGGAGGTGGCCCCGTATGCTTGGTCGTGTCGTGGTAAGCCACTTCGATGGGATAGTGCATCCTCAATTGTGATGTGTGTTGTGGCGTACTCGTTTTCTAGACCAAAGTCGTCCCCGATCAGCTGGTGTATGGGCGTGTCCCATTGGACTTGTGGGTACTTTTCGTTGTCCTCTACTAGAGTTGCCATCACGGCGGCAGTAAATGCTTTGGTGGTGCTGCCCGCAAAGAACAGCGTAGATGGTGACATAGGAACTGCTGGCAAAGCTGCAATTCCATAACCCTAATCGAATAGAAATGAGCATAAATTGAGTCTTATACAAAGGGCAAGGGAATCACCTTGGCAAAAGTCTTTTCTCCATCAACAACAGCTAATGAAATGCCGGGAACGTGCCAAAGCTCCAATGTCTCCTCGACAAGATTTTCAAATTTCTTGTCCAGTGGGCCGTCGGAGACCATAACATTCGACTCACTCCTCTTGATCACCATTTTCGAACCTTAGCTTCCGCTGCTTTCAATTTGAACTCTGCGACTTTCGGTTCGAGAGTGTTAAGGTTCGACAGACCTCATATATATATATATCGAAATTTGAAGAGCCTCGTCACTAAGAAGGCAGCAGGGTAAAGTGTACGTATGTGTAGGGATCGTATTCACTAGTTACTCCGGTGTTGCGGGGTTGTCACTAGACGATCACGTGCTTACTCCGCGGCTTCCAGGGTGGCTTCCAAGGTTCTGGAGTGGAATAGGCAACAGAAAGACCTCTTATAAATATAAGAGGCGATCGAGCTTCGCCCAATGCACGCCTTTGACAAAGAGATGAAAGACTTCAAAGCTATAGCAAGACTTAGTATTGATCTCCCTTCACCCCCCACTACCCCTTCTTTCTACACCCCACCGCAGAGTCTGAAAATTTCAAGAGAGATTGACTTCAGAGAGAGAACTTGACTCTATCGTGAGAGTTTAATTATAGTTTAAATTGTATTGCAAAGACACAAAAGAACGTGCCTTTTTTTTGAAAAACGTGACTTGCGATTAAATTATAATCAGACCCCTGTAAGGTAGAGAAAAATAACACCCTCGGAGGAACCTTTAACTTCGTACCTCAGTCAAAGGCATAGTTACGGCTCTATGTACCGACGCTACTAGTGTTGATTACATACGATTGGGAAGCTTGCGGCCACCCATGGCTTTGGTACATCTCTTTCATAGCGCGATACTAAATAATCATGATATCAGCATCGTCTCAACATCTCAGCCACAGACAAGACTATAGAACAGCAACTTGACCATCTTACATGAGTTAGATTGTCTTCCTCAGTCAAATCAGACCTCAAAATTTCGCCGTTCCAAGAACCAGGCCCGTTCCAAGGGATCCATTCCAAGTCGACAAAGCGCTTGATCCATGGTTCGAGCACATCTTCAATAGGTGCCGCTTCCTGGTAGTTATAGTAATTATCAGGAGTGCCGTCTGGTTTGCCATTTTCGTTATCCCAGTCTACTTTTGTGATGGTACCTAGGAAGGAGTCAGAGCAAGACAGACAACGAGTAAGATCGAAAGATGACAATAATCACATCACCAACGAACCTTTCCTCGTATCCAAAATCAGCCACCCAGAAGCCCACTCGTCAAACCCGTTGGTCAAACACAAACTCCACCTCTCTACATATTCATGGTCTCCTTCGTACCAATCCAGCGGATGCTGCGCATAGCTTAAGTCCTTACTCAAGTCCTTACTGAAGTCCTTACTGATCGTCCCAGGCGCAATCGTAAACCCTGCTTGAAAGAAGGGGGCTGTCTTCAGATACGGCAGCTTCTTGACGAGATCCAAAGCCACCGGGTCCATGTTTGAGCCCCAGCGAGCGAGGTCATTGGGATGAAGCTCGTGTGGTGGGAATGAAATGGTTTCGAAGGGGATGTAAGCTAGGTTTACGAGGACTGCGTAGAGCTTGAAGAAGAGTTCTACCGTTCTTTCGGCGTCAAAAGGCTGCATGATGGTTGTAGATGGGTTCTGTATGTGCGAGGGGGACGTTCTTTAAGTCGTGGTTACATGTTAGCGTTGCCATGGGTTCCATTGTTGGTTCCATTGTTGCATCCAACGCCGACCCCTGGTCTAACAGGCGAGGCACATGACTTGTCCCGGTTTGGTTTTCATGGACTTTAGGGAACCAAATTGAATAGAATGGCGTGGATTCAGGTAGGCCACTCTGACATGAATATGAGGAATCGAAAAAGATCCGACAACATAGACTCGAGACGTCCCCGACCAAACTTTGATAGTATTGTTTTTCAGAAATCACCACATTCTTGTCCCGTTCTTGACTATATAACTAATCTGCAGTTTTGTAACAAAAGTCATGAGGAGGAGAACTTCCACTGAACAGATCTTTTATGCGAACCACACAGCTATTTCTGACCAGGATGTCTTCCCGCAACCTTCTTCATCAACTTCGCCAACCTCTCATCGCCTCTCTCAACCGCCGCCTCGTACGCAACCCGATACTGCTTCACCCCCTCAGAGAACAACAACCTCTTATCCGTCCACCCCGTATCCCGCCTCAACTTCTCACTCCCAACCCACTGACTGAACCCCAACAACTTGGCCTTCGGCCCCGGCGGCCCCTCCCTCTTCACATACCTCACACCACCCTCGATCCCATATTCCTTCACCAACGCATTCAAGATCTCATCCAAAGTCTCGAACCTCCTGGACGAGATATTATAACACTGTCCCGCCACAACCCCCCTCTCACATTCCGCAAGCGCCACATAAGCATCCGCACAATCATCCACATGCAACGCATGCAAAATCGTCATCCCATCCTCCTCCACAACCCACTCACCCACCTTCTTCGCCGCCTCCGCGAACTGGAAGAAGAACGCGTACAGCGAGGACATGTACCCGTACACATGCGTCGGCCTCGTCACCACCGTATCAAAGAGATCGTTATTCTCAAATGTCTTGATGGAGCAATTGGCGCGATCCACAAGACTCGGCTGCGGATTCAAGGGGGAGAGTTCAGTCTGTGGTTCCAGACCCGGGGTGTTGGCGAGGGGGCCTGCGCCGTAGTCTTTACAGCCTGAAGTGAAGAGGACTAGTGGTCTGATTCTAGCAGCGTTGGAAGCAGTAGCCAGGGTCCGGAAGAGGGAGATGGTGTCGTTGTAGTGTGGGACGTAGTCTGAAGCTGCATCAGGAGAGGTTGTTGACACGATGATACCGAAGACGATTCCTTGAGCTTTGAGAGAGGGCAAGAAAGAGGTATCGCTGGAGGAGCCGAGGAGGGGGACGATTTCTGAGGAGGCGAGGCAGGAGCAGATGTTGGGGTCTCGGACGAGGCCGTAGGTTCTGTAGCCTGCGCGGACGAAGGCGTGGGCGACTGCGTTTCCAATATAGCCGTTTGCACCTGTGACTAGTACGTTGACTTTTGGAGAAGCCATTATAAAACTGGGGGAGGTAAAGAAGGAAGAGATGGGAGACAAAAGAGTGGAAGCCGAGAGGAGAGTTGATTTTGCAACTTTTGGCAGATTATGAAGCGGCTGAATGGCAATAAAAGTGCTTCAGATCCAGCTTCTAATTCAGGGTACTTGCTTCATACAATACAGAGATTGCTGTGAAGGTTTACGCTCTTGCTGTGGAATATATAGCCTTATGGTCGTCGGAGCGAACACGGCAAGGACTGCCTAGATCATGTGATCGCAGCCCGGCACTTGTTCACGATCTTCGCTGATTGACTGGAGAAGCCAAGGATCATGATGAGCGGTGAGACAGACGGACAAGAAAAGACTGGGCCCAATACTCATAAGACCGATATCAGGCTGAACTTTCAGCATCACGTGGAGGTCCGAGTGTCACTTCAACTTCAGTGTACAAATCCATGGAAATCCATTGCTATGAGCTAGAACAACGCGTGTCATGTACCCGAGGTGTAGCTCAAACTGTGCCATAGCAATTGAAAAACACCCTTGATTCCATTCCTCCATGATGACTCCGCTATGCAGTATGACAAGAAAGCAACGCAACGAATACCATACGAACTCCAGATCTTATGCCATGTGCCCTTCCATCCATATCAACCAACGCCAGGAGAATTCCCCACAACGCCTCGGGTCGTATGCTAAGACACATTATGAGGAGCTGCAAATATTGTTAGCCAAGCAGATTCAGGGATTCGAGAAGACATACAATCAATCAGCATTCTTGCCACCGGTTACCTTCGCAGCCGTGACCGCACTCATCTTGTTGATCCAGTTGGGGGTAGGTTGAATCTTTCGGACGGTACGGACTTCATCGCTGGAGTAGCCGGGGATTCGGATGTTGTAACCACGCTCAAGAGTGAGCTGGATATCGCGAACATCCAATGACTTCGAGCCGCGCTCCTTAGCGTTCTTGCATGCCGATTGAAGGACCTGATCAATGAAACTGTCCGCCATGTTCATGATAGACTAGTACATGTTAGCGTTGTTCTCGAGCTCTGTGGCAAAATTTGTGGATAGTAAACAAGCAAAGTTGAAAGTAGATCGCAAAGCAAATTGCCTATAGATCCTCCATTTGACCCAGCTATCTGCGCGAGCCCTTGATGGAGATTGAGATGAAGAGTGTATTTGAAGTACAATGGCAAGAGCTCTTGCGAGGCCGGTTGCGAGAGCGCACAACAACAAATGGATGTGTCATAAAGCATAACCGCAACGAATGAAATGGTTAGGGAAAAAGACAGATACCTCTTCAACGTCAGGAGCAAGACACTCTCCATTCTCGAGACCCTGACCACCTCCAGTGACTTGACGGACAAGCTCATCAAGCTTCTTCTTCGAGAGGACGCGATCTCCTTCTCCCTCCATCGTGAATTGCGGAGTCTTCGTAAGGACAGGTTGACTGATAACACCGTTGCCAGTGTTCGATGGACCTCCGGAATATGTTGGTCGCGCCATTTGCATTTGTACTGGTGTTGGTTGTGCGGTTGCGCGATCTGGGAGGTGCTTCGGAATCGGCATTTTGTTCGTCATCACGTTTTGTTCACGTGGAACCGCTTGAGGAGGATGAGTGTGGCCTTGCCCCATGACGGTCGTTGTCGGAACGGGATTCGAATAACTCCTAGCGGCTTGATGAAGAGCGTCGGAATGAGATAGCGCCTGCGGTTGCTGTGAAGTCGCAGATTGAGGAATTCCAGCTGATCTTGGTACTGCTGACTGCGGAGAGTTCTGCATAGACCGATTTTGATTTGCTTGCATCTGTGTGATCGCAGTGTTGATTTGAGGTGGGACTGCCTGCTCAGTCTTGATTTGAGTTTGCGCTTGCTGTTGCTGCGGTAAAGAAGACTGGGAAGGAGCATTTTGACCAGGTGTCTGCGGCGGTTGGGACATCGAAGCGTTCTGCGGCATAGGAGGTCGAATTCCACCCATCTGCTGGTTCTTTGCAGCCTCGATTGCAGCATTAACAGTCTGAGTATTCTGCACAGCTGCTGGGTTCTGGGCTTGTTGAACACTCATTTGAGGTCTAGTTGGGGCTTGTCCAGCATTACCGGTGACTTGGGCAGCATTTGCGCTTATTCCATGGCTTTGTAATGCAGCATTAGCAGCATTACGTTGTTGATTCTGAGAATTTCGGAAAGCATCTACGAAATTCTTCGCGTTATTGTATGTCTCTTGGGCAGACTCTCTTTTCTCCTTGAAGTCCTTCTCCTCCTCCGGACTCAAGATCTTTCCCTCGGCATCTCTCTGCTTCTTGATGTTGTCTATTGTTTGGACTCGATTGGACGCACCCTCCATAGCAACCAAGGCCTTCAAATACTTCGACTTGGCGTCTTGAATCCATTTCGTGGCCTCAGGTGTGCCGCTGGTCAAGTTCGGAGGAAGGACATAGGGGAAGTTGGTGGCATGCTCTAGAAGCTTGGGAGATATCTTTGGTTGTGGCCGAGGTTGCTGCTGTCCGGCACCAGGTGGGTTTTGTGCGCCATTCTCTCCCCCGCCTTGTGTCTGAGATTCCGGTTGTTGGCCTTGACTCATAGGACGGGTTTGTTGGCTTGGTTGGCCTTGCTGAGCTGCTTGCTGAGCTTGTTGAGCCTGCTGGGCAGCTCGGTGGCTCTGAAGCTTTGCTGTGAGAGTCCTACTGAAATCAAAGAGTTTGCGCTATTTCAAATGTCAGCTCGTTGCGGCGCGTTCATTAAAAGTTTCTACCTTAGCATCATTATGTGCTTGGGTGGTAGGATCGTTCTTCTCGATTTGGTTCCACAATGATCTGCGTGGATCAGTAAATGTCCCATGAATTTTCCATAGCCACTAGGTGTATTACCTCAAGCCCTGCTCCCATTTGAGTTTGTCTTCGTCAGGAAAGCTGGCAGGGAGCTGTCGCATTTGATCGGGTCGGAAGACTACACAGAGGACTGAGTTAGTGTTCTTATAAGGACAAGACGCGTTACTCACGATGTGGCTTAGGACGATTCTGCTGCTGCTGCGCACCCTGCCCAGGTTGAGCGGGCTGTTGGCCGCCCTGCTGGCCGTTGTTCATAGTTGTAGATTTCCAAATAGATACTGGAAGTTTAGAGATATTTGAATGAATGTTGAGTGGTAGATCCAAGTCAAGTAATAGAAGTGCGGATACGTAGAACGAAGATTGAATCATGAAATGGAGTTCGAAGCAGTCACAGAAGCCGCTGCGGGAACGGACATCGGTGGTGAATGGTCCGTGCACTGCACATTAGGCTGATTATCAGCCTCGTCCTTCTAACATAAAAGAATTCCTGTATCACAGTGCTCAATTTGATTCTCTGCACGAGATAGTGTGAATTAATGTTTTTGTCTCAGTTCTGCCAAAAACACACTTCACTTGGGCTCGATTGGGTTCTGGGTGTTAAAGGCTCGTCAATTAGTGTTGTTCACGACGCCGACGCGGACAATCCACGTCGCCTTCTTTTCATGTCAATGGCAGGAAGTTGTTTTCAATCTTTGCTTGTTTGGTACTTCTCTTTGTAGCATGTCAATTGGCAGTGTATTTAATTCACATTGTTTCCTACTCTTTGATGATATGTATTTCCATCTGTCCGATGTCAATGATGTCACATAGACCATTGGACCTTCATTCACCTCCAGTAACCACAGGATTCTCCGGCAACTTCTCTATCATACTCTTTCCAAATAGACCTTATTGGTTCTTAGTCCGGAAAAGGGCTAATTGGCCAGGCACACGTCTTTAAAAATCATAAGGCAACAATATGTAAGTGTACACTTGCTAAATCACCTGAACTTTCACGACATAATCAAGGGGATAACTACAGCAAACAAGCTACAAACTTCAAATCCGAGCCCGCCTTTCAACTGCTGCAAGCGATGTTACCGCGTTGTGTTTTCACGCCTCCAATTTTGGGACAAACTATTTTGAAGACCAAGTTGTTTCCTGTCTCAAAGACCTTGCTTATCTTACTTATATTGTCCCACAAGCTTCAGGACAATTCATTTCATATGCTAATTTTACACATTTTTTTTTGTTCACTCCAAATTCTTGTTATGTCCGGACACCCTTTTCTCCATTATCAAATCCCCAATATACCCCAATCGCCGACATCCGTCCCATTTTACTATTCTTTCACGCACCACTTCCACGGCTTCTGGTCCATTTGCAAGCAACATAGCATCGATCGACACTTCGTCACCGACTCTGTGTATGCATCCTCGAGAGAGATTTTGCTCCGCATGAAACGGAATGAAGTTTCCTAGGCGAACTACTACAATATATACATAGCACCCGGCCGCGGATGTGATATTTCACTCATCTTGGCACAACCCTAGGTTTCCGAATTCGGAGGCCTTCTGGTGGTTAATTAACGACTTCGAAGCGTAAATATTCCTTCCTAGATTTCCAAAAGCTTCAGTATCTCCTTTGACGTTCATTTAGGAGAGCGACTTTCGATAGAGACCTTGTCACGTTAGAGTTACGATTTCTGATTTTGCCTACTTGACACAGCACCTTTCCTCCTGAAAAGTCAAATGAAACATCATCTCAAAATCAGAATCACTGATTGTCTTCCTTCGCCACATCACGCTTCCTCACAAATTCAAATAAACCCTCATCCGAGCTTTAAAACTTCCAATCATCCTTCCTTCCTTCCCACCACCCATACTTTTCCCCTTAAAAACAAAACTCAGCTAGAATATGATCTCAAAATCAAATTTTTAATTCAATTTTCACAGCACGGCACAGCACGGCACTTTTGTCAACTCTGCAAGATTTGTAACATGAATGTGCCGAAACATCAAGCATCAATCCTTCATTGAGTGCTGAGCCTCACACCAACAGAGCAGGTAGGTAGTATTCTGATTCGGCCTCAGCTGTGCCTTGTGCCAGGAACGTTGACACGGAGAGCACAGTTCTTAAGCGCGATGGAAGAGAATAAGGGGATGTTGTGATAGGTTGTTGAGGATTGAGAGGATTGGCAAGGTAAGATGAGTTCGGGGGTTTATTGTGGCTTTGCCGTCGGATCGGAGGGGAGGGTTGTTGTGATGATTGACTAGGGTTGGTAGGGTAGGTAGTAGGGGAGATTATTGTGAGAGGAATCTCTAGGGAGGAAGTGGCATTGAGTGGGGGGGTGAATGATGGGAAGGGAGCAAGGTTGTGCAGAGACAGCTACTAGTATGGACTACAGTTGGATATTATACGGGGACATAGGATATGTCCGAAAGTACCGCTTGAACGTCTAGATATATTGTTCTAATGCCGGTGTTGATGCCCGACAGCGACCAAAACCAAGAACTCGCTGATGATATAGAATAAACCCAGAACCCGACCCAATCGGTACAATGACAACCATCTAAACGTGCTATGCAGACCATAAAACCAAATCGCTATGCAACCAAAAAAAAACCCAGAAAACCCTCGCTCAAGAGCAATGCAGTTGATGCCCATACCAAATTTATCCCATCCATCTATCATCATCAATCATACCATCGTAGCCTCATAACTCTCGAATCCATCAAGCCGCCCGTATCATTCGTTATCATCAGAATCGACATCCATCTCCTGAATATACCAATACGGCAACTCCCTCAACTCCCGATCGACATCCTCATCCTCATCCTCCTCCCGAATCTCCACCACCTCCTCCACACTCTCGGGCCCCTCATCCTCCTCCTCAATCCTCGGCGGCGGATCATCAAAAATCAAACTCGTCCTCTCCCCCACCTTCCTCCGCAACCGCCTCGCACTCGACCCCGCCTCATTCGCGCCCTCAAACGTAACCGGCTTTAGATCCTCATCGTCGGTATCACTCCCAATACTCATACTCAGCGTCCTCTTCTGCACACTCGCCGAACTCCTCCGTCTCCTCCTCTTCTCCGCCCTCAGTTTCTCCAGCCACAGTTCCCGCTCCTCCTCATTCTCGCAGTGTAGGTTCTGGAAATCCGACACGATGCGCATTGTGTCGAGGTCGTTGTTCCTGTTCTTGACGGACACGGACGGCGCGCGGTCGCTCTCCGCGTCTTCGTACTGGTGCGGGCGGATGACCTCGTCCTCGTCGTCCGAGTCCCAGTCCTCGTAATCGCTATCCGCGAACTCCTCGACGGTGAAGTTGCCCTCTGCCACGATGCGCGTGCGTCGGCGCAGAGGCGGGGAGGACGACAGCATCGGTGCCGCGGGGGAGGAGGAGAGGGATCGAGGAGGTGGGCTTTCGCTCGAGTCGGAGGCGTGGGCTGAGGAGTCGGGGGAGGAGGAGCGGGGGGAGAGTTGGTCTGCTGTAGGAGGGCGATTGGATGGCGTGTAGAAGAAGGAGGAGCCGTTTCCGGTGGGCTTGATGGTGCCATTCTGGTCGGGCAGAGTCGAGGCTGAGATGTGCATGCCATTCCGGCGACTCTTGAACGTAAATGTGGTTGCTGTTGTCGGCGTCTGCGGAGGCGAGGCCTGCCCCGCTGCGAAATTGTAGTTGGGAGTGGTAGGACGCATGGTTCCGTACCTCCTCAGCTCGTGTGAGAACAAAAATAAAATAAATAACAGAAAAATTAAAGGGTGTGGGATACACAGCGCACAGCAGGAGGTGTATCGTCCGTCACGGCCTCAAGGCCCGTGGATGTCTCCAGCAGGAGAAGGAGAAAGGGAGACGTGGAGGATTGTTCATGATAATCAGCGAGAATAAATGCCACGGGCCCTTTCGTTACTTGAATCAAACCCGAGCAGACAGGCTATTATAGCAAGCAACGTTAAAAGGGGGATGTGAGATTTGATTCTCGGATCAGATCTGAGGAGGAATTGCGCGGGTCCTTTCTTAGGTTCCAAAACTCTTCGCTCGCCGCACGGTAAGAGGCAAGGATGCGAGATATCGTGGATGGATGGACGGATGGATCAGCAACGGTAGGGCATCCAATTGCTGGAGTTGCTTTTCTGGAAAGGGAAGAATGTGGAACTGATACTGGCTTTGCTTGCTTGCTCTGCTCTGCTCTGCTCTGCTCAGACAAAAAGGGGGTGTTGGAGCTTGTTTCGAAGTGAAGACAAGAGAGTGAGTAGTGAGTGGTAGGGTTGTGCGTGGTGGGAGAAAAGGCTGTGATATATTCTAGGATGGAGGGGTATTTGTAGTCTGAGAAAGGGATACCGTACAGATAAATTCTCCAGTCAAAAATGGGCCAAAAAAATGGCACCCAAAGTGGGAAAGGGAGTTGCAGGGCAGAGCCGGGGCGAAAACAGATCTCCTGCTACTGCTGCTCTATTACTCGCTCTGCTGAGTCTGCATTTGCATTCCACCTCAGATAGAGAGGGCAGCGTAGGTAGCCGGGTTCAGCCTGTGATCGGGCAGCAATGCAAAGCTTCTGGCTCTGGGTTCTCCCTTGTATGGACGGTTACCGAAGTATATTATTATTATTATTTGTGCTTTTCCTCTCGTGGTCAGACTTTTATCGCGAGCGAAGTCTCCGAGTCTGATCTGGTCTGGTCAGGTCAGAAGAAGTGTGACTCGGTAGGAAGCACGTCACCCCCAGTCTCAGTCCCGTATGGGTGCATAAATGGATGGTTGAGTGGATGAGTGGATGGATAGAAAAGTGATGATCAGTTTGGTTTGGTCTGGTTTGTTTGGGCTATTATTGTGTTTAATTTGAAAGGAGCGTCCTGATGCGTTGGCATGAAGAAGAAAAATATCGGGAGTGCTGCTGGTGCTGGTGCTGGTGCTGCTGAAGATTTGAATGACCAGCATGGGCATGGGTATGCAGATGCAGATGCAGATGCAGATGCGGAAATCCAATTGTGCGTGGAAGAACAGAGAGATGCGTTGGTAAGGCAAAAAAAAAAGATTTCACTTTGTCGGCCCTGCATTCCCTCTTCTGGCATTCCTATTATGGCCGAGCGGCGAGATCCAGGCTGAACCTCGATGAAGACGAGCTAATACACAACTTTCACTTCTGTTTCCGTTTCTTGAAGCCTTGGAGACTGGAGGTGACTTCATGACACCACACGTGATAGTATATTTCTCAGCAAGATGAGATCTCCAGATCTCCCTTCACCAAATGAATGCTCAGTCATGATTCATGAATAGCTTCAGGGCCATCTGTTGGGACAAGTATTGCACGCCGCGTTTGCAAAGATAACAGCGGCATGCCCCTATTCGCAGAGACGTGAACGCCTCAGCAACCATGAACCTTGTCGACAGCCATTGTGTAGCGATCTCTACAGGACATGATATCGTTCACTGCTGTTCCCAGTAAACCAGCTGAGCCGTCATCCACGAAAAAGCAGTGAGAGACAACTGGTCTCACCCGTCGGACGGGATTACGACACACGCTCTCGGAGAGAATGAAGCCAGATCCATATCGCTGGGAAAGAGCAAATATGTCCACGTGAGAAAGTTCCTGAAGTTTGTTTCCTGTTTCTTTTCTGAGACCGCATGAGTTGGGAAACGGGATCCTTGCTCATGTCTCTGGGCCTCGTTTCAACAAAGGTACCATCGAGGATTCAGAGCCACTTGGCTTGCATGATGTTCTTGGATTCATGCATGCGCACGTGATCTGTCTCTTCTTTGCCTGACTCATTCATATGTGAGACGACTCGTTTTCTGATATAAAAAATGATAAACATGAATGACTGAAAGATTTGTTTCAACCGAATATATTACTAGTCCAAAATAAATAATCGCTGGCTCAAATCACACGTGACCTCTGATACCAAACTTTCACCAGACAAGTGAGTGAAAACGGAAAGCAGAACTAAGGTCTTCCCAGGACGATAGATTTTTTGTCCGGTAAAAGTCTGCTTTCTGTTGGTGAATTCTCCCGCAATTTCGTAACACCAGCAGTCGTTGAAGATACTGCAAGACTAGTCTTCCCCGGCCTCCGTAATCTTCACAGCCTTCAGCCCTGTCCAGTCGCGACAACCACGACGCGTAAATAAAACACCAACTCCCCCAAATAAACTCCCCTCTCTCAATTCACACACCACCACCGCACCAAAATGTCCCTCCTATCACGACATCTCGAACAAATCTCCCTCTCCTCCGAATCCATCGCCACCCTCCCGTAACCTCCCCTCCCCTCCCCTTCCCTACATCCTACAATCCACCCCTCACTAACCGCAACCCAGTTTCCCCCCACCAAAGATCTTCACCAACGCCCTCCTCTCAACACCAGACATCACCTCCCTAATCCGCGACACCGAACCCCACGAACGCGCCCTCTTCTCCGTGCCACCCGCGCCCCCCCCCTCGACCTCCACCACGCCCTATCCTGACCCGAAAGCCAGCTCGCGGCGCCAAACCGTGTTCAACGTCGCGGGCGGCGAAGTCACGGCCGGGACGTCCGGGCCGGGGAATCGGGCGCCGAGACGCAATACGGCTGTGGCGGCGGTGCTGGGGCCGGAGCTGCATAGCGAGGTGCGGAAGACGGAGGGGAAGGGGAATGGGGAGCTGGATATTGAGGTGCTGTTGAGGGGTGCGGAGACGTTGAATGGCGTGTACGCGGTTGCTGGGGTGGGGGAGAGGATTGCGAGGGTGAGGGAAAGGTATGCGGTTATTGTGGGGAGTTTGGGGTTTTATGAGGGGAAGGTGGAGAGGATGACGAGGGAGTTGGAGGGGATGAATCGGAGTAGGGGGGGTGAGTGGGGTGGGGATTATGGGGATCAGGATGGTGAGGAGGGTGAGGAGCAGGTTGAGATTACGGAGGAGGATTTGAGGAGGGAGGAGGAGGAGATTAGGGAGTTGGAGAGGAAGAAGAGGGAGTTGGAGGAGAGGGTTAAGGAGATGGAGAAGGATTTGGGTGGATTGCTGCGGTGATTTGCAGAGGGAAAGCAAGTATCATCGTCGAGCTCAAGCACTTTTGGCTGGCAATCAGTAATTGCAAGTCTCCGAGTTCTTACAGCGCCATTCAAAGGCTTGCCTGGCAAATCGTCGGGTAAGTTGAGTGTGGCAACCAAGAGGGTTAGCGACATCAGAAGTGGCAAAGCAAGAAGGATTGCTGTCGTGTTACTGGCATTACCCATGTAGTTGGTGTCGGCATCACTCATTTGTCTGCTCAAGAAGCATGTTTTATGTAGGCGTTTGATACCCGGACTTGAAGAGCGAAATCACAATGAAGTATCTGAAAAGTAACTTGTTGATTCTCCGATTGTAATTATCTTGTATGCCTCTATTGTTCCATCTCGACACCGTCGTGATTGCCCTTCCCAGACTTGAAGAGCAAAATCATGATGGAGCACTTGAAGTGTAGCATTTTGAGTTCCTAATTTTGTATAATTGACATTGTTGCCGCGATTGCCCTTCCCGAACTTCAAGAGCAAAATCACAACAAGGTTATTGGGCCGTAGTTTGTGGATTTCGACTTCCTGAGTGTGTTAATCCTGTAACACCTTATTATCGTGCCAGCCTCGGCACTCTCACCATGCTTGCCTTTCCCGGAGTGCTCTGTCCATCGACTGACTTCCTCCAGGATGTGGTGTGCTTGTTGATAGTTTTAAACTGGCTTCATAAGCAAAGATGTCAATCCATGCCGGTTGCCCATCCCATCGGCTTCTTCTTCATTGTGTTGTGCTTGTTGACGTTTCCAGACTGAATTCAGGGTGAAGGATGCCAAGCTATGGAGGTATATGAAGAACTGAATCTGCAGCGAGATGTCTGAGTAAGATGTCAGCACTCTTCCTTCTCCCTTGGCTCTTGCTACCTGATATTCCCTCCAACAATGTCCTCTCCCCCATGTATTGGTGGTTGTTGACAATTCCAGACTGGATTCAGAGTGAAGAATGTCAAGCCATGGAGCTATAAGGAAGGTATCGTTTGCAATGAGTTGTCATCACTCTCCATTATCCTTGGCTCTCCTCACCTAGTACCTCCTCCACGTCCAAACCGCAATCGGTATGGTATGGCGGTGTAGAACACTTACAAAATCCGTCTCACCAGCAGCGAGATCTAACCCTTCAAAAGGCGTACCACTTTCCAGCACTTCGATTGGAAGCGGAGGAACCAATGGATCGAATTGTCTCGACGGTCATTGCTTGGTACGAGAGCCAATGATGCTGACTTCGAGACGTTTAAGGCGAAGTGCTTCGCAGGTATATGATACTATGGCGGCGTGGAACAGAGGAGAACTCGTCGGTGTTTCGGCGAGATTTGTTTCCTTCAAAATGTTTTATTGACAATTTGGACTTGAATGCGGTAAGTGATCTCTTCAACTTTTAATGCTTCCTCTTGTTCCATGTCGACAGCTTCCAGGCGGCTTTCTCGGGGAGATCTCCCGTTGTGCCCAGCGCGATCGTAACCGCCATGAAGGGTACTAGATGATCCATTCTTGGCGGAGATGGAGAGATCATGAAGTATGTTGCTTTTGATTATCCTTGCCTGCTAAGTTGATTGTTGAGCCAGGAACAAGTATAAGCAGAAATAATGTGGAGATTATTATCATCTGCTCCATATCCAAATCGAAGTTCGTCGGGTAAGTTCTAACAACTTTGTCAGTATTCCAGCAAGACCTTTCCGGTCAACAATATGACCTATATGACCTTGAAACCTTCAATTCAGAGGCGAAAAGGACCTTAAATCCGTCTGTCTTGGTCATGCTCGCCAGATATACTGACTCGTGAGCCAAGAACAGTTGTACGCAGAATTAATGTGGACCCTTTTAACCTTGAAAAACGTTGTGTGTTTGGAAGCTCCAGGTGATCTTGACAACCCTCTTCATCAAATCAGGGCTATTGGTTGGCTTTCTGCTTATGGCGGCATCGGGAGGGGTTCGCAGTGGAGGGTGAGGTAATGTCGCCGAGAAAGCACCTCGAATATTCAGAGAAGGGGCAGTGAGGTGGTGTCGTTGGGGGCGGACTTCGACATCTTCAGATCTGACTTCTATCTCACAATTTGGTATGTATGCCCCTCTCAGAGTCTGGACTCTCTTGGATCCTCCCTATTGTGTGCTGCCATGGTGGATATGCTCCTCCGAAGGTCTCGCCTCTTTAATCACCAGTCCTCCCTTGTGAATAGCTACAAGAACATAAAATTATTAGCTTTTGTCGAAACATACTATATGCAGCATCATTTCTGGCCTCTCAGGTGATCGGGTCGGTTTACCTTAATTACGTGCTAATCGTGTACACGTACACGTTTTATCCTCTCAAAAGCTCTTCGAACTCTCGGAGAAACTTTCCGCCAACAAGCCACCTCCTTTCTTGAGTACTCCTCCACTTATATCCTATCCGGGTTGTGGAGTAGAATATTGTTTGTCAGCTCTGAAGCCCTTGTCCAAATATCTGGTCCTCATCGTAGCTGCCATTCTCGAGATTTGAAGCCCCCGATACCGTTTCCACTCCTTATTTCCCCAAGGGCGAGACTAAGCTTCTAGAATATTGTGATAGAGAGAAGTAAGAGGGGCGTGAGCAGTAGGAGATGGATTCCTGGACCTCCATATATGACGGGTAGTTGGGCTGAGAACGCAATCAGCTGAGAACCCCTTTCAAAAATCGTGTAGATGGAAGAGATCTACTGCCTGCAGGGATGCTGATATCAAGACCGACAGGAGATGAGAACTTACTAATTCTCTGAATCGATGGTAGACCATGGGCATTTCACGTCTCTATTTTCTCGCCGATATATCTCCAGCTGGTCGTACAGAATATTTGGTCCAGCCCTTGCTCTTCTCTTCTCTGCAAGAGAGGGTTGCTGTGACAGGGACAGCTCTGGATCAACAGGTAGCTCATTTCTAGAGCTCATTGATGACCAATGATCTCCTTCAGCTATTTCCATGCTCTCTGCACTGGTACAGCATTCGCCAGCTATTATTTTGCCTCTGAGATTGTTCGGTCCTAGTCTTGGCGGTGCCTGGCTTTCTTTGGAGATTTTGCGAAAGTCTAGAGAAATGGAGGTAGTTGAAGGGTTCGCAACGAGAATTAGTGGTCTAGAAACTGTGTAACTGATCAATAGTCGAAGTCTTGAAAATCGTGAGGATGATCACGAAGTTTTGAAGTGTTTCTGCTGATGTTTTCTAAGCGAGGTGCGTATTGTTTTGCGATCCAAACATATTCCCATCGGAGACTACGCGTCCACGAAATGCTCTAGTGTTATCTACGCTATGCATTCAAGCCTATTCCAGACATCGGTGCCACCGACTATCCAACTCCATGTTCATTTCTACAAATCAAGGTCTGTACTCCCACTCCCTCTACCCTCCCCTCCTTAAAATGAGGATGTTTGGAGTCATGCTGACGGTGATAACGTATTGTAAGAGCAGAGATATTATGAGAGGAGTCCATAACGGGTTTCAAATGAGGTCAGCTATGGAGCAGGGAGGCACGTGGGTAATGTTGGGGAATTTAGCCAAGCCAGGCCAGGATGATGGGAGGGAGGAGCAGAGACGTCAGCCACTCACCTCGCCATGTCGACTCTCACCACCATATTACGCGATGCAAGACCACCACCGGAAGGTTCAAGAGGTTGTGTAAAGTATTGTGGGAGGCAGGGGGAGAGATTACATGGGGAATGGACATGTCCCTCTTCCTTGAAGTGTCAGTGCTTGCAGCTATTATGCTTCCTCAATTGTTACTCCTACTTGATTGACGAGAAGCCACTAGTATATAAGATGGGTGGGATGAGGGGAGCTATTCGGCATCTCTCAAAGGCCTGCTTCGTTCAAGGCACGACGATCCCCCTCACTCTTATAGGTCCTGTGGGCACAGAGAGCGTATGAGCCCAGGTTCTTTTTCCCCGTCATGAGGATGGCATCCATTTCGCAATCATATCTCCCGTGTTTACATAATATTCAACAGCTACCTCCTGGAGTGTCATTTCTCATCTACGACGAATATCAAAAATAAGGAGCTATTCAGCAGCACGAGCCCGCAATCCTTTTTCCCCAGGTGTGTGAATCCTCTTTCCCTGTAGCAGAATCTAACTACTTCTCACTCCTTCAATCCTTCTCAACCCCAAAAGCAAGCTCGACAAACTTCTGGCGCGCATAACTTCTTAGCCCGAGAATACCTACCCGACGAATAAGAAGAACTGAGATACAATTCCGCTGTTCTTTCCAGGGAACCCTTTCTGAAACCACGAATCCTCCCCAGCCTAGAGTCTGACTTGGCTTCTCCTCGCTCTTCCGTCCTTTACAAACCGAAAAGCAAGCAGGCTGTCCCCGCGTATAACTCCTCGCTCCGAGAACCCGACTACATCTACGACGATAAACAAATTTAAGAGACTTTTCAACAGTCTATCATACTCTTTCTCAAGGGCATATATTCTTCTTCTCTGGAGCCCGGCCTGGCCGTTGATGCGGGGTTGGAGCATATCGTCATTTTAAAACGCTAACAGAGTACGACAGCGGCAGCAGCAACTGTGCGGCACTCATATTTGAAGAAGGGAAGCCTGTTGATATTAGGGGTGTGGAGATACCATAACGACCTGGATCCGAGAAGCAGAGGATGTCACAGCATGGAGCCAACCATGTCAATAATAACACAACTTGGAGGGTGGATATTTGATCAGAGAGCGGCGGTACGAGCTATCCTAAATATATCCTTTGTTTTTCAATGTATTGGGCAGACAGACGAGACTTTTTGTTGAGGGAATATACTACGAAAAATAAGCTACAATGAAGGAGGTTTGCCTGAATTGTAATCATCTCTGTGGGATCTTCAAAAGATCTGGACAGAATATTGGAGGGAAGAAAGAGAAGCAGTCCAGGTTGGCTTCATCTTACGACCTTTTTACAGCCCATGAACGCAAATTCCACGCCTTCCTCTCTCGGCGCTGAGATCTCACCTCTTTTCAAATTGTCAAAAGCCAGTTCAACAACTCGTTTTCCAGCGTGAGCTCTCTTGTCTTTTACAACACTTCAAGGAGGTTCTGCAATTTCCCTCTCGGACGCAGAACTCTTCATTATTTTGCATCTGTTATTTTCACGTAAACAGAAGAAGTTGAAGAAACTTTCCAATATTGTGAGAATAACTAGAAGAACAAAGATTTTAGCTAGATACACTACTTTTAGAGGCTATTATCGAAGGATACTCAGAGCTGATATTAGGAGGATCCTTTGGAAACAAGTGCAAACTTGACTCAACATTTCGGTACTATGCAAAGAAGAAAAGTAGTTACAGCTTATGTATAGAAATAGGAAGACAGTAAAAGAAACCCAGAAACTCAAACGAAGAGAGAAAGCAAAATTTGCTACCAAAATATAAGCATTCTAAGCTCATATAGCTAGCCGCTAGCTATTTTAGTTTCGATGAAACCTTGCATCGCTAATCCTCACTTCTCTCGCAAAATCATACCACTTGACTTCTCAAGACTTCTTCACTTTTTTCCATCTTCCAAAAGAAGCTCTGGAACTTTGCCAGCGGGTATTACATTCCACTGCAATTAACCAAACGTAAGTTCTACACATTATCCCGGCGCAACACTCTCCCCTCCTTTACCCTCAAAAAAAGATTCCGCTAAGCCTTTTTGCGCTCAATTCTCCGTTCATTTCTAACCTAGAAGCAGGCTCTTCACCTCCTCTCCACTGCGCACAATTCTTCGCTCCTTCGCAGCCCCCAGAAGCAAACTCTACACAATCTCTCTACATATAACTCTCCCCTCCTTTGCAACTCCAAAAGCAGCTTCTACGCCTTTTTCCGACAGACGATAGCCTTTCAATGCTCGGCAACCCCCAAGCCGAGCTCAATCCTCTCCCCTGCGCATAACCTCTCGGTCCTTTGAAATCCCAAATGCAACGTCCAAAACCTTTCCTGCCGCACCATTATTTACGCCTTTGAAATCCTTAGAAGTAAAAACTACACCTCTGCCCGATGAATAGCTCTTTGCTCGGAGAAATACATGCACAATGATGATTATGAAATAAAAAACTATTCAGTGGTCCGGTAAATTGGTTTTCAAGAGAATAGATCCTCCCTCTCTAGTCTACCTTTCCTGCAACAGCGCCTGGTTTTACAAAGTGATCTCTCTGTTGAAGACTCTGGGTTTTGGTCAAGTTAGAATCTATAAAGTCAGGAGATTTAGAACCCATTGTCCATAGTCTTATCCAGGCTTTCCATGGAGTGAAGCCTTGGGATTGATCGGCAATTTTGTGACCATAAGTCCGAGCCAGACTTGATTATAACGCTAACCTATCTGAGCGAAGAGGCTCGACTGGACTTTTCCGCACCACCCCGCTCCTTTGTGACTCCCAAAACTTCTTCTTCTACATCTTCTCTCGTGCAAAGCTCTGCCTTCCTGTACAACCACAAAACTACGCTGTACACCTTTTGCAGGCGCTTAGCTCTTTGTTCCTTTACAAGCCTCAAGAGCAAGCTCTGTACTTCTCGCCAACGCAACATTCATTTCCCTTTGTACCTCTTGTCCTCATTGTCACCTCTTCACTCTTTACTCTTTCCCATACCCTTCAAGAGCAGGCTCTACGCTCCTAGTTTAGCTATTGCCACTGTCTTGTCTGCCGCAACACCCGACTCCCTGCTTAGCACAGCAAATCAACAGAATGCGCGAGATAACCGGTCTCTTTATAGGCTTTGACCTCAGTGACGCGCCTTCTTTGAGATACCTCGCAGCAGGCCTTGAATACTACCGTGATGGAGGTAGAGACGAAAACAACCCGAGGCTTGCGAATTTATCTCCAGCTCAACGAGCTTCCGTGTAAGTCATTCTGCTCCTGTTTTGATTTAATCCTCGGGTAAGAGCTCTTTAGGGTTATCCTCGGGAGCTTCTTATCAAAGAAGACGCGTTTTAACTCTTCGGATGAGCTCTTCAGCTCCCAGGGCTTCTTTCAGAGCATATACTGATGTGTCTATAGCCAGAGGATTGTTGATAACATGAATAACAACAACCCGCTCCTCACCGAAATAATTGACGCTTTTCTTGATACCCCTCGTGGTCGAGCTCCTATACTTCTGGGAGCTGGACGAGATCTGCGTGACTATGCTCACTATGCAGTCACAACTCCTACAACACATGACTATCAGCTGGCCTACATAGCTTGGAACACTAGAGTCGCTATGCCATATCCCGGTGGTAGGACAGCAGAAGAGGTCGAAGCAATTCATCTAGCAAGTATGCCTGTAAGACGAAGATTGTCTCAAAATCCTAGGACGGAGCGCAGCCGGAAGCGAACCGAGCCAGTTGTGAGTGTCTTCTATGACATACCAACTTCTGTATAATCGCTGACTGATAGTCTTTGCAGGACGAGGATGAAGCCGATGAGGATTACGAGCCAGAGACTAAGTCCAAGAAGATCAAGAAGGCTCAACGAAAGACTCCTGGTAATAGCATGGCCAGTACTTCTCGTGGCGCAAATACAGCTAGACGTAGCGGTTCATCAGTTGCCAACCCTCCTACTAGCTTTCGAGACCCTTACCTTGACCGAGTCGAAGCTCTTCACGATGAAGTAGCTAAGTACGAGCAAGGAGAAGAAGACAAGAAAGCCAAACAAGTCAGATTCAGCCAGGCAGAAAGTGAAGATGCCGACGAGGAATCAGATGATATGGTAAGTTGATTCTATATACCCCCCCTGAATAATTACTAAATCTGGTTGTAGACTGCCGAGCCGAAACCCACCCTTGACCGCTATTCTCGTCACACGCCCCTCAAGAAACCTTCCTACAAAGCCATCGATGATGGTACTATCGACAAGACCCCCGCCACTCTTGGAGTTAGAGATGATAAGAAGCTCATTATTGCCTTCGACACTCAGAAGGAAGACCCAGAGCACCCAGGCGAATACCTCCCCGAGAAGCAACGAGTAGAATTCGACTACCGTAAACTCCACCCCGAGTTTGACTTCGCAAATAAGAAACATATCTTCCAGCTTAATCACTGGCGTCGTCAACTGATCAAGAGAAACTTTGGCTACATTCGAAAAGCCCGTGGCCCATGGTTGGAGAAAGAGAAGGGAGTCATGCTCGACCTCATGAGAGAGCAGCTCCAACGCAACTCCTACATCAAGTGGCGTCGCTTGGCGAATGCATACAACGATCGCCAATACGAGTCGCTACAAGAAAAGGGAGAGAAACTCGTTGCGAAGGGGGTCAAGAAGTCCGTCACTTCGGAGGATCGATGGACCCCATGGCGCACAAGCGGAGCCATCAAGGCCATCTCAAATAAGTGGCCCGAGTATCACGAACTTGTGTCCGACATGAAGGCAAAGAGAAAGTCGGATGGCGTCGAGGAAGCCGAGTACTCTGACGATGATAAGGAAGTCCCTGACCCAGACCCAGAAGTTTTTGGACACAAAGTCCAAAAGGAGGGATCTACATCGGCGAAGAAGTCTCCCGGCGTAGGACAACAAGCACCTTCACATCAAGGACCATCAGTCGGTCATGAGGGAGATGAGTCTTCTGAGTTGTCCGAATTGTCGGACTCACACATTGTTGAGGAGGATGACAATTCAGGTCATCCAGATACTGAAGATGGAGATGCTGAGGATGGGGACGGTGACGCAGAGATGGAAGATCTTTACTCTGCAGAATAGAGAGTATGGAGTGGAAAGGGTGGATCGCAGACATGTACACTCTCCCAGGTCGAGTTATTATTGTAGAGTAGATACTTTGTGTTAGCAATTACTATTTCCTTAGATATCACTTGCCATTACCGCACCTGTGCCGTCTTCATGCATAGTATTTGACTTCTTGATTTTTCTATTGTTTAAATACTGAGCTAAAGCGAGATATAATAAACCTAATAAATACGAGACTAAAAAAGCAGACTATGAATTGAATTTGGAATAAGTATTTAGTTATTGGCTTTTGAACTGGATAAGTACTGAACTGAGGAATGAGATTACTAGATGGAATTGTCTGGTTGGAAAATTACCTTCGAAAGCTGATTGTGACAAAGGTAGCTCCACTCTGAGGACTTTGGAACACCACGCCCTACTGGAAGATTCCGAAGAGTTCAAAGTGCTCACTAGCGCGCTCTTCTGGAAAACAAAGGGCATTAGCGCCACTTGTGACAACAAAACCACTCATTCGCGACCATTTCTCACCGATTATCAATGCACCCTGAGAATCAGTACACTCATAATCACTCTTTCTGCACAGGACGTTGACACAATGGCTACTCCGACCCTCCGTTTTGCTGGCTTTGATCTTGACGATGTCCAATCTCTTGTCCAACTCTCGCATGGAGTCGACTACATCGCTGCTGGAGGCGCAGATCTGTTGACGCAGCGCCTCAACCCTATTCAGCAAGCCACAGTGACAGAAATAGCCCACCACATGTCAAAGAGCCCACTCATGAAGGAAATCTTCGACTTCTTCCGAGGGTTCCCTCACAACAACAGGGAACACTTCCTTACGAACATGGGGACAAAAGTCCGTGCGTTCAGGCTGTAGAACCTCGAAATTAAAACTCTTCACATTAGGACTAAACTATCAACAACTCCACCATTATGGATCCTTTTACCACTCCACCTATGTCTCCACGTCTCCCAGGTGCAGAGATCAGAACCAAGCACAAAGAGGGCATACGCCGGCTCTTCAAATTCGCTAAAATAGGCCTGCAACAGCTCCAGGGCTACTACCACCTAGGAGACAGCACAGTTAGGAAGATCCTACTATACGATGTGCCTGAAAGAGCGCGCCCTACACGCACAGGGAGACCCAGAGAATCCCTCAATGAACA